TAAGATAAGCTTAAGAACGCTAAACCTAATAGCTAACTACCGAACGGATCCCTAGAAAACGACTAGCTATACTAGTATATACTATAGATAGGTAAGGGGAGGATCTAGAATACTAGTAAAGATAAGGAGCGGATAAAAAATATCTTAAAGAGATTATAAATATATAATAAAGATATATAAGAGTTTATTACCGAAAAATAGAACGAAAAGTAATATAGCTAATACTCTCTAAGAGTATAATATAATAACTACCTATACTAGATAAGAAAGCTCTAAGGTATATCTATAGCCTTACCGCTATATATATAACCTAGCCTAAGAAGGCGCCTAAAGCTAACCTATAACCCGATTTATTAATAAAACCTAAGTTAAAGAGGGCGGAGGGGGTAAAGGAGGTAAAGAGAGTATAACGTAAAAAGGACTAAAAAGCGTAACTATACCTATATAGATATCTTAAGTTAAAGTATTCTACGTACCGCGAAATCCCTATATAATCGTAAGAAACGATATATTCTACGCGGGGGTAGTATAGGGCGCTAGGATATAAATATTAGCTTAAGCGTCGAGCCTAGAATCGATTTAAAGAATATTAATAACTATTAATATAAGCGGAGATCTATACTTACTATTATATAAGACTATCGCTTCTTTATATAATAGTCGTACTAAGAAGTATTAACGTTAATCCCGCTAGATAGAGGGATATATATATACGCTAGATTATATCTAAAATAGTCTATATAATACCGATACTACGTACTTATAGAGTTAGTAAGAGAGACGATAGCCGGAGGGGTATAATTATTAATAGAGATATATATCACACTCGCGACTAAAGGAAAGGGAGCTACTATAATAACTCGAGAGGACTTATAGTAAGAAAAGCGAAACGACGAAAAGCTATAAGAAGAAAAAGCGAAAGGATAAGGAAGTATAGAAAAAAGAAAGCTATAACTCGGAGAGATAAGTGAAAAATATATAAAGAACTTATACTATACGCGACGAAGAGAGATAACGCTTAAAGCTCCGAGTCTATCTATACCTTCCACTATAAAGATAAATTACTCCCTTTTAGATAGCTAGACATACGTGCTATTTTCGAACCCTCCCTACCTCGACTATAAGAGGTCCTCGACCCCCGACCCTTAGCTACGAGGTCGTAGCTCTTTAAGGAGGGGGAAAATGTTACGACCCTCTACTAGGAGAGTGCCTTATAGACTAGATCCCGCCTAGTCCTATGACCTAGGACCCGTGACCTAGTAGGGGTAGTATAACCCCCTACTAGAGAGTGCATCATAAAGACTAAGTCCTGCCGGGTTAGGTGACCTAGTCCCGTGACCCGCTAAAGGTCATCTATATAGAGACTGCTAGGGGAACTTAGGGGTGCCTCTATACAGACCCCCCACTCCCTCGATCCACCCCCCTTTACACCACTTCCACCCCCCCTTATCCCGATATAGTTAGTAGATTACTATAATAGGAATCTTATCATTTATATATAGATAAAGCTTAGCGCTAGGGCTATATTATTAACGCTAGTATTTCTTAGCGTATAAGTGTAGTATTATATAGTATAGTATATACTAATTAGCTAAATATCTTCCTATATAGTTATATAACCTTAAAATAGATACTAATTTTTAAAGACACCGGCAATAGACTATTTAGCTACTATCTCGCTACTATAATATCTATCGATCTTATATCTTAAAACCTTTATTTTTTCGATTAAATATATTAGAATTTCTATATAGAGGTAAACCTATCTAGAATACCGTAGTATTTACTAGGAGTAGGGGCCTTCCGACGATCTCTTCTACCCTACTAAGATTAATTCCTCTTCTTCCTCTTTACCCCCTCCCCTCCTACTAATAATTATATGCTTCTTTTAGACTCTACGGCTCGCTTAATATTAGCCCTTTCCCTCTTAAGTGTATATTTAAATCCCGATAGATCCTATCGTACCGACCGCCCTATAATCGCTACTCGCCTATCGCCTCGTTTATACCGTATTAGATTCCGGACTATAGAGATATTATCGATTAGGCGAGGGGGAAGGTAATACTATAAGACTTAGTAGGCGTAAAAGTTAGATACCTAGAAGCTTTACTTTTTCTTAATATAATAGCTAATCTGGTAAATATATAGTATACTATATACTACTATCGTACTATATTATAGTTAATAGGTCCTATTATTTAATAATAGAGGAAGTAGTATTTTCCCTATACTATTTACTAGGTAGTAGTATTAGTAAATCTATAATACTATCCTCTATATATATATAGAGACTAAACCCTCTATATTATAAAGTAATAAGGTAGTATAGAGCTATTAGCCGCTTATTTATTAATTAGTATCCTATTAGATAGTAGTAGTTTAGTAAGTAATTACCCGCTTAAAAATATATATAACCTTAAGAAGATCCTTAGTAGAAACCTAAAGATCTCTCTTTAGTTACTAATAGGAAGCCTTATTATAGAACGTTAACGTTATATTAATACGAAAAAATCGATTAATATAGAAATATAGAAAGTACTTACTATATATTACCTACTCTTATAGAATATAATTAATAAATCTAGAGAATTAAGTATATATAGTAATAAAGACTTTTTAATAAGTAGCGATATCCTTATTAGTTAGTATAAATATCTATTTCCTTAGTAACTTTTATATAGCTAGCTATTATTATTAGATATCTTCTTAATATCGTCTATCCGCTTTCGTATACCTAGTATATTATATATTAGCGAGTATATTATCTTAAAGAAATAAGCGGGACTTAGAAAGGATATTCTTCTCGATATACTAGAGGTATATAATAGTATTATAGTCTAGGAAAACCTACTAAAATTAGTAGAATAAACTTAGTATAATCTAGATCTTACTTACCTCCTTAATTATATTAATTAGTCTAACGTCTTTATTAGTAAAGATAGTAATTAGGCTAGTATAGCTAAAACGCTAGTAAACCCTTACTAGCTATTTAAGGATAATAGTATAGATTTCTTATAGTATATTCTATATAAATATAAAGCTAATAGTAAATAATTTACTAATTATAGATACCCTAACTATATTTAATAGTAGTATTTAGTACCGATTAGTCTTATATATATAATCTATCTAGAGGATATAATAATACTTCCGTAATAAGGTGAGACTTAATTTATAGATATAAAAAACTATAGTAACTAAGTTATTATTATTAAGTATATAGTAGTAATACTAGTTACTATAGCTTAGTAGCTCTCGAAGGAGGGCTTATACTAGGATATCGCCTCCTAGGAACCCGACCTAAAGCTTATATTTCTATATCTATATATCCCTACTCTATATAGTACTCTCTTACCCTTTTTTCCTTATAATTATAGTAAGTCCGTTAAGAATAATATAGGTAGGGATATACTACTCGAGTTAGGACTTAATCTAGTCTATATTATCGGAGTATTTAGTATACCGATAGAAGCGGTAAGTTATAGGGGCGGAAGCTTTATAACTACTATATAGCGGGTTAGTAATCTCGAGAACCTAGTGCTAGAGATAACGCCGGTAGCGAGTAGTAAGAGTAAATAGGTAGTTAGTTATATAGGTTAACGTCTTTTATACTTTCTATAGTACTAGTTAACCCTATAAAGCCTCTTTAGGCTAGTATTAATAAGATACTCTATAGCGCCTATAGTTATATATAAAAGTAATATTTTTAATATTACCTAAGCCGTCGTTAAAATCTCGTAATTAGCGGGTAGAGAGACTATATCTATAATAGTAGGCGAATTCGTTAATCGCCTTAAATAGTATTATCGGGTTTAGGTATTAACTAGGGGGAGGGGCGGGTATCGTATTATTAGGCTCTACTTTATAATTATAATTATCGGTATTATAATTATAGGTATCGAAGTCTAAATCCTTATTAACGTCGAACTTAGCATTATTAGCGAAGTCGATAATACGATCGGGGGGCTTAGTAGCCCGTTATCGTCCTTATCGTCGCTAGTAAACGGCGGTAAGGTAGGGGAGAGGCTTATAATGTAGAGGACTAGAGAGGAAAATAGAGGCTTTAAGATATAAGATCGACAGATATTATAGTAGCGAGATAGCAGCCAAATAGTCTATTACCGGTGTCTTTGAAAATCAGCATCTATTTTGAGGTCACATGACCACACAGGAGGGAAGATATCTAGCTGATTGGTATACACTATGCTATATAATACTACATTCATACGCTAAGAAATACTAGCGTCAATAATATAGCCCTAGCGCTAAGCTTCATCTGCATACAAATGATGAGATTCCTATTATGGTAATCTGCTAACTGTATCGGGATAAGGGGGGTGGAAGTGGTGTAAAGGGGGGTGGATCGAGGGAGTGGGGGGTCTATATAGAGGCAGCCGAACTTAGCTCTTTAGCGATTAGTTTATGAATATACCAGCACCCTGCTATTCCTTCACTCTAGTTCTATATTACCTGCTAGGACCCGCCAGTACGCCGGTCCTAACACTAAGTTAGGTTAGGTCCGGGTTAGGTTGGGCTTTTTCTGGGTTCTACGGAAGTCTAGTGGATACAGAAATAGAGATTTCAACATCATTGATTGGACCCCTATTACACTGAATACCACGTTAGTTGACATATACTCCTTACCCTCCGTCTCCGGCAAATTATTCCTCCGGCATTCGACCTTCCCCGGCCAAGTCCCGAGCTCGGTTCTCCCACGACAAGGTCGTCCGAGATAGGTCCTTTGTAGTTCGAGACTCCAACGTGCCAAGAGAATCAATAATGCTCAAGATTGATTGATACCAACCTCTTCGAGTTCTTCCAAAAGGTTCTGTTGACTCTAGCGCATCCATTTCAATACCTGCAAGTCGCAAGCCAAAGCTGCTATACTCCGCAAATCACACTGCAGTCTTTCTATGCAAGTTCTTCAATACTGTTGGCATCTGCATATATAAGACCTGGAAATGGGTTCGAAGGGATTGTACATTCTACCGGTGGACATCATGGAGTCCCAATTGTCCACAATTGACCTCTTAATGGCAATGTTTCCATCTCCGGGGGAGCTAGAAATCCCAGAATCCACGACGCAATGCGTTGAGAGACTCCGAAATTGGTGTGAGGATCCAACCACTACGCCGTCCAAGGTTCCGTCAAGCCTATCTCTCACCGTCTGTCTACCAATTGCAGACGGAGACAAAACAATCCAAGTCAACATCTCTGTGCCAGTGCAATGCGAGAATCCGGAGACTCTTGACCAGACGCCGTCATTGGGCTACTCGCTTCGACAGCCAGAGTGGATGTCCAGAGCCGAGGTCGCTGAACTCACTGCCTCAATACCGCAAGGCGATGATGCTTTAGAGGCATTCGAATATATTCAAGCAGAAGCCAGCCGCTTTCTTGAAAGAAAGCAGTCTCAAGACGTGACTCCAGAGGTCACTAGTAAAGGACCAATTGTGCGAGTCTGGTTTTATTTCCCATCCCTGTCAACCCGTAAGAAGAGGGATGATATGGTCAATCTCGCACCGGGGTATGGGTTAACGGGCTTTGTGCTGGCGGGCAAGCCGGGTGTCTTATGTCTGGAGGGTGCGTCGCCAGATATCGATTCATATATGAGTTTCATCAAAACACACTCATGGGGTGATATTCCTAGTCATCAGAAAAAAGTTAGTGAGAGATTTCGAGAGACAGAGGATGTCCAGAGAGTGTTTCCGGGGATGGAGGAAATTACCGATTCGCTTGGAGAGCGAGGTGGCCAGCGGGCTAATCGGGGTGATATGCAGGCACTTGAGGCGTGGTTGGGCAATAAAGGTCTACAAGAAGCCTTTGAAAAAGTGATCTTCTAGTTTGTCTGCTTTAGCCTTGTCATCTCCGGGCGCCCATCTGTTGTATTTTATATACTTGTATAGCCCATAGCGCATATGGCTCCATGCCTGAACACCTTTGACCATGTACATAGAATTCGTTTTTCCCCACCTATCGAATTCATTTGCCTAATACATTCAATGATCTTGGATACAATAGCACAGTCGTGGACCAAGTCCTCACTATCTTGTCTAGCAGGGAACCAATGAAGCAAGAGAGGTACCCGCTTATAGTGGCAGCCTAGCTAAATCTGCTTCCAGAAAGCTATTGCAACGCTGCGAGGCTAGAAAAGCCTACTGGCGGCGGAGAGCCAGCGAGCAGAATCTCCCACAGAAGCATTGACTGAGGCTCAAGCGCCCAATAACTTGGTCTTTTCTTGGCGAAAGAAATATCCCACTGACATGCTTGAGCATCTCAAGGACCAGGGAGGAATCCGAGGAATAGGATCCATCCTGGGTCCCACGGAAGATGTGAAGACTTGATTAAAGAGATCAGTTATCTAGGTAGGGCTGGAACTAGGTAAGTATGGATGGAATGACAAATCGAAAATTCTCGCCCAGTTATCCCAGGGCCAGGTAAATTCCAATACCCAGGTCTATGTGTACATGTAGTTTATCCATGTAGATGACAATGGCAGCTTGTAATTGGAGCGATAGAGTGAGTATGAACGCCGATCAGAGCCCGCAAAGTCTGATTTATATGATTTATGAAATGAAAGTCTCTATATAAGTCTGTGTATGTTGAACAGGAGGAAAACTCCTACCGATGTTCGGATGCCAGATACATCATTGATGTGTTGATACATGTGTCACAACGACCCACAACGTCCCCATATGCCTTGTGTCGGCAATCTAGTGTTATATCTCAACTATTCTTTTTTTGTCTCCTTGGTTTCTGAAGGCTTCGGTGCCTCAGCTGGCTTCAATGATGTCGCCGCTTTGATCTGGGCCTTCTTGTGCTTCTCGCGTTTCTCCTTCAAGTAAGTCCAGCTTTTACCAAGACCTGCTGTGAAGGGCGCCTTGATTGTCTGAACGGTGCTTGGCCAGCGGATTGTCTTCTCAATGGACTTGGAGACCTCCTCATTGAGGAAATCATCCCCAGCAATCCGTTGCTCAAACGGACCTCCTTGGGGCCGGCGAAGGACTTCCTCCGAATCCTTATTTTCCTGGACCATCTTATTGAAGTCCGCCCGAGGGATGCCAAAACGCGACTGGTATTGGAAGTATAGCTTTTGTCGGAACGACTCAGGCAGGCGGCGGACCATGTTACCACGCTTCACTGGGTCCATATCTTGCGCCATGGCTAGGATGGCGTTCGGGTCATCAATCCAATCCTCATTGCTGCAGCGGGGGTCCACGAAGGTTACGTTAGGCAGATTCTCAATGAGTGGCGCGTAAAGCCGGCGGAAGTGCGCCATCTGTCCCGAAACAATATTGCGCACCTTGCCGGGGTCCTCGGCCGGAAGGGCCATGCGGAGATCTCCCATATAGCTCATCCCGGCAATTGTGCTATACAACTCAAACTCGGTGAAATTCTCCGGTAGAAGAAGCAGTGCGACTCGCAACGCAGACAACAAATTCATCTGGTTTGCCAGTCGCACCTTCGGGTGATCACGCAAGATCTTAACAGGCTTATGCAGACGACCGGCAAGGTACAAGGTATCCCACTGGGTGAGGTCCCGGCACAAAGTATCCAAGTTCACTACACCGTACTTGATCATCGTGCCGTTTACTGTGACATAGGGATGGAAGTAGACACCTGCGCCAATGCGGTCCTGTACTTGGGAGACCATGTACGACCCCATCGAGCCCAGTCCAGAATAATGATCACGGTGCTGATGCAGATTGAGATCATGCCAATGCTGAGAGTACGACACTCCAAAAATGAAATCAATCATCTTCCCGGAGCCCTGTTGCATGTTTTGAATAGCCGTGGGTGCCGAGGGGTGTAGTGAACTAGACGGAGCCGCGCTACCGTTCTGCGGGAACACACCCGATCCGTAAGCAAATGCATATCGAATTGGCGCTTTGAACTGCCAAAGAATCATTCGCAACGCTTCCTTGAACTCTTGGTTTATAATCATGTGCTGGTTGAATCCAAAGTCCTTGGAGGGAAGTTCTGAGAAATTGGAAATGGACAAGTTCGGGTTATGGTCCCAGTCCGACTCGGGAAGAAACGAGGTTGAAGATGTCGAGAATGAGGAGGAGGATGACTGGCTGGTCGTCACCTTGCGTAGCAAATGTGAAGTCGAAGCACTGTAGTGTGCCGAGGGCCGGCCATTGTAGGGAGTGATTGCACGACGATTGGTTGACAAAAGACGGACCGACGAAGGATTAAAACGAGGGGATGAGAGTAGGGTGTAGCGGCAAACGGAGCTGGAAGTAGCTCCTCGAGAAGCAACCATCTAACATATAAGTTGTAGCGGGATCACCGGGTGGAAATGGGCCTGACATACTATTACTCCTGGCATGATTGTGTTTTGGAGAATATATATCGGGGCGCGGAGCGCAGTAGTTGAGTCAAATCAAGGAGCATGAGTGACCCGCATGCAAAGCAAATGAGTGAAGTAAAATGAAGTTGAATTGGGACTCCGTCAATAATTCCGGCTCTGACGTACCCCCGTCGGCTGCCAATTCGGGTGCTGAGTAATGGTCACGTGGGCCGTTCCCAAAGATGCGACCCATAACAACGGAAGTAAACAAACGCGGAGAGTTGACAACAACCCTCGTTCGACAAAACGAAACTAATCCCCCCAACAAGGGTGATTTTACATGTAGTGTATTGTGGCAAGTTGCCTCTGATTGCCCTGATACATCACCATGGGCTCCGAAATGGATACTTTCGCGGCCCGCCTGGCTAGCTTCGACATAGTGCTCAAGCCAGAGAAGCGCAGGTCTTCCGGCATAAAGACAGCCAAAGCGATTAGCTGGCCGCACCAGCGCCCTTCTCCAGCCGAGGTATGTCAGGGTTTGACAAGATAATACGCGTCAATTTCAAGTGGTTGACTTGACTGCATTTTAGTTGGCGCACGCTGGATTCTATTACAAACCATACGAGACCAATCCCGACAATACAACATGTTTCGAATGCCACCGGGCGTTGGATGGCTGGGAGGAAGATGATAATCCTGTGACGGAGCATCTCAAACATGCGCCAGACTGTGGATGGGCCATCATGATGGATATTCAACAGAGCAGCTCCAACCCTTCCTCCATTGAGGACCCTACGGGCGACCGAATTACACAAGCACGGCTGGCGACATTTGGCTCGGCCTGGCCACACGACGGAAAGAAGGGCTGGCTATGCCAGTCAGAGAAGGTAACGCGCAAATCTGCCATTTTCGTATTCTCTATTGGCTGACAACGACGCTAGATGGTTGAAGGCGGATGGTATTTCTGCCCGACAGATGAGAGCGACGATTTGGCTAGCTGTGCCTATTGTAAGTTGTCTTTGGATGGTTGGGAGCCCAAGGACGACCCATTGTGAGTATACATTGCTCCTTCCCCGCATGATTAATTGCTAACTTTGGCTAGTGACGAACACTACCGCCGCTCCTCCGATTGTTCATTCTTTGTCTTCGCGCAGCCTCCAGGAAAGAAAAGCAAAGGCTCTCGTGCTAAGAAACCCCGAGTTTCCAAGGCCTCCTCCCGCCTCTCAACTCAATCCGTTGGCACAGTTACATCCGAAGCGCCAGATGCAGACTTGGATGACTCGATGGACCAGAGCATCATATCCCAGGCCGCCACCAAAACTAAATCCACAAAGAAGACATCTAAAAGCAAATCGAAGCGGACCAAGAGCAAAAAGGAAGAACCAGTGGAGATTGAAAGCCAAATTCAAGCCAATATCGAAGAACCTGTTCAACTGGAGTCCCCGAAACCCAAACGCGCAGGCAGGGGGAAGAAAAGACCCAGCGAGGACACCAAGGATGAACCGGAGTTGATCGCCCCAGAAGAAAAAGAGACGTCGCAGCCGCCAGTTGAGCCACCAGCGAAGCGACGGGCCACCAAAACACGGAGTAGCAGCATTGTTCGCAACTACAACTACGAACTTAGCGATTCTGCGATGGCTGATGCAGTGCCTGGGGATACCGATATTTCGGAAGAAGAAGCAAGGAGAGGTCGCAAGCTAACGAAAAAGAGAGCATCCAAGACCCGCAAGGTTTCTGATGTGCCTAGTGCATCAAAATCATCGTCAAACCCTGGGGGGCCTCGTGAATCGGAGATCGATGCTCAAATCGAGGCAGGCCTTGAAACTGATATCCCCACACCCGTTGAGCCCGAACCCGAGGCCGAGACAGAACAACCGAGAGCATCGAAGAAGTCTAAACCAAGCAAAAAGTCCAAGGCAGTAGCTCGATCCTCGGAGCCGACCGCACAGGATGAAAGAGTGGATGCCGGTGACAGTGAGGAATCGCAGGCACCCGAGCCGTCAGCTCCAAAGACGAAGGCAGCGAAAGGATCCAAGAAAAAGGGGACCAAAAAAGCAAAGACCGAAGAAACAAGAAAAACACAGTCACCAGAGCCTCGAGAATCCCTAAGCCGCAAGTCTGCCGATGTTGGGGACGATTCAGGGCGTCATGATTCGTTTATATCCGTCGAAATTCCCACTAAGGAGCCCGAGTCTGTACCAGAGCCCGAAGAACCAGTAGCCAAGGCTGAAACAAAGAAGAGCTCCAAGAAGAAGGATGCTACGTCAACCAAAGAGAAAAAATCCAAGAAGTCCGAGAAAAGGAAGGAGCAGCCTCCCATTCCTGAACCCCCAGTCGAGGAACATCATGTTGAAATTTCGGCTCTAGAGCAGGATGATGAATTTGAAACTGCGGATGATTTGCCTGATCAGCTTGAAATGGTCAACCTTCCTCAGGACACTTCTCCCACTCCACGAAAACATTTCCACGAGCCACAATTGCGTCAGACGACGCCTAGTTTACCACCGAAGACTATCAAACGATACAGCGATATCCCAGACGAAGAGCACCTTGCGGAGAACCTTACACAAAGTCAAGGCTCCTCTAGTGGAGTGCACAGGTCTCGGCGGAGTTCCAAACGGTCTAACCGGGCAGTCTCGCCCCTTCCACCACCTCATCAAAGCACTCCATCGCTATCACCTCAATCATCAGACGCTGAAAACCGGCCTCCATCATCACGACCCTCGGCATCCCGCCCACCTGTCCAACCGACACCCAAACAGCCTGAGTTCCGAGTCCCTCTGGCAACCAGCACTCCATCACCATCTAAACGTAATGCCAATGGAGGATTCGGACCTTCCATCCATCCATGGACGCCAGTGGATATTGATGAACTAATTTTCGGAGACGCCAGCGACAAGGAAAATGCAGATCTCTCTGGACTTTTCAAAGGCGCGAAAGGCGGGCTGACTAGCCCAGAGAAAAAAATGACCGTCCAAGAATGGATCTCTTGGAATGCCAAGAACGGCGAAGAACGATTGAAGAGAGAGTGTGAGCGACTTGTCAGTCAATTTGAGAAGGAGGGTGGCCGAGCAATGCGGCGACTCGAAGCTATCGAGTGCATCGACTAACCAGGTGTGCATATGTTTTCGGACGAAATGAATTTGCATGTTAGGCGTTCTGTTAGGCGCTAGGAAATAAATGTTGGATCTTTAGCTCGCAATTTTACTTTTGACAATGCCATTATTGCATACGAAGAACACAATCGGGAGAAAGAAAGCCTTGAAAATAGACCAAAACACCATGGGTATCAAATGTAGAACGCGCACCACAAGGACAATCCCTCAAGCAATGATTCCCAACCGGCCCTCCCAGCTGTCATCTTCCTGCTTAACCTTCTTCCGCTTCTCACTCCGCTTGCGCCTGTTCTCCTCCCTCTCCTTAGCATCAAGCTCTTCCCGCTCCTTGAGCCGTACCCCAAGATCAAGCTGCCAAGCCTTACGCTCTTCTTCGTCCCTCTGACGTTTCCTATGCGCAAGCATCCTCAACCGCATACGCACGTCCTCAACACTGGCTCTCTTCACCTCGCCACTCTGCCCCGTCGCAATCAAATGCTGCTTGCTGTTCAAATGTTCCACAAGCTGCAAGTTATCTTTGTATGTAAGATCACAGTCCTTGCAGTAGAATCCAGCACCGGGTCCACGCTTGCCCATTCCCGCGCCCGCGGGCACAATCATTGTCTTGCCGACCATTGACGCGACGTCCAAGCGCTGCTTGCGGGCTGTGGTTTCTTCAAGCGTGCTGTAGTCGACTGGTGCGTGATATTTCTTGCCCAGGAGCTTCGCTTCGTAGCGGGCTTTGCCTTCAGCTTTGCGCTTGGCTTCATCGTCGGCTGCTTTTTTGGCGTATTCTTCACGATCCCAGGTTTTGCGGAAGGCCGTGTCCGACACCGGAGTGCCGTAGGCGTTTGGTCCTGACATTTTTGTGTTTGGAATGGAGGTTTGTTTAGGAGAAGTAGGATGGTCTGTTGGTGAGTGGCAACAGAAGTTGAAGCCTGCACCTTGGAGATCGGCTGGAGGCCGACATTGAAGATCACGTAAGCGGCGCTGGTCACCTGGGCACCTACCGAACGAGCTTGGGCTTCGAGATACTTGTTTTAGTTGCAATCGTTGCTTATTGCAATTGTCTAGGATATGTCTTGGAAAAGAGACATTGCCATATGTCAACCCCAGGTTTGGGTAGTGCGTGGTTTTCGCTAGGCACCAAAGGACATCCCGTTGGCTAATATCGCAGCCACGTAAATAGGCAACTCTCTTACACTCCGTCAATTATTTGTGATTTTGTGATCCTTCTGTAGAGTCGAATCAGTTATCTCAAAACAAACTATTATTATCAGCTCCTACAGCATTAGGCATCGGTTTTCGACCCTCGTTATATAAGGTGCCAGCCCCATCTCCATATCAGATATACATCTATAGATATTGACTGACGAAGGTCCAACAGGCTTCGAACGCATCAACCTCGAGAAAAATGGAAGCACCACAAGCTTCCAGAAGCCTAAAAGCCACCGTCCCCAGCCTGGTGACACTCCCCTCGGAACTCCATATCCAACTGAGTTCCTACCTTTGCTATCCAGATGCTTTAGCGTTGAAACACAGCAGCCGCCAATTCTACTACTTGGTGTATACTGGTGTACGCCTGAAAGTCGACTGGCTGGTCGAAAGATTCGAGCGCAGGCTCGAATGCCCTATGGAGAAGTGCTCATTCATCACCGACGAATCTTTTTGCAATGGGCGTGTCCGCCGGATCATGGAGCGCCGTCGGTGGCATCATGAGTGCCGTCGAGTGAAGGGTGGGTGTATGGTCGTCTATGGAACGACCTGTCGCACAGGCTTTATGCCTGTCTGGGTTGGAATCAAAGCACAGGCAAGGAGGAAAGCGGCTAGGATCGTGGGAAGCTGGGGGCAGGAAGGTGTGTTCCTTCTTTGATTCTTCTCATTTGATGAAAAATTTTGCTAATGCTGCGTCGCATAGCACTCTTGATGAGTCTGATTACTGTTTTCCTGCAGATTCTGTGGTATCTTTTCCAGAGGTGAGATCCTTTTCCTGTTGGTTTGTACGTGGTTTGAAACCCCTGCTAAATGAGTACTCTAGAGTTCGATCCCTCGACAATGAGGGAATTCCACGGCTGCTCATTGAGTAGATGCTCAAGCCAAATGACTCATATAATATACAGTTTCAGACATTTCTGAAGGCTGGATATACCCGGGGTTCGCCGATGATCGATCATTTGAGGCGATCGGTTGGAGCAATGTGCTGTAAATGCGATGCCGAACCCACCTCAGTAAACGAAGAATTGTGAAGAGACTTCTGTATAGGTTACAGGCTTCTGAGGTGTGATGCATTCAACTTCAACTTGACCTCATCGTCTTTGAGCCCTGATCCGGATCTTATCGGTGACGTCACATTGACGACCCTGTGTATAGTTCCAAGGAAGCAGCGGTTTTCGATATAAATTGTCTGCGATTTGCTCAGATTCCCTTCTTTCATCATATCAACTGACCCATATTGAGAACAAAACGAAGAATGTCTACCACAAATGCCACTATCGACACTAACACGGGCAACCACCCCGTGGATCCCTATAAGACCAAGAACTTTGAAGACCCGCCTCTGGCCCAGAAGATCGAAGACCTGACCAACTTCATCTCCGAAGTGAAGTTTGGTATGTTGACAACGAAGCAGTCAGAGGGCGACTATCTCGCTTCGCGATGCATGGCATTGGCCGCAAAGGTATGAGTCCCAACATTTATTGCGAGCTTTATTGCGTTTATAGCCCCCATGGTCGTTAGGAAAAACATACTAATTGATTCTTGGACACAGGAGAACGGCGGTATTGACCTCATCTTCCACACAAACCTTTTCTCTGGCAAAACAATGGACCTCACTGTGCATCCACAAGAAACAAACATGTCCTTCCTCGATCCCGTGAGCGGAGCCTGGGCCTCCATCTCAGGCACTGCATCCGTGATTGGCGACTCTGCTATCGTGGAGAAGTATTATTCACCCGCACTCAAAGCGTGGATCGGTGACATGGGTGATGGCGTGCACGATGGTGGACCCACGGATCCTCGGATTGGTGTCATTAAGCTTGAGGCTAAGCTAGCGACACACGTTGTTGCACACAAGGGCATCCTTGGTCGTGCTGTCGATACTGTCAAGGGTGCTGTGCAGGGCAACGTCCCTTCTTTCAACGGTATTCGGGAATTGAGTTTGCAGGAGTTGGCTGAGTGTATGTTCTTGGCTCCTTGACATCTGTGTTTGACGAATCGGCTTACTGACTGACTGCTACAGGGCGCCGGACACATAAGGAATAATTAGGCTGCGCTCTGCTACTGATGCCTGAGAATTGACGACACTGCATAGCTATGTTGTCAATGAGATATTTACATATGACGGATTGTATATATCCCTACAAATGCAACGAAGAGAATATGTATTATTAGGAGGATGCTTACGCAACATGCTTCTGCATGTCATTCTAGAAATTAGAGTTGGAATCCGAAAGGCCGCAGTGCACTGTATACGCGATATCATATCTAAGGAACCTCTGAGGTATAAGTTTGTTATACGGGTAGCTTCTTAAGTGGTCCCACACGGGAGGCCAAGGAACCAGCTATACGAACCTCAGACTGCAATCAAGCGGTGTCACATACGTATATACCCAGAAATATTCACACTTCCTCCTCCCTGGGCTCTTTTCCAGGGCAATATTCGTCAAGAGACCCCATCCAACCTCCACAAACCTTACCATCCCCGCCGCCAAAGCCGACCCAGCACTACATCCAAGAGAAACCAATTAGACCTGGACACCAGAAAGATCGAGTAGATATGGTAAAAATGATGAGAGTTTTACACTAGTCCCACGCTTGCAAGGACTACAACATCGCGTTAGCATGTATTAGCACCCAAATAGGTAAGACACTTACTGATTGAAACCCCCAACCTTGCAAGAGCCTCCGTTACATATCTATTGTCATAAAAAGGTCAGCAATACTAGCTAGCAACCAAATAGGAGATATGTATGCAACATACACCACAAACCTGCCAGTGATTAGGGCAATGCATCGCCGACTCAGGTCCAGGTGGTATGGCCGTAGCCATAGTCGAGCGTATGAGGCATAGAAGGACAAGACCAGTCAAGTACATATTGAGACGTTTGTTCAGTAGAGCAGGTTAGAAGGAAGGTAAAAAGGGCAGAAGATTGAATAAAACTGACTCAAATAAGAACAATATTTCACCATTTTATATACCCACATATGCCACATCTATCTACTCGGGTAGATCTTACCGACGTAGTATGCAACTTGCTATTTTGTAGTTTTTACGGTGTAGAGTGTGACGAATAAATAATCTATGACAGGTCCATGTGATGATATCGTATCGTTCGCAATCCTACGAGGCTTCCTGTATCAAACAACTGGTTACAATGCAGTCTTGCCCATACACTGTTCAGCTTAAATCTCCTAGAGGCACCTGAAGGTTGCATCTTCTCTTACCAGCCATGCTGAAGGTCAACTTTCAAAATAACGAGAGCCTGGATGATCATTTGTGTGTTTGATTGAACGGATTTATGGTTCGCGCAAGTCCGAGGAACGTAAACAAGGTTGCGTATTGCTGATTAGAACATGGTAGTACAGGTATAGAAAGACTAGAATCAAAGCAAAGGCAAACTCAAAACCAAAGATACTCCGGGGAGATACCCCGAATTCGCCGCAAATAGAACAAGATAAAACTGGGTATCGTCCGTATACTCCCGCTGCCGTGTGTAATTCATGAAATGGCCCTAAAGTGGCACCGAAGAAAACGAGCATTTAAATCTGATGAATTTGTTAGTAGAAGACCAGACAGTGAAGTATTGTATAGACTCACCAAAACAAGAGGAAGGCGAGCAGGAACACGGCCCTCGTGCAATAACATGGCAACCGCCTTCTGAGGAGTAGCCTGCAACTTGCGGTAAGCCTCGCGAACGTGGCGTGGCTCGATGGGCGTGCGTCCTTCCTCCGGCGGATCGAACAAGCCGGTCTCACGCTTCCGTTTCTTAAGATTTTCGCCGGCTTCAGCACCCCCACGTCGGTTCTTCTCGTTGTCTTCGCGCTCTTTTACTTTAAGTGCCTCTTCAGTCAGGGTCTGGACGATCTCGAATGTAAGGAACCCAAGAATATCGACAATATCATCGTTCGGCTTGGACTCGGTCACAATACCGAAACCCGCCCATTCGCGGAATCGCTTGCTCTTGCGGTACGTAAAGGACGCTTGGCGACACTCAGACCAGAACACGTACTCCTCCTTCGTCATGTGACGGGTGCGTTCATCGGCTGCAGCAAGACGCTGGAGTGTCGCGTAGTTCTGCTCCTCCTCTTCTTCGTCTTCTTCGTCTTCTCGCTCGGGCACTTGGATTGAGTAGAAGCTGTTGACATCCCAGGCTAGTCCGACCTTGGCTCGCTTGTTCTTGGGCTTAGCGGCAACATCTTGCGGACCAGCGACAACACCTGCCGCATCGTCTGCAGCAGCGAAGTCCGCAGCGTCACCGCCGCCTTTGTCGTCGGAGTCTTTGACATTCTTGCGGACGTCCTTCCAGGAAAGAAAAGTTCGAAGACGGGAGACCTTAGCTTTGTCGTGGCGAATCAGGAAAATAAGGTCGTCGGTGGAGATTGAGCGAACGCCACGGCGAGTTGCCAGTGCAGTGCTGCGGGTAAGCTATTGGGTTTGATCGTTAGCGATGATACTCTTAAAATAATACTTGCCAGTTCTTACAATTTCGATCACTTGTTGGCGAGTGATTTCCTCAATCAAAGTTGTGGTTTCAGGCGAGGGCTCTGCCGTCTCTCCAGAGACAAACATCATCTTCATATCATCATCAGCAATGGAATCTTCAAATACGCTTTCGTTCTCAATCTCTGGATCTTCCTGGCCGTCCAGACTGCTTTCGATGTTGCTCGCATCACTGTCCGTTTGAAAAGTGAAGGATTTGTAAATATGAGTACAGAGTGAGTGGATTGAAATCAAACTAATCCTAGCTTCACTGAGATCACGGTGGTGGTGGTGCTGGATGTAGGGCTTGCAAGAGATGTCTTCATCCTTGACGGAGAGAGAATTCAACTTGGCATTAAATTAATCTTCAATGGAAGACCTAGAGATGTCTCCATGAAAATTCGGCCCTGCATCTGAAGTTGCATGAGGTCAATTGACATGTGATATAATTGTATGCGAGGTCAGATCATAGTCAGATCCTTCTTTCACGGCTTCGTCAGGGAGACCACTTTGATTGGCATCAAAAACCTCCCCAGCACGGTAGCTAGAGACATCCTCGTGGCAATTAATGTCCGGTTCTGGAGTTGCACGAGGCATATGATGGCCCGAGTCCCCTTCTGAGTCAATCCGCGCAAGTTCATCTGAGCAAAATGTCCAGATTCTGAGGATTTCTCGGATGCTAGAGTCGGGAGAAGTCATGATTGGTGAATGAAGAAACCAAATGAAGTATCCAAGGACTTGAAGGAGGTTTGCAAGGACGCGTTGAACATGTAAGATCACACGGAGAACGCGTCGCCGGAGTCAAACAGAAGAACAAAATGCACACTTTGGTGAACAGAAAAGTTGATATTTGACAAGTAGCAGGAACAGCCGATAAAGAGGCGACGTGCAATAAGAGGCAAGAGTTGAAAGACTTCCAAACACCTCGAGGCAAACAAATAAATCGCAAGGCAAACTTCGAAGTCGTTGTGGATAAAGTTCGTGATAAAACCCATGGCCGCCCCGAATATCAAAATATGGAAGTCAGAGCCTTTTGCTCATTGCACCCAGGAACTCCGAGTTGTTTCTTTACATCATCCCATGACTTGAGTTAGGCAGTACCCCACATCGGTCTAATGCCAATCCTTCGATATTGGCAGAATCAGTTGCAAAGACAAACGAAAGCATCCCAAGAAGTGGTGCGCGAGCCAGTTCAACTCAACCACAGAAGGCCAGGAGGCCCGGCGGAGCCAGCAGGCGTTCGGGCCATTGAAGATAGCTTCGGTATTCATGAAGTGGAACTTCGAAGATTGTAAAGAGTGGGAATCTGCTATCCCGCAGTGAGGAATTTACATCCACTGCTCGATGATGCTGGTTCACAAGATCCATCAAGACCACAATCCGCTCCCAAATATTTCGACCCAATGTGAACCTTCGCAAAAAGCTCATCGAAAGTCTCTGAGAATTGAAAAGATGGCATAGCGGGAATGAATTGACCCAATGTCCAGCCAACGAGTTGATTCGCAGCACAAGGCAATGGTGATGCATCGCAAGCCCAACAAGAGCATGGTCTTTGCTGGCCCAAAACCTGGCTCTAAGCTTGCTGGAGCAGCTATCCATAGTATTCGAAGTGGGACGTCGGGTGTGATGCTGTTCCCAGGAGCAGAGATGTTCGCGCGACACAAGTATACCGCAATTCACGAGCTAGCCGATGTGTTCAAAGACCATTGAGGACCCGCCGAGAAGATTCCATTGGAGTATTCGCGAGCCAGGGAGACCGAGAGATTGAGAACTACAAGCCAAAAGAGCAATGAACAGGAGAAGAACTCACCTGTTGTATCTCCTGCCGATACTTCGGGTTCCGATCGGAGCTCATGGTGGATGGCGGTAATCCTACCGGCGCAGAATATGGAGCTTTGACAATATAAACGAGAGCGTTCCCTGGGATCAGTATAGGGAAAGGAGATGATAATCGATTGCGACTCAGACCAAAGGAACAAAGGGCGGAGCTATGGACGTCCGGACGGAGAAGCACAGGCCGATCTGGGGACGCGATAGCGATAGCCGGATATTCTTTGGTCCAGGCGGTGGCGCAGGATTCTGCCGCTGTCGCGGGGCACGGAGGAGGGTGCTTTTTTTTTTCTAGTACTATATCATTGAATTGTATTGTTCTTATTGACAGCAGTTCAATTGATTTTGAATCCTTGTCATCCGCTCAATTGCACATCCAGAGGTTCTACAGCCAAAATGTTGCACCTTGTTGGTCTTGGTCTCGCCGATGAAACGGATATCACCGTCCGCGGCTTGGAGATTGTGAAGCGGGCCGAGAGGGTCTACCTGGAAGCATACACCAGTATCCTTCTCGTGGACAAGTCAAAGCTGGTGAGTGGAGGTCAAACTTCTAACTTGGAATTATATTCCAAACAAGCAACCCATATCATTTGCGCAGATGGACTAATTGAACGTAACACTAGTAGGAAGCTTTCTATGGCCGCCCCGTCATCGAGGCAGACCGCGAACTAGTCGAGACTGGCAGTGACGATATCTTGGCCGACGGTGATAAAGTCGACATTGTGTTCCTCGTAGTGGGTGATCCATTTGGGTACGGCCGTCGTCTACTTCCCCCACAAGATCAACAGCTAACACAACCCCGCCAACAGCGCAACAACCCACACCGATCTTGTCCTGCGCGCGCGCGAACTCGGCATTGAAACCAAGGTCGTTCCTAATGCCTCTATCATGTCCGGCATCGGCTGCACCGGATTGCAGTTGTACAACTTCGGACAAACAGTCAGCATGGTGTTCTTCACAGAGACATGGAAGCCATCTTCATACTATGATCGTGTGCGCGAGAACATTCAGATCGGTTTGCACACGCTAGTCCTCCTTGATATTAAGGTCAAGGAGCAGTCGCTGGAGAACATGGCGCGTGGTCGCCGCATCTATGAGCCGCCCCGCTACATGACCGTTGCTCAGTGTGCGGCACAGATGCTGGAGACTGAGGAGGAGCGCAAGGAGGGTGTTTATGGACCCGATAGTTTGGCTGTTGGAGCCGCGCGCGTTGGTGCTGCTAACCAGCAGCTTGTTTCCGGTACCCTCAAGGAGCTCTCTACTGTTGAGATGGGTGCGCCATTGCACAGTCTTGTTCTCCTTGGCCGGAGAACACATGATCTCGAGAGGGATTACATCCGCGAATATGCGGTCAACAAGGAGACTTTCGATGCAAGCTATGCCAAGGGATATGGAGCTAGCTTGTAAGAGATGGCTTGGTATCAAGCGATATGATTTCAAGATTAAAATAGAAGATACGCATTACTGAATGAGCAACGGTTCACTGTTATGACGCACTAAAGCTCTAAGCTGGCCAAATTCGAAAATGAAGTATATAGTATGATCACTTTCATCCAATTTGATCACATTGAGGATCAATCAGGTCATTGCCTGGGGTTTCTATTGTAAAAAGACAAAAATTGAAGATGCCGCAGTATAACGGAAGATGCAAAGAGAAAATAGTATGCAAGCGAGGAATATAAGAAACAGCAAAAATCCGATATGTCGAAAGACCGCCGCCCAAGGACTGCCCAAGGCTGCAGCTATGGATGCAAGTAAGAAAGAGATCATCTGAAGATGGCGATGTGAGTTGCACTAACTTCAAGAAGAATAAAACAAAAAAGTGCGCACACAACCGACCGACACCGTATGATATGCAAAATGTTGGAGCAATGTACAATCCAAGTCTGAAGGGAAAAGATATACACTGGGATCGTGTCACATCAGATCTCTTCTTCTTCACCAGGAAGAAGGATCTCATGCCCTGAACCTTCATATACGAACACGGCTGCGACACAGCCAAATACAGATACCAAGGCAATCAACCACCAAGCAAAGCCGACCATGCCGACGTCCAGGCCATACCCATACCATGCGCCTGAAAAGATAGGTCCAATGGTACGGAAGGCGGAAGACACGGACTGGCCGATGCCGTGCATTGTACCGAGGACCGATGGGTGCGGCGAGCAGTTGTTAAGCAGGATGATGGAGGTTGGAAGAGTGAAGGTTCGGGCAGTGACCTGGAAGAAGAGAACAACAATGATCCCAAACCAGACCCAAGGGCCGTTGGCTTGGCCAGGAGGGGGAGTTGTGGACGGCGCCAGCGAGATATAGGGGGCAATGAAGTATGCGATCGGAAAGAGGGAGAGGAAATACTGATAGCTCTTAGCCGTTCCCAGGCGGCTATTGATGGAAGGGTAGATAGTGAACTGGAGGAACATGCCAATCATGCCGAGAATGGCTGTAGCGAAGCCGACGCTCTGCGGCAGCATACCCAGTCCACCCGTGAAGGCGAATGGCAAGCTTTGGGCTGGGCTTCCGGCGTCATTGGCGTCATAGCGGGGAGTAGAAAGAAAAAGCAGCCAAAGATTGTTGAAGGCACCCATTTGGAAGTCGAAGAAAGCTTGCGCACCGAGTGTGGACAGCACGTTCTTGGTCCAGATTCTCCGGAAGGGTAGGACCTGTTGATGACGCGCAGGCTTATGTGCCTTTTCTTCAAGCTCATAGCTTTCCGAGCGGTCTACCGGTTGGTCCAGCAAAGGTCCGTCCTCTTCATTGTCACGGAGCGGAAGTCTCGTGTACAAGGGCGAAGAAGATGGAACTACTTTCTTCGCGCAACGTGCCAAGAGCTTCTTAGCGAATGCACCTAGGCCGGGCTTGCCCTTGCAAGAAGCTAGGGTCTCCTCCAGCCCATAGGCAACTAAAGCTGCGGTCGAAGAGAGGAAACAGAAGTTCGCGAACATTGGCAGAGCGTAAGGATACGTCTGGAGCCACTGCACTCCATTCACGCCCCCGAAAGACGAGTTAGGACCAAAGAGACGAGGATAGCTCTTAACAGGATCAGCTAGCATGCCACCCATGACTGCGAGACTAGTTAGCGCATTGTCACATACCCGGGAATAGCATTGGCAGGACCCAAAACTTACCGGGACCAAACAGCGAGGCTATATTGAAACCAATGGGCAGAATCAAGAAAGCACGCGAATGATATTTTTTCTCTTTAACATTCTCCGCAATCATAGTCCGGATGATACCAACAGTACCGTTGATACCACCGCCAAACGAGCGCCAAAACACGGCCTGCGCGAACGACGTTGAATAAGCGACACCCAAACAAGACACCGCCGTACCAATTAAACCAACAAGCAGAACGAACTTGCGTCCACCCCACTCAGCGTCAGCAGCACGACCCCAGGGGATCGCCGTCGCAAACTGAGCAGCAGTGAAAGCACCCTGGAGAATACCCGCCTGGGTCGCGACATCCGAGTCGGAGAGGTTCGGATCAAAGGACTTGAGCTGGTAGAACATATATGCCTGCAGGGAAGCAATCTGCAAGAAATCGAAGACCCGACAGAGTCCCAGAAGTCCCAGTTGACCCTTGCGCGGCAGCGACATCCAAGTTACGGGCGCGGGGCGCGCCGGCGCAACCGGAAGCTCATCCTCCCGCATGGCCAACAGCTGTGGCTGGCCGTGGCTGATCGAGCGGCCGCGCACATGCCGGGCTTTGCGATCGGCAGACAGATCCATCGAGGTATTCCTTAACATGGTGTCATTGAGGGTGGGCGAGTCGAGTGAGTCGGGGGTGGAGCGTTCTTCAACGCTGGCGAGGGAGACGTTGGACTCGCGTCGACGACGGCCTTGAGGGGTTTCGGAGGATTCGCCGGTGGTCTGGATCAAGTGGAAGCCACTTGACCAAGAAGTTGTGCGTGCATGGCGGGCATTATTTGTTTTATTGTTCGTGGTCCCGGGAGGCATGGAGGTATGTATGTGTAAGCCGAAGTAGTCCAAAGTGGGAATTTTATAACGTCCACCCCTTTGGTATCACGTATTTCCGTCGTTTTGGCGGTTTTGGCGCTCAATGCAGGTTGGATAAATATTATTCTGTATTTGCGAGGAGAGGAATAAGGAGAAGAAAAGAGGTAAAGACTGATATATTTTTTTTCGACTTTCGTTTCGTCTGCCAGGGGATAATACCCATGACGTCTATTTCTCCGTACCTTATCCAGGCCCACCAAAACGCTTGAGAACTGCCATCATGCAACGATTGTGTCTATTTTTATTTACTTCAATGCTCTGATCTGCTTATTGAAATCAGATCCTCTCTTTCACATATATCCTATATGACAGATATAGTTTTATCACTCTATGTGATACCAATACTCCATACTGAACAAACCGACAACATCTGGCTTGCGACGACCGCTCCACATGGCCCTGCCGAGCGTCTCCTCTCCTGGGCCATGACTCGCCAACGCGATGCGTTTTGGCGCCTTGGCTCTTGGCAGAGATGAAGGTTATCTTGGATGGTTGACTAGCTTCGTACAGCCCCTGTGTATTTTATTTCAATCCATGTGGATTTTGGCACCTTGTAACTAGGCTATTCAGTAGTAGTCTCGGTTTGATAGTCCTCAAAGTGGATGTCGTATCCGTGGAACTCAATGTTTAAGCTTGAATACGTTGAACTTTGATTGTGACACCAAAAATAAATAATAATTGACGTAACCGTTCTCACATCTAGCGCCGAGAGTCCAATGAAGCGCCTCAGCCCCAACCTGAGCGGCAAGTCAGCTTGATACATCAGGTATCCTTACGGAGTATGTACACACGCATTATTGCAAGATCTTACAAGGCGAAGCGAGGAGTTGATAACATGTCGCATCCCAAACCCGCTACCTCCCGGGAGAATAGGACAGCCTTCCATACTTAGATCAACGATGAGCATACAACACGTGTTTGCAACATGTTGTCATATTACAAATTTTGGTTATGTACAACATATAGTTAGCGTTAATGTGACTGTACTTGCGTACGATGTGCTAAGATGCCCAGATTACAACTATCAATCATACCAAGCCCCCTTAGAAGCAGTCAATGAGAAGACAATGTCTCCGAAGGGATCCAAGACACTCCGCCACGCTCCGCAAGTACGTGTACTCAGTGCGCGTATTCCAAGAAGCGCTGCTGTATTTATATGTAATCGTAATACACGTACAGCGAGACTTCCAAGGTTCGGAGGATTTGTCCTGCGGCGTTGAAGCCGTACACAGTTTGAACATGAACTCGTATAGAGCGATTAAGTGGAAGTTCCCGCTTATTGCCGGTATGATCTGATCTTGTATACATGTACATACCCTACCTAGGGTCCCTCCTCACCTCCTCACCCATTTTTCTTACATTTTTAGTAGATACTACCTTTGACAATCACGCATACATTCATTTGGAGAATTGCGAATAAGCAAGGAAAGCAAGAGACAGTATTAAAAATCACTACCCATTCCGCTCTTGCTCATGTCCTTGGCCGTGTAGATTTCGTTCATGGATCGGGAAGTGGGAAGATCGCTCATCCTTCCCAATCCACCGGCGCCAATTCTACCAAGAGTGATCAATTACCTGAATAAGATGACTTTTCCATTCAACTATGCCATTGAGAGACTCAAAGACCCTACGTTCCCAGAGTTGGTCCAGCTGCGACTACGGCAAAGAAGGGGATCTCCACGAGAAGGATGGAGCCCAAAGAAAAAGGTCCTGTATCGTCAGTTTTGGTCACTCTTAATCTGAAAAAGCTGGTGCTGGTATACTCCGTCTCAAACCCTGTCTTGGCAATCTCGTCCAGCAAAGTCTAACAATACCTAATCAACCAAGGTCATAGGAGCCAAAACGGCCAAAGGTAAACGATCATCGTGTGTATGAGTCTCTCCATCTGCTGTATGTCTACATTGAAGCATAGGATGTGTTGATGGTTGAGATTAATTGGCCAGCCTCGGTTTAGAGCCAGATGCCTCAACCTATACATACCAGTCCAGAGCCAAAATGACCAGTCCTGCCGTAGGTGCCATAATTGATTCGCCTACGGGGGAAGGAGGGCATGTTCAGAGATTGGATTATGATCATATTCTTCGCTGTATCATCGTATCTTGGTTGGATGACCATGTGGTCTCTCCAGTGGAGACCTTCCTTCATAGGAAGGATTTTAATATTAATTCCCGTAATTTTGCGAGAACCTTCATTCACTTTCACTTTCTGCTCACTATGTACGACCAATCTGGATAGTGTGCGGATGCGGATTTTCCTCAAAGGCCGCGTCATGGCCGCGAGACTAAGGCAGATTCGGCTGGCGCTAATGAGCCCCGAAGACCATGACTTTGAGGTCCACTGTTCGTATCTTCAAGTATTTCAATTCACTACAATGGGTCCAAGGTATCTTGACGGGACAAGTATATTTCTCGGGAAGCGAGTGTAGAAGAAGGCCTACATCACATCGGTATCTACTACTCAAACTCCGATGGAGAAGGAACGGCCGAGTACCCAGTTCCGGAGATTGGAAACGAAAGCATGCGAATAAAGCTAAAAGCCACGTGCATGTGGCTGAGAAGGCGCATCACCTGTTGCGTATGCAAGGTGTGGAGTTGGGGAAGTGTGCAGGTACACTGGGCGTCAGAGCATCCATAGACCATGTTGACTCCTAGAGGCTTTTGATATACGTAAGTGCGCTAGAATTAAACCCACAACATCGAGAACATTATGGGTATTCGCTATCCATTTCTGGGTCGATTTCGAACTAGGTACACATAATCTCGTCTTACAGTAGTATTCATTCCATACGCATACACCACAGCTTGACTGTACGTTGTTCAACCTGGAATGATATAGCGTTAGATAAGAAATAGGATCTAGTTACAGGCAATACATATTCGTTCTAGCAAGAATATAGAAAGAGCTGGAAAGCATCTACTTAGACGTGTGCGTGACTCGGGATTAAGCGTGCTTAATATATCAAAATACGTATAGTGACCACCACTCGTACATGTACTACGAATGCACTGAGATCTCAATCCGAGATTTGTGCCCCCGAGGACCAAGACCCAGTACACGTGTCGCTCGAACTTTCAATTCCAGAATCATTCACCACGGAAAAGACGAGTCTGCCCTGTACTCCGTACATCCACCCAGATGATTCTGGAATTACGTATATCTTTCGCTCGGTGAAGACTTTTAGCCTTGAAAGAGGTCCACGAACCTAGCATGAATGAAGCAGGCCCCGAGCGACCCTCATATATTGACTCCAAGCAGTTTAATGGATCAAAACATGTGTCGAATACCTACGTGTGTTATTGAACCCGCGCAAAGATACAATTATAAAGAACATGATAATACGGTACATGTATGTATCGCATGCTTCTTCGTACCGCCAAGCCACTGCCTAGCAAGTACAATCTCCACGAATCTCTCCAACGAACTGTGGCTGGCAGTGGGGGATTTTTTTTCTTGCTTTCGTACGAGTAGAAGTGGACCGATGTGTCTGAGAATCAGGAGTGGATAGTTCGATTCCGAAGATGTCCATAGTTGTCTGTTCACTGTGCTTGAAGCGGTTGCTATCATACTGTACGTAGGTGCTGTTCTACTATTGGTCAACGAACGTCGAGCATCTTAAACACACCTGTATGTACTCCGTGCACTCTATAGCCATTTTCTAGTCAACCACGACGTAGAATCCGATTAGAACTCGCGAATCCAACAGTCAGGTACTCATTTTCATTGGCATGGCATTGTTAGTCTTGATACCTGTTTGAGCAGGTGCCGGACTGTTTAGCCAAGACTTTAAGCGCCCCTTGCTTTGAGACAATGTGCTATGACAGCAGCGCTGGGGGAACTGGCTCCTTTATGGATGACCCTTCTATTGGGAAGCTGGGGGTGCTTTGACGTGGCATGTTTCACGTTGTGAAAGCACAAAATAGGTCCGAGAAATGATAATGAAAGAGCAAGAAACTGTTGTGTTTATATTGTAAGATTACCGAATTGTCATGCCATAGATTTCTCGTCCAACCAATGATGACATGGAGAAAAAGTCAAAAAAGGGGTATTAGAGATGGATGTAGCGATTCATTCCAGCAAGGAACCAAAATGACCCCCCAAAAAAAGGAAACAGTAACAAAAACGACCATGGTGTATGGTGACATGCTAGAGGCGCCTGCGCACACTAGTAGCTGGCAAGAATGTGAGATGTGGGGAATATGAAAGGAAAAAGACAACAGATGCAAGGTCTCTCTATTCAGCGAAGGGAGAAGCGCTTGAAAGCAACGGTAGCAGCGAAGCCAGCGGCAAGCAGCGATCCGCCGATGGTGACAGCCTGGAAGGCGGCATTCATCATTTGATGGCGGTTACGAGTGCTGCAGCGCCTGTAGAAGTCGGCCATGTCGTTTCCGCGAGGAAAGGGAGTGTCGGGGATCTCCTCCTCGAGGAACTCACAGAGAGGGGCCCAACCGTCATTAATGTTGTACTCGAGCAGACGCTCGGGGGGAACCATGCTGCGGACCTCACCAACGTGATCTTCGTAGACTTGCTTGCCCTTGCCAGGGAAATCGCCACGGAAGAAGGTCTCGAAGAACTTGTTCAGCATGGGGTAGTACATGCTAGCAGCCCAGCTGAAGTTCGAGACGAACTTGTGCTCTGGGTCTGAGACACGCCAGAAGACGGTCTTCATCACGGATCTGTGGGGGTTGTCAGTCGCTTGTCTAAAAACATAGATGTATGAGTGTGTATCACTTACGCGTGCCATGGGTCAACATCACGGGTAGTCAGGATAACCTTGGCATTGGGATAGGCTTCAATCAATTCCTTTGCGAAGGCACAGGCAGGCCAGTCACAGACGGCCTGGCAATCACCCAGAAGTTGATCCCATTCCTTGCGGCCGAACTCCCCGACACCGTCATACTTTGCGTTCAGGGCATCGTGCCACATGAGACAGTCCGGCGGGTTCTCAACACTCGCGCACATCATGTGGTAGCACTTGCCATAACCAAGACGCTCAAGGGCCTTGCGAAGCGCTGTCAAACGGAGATCCCGGGTTAGTTTATAGCCCCCGATTCCTATCAGATCCGGTATATACACCAATATACCCGGCCCAACGCAACACAGCAGATCACACTCACAAGCAGTTCCAGTACGGCCGACACCTAGAGCAAGCACCTTCATAGGCACTGTGCGGTGGCACTTTCGGCGGTTAATGTTCGTATCATCGGTGAAGATATCAGTCATGGGCTGGGGAGCCAGATTATCGGAAAGCATGAGAGACATGGTAGGCGTTTATAAGCTCGTTTGTAATTATGTTTGGAAGTTCTATAACGAGAGAAAAAATGTAAAATATAAACGAAGGGAGTGATAAAGCTGAGCAAAGAAGGGACAAGACTTATGGAAAAAGTCTAGAAGGAAGGGGGGGACTTTGAAGGATGATAAGTATGGAGATAAGGGGGAGAATAAAAGAGATAAATACAAAAAAAAAGAAAGAACCCAGTTATAAAAAAAAATTCCAGACTCAGAGCTAGACTGATCCCCAAGGGAGATCGATAAGTAAAAGTGGGCATTGTGTCCCAAGTGGCAGTGCCAATTAAGAGCCCTGAACCACTTTCCACAGTCCCAAAGTATGTCTCCCCGCGAGTGGCAACGTTTCCACCCGTCCTGTCCGAGTCTTGGTCAATTGCTCTCTGTTCTCCGACTGTACTCCATCGCGGATAGATGAGTTCCAGGGATTGTAAGCCACGACTGCGCACTCCGGTATGGTAAACACAGCGTCCAAGCAGTGTGGTGTACTCCGTGTCTGAGTACGTATCTTGGGAGTACGCAACTGAGTATCAAAGCCAAGGTACGACGTCACAAGCTGACGCACAGGAGGATTGTCGGGGATTGTCAGGGATTATTAGGGATTATCAGGGGGGAAACTGTTGTGGAAACTGCTGTGGCGCCTGTGGTACGGTCCATGTGCCGGGAACCTGGGTCCCGAAATGCAAATACCGAAGATTACCACAAATTACCACAAATTACCACAAATTACCACAGATTACCACAAATTACCACAAATTACCACAAATTACCCCAAAATAACCGACTAGATTGCCAAGACTTTTGATCCACGACCTGCGTACTCCGTACTTGCCGACTCTTCATCAAGTTTTCGCAAATAGACGATCCGTGCATATCCGGTCCATCATTGGTGGTTCAAATGGAAACGCGTGTATGTTGTGGAGAGGGAGATTTCTGAAACTACTACAACATATGTATGGAGGCTGTGCCATTTTGAGTAATGCGTCACATCCTCATCAGTGCGCAATTGAACTGTTGCAGTTCATACCATATTTAGACTTAGAGTGAAAATGATTGAAGTCGATTTGTGTTTCCAAACTCGGCCCACAGTATTCAGGCGGATCTGTTTCGCCCGGAACTTTTGGATGAGAGAAAGCATTGACCCGCTTCAATAGATTGATTGCATTTGGCGCGTGGTTGAGACTTGCGAATCGCGAGTTCCACATGCGAACCCAGTCCAATCTTATTGCACCGAGTATCCTCGACCGATCAACAGGCGCAAAAGGGACGGTCACAAAGGGCTCCTTATCCTGAACAGTCCGGCCCATGTCATCTATCTCAGAAATTCCGTCCAATGTGTCGTATAGGAGGCGGCCAAATACCACTTTGGGGGGGGGGTTGATGTCGCGAATCTCGGGTACAATGTTTCGAGTGACATTCATCGACAGGGAAATGAGCGTCCGCTGTATGAGACGTCAACCAATTTCAGTGGTCCTCCCGCTGTCACACATTCGTATTGTCATGACTGAACTGATCATCCCGTGTCGCTGAGATGTTTTCCATTCGGGGAAAGTATCCTCATGGTCCGGATGATCAATGCTTTCTTGCGGTTCAGACAGCGAGGGCGAGTGACTGTCTATGAGGCGGTGTGTGTATTAGTGGTATGTATTCGTCAGTCCATAGCAGATGATGGATGGTGTCCTAGCGTAGTCATCATGAGACTGCCCCGGTGCAGAACAGTCACGGCCGAGACATTTTCAGGTAGACATTATTTGTTCTTGGACCAGTGTAGTGTGGTATACAACGAAGAGGAATGGGTGGAAGGAGCATCAAAGTAGAGGAGACCCTTTTCAAAGGTCAGCCCTAGAACAGCGACAGAGCTCCTTAAATGTTCTGTGCTAAGACCTGTAGACTAACGCTCGCCATCGATGGTCAGAATCACCTCACCAAACCACGACCAATTGGGAAATACCTCCAACAAAATGGAGGCAGGGCTGAGATTGAATTAACATTTCAAGCTAATCCGAGCTTAAAACCTCGTGGGCTGATCCTTTGAGTCAAGGTGGACATTCTGTCTCCGCCGGACATGCGCCAACGGCAGTGTTTTCGGCAGTTGAGAACAAGACAGCTACACCACTTCCGACCCAACCTAGAGACTGTTTGAGGGCGCCGGCGGAGCGATGATACAAGGGAAAGGCTTGGCTGGCAACCAGCTTCGTCTGTGATTTCGACATGAGCCCCAAAATGATGGCATGAACTGCACCGATGATTTGATATCTCCAGAATAATCCCCCTTGATATGAACATGAACAGTAGTAATATTGCCTGAAAGCCACCGATACCCCTGAAACTCCATGCAAATGACTGTTTTGAATTGATTTGTCCGATGCAGTCGGGTCCGTAGTCGATGAGGGTTCCTCATCGATGCCGAAACCGATGATCCCGGTTCACCCCTACTCCAACTTGTCCAGGTGCTCCAATCGTGTGAGAACAACTTGCTTGCTTGTCTCTTGAATCTCGCCTGCGAGAAAGACTTCGTCCAGGATAGCGTAGACCTAGAACATATGAATCCACGCATCAGTATCATGGCTCCTCCAACTGCGGTTCTACATCACAACTGGTTCACACCGAGCGGTGCATTCCCAGTCAATTGTACGCACTTTGTAGAAATTGAAGACCAAATCCAGCTCGCACACATTCCCGAAGAACTGGTCCAGCACTTCCACGAAGAAATGAATAGCTTCAAGATAAGCTAACTCGTTGTCATTCGCATCGACACAGACACAGAAGAACAAGCCCGCATATCGGCGGTAGACAACCTTCGTACTCCGGCGGAACTCGACAAAGTTGGACTGATATTTCTGATCTCGTGGAGCGACAAGCCGATGCACCTAAACGGTCGTGGTTAGTTGCATGGGAACTTCGGAGCAGGTGCGGGTGCGGGTGGTATTGCAGGACGAACCTCGCCTTTCAGTTTCACTTTCTCTTCATCCTTCAGACCGAGTGTCAGCGTAAGATCATTTTGCGTATGAATTGAAGAGAGCTGGCAAGACTCACACTGTATGGTGAATACCATTTCGCCAGGCGCGTTTTCCCCCTATATCGTCATCAGCATTGAAATCGCAAAGGGTCAGGGTGGATGGCTACGGACTGGCGATTCTGAACGAGAATGAATGAGAGAACCATTGCGATAAAAGGCCAGGATGTCACCTGGTCAGCATTTATGAAACCACTCAGGGGAGTGTTGCGACAGCTTTAGATGTTCTCCGCTGTTCCCGTTATCGAAGCTCCCCTCCGGGCCATATTGCCAGAATCCACCGCCCAGATGATCGGATTCTATAGAAGTGCTGATGAGATCGGCATGTTCTACGATTATAATGGCTTGTTTACTCGAACTCTGGGAGATCTGGTTTCCAAAGGACATCCAATATGGTAAATTAAGTGATATAGCGGCATTTGCAGACATAAATAGTATCAACATACATAAAGCGTAGAATTCGTTAAAAGCTTCAATCCCGACCTGGTCTAACTCGTGTAACAATAAAGCAACAAGCACCACCGGAACACATTTTGATTTGCCATGTTCCATAGCACTCAGCAAGAGGCCTCAACCCGAGCTCATCCGATTCCAAAACCTCGTCAGACGAGCCTAGAAATACCCGATTAGCAACAGTGTAGCGATGGCAAAGCGCCAACAAATAATATAATCCCCAATGAGCAGAGAAAAACCAGGAGATCAATGACATACCGTATAGCTTGGCGGAGTATTTGGCTCCGCAGACTTAGTCCCCTCCTCCCTCGGGCTTTGGATCTGACTCTGGCGCCGGGTCTGGCTCTCCTCCTCATAGCTATCCTCAGACTCGTAGTCCTCGTCTTCAGATTCAGGGAACCATCGTTCCGGATCTCCATTGTAGACAAGATACCAGCCAATCTTTTCACCCGGCGCCAGACGATCGCGCAATTCCTCCAGCGCCGCTGTCTGGTCGTCCGTCAACCCAGAGCCCTGCTCCACGCAATCCTGAATATTCTGTCCCCCGCCACTACCGCCCCCGTCATCCGCAATCTCTAGAACCCGTGCGCCAACGTACGCATGTTCCTGGCTGACGGTGCCACTTGATTCATCGGCCGGGTCATATTGCTCGATGAACGACAGCTCCGGTAGCCGCGGCACGAGATCGGCTTGTGTCTTGTTGAAAGATTCCACGAGCAGCTCAGTCGTTAGGGGCTGCTGGATATATTCGGCTGCTGCTTCTTCCAGGTTGTGGAGCACGATGTACACGCGGATCCCCGTGAAGCCGGCGCGGGGCCAGCGGAAGCCGTGCAGCATATAGACCGGCATGGTATTTGGTTTGGGTCTTTTTGGTCAGGTTTCAGTGGGTATTGCGCTTTCTAGCGACCACTAGCTGGGGAAGGGATTGCAGTCGGATTTTCAGGGAGTTCGGAGTGCATATTAAGCTTGTGAGTGCTCGTGTTTTTTCGGGGCGGTGATGTATCGACGCGATTGGGTTTCGCGGGTGTGTCCCGTGCGTAGGTTAGTTCCAACGGGAGCGCCGATTTACATTGGCTGTTTACACTTCAATGCCTCCATTAGCAGGTTGAATGGTATCATTTTGTTAGCAAAAAAAAAATAAAAAATTAGCCACTTGATTAGCCTGTCAATGTAACTGTAGAAAGGTCTGCAGAGACAAGGGCTATGTCTTGCTTGTATTGCGTGGCAAACTCAATCGCCGATCTTATACTCCGTATAACGCCTTGCAGCAAATCTAGAAGCATGCACAGTTGTACTCCATACTCAACACTCCGATGGAAGTTTGACATCTCGAATCTTCTTCGGATACAACGAATCAAAAGAACTACTCCGTACTGATATGTCAACTGCTTCGCACAATGCAAAGCTCAGTACGGAGGATCTCGGGTTCGTTTGCTCCTAAGTAAGTACCCTCCAAGTTTGGCGTGACTAGAAATGACCTATCATATTTCGAAAATCTGCTGGGTCTATTTACAACCTGGCATTTGATGAATAGCCAGTCGGTCGCGATTGCCCTGAATGATTAATGGTTTCGGCTTCAAAGATGTGATGTATTGTGCAGGGCTAGAAACAAATAGAAACAAGAACTTCAATGTAGCAAAAGACCCCCTGGCTAAGAGACTAGAAAAGAATCGAATGATAGAAAAACACCGGAAGTCAAAGTAGTCTGAAAGAAAAACGCAGTGTGCTGGATTTGATGGAGACTCAATCTCCATCATGGCCTCCTCTTCAAATCCGCGAATCTCCGAGTCAGTTCATCCAGCTCCGGTATGCCGTTACTCTTGCTCTTGGATACACCCTGTTCTTTCGAAACAGCAGCAGCTTTCCCTTCGGTTCCAGGGAGCTTGACTTTAGGGTTAGGATTATCCGTTCTGGGAGCTGGCGGAGCAACACTGACAGGGCTTCGGCCCGCGGCGAGTCCACGTGGAGGTGTCGCTTTGTTCAATTCACTTGTCTCTGAGGCACGTCTTGCTTCGGAGTATTGCTTGCCGGGAGTTTGTGGTAATTGGGGTTCTTGTGCGTCTCCATCATCACCGTCACCACGATCATCTACAAACTCTGGTGGCGCGCTACCCAGCTCTTCCTCAATGTTTAGCTCTTCTTCGACTCCATGCCATTCAACTCCGTATGCTTTCGCAATCTCTCGAAGATAACTCTCAACAAGATCCTGCCCCGGCGGGCGCACACGCAACCCCTTAAGAAGTCGATCGGGGACCTGGACAGTATCGACTTTGTTATCTTGCGCTAGAGTCATGAACTCCTTCCCGTACCGTTCGCCGAGCATAGTGCGAAGCATAGTAAATTCGCGCACTTCATGTGGAAAGCGGTGCCACGCGTAAAATACCACAACAGCAGCCTCGTCAATAGCAGTATCCATGTATGGATTATCCTCGTCGGTAATCCCGTCGCCAGAGTCGTCCGTCGCGCCGCCAGATCCCGGAATGTGTGTGCCCGCCCGCTCGGCCTCCTTCTTTTGTCCTCCCAACCAAGAGAACCCAAATCGCGAGCCAGTACTTTCCCCGGCGCCCTTAACGCCTGTAGCGGTTGACCCCGTGGCACCAGCTTGTGTTTGGGTGCGTTTCTTGAGTACTTCCTTCGCGCGAAGTCGGGCGCGAGTCCCCTGGTCGCTGAACGCCATCTGATCCAACACATTTGCGCGCGCCAGTAGTAATTCGCAGTAGAGTTCAACCATCTCCATCACTTCCACTGCGATATCGGTCGCAATGACATTTTCGACTCGGATGCGCGCTGATGCATCGCGGCCTTCACTGAGGAGCTGGGAGAGTTCGCGGCGCTGGACAACGGAGGAGGCTGTGTCTTTCTTTTGAAGGAGTCGGAGACGGGGAATGAGGAGCCGGAGGGTGGAAACTAATCTGGTCTTTGATTCTATTGTGTAAGTCATTGTGATTCTCTATCCTTACGTTGCGGGACGCGCGTGGGGGAAGGCATATGTCGGCAGTGCGGGGTAGGGATGAGAGCTCTAGGCAGCGAGTTTTGAGGGCCGGTCTCGATCATCTGCGCATGCAACATGTAGAGACCAATATGAATTCATGGTAGCTTACCGTCTGGGCTGAAGGAGGCATTTTGGCGTTGTTGACAAAGTTGTCAGAAGAGAAATGTGAGGGGGCCGATGGGGCGAGGATCCATGTGGGGTCACTCTGACAGGCAGAGACGTTGTTTTGCTCTTTGCATAGATCAATCCAGTCGGAACTCGAAAACTAAACCAAAAATCAAATACAATATTGACAACGTTAATGCAATGTTCGGGGTGTTCTGGGGGTTATGGGCGTCATAGGGGTCCCAGGCAGCACAACCCTCTCAGTAGCCTGTCTCCGGCGCTCATGCTCCAACGAGCTGGCAATCCTCTGTTGGAAGTCTTGGGTGTAGAGGAGCCATTTTCTTATTTCCTCTGTCTGCTTCTCGCAGCGGGCTGTAACCTCCGTTAAAAGAGAATCGAACTCGTCCGTCTCCAAGTTCTCCGGGGTCTCAGTAGTGAACTCTGAATATCATCATGTTAATCATCGCAATCTAGACCTGGACACAACCGTATGATTTACCTGGCTTGGGAGATTCCGCCATCATGGGAACAGGAGGTATTGAGTGTTTTGAATATCTTGGTTGTGAATGGAGACAGGAGACATAGAAATGACATCGGGGAGGAGTAGGATGGAAACTCGCTACGGAACCAGATGGTCGTCTACATGCACATATCAGGGGCAGGAGAGCGAAGACTGATTCTACCTTTGTCTTGTGATTTCTACATTTGTCCGAGGATATGCCCCTGAAATTCTGAGGATATTGAAGTCGCTTAGGGACCAACAAAGAAATTAGGTACCAAGGGCCTTGCAGATCGATATTTAACTACTCCGTACGGGGTATGGAGTACTCCGTGTTTGAGTCTTGACTGTCTCATTACCCGTTTTGGCTCACAGGGATGTTTTTCCAATTTACGGAGTTCTGGAAGACTCTCTCTTTCACTGCTAATTGTTCCCGATCCCTCCTGTCAGGTCCTATTTAGTTTGGACCTACAGTTTTAGAATCATCAGTCATCGTCTGTCGACCTACCCTAACACGGATCGAATACGTCCTCTATCCTCCATAAGGGTGGAAGAGCTAAGATCAAAGTGACTGTCAATTGTTGGCCATCTAACATCGGTTAAATACGTAGAAGATTTACGTGTAGGTAGGGAATACATCCTAGAATCGCAGAATAATTGTGCCACGCAGCCTGCTCTGGGCGTTGCGAACGAGAATTCATCCCAAATCCTCATTATTGACATCGTTAGTGGCTCCTAGGATCTGTGGTCCCAGACTAACTGCAGCAAACGTCTGATACTATCGGCTATGGCATCGGATTCTGTTCTTGAAGAGTCTGCGGAGTACACCATATAGACCTGTTCCCTTTTAGGAAGTTGATGGGAGTGGGCCAGAGCTAGTCCACCAATCAGAATGAGTACCTCCCTCAAACAGTGGATACCACTAACCGTTTTGGTGCTGGATGAGGGTGGAGAGCCAAGTCAGAGATGTAGAGATATAAAAGCTCTTCAGAAAGAATCTCGGATTTTCCACAGGACTTCCGGAGGAACAAAATGGCACCTTTTCACAATAGCCACCCTGCCACCAAGGCCTTGCATGCCGACGATCCCTTGAATCTGGTGACTGATGTCGCACCTCCAATCCATCTATCTACAACCTTCAGATATTCCAATGATCCAGAGCAACTCATTCCATCGGAAGATCCCGTGGTAGGTAAAGAGCAGACACCCAAGAAGTAATCTGATCTAACAACATCCTTTAGGATGAATTCAACGGCAAGAACTATGTTTACTCCCGCGAATTCGCTCCAAATGCAACTCGCTTTGAGGCCGTGCTCTCCTCCTTATTGGGCGGGAACGCAGTGAGCTACTCCACCGGACTGGCTGCACTGCACGCCGCAATTATTCTGCTGAACCCGCGCCGAATCTCTGTCGGCGAGGGGTACCACGGCAGTCATGAAGTCATCGCGGTAGTATCGCGTCTTTCCGGACTACAGAAACTCGCCCTCAACTGTCCTGCTGAAAGTCTAGAAGCTGGCGATGTCATCCTGCTAGAGACCCCTGTCAATCCCCTGGGGACGGCATTCAGCATCGAGGAATACGCCCGCAAAGCCCACTCCCGCGGCGCATTTCTTATTGTCGACAGTACCTTTGCACCGCCTGGCTTGCAAGATCCGTTCCTCTGGGGCGCGGATCTCGTTATGCATTCCGGCTCCAAGTATTTCGGTGGACATAGCGATCTCCTATGCGGTGTGCTTGCTACGAAGCGTGCAGACTGGACGAAGCAATTGTTCGAGGATAGAATCGCCCTTGGAAGTGTTATGGGAAATATGGAAAGCTGGCTCGGAGTTCGGAGTTTGCGTACATTGGAGGTACGGGTTCAGAGGGCTAGCCAGAATTCGGCTAGATTAATCTCTTGGCTTCACAGGGCTATGCAAGCATCATCTCCTGCTGTGAATAGTGACGAAATGGTCGTTCAGTCGGTGGTGCAGAAGATCTACCATGCTAGTCTCCAGATCGAGCCGTGGTTGCACAAACAGATGCCCAATGGCTTTGGACCGGTCTTCTCGATCGTGTTGCACACGGAAGACTTTGCAAAAGTCTTGCCAACCAAGCTTCAGTTCTTCCAGCATGCCACTAGTTTGGGTGGCGTTGAGTCTTTGATTGAGTGGCGGGCACTGTCGGATTCCAAGGTTGATCGTAAGCTGCTGAGAGTCAGCATTGGGTTGGAAAATTGGGAGGATCTCAAGGATGACTTGCTCCGGGCTTTTAAGTCGCTTTTAGGATTGTAACTAGCCTCTTGGAATAGATGCTTAGGCTAGATTTCTTCCAGCGATCTACAACAGCCAAAATTAGTAACAGGCTGTATTGGGTATCTTTACTTCGGAATTGGTCCGCTGGTAAAAGCATTGGACGGGTCAGTTTGGGCCTTTTGATTGGTCGATGGTCTGAGTTTGTTTGTGTTGCAAACCAGCCAAACATGCTGATCACCAATCATTTTCCGGTGGGACCACGGGCCGGAAATGGGGTGTTTGCATTGATGTTAGGGCTAGACAGAGAGGTGAAGATATAAGTATAACAGGACCGGCCGTATGTCCGCTTGAAACAACTTCATCCAGTTTACCCAGTGAATTGAGACTTCGACAATCATGGCTAGTAGGATCTCTCGCTCTTTCCGCCTTGAAAAGGCCCTCCGATACCTCCTGAAGACTCAGGAAACACAGCCTTCACCTTGTTCATGTACGCACCACCACAACCATCATAATCCTAATTGGGTTCTCGAATCGGATACCTGGTCCCAGCTCCAGGCCTTTCATCGGATATTGTGTCAAAGACCGGCAGTTCCCAATCTACCATCCGAGACGCTAGAGGACATCGACGCGGTCATCGCGTACCGAAACAGCCACAACTTGCTGACATCCACGAAATCAATCTCACCGAGCGTGACTATCCAGAGCCAAAAGTCACAGTCTAGTCCGATAAATCTGTCCTGCTGGAAGGGCGACATTACGACCTTATCTGATGTGACAGCGATCGTGAACGCTGCCAACGCCCAACTTCTGGGCTGCTTTCGCCCCGAACATCGCTGCATTGACAATGTGATCCATTCGGCTGCTGGACCTCGACTCAGAGAGGCATGCCATTCTATTATGTCGGCCCAAGGCCACCCTGAACCAACAGGCTCGGCGAAAGTCACCCCCGGTTTCCTTCTTCCCGCGCAGTGGGTCTTGCACACCGTCGGGCCGCAGTTGAATCCAGCACAGAAACCCCAGTCACACCACAGAACCCAACTTGCGTCATGCTACCGATCTTGTCTAGACGCCACAGAGCTTCTTCCTCCGCTCAAAGATGGCCGTAAGGTCGTTGTTTTCTGCTGTATATCGACCGGCGTGTTCGCATTCCCATCGGACGTGGCAGCTCAGATTGCTGTCGATACAGTGGTAGAATGGTGCAATGAGCACCCAGACACCAGTATCACTGACATTATCTTCGACACTTTCCTCCAAAGTGACTGGGAACTGTACCAAGAGACCCTTCTTCAGCTTCAGAAATCGACACCCTCAGACACGAGCCTCTCTTTCACACCTACCCTTCAATCCCCACCAGTCTTACCGACCCAATCGCCCACTCTCCAAAAGGCACACCTCTGGCTCGAACAAGCCGATAACCTCATCATCTCTGCAGGCGCAGGCCTCTCTGCCGCAACAGGTCTAGACTACACATCAACCGCTCTCTTCGCAAAGCGATTCCCCGCTTTCCGCGCCAAGGGCCTGCAAAGGCTGTACGACGTCTTCGGATTCAACGGGTGGGACAGTGAAGCCCAGAAATGGGGCTACTACTTCCTGCACCTCGACATGGCACGAAAATGGCCCGTGTCTCCGATCTATAGCGGCCTGCTCAACCTCGTGTCCCGCTTTGATGACAGGTACTTCGTGCGCACCACAAATGCGGATGGGTTCTTCGTGAAGAACGGGTTCTCCGCGGACCGCGTGGCGACACCACAGGGACAATATCGATACTTGCAGTGTTTACAGAAGTGCCGGCCAGACGCGGTGGTTTTGTCTGATCCTCTTGTTGATGCGGCGATGCCGTTTATCGATCCTGTTTCGCAGGTGTTAATGGACAAGACGAAGATTCCGCAGTGTGGATCTTGTGGTGGAGAGATGACACTTTGTGTGCGTGGAGGGAGCTATTTCAATAGTCTTCCTTTTAGGGAGCAGGAGAGGAAGTGGGAGTCGTATGTGAGAGGACTAGAAATGGAAGGCGTTCGAAAGCAGAGTGGTGATGCCGGAGAAGGCAGTTCACGTGGGAAAACGGTCATCTTGGAGCTGGGAGTTGGTTTGAATACGGCAGGTGTGCTGCGGTGGCCGAATGAAGATCTGGTGTCTGGGTCTCCAAGTCAAGAGTTCCGCTTGATTCGGATCGGCATGGATGCTTCTGGCTGTGTTCCTTGGGAGATGGAAGAGCAGGATCTCGCTGTTGCGATATCGGCGGATATCAGGGTGGCTCTGAACCAGCTGTTATCTTAAGATGCGTACAATATATATGGAAGAATCACCTATTTCTGTGACTTTTGTCAAAATGAGCTGTATGGTTTGTATCATGAATTATATTAGAAGACAGTCACGACCCAGACGGCCAATATCAAATATCCACCGCGACGATATCCCCAGGCCCTCTTCCTGGGCCCAATAATCTTTCAGGATCTTCGCGGCGTTGATTACATTCAAACAGCTTGTAGCAGTCCAGAATCTCTCCAAGGACCCGACCAAAAAGTCCTTCTGGGCCTGAGATCGACACTCCAAACCTGCAACGAAGATAGCCCACAGAACACATTTGAAAAGCGGTTCTTCGTCCGTCAAAATATCAATCAGACCTAGGAGCTCAGAGACCAAATCGTCCTGCTCTGTGATAGTTTGCGTGAGCGCATCAAGAACGCGTCTGCCATATATCAAAGCCCCGGTTTTGAACACCTGAGATAAAATACAGACATTGTTAATTTCGGCAGTGGAAGCCCGTCTTGAGTGTTCAAGAGTCGAAGCCCACGCAAAAGAATCAAAATTTTGAATGAGTTCCAGCATGGAGGTGGTGTCTTGCACGTGCGTTTGAACAGCAGCATCATCGTGAGGCTGCTCTGTAATGGCATCTCTTTCATTGGAAAAGAATTGTATTGCTGTCAACAGGAACTCCGGACATCCAAGGAATGATTTCTCAATTGCTTCTGGGGCCTGAGGTTCTGCCTGGTCGGCGAATACGAATTTCGATAGTAGTTTCGGTTGTAAGAAGGTCGATCCCAATGTTTCAATCCTATTTTGTAATTAATTAGTATCTCCCATAACTCCATGGCATTTGAAAGATTAAGTTAGAACAACTCACAAATGTATCTGACTCGAAATGAAACCCCGTAGCTCCTGTACTGTCTGACCAGGCCTGCTATTCATTCCAGTCTGTGACTTCAACAGTGATTGATGGGATGTAATCAAACTCTTCGCCCCCTCGAGATGGAAATTCCAACCGTCGCTCCCCGATTCCAGAAGATCTAGGAAGATAAGAAGAAAAATACTAGCGACGGTTGTATCGCTTTTGTCTATTCTCCTATCTCCGAGAGCCTGGGAGAGGGCTTCCATGGCCTGGTGCTTGAAGAGTAGCGCATCGCGATTGGCATTGAGAAGATCCGGAGATATCGGCGCTTGAATTTGATGAAACGAATGGCCTGTATTGACATGATGTCGCGCCGCAAGAGCAAGCATCGCTTTCTGTAAGACCGGATCTTCTAATCCCAAGGAGATCAGACTCCGAAACGGGTTTCTGTCGCTGTCGTATACAATAAACAATTTGCATATGCGGTCATTATCTAGATTCGAAATTAGTGATATACTAATATTCAATGATGATCTCCCTGATCTCACAATAGTCTAAATAATATTTTGAAACTTGATCCAGATTTGACATGGACGGGTCTTGTAAAGTGACCGGCAGACTTCCGCCAGCAGAAGATTGGATCAGAGCGCGAGATGGTTTCTTCGATTTTGATCGGGTGGGTTGAACAATACCAGAACCATTCAGAGAAGCGCCATCTGATCTAGCCTCATACGAACGGCCTTGCATCTTTCCGCGAATTGCCACGCCCTTGACCCACCGCAGCGGACGTTTGTCGAAGCATTCGATCCCGGCCTTCTCGCACTTGTTGCAAGGCACCCCAGACTGGTCGCATTGAATACGTCGGTTGCGACATGTCCAGCATGGATCGCACGTCTCCATTTGGATGAGACATGGGGATTGTGACGAAGAAGTGGGTGTATAGGTGAAATTCACGGTTCGGGGCCCCGGGGTCAGGATTTGCTGACTGAGCCGTTGGGCGCACCTGTGAACCTCGGGATCGCGATGACCTCAAAATGTGTATACCGTCCACACGTTCGAGATTCGATATCAACTTAACCGGAGTTTTGATCAAATGCAAAGAAAGGAAAGAAAATAACATGCAAACTAAAATAAGGGGTGAGCGTCAGAACAATATAAGCAGCCTCCCCAAACGTCTCGCAAACCTGAGAACTTTGTCAGAGGCAACTAGGGCCGCAGTTTATCCACTCAAATATCCTAAAGGAATCTCAATTGTTGGTCTTTTTTCTGAGTGTGAGATAAGTAAAAATCAATTGACAGCTGTCACTCTCATTATCTTTCTTTTATACCCGTATATCTTGCCCTTATGTATTCGTGATAAATAAGCCTTGGATCTCAGAGGAAAACAAGGAGGGAAACGTTTTATTTACTCACTGAGAAGTAAATTCATAAAGCTCTGCTCTGTGCCCTCCTCATTCTTTCATCTAATTGAAATCGTTCGCCAAGCGTTTCGAATAAAAAATGCAGTGGTCGATCCTCGAAGATAGGTGAGCTGCTGCATCAAACTTCTGAATGGGCAGCAAGATGGTAACTTGCTTCGGAGGTTTGCCTCTCGGTGGCTGCGATGCGTCTGAGTCTATAGTTCCACCAGAAAATCTGCTCGAGATTGGTCATAATCCCAAAAGGCACAATCGAGGATTGGAACCTAGGCAGAAAGGACAGGAGTATCCCACTCCCACCACTCAATGCCCATGGAGGGGTGAAAAGCTCTTCCAGTAGTCCATAGTATATCCATACACATGGCATCCTAAGATGAATCAGAGTTTGAGATTGCCGCACCATCTAATCATCATAGAAGTCACAGTACGCTGAAGAGAAAAGATCTCGAAGAAAACCGAGCGCATATGTGAAGAGAAATGAGAGTGATTAGGTGCGGGTTTTAGGCGCGAGGTTACCGAGAGCGAAAACATCTTAAGATGAAAGATTGTGAAGGCCAGAAAGGCCATGAGTCGTATTTGGACTGGAGATACTCGAAGTTGTCCCTTATGGGGTATGGATCGACATAGTGGTGACTGTGAGTGCGCTGCCGAAGACCCAAGGCACCATTTTCAGAATTTTGCTGGGGTCGAACCCGTTCTGTCAGGATTGATGCAATGGAGATTCTAAGATCTTACGCTACGAGGTTGTTCTCTTCCCGCTACTCAGGTGACCACAGGGAAAGGACGTTCAGAACACGCCCCTTCCCTCTTCAATGGCACTTAAGTTGATATATCAGTCTGCCCACGGGCAGGTGCCTGCATATAATCTATGTATGGTCCAGCCATATGCCTTTAGAGCCGTGGCAAGTGCCAAAAAAAGATATGACTGGCCTCGGGGTGATCAGTGATCACAATGTGGACATGCCTACCTAAGGTACAGCGCCAGTGGGTCGCCTTGGTCTTACACTGGACGAGCCCCAAAGATATGAGAAGTTTCAGGGTCTAGTATACCTGACCTGAGACATAACCAACCCGAATAAAGAGACTGATACTCCCTAGTGACCCTTAAATCGCTGCTCCAATGCGGGCCCAACAGGCCAGAGCGCACCGAAACGAACCTTCAAGCCAATCAAACAGGAGATACAATAGAACAGCACCCGATATAGAGCCAGAGCACAATCGAACCAGGAGAAATCTCTCATTTGGGGCCGAAGAGAGGGGTACCTGAAAAAGAACGAGGCTACGATCGCTCCAACCCCGTAAATTTAGAACATCGCGTCCATTTAACGCGACCCTAAGACGTTGACCCACCAGCTATGGGCCCCTCTGATTGGTCGGCTCGGGTTCTGACATCATTGGCGGATATTTCGAAGCCGCCATACCTATTCGGGAATAATATCACAACTGGATGGCTCACTTTTAGCATCCGCTGCGCGTTTCAGTCTTGCTGTGTGATTGTAGATAGAGGGATGAGATTTTAGCGTGCAGGTTCCGTTTACTTATATAGCAGCCAGGGCGTACGTCTTGAGTGTTTCTGTAGTTTTCTTTCTGCATAGACCACGATCTACCAAAGCCCACTCCGATATCAACGTCGCATCTCAGTTTTGTAATTACGCCTGAACGGAACCATTGTATGTGTTGTTCAGCTCTTATTACTTACATTGCCTTTGCCCTCAATAACTAACATACGGATTGCTTCCTTACAGCGCCTTCCACACACAAAAATGCCTGCCATCCCATCCAAAATGGAGACCCAAACCACAATCATGGTTGCGAACCTACTCAAGCGGAGCAGCATGAGCGACCCGGATAAATACCCTCTTTACGTCTTCCTCATCATCATCGGATGCATAGCAGGTGGACTCATTGGGTTCAGCATATACACTATGTACCATGGTACCGACGACTCATCGAATTTCAAAGACACCTCCGTGGAGCAACGAAGATATATGCGCGAGCTCAGGCAGCAGAACTTTAATGCGTTGGCCGTTTATGCCAGAAGGCCTGATTTGATTACTCCTACTGGGGAAGGGAGGGCTTGAGATTTTGGGATTTGGCGTTTGGGATGGAGGTGCATAATTTGGGGAAGAAATGGCCTTGGTATATCGAGGCTATGGATTGATGTATATTAAGCGTCAGCACACGATAGAGTCAAGAGTTATAAGCGCACGCGCAGAGCATGGTATATCGGAAATAATGCATGCCGATTTCAATGGTATCCAAGATTCAAGATTTGAAGGCAGGTGCCATAGTCGATACATGAAGCCTAACCACAAAGAATGGAAGAGAATTCACTGAACAAGCAGAGAATGAGCGGACAACAATATGTAATATATGAGATCTGTCGTGCACAACAGGTTGTATCCAGTAGTAAGTGCATCCCCATGGATAGACGAATAAAAGATAAAACACATATTTTTCCTAATAAAGAACATTCCAAAAAGACATGGTTGATGTCACCCAATCATCATATGTAACCAAGCAAATCCCCATGCGTATCAAAGGCAAGAACAAGGGATAAGCACCAAGTGAGAAAAAGCAAATGCTGAAGGGCCAAGGGATATATAAATAAAAATCATGAAGCAAAGTATCAGAATCGGAGATAAAAGGCCAACGTTGAGCGTCGTCAAGAAAGGGCACCCAGCGAATGGGGGAAATCGTGAAAAGGGAGATTATGTAGAAGCGAAATTAAAAATGTGAAAGAATCGAAGGAGTTGGGGTGATTGCCGCAGGCAAAGAAAGTGCGTAGGAGATGCTTCCAAGTAGTGTCTGTACACAACCTGTACATATTTACAATAATGTACAGTCAGCTAAAGCTGATTTAGAACTGAGCGACCATAGCAGCCATGGCACCAAAGGCCAAGGTCAACTTGGAGACAGTGGAGCCAATAGCATCATTAGTGCTTGAGGAAGTTGCGGCGGCAGCGGCGGTGGTCATAGAGGCGCCTTCAAGCACGGCCGAACCCGTCAGAACGTGTGGCTGGTATGTATAGCTGAACGTCGGACTTGACTTGGGCAAGCGGGTTGTTGAAACGGTTGTCAACTCGCGAGTTGTGGTGTAGCTGGAGGTGGTAGAGGTCGATGTGGATGTAGATGTAGAAGTTTGAGTCGAAGTCGAAGTCGAAGTCGACGATGGGGTAGGGGTAGAGGTAGAGGTCGAGGTCGAGGTCGAGGTTGAGGTTGAAGTAGAGGTAGAGGTCGGGGTAGGGGTCGAGGTAGAGGTCGACGTGGAAGTAGGGGTGGGGGTCTCCGTTGTGCTGGTGCTGGTGCTCGTCGGGGTAGGAGTCGAAGTGCTGCTTGATGTAGCGGAGCTGCTGGAAACCTGGGTGGTCTCGGACGAGCCGCCGCCGCTACCGCCGTTCTCAAAGACAACAATATGCGCAGTCGCACCCTTAGGGACGGTCACAACACACCCCGTAGCACCGCCAGCACCACCGAAGGAATCCCCGGTCATCTCATTGACGTCGTTGACAGCAGGGTCAATTCTACAGGGAAGACCCTGACAGCCGCCGCCATCGCACTCAATCTCGACACCAAAGTCAGGCTTGACATTGCGGAAGGGTGTGGTAGGTTCTAGATAGATAGGATTCCAACCAAGCTTCAGGAAGGTGTTGCCATCGTCGTCTTTGTTGGCTCCAGCAGTATACGGGGACCAGTTGCCAACGGGCTTGTCGGAGGTACCCCAGATGCAGCCTTCCTCGATACCAACACCAGGGGCATTGATGTAGTAATGGGCAGACGTAGAACACCAGTATGACATTCCGGGGACGGCCAGATCGGCTAATTCTTCAACCAGCGTGGGGATGAGCATGGCCTCGTTTCCGGGCAGCACGGTCTGGCAGAAAGAAACGGACTTTCCAGCCTTATTACGCGCCTTCACAATACCAGCAGCCGACTCACAGTAGTCACGGTTGGGGAAGGGCTTTTGGATCTTGCCGCTCTCGTCGCAATACAGACCACCGTTCATGGACATGGGGTACGAGTAGGAGGTGGCCTTGGGATCCCACTGCATAGAAACTTCACCGGGAGGACAGGCATAAGGACAGTAATTTCCGGGCTTGCAGGGCTCATCGGGACTCATAGCCCATCCGCCATTCTCCTCGTTTGGGGTAATGGCGACCAGACCAGCGTCGGTGGGAAACTCGCACTGTCCACCTCTTTTCTCCACAACGAGATCGCGACTTTCATGGTGACGGCTGTGGCCATGGCCATGTTTGGCGGCTTCAACGCTTGCAATGAGGACGACAAGCCCCAATGCGCGGGTGGATGTAACCTGGAACTTCATTCTGTCAGGGGGAAAAGTCTTGGCAGCTCGGTCAATTTAAATAAACGAATGAATATTTGAAGTGAATGGCTATGTCAAACGAGTGACGAGACGTACGGCCAAAGGCCAGGGACAGACACGATGTTCACAGAGAATGAAGGTCAAGACGAGCGAAGGCAAAGAGACAGGGAGAGAGCACTAAGAAAAAGAACACGGCCTCTGTAAAGTCTTGAGAGCAGGGCCCGGTCCCTCAGGCCCACGAGCAGTACTAACCTGAAAGGGAGCTAGATCTGGGATGATATGCGCACATTTCCGGTGCAGGGCAGACCTGGCGTTCATGAGTGGCTCCACGTCCTTAATTGCCTATGAATCCCATGATTGCGCCTCCGAAACAGGAATCATGCGTGCTTCCTTGGACCCCCGAAGCGTTGTGCCCCTGAAGCAAATTTCACTAGTGGACAGCCACATGGAACCACTAGAGGGTTAGCGCCAGGGGAAGCGATGACATGCGGCCAATGGTAAATGACATTACCCCGATGGTTCCTGCTTGGCGGGGGAGATAGGCCAATAAGCTTAGAAGGTATTTGATGTTGTGGAGTCATCTCCAGGACCTCATTCAACGGTAGGTGTGCGGAGCTCCGGACTGGAGTAAACGAGGGTCAGAAGAAGAACGGGCTACTCGGCGCGACATGCCAATCTTATCTCTCACATGACATCCCACTCCTGACCTTCGCCAACACTCGCAAACATTGGCGACATTGGCAACATTGGCAACATTGGCAGCGTTTGAGTCATCTTGTTTGGACAAACAGATATCATCAAATGACGCAATGCTCTCGCATTACACGCGATGTACGCTGTACACGCAAAATTGTCAGCAATATAAACAAGGCTCTGGAATAGGATCTGGAATAGGAGAGCAATCCACAAGCATACGAATCAACGCGGGACAACAGATCGCCCTAATAAGGAACCGACTATTTCGCCGGGTAGGCTGTCAATCCCAATCAAACCCACAAGGCTGCCCTGTTCTGGGCCCGTTGATCGTCATAATATCCAGCACATATCCATTCCCAAAGCCAATGATAACATTTACCGGGTCCTCCGAGGACTCCCGCTGACCCGCGCTTTCTTTGATAGACATGGAACCGAGTAGCCAAGATATTCAGACCGTCCTTGCATCTCAGGTTGTCAACGTATCGCCTTGGGGAGGCTATGGTTAGGCTTGGCCTAGGAGTTTACATCACACCATCTACGAGGGGTTTGACGGTTTATCATCACTTTGAGCATGTGTGGGACTTGTCTATCAGATGGGGAAACGGTTGACAGCTAGTAGTCACTTTGAATGCCCTAGTGGCATGGTTTTGACGCTAGGGGTACGATCGTCACTAATGGCATATTGGACGTGGAGTATCAAAGACGCACTCCGTATAGAGCCTCTATTCTATAAAATTGTCCGCATTATGATTCTGTGTGATAGATTGATATCTACACAGCGAATATCTAGTATCTATATCGATATAACCCGTACTAGATCTCGCATTATTGTTACCTGCCTCGCTGAACAAAATCTAACACATCATTAGCTAGGATTCCCTTCAATAGTTCCTTCAATACTGTAGTCGCACATTCGGGACCAGCAAACTCATAGCCTTCACGTATCCTTCTCCCACTACTCCATATGCCCGGTGATCCTTGTGTCGGCTTGGTCGGCTTCGTATAGAAATCTGATGCGGCTGCAGCGGGTGGCATTACCTCGCGGATGATACTTTGCCAGCGAAGTCTGTTTTGAGTTGCTGCAAGGGATGTTGAGATTCCTCGCATGTTTAGTCTCTGCGTGGCCTATCGAACCTCTCATTTTGCGGGGTCCCATGCATCTGGCAATATATGACAGGTCGGGTTCCCACCCAGAGCCATACTATGACACTCAAGCTCCAGTATGTTGTGTTTGGTGGTTAATATTGAGTGTACCTCATGAGGGTACTACCAGTAGGTAAATTGACCATCAGCTCGGTCCACCTGCTGTATTTGCGAAAGCAATATCCTCATTTGTATATACATATTCCAAATCCAAAGGATCAGGGGGTCCTTCTGACTCAAAATATATTGTTGTGCATGTTCAACTATGTATGTATCATAATCTTTCGTTATAGAGCTGGATCATTGCAGATCCAGTATTCACAAATGAAGTCACTCGCCTTGCTGGGTCTCTAAATCTTTCCATCCGGCAAAGGCCGAGATATCGTCACGGTCTCTCCAACCCCAAGCAATGCAATAATGCCGTGCAAGCAACTCCCACTCCTCCATCTCATCCAACATTTCAAGCCCAGCAACTCTCTCCTTTTCTTTCTCGCTGACCCATCGCTTCCAAATAAACTCAATATCAGCCGCAGCCTGGCCATCTTGGAAGCCTTGCTGTTGGAAGCGACCCCGCTGCGCCCCAAGGGATGCATACTTATGGAGCGTCTGCAGCTGAAGCCCTCGCGTCGCAAGGTTTGACACCATAACCTGGCCGAAGGGGTCATTCGGGCGAATAGGCTCATAAAGAATCAACCCAAGCGGAGTGATGCCTGATTGCTTCACCTGCAAGCTGTCGTCGGGCCCAGATGATGTATGCCCGGTGCCGAAAAGCCGTTGTGTGAAGAACGCAACCACCTTTTCTGCTTCAAGGGGCGACAGGTAGATCAAACAACACTCAGAGATCAACAGCGTCGGTAATGTTGTGTCAACACCTGGGAGTGCCACAGCCGGATCGCTACATGCCCACAGCGACCGCAGATCAACCGGATGAACATGGTATGAGGGCGAATGCAGCGCGTCGCCTGCCTCCGACACGGTAACTCCATTATTCTTTCTTGAAGACACCTCCGAGGATTCAATCCCCAGTACCCGCTGCAGTATAGGCGCCGAGCGAATCGCGCGGATCTTCGCAGTCGCGTTGACAGCGAAATCGAGCTCGTGGTAGACGAAATCCGGGGTCTGGCGCGATGAGAGTAATCGGAAGAAACGCGTGTCGGACCCCGCGCCTAGCGAGATAATCTGCTTTTTGTGTGTATTTTCCGGCGAGGACGGACCGAGGAAGCGCGCCACGAGTTGGTCGATGGCTGTTGTGCGGACATAGGTACCTGTTGCGTGGGGAGGTCCCTAGGTCAGTCTCAACCCTTTCCATCCTCGGTAATAGCATCATATGGCATGAGAAAGAGATCTTACCTCTGTTAATGATTGGGAGTCTTCGCGTCGCGCACCCGGCGGGTGTCAATGCTGTCGCGTAGGCATCTTCTAGGTATCCTAGCTCCACGGCGCTCAGGCGGGACACGCTTGCGTCATTGTCTGTGCCTTGAACGATGCGGTCTTTTCCAGACGGGAGTCTCGTATCTTCTGTCCCTGTACCACGACCTCGACCTCGACCTCGTCGGAGAGAGTTTAGGTTGGGAATGTGAGAGGCCATGGGGAATGGAGGAAGCTTGGATTGGGCTTCCGTGGTGGGGTAGCTGTCCAGTTCGCTTCTGGCCATTTTGGTCTCCGAAGTCTCCGTCTTTCCACTAGAATACACAATTCAAATCATTGAACACAAATATCTTCAATTGAACTTTCGATTAGTGACTTTAGCCAAGTGATTCGAGGTCCCGCATCCTTATCCCTACACTACGTCATTTGGCCTTGTTTCACCTCGAAGGTTGACTTGGTGAGTGACCACGTACAACTTTGACGTACCAATGTCTCATATGCTATACTTAATGTGCGTTGAATCATGACATAGAGAACTTTGGAAGTGAAAATGAATAAGTACTGCTTGCAATTCCATCATATATCACCATTATCTGGCATTCTATTGTCCATACCACCGGGGTGTCACAGTCCTAAGCCTGTCTGGATTTCAGACACAATCCCCCACAAGGGTCTGTATATACAGAGACAGCCTCACTATACATTCTGTCAAGCTAGTTTGCCTTTGACAAATGCAATGGCCCGTTCACCGTACTGAGCCCCATACCCCTGGTGTGTTGCCTCGTTACTACCGTTGCAACAGTAAGGATCCGATGCATCGCAGTATGACTGGATCTTACTAGCCGACGGGCAGTAGAATCCAGAAGGACGTGCATCAAACTGTGTCGCAAGTGTTAGCGCATTGCAAAATCCAGTAAGAAAAGAAGAAAATCACGTACGCCTCCAGCTGCACATGTTCCAACGTTATACGACAACCCTGCCACATACAGCGGGTCACCCATGAAGATAGCTGCTTTGACCATGTTCACTGCCGAGACCGAAAACTGGACTGCAGTGTCGGTATAGCCTTGGTTGGGGACACCACCGCCGCATAAGGCTGCATCAATGATTTCACCACCCTGGAGCATGATTAGATACACTATGCTCCATGCAAAGTACGCGAGATACAACTCACTTGAGAATATCCGACCAGAACGAGCTTTGTCGACGGACACTGCGAATTATAGGAGTTGACAGCCGAGGCGACAGCTGCAATGCCCTGAGCAACTGAACTCGAGTAGCTCACGCCCCCGCATGATGCTTGTCCGCCGCATGCAGGATAGTTGATGGCCTCGGCCGTAGAGCCCGAGTAAGCACTGAGAAGGCCATTGACGACTGTGTTGGACGAGCCGTATCCAGCAGCTGCTGTGGTTTCGCGCGCACCAAAGATGTGCACGTCTGGACAGTTGATGCGTTTCTCGATTTCAACCTCAAGCGGAACAGCAAAGGCACTGCTGGTAAGGAGAGTGAGTATCGAGATTTTGGAAAGCATAGTGTCAATGGATATGGAATCAAATTAGACGAAGAAGGTTTGTTGATTTGGATATACTCATGCGTATAGGTAGGTCTGCTAGGTCAAATTGTAGATGCCATGGTCGGTTTATATAGCTTCTGGTAGTCCGTAGCCGAATTGCAGTCGGATGATGGCAGCATTTTGCCGCCAACAATATCTCTTCAAGAAGAAAAGAGGTTCCTTTGGACCGAAAGGACACTTTTGCCTAATGACACTTCAAGTATAAAACTTCAGTTGTGTTGTGCCACGATCACTACATTCAGCCGTGAAGAAATGGACTAGCAACAATATTATTAGGCTGAATCAACTGGTATATAGCGTGAGCTGCTATTGGATATGGCTGAAAATGTGACACACCTGCAGAAGCATGACACTATTTCCCCGCGTTCTTCTAGGCAATAAACTCGTCAGATCTTTCTGGGGAATGTAACAGGGGTAACGGGGGTGTGCGGTCTAACTGATTTTGGACGAGCGATCATTCTTCGTCTGTGTTTCGGCAAAATAAAAGTGCTATGGTCATCTTTAGGGCTAAAATGGCCTTGTTGTAATCCTGGAATACTTCTGACATGCCCAAAAGGTTACCAGGAAAGATCAAGGATAAATGTCCCTCTTTCCCGTCTGCGAGTTGCGCTGAGAATCGGTCAACTTAAGAATATACACGATGATGATTGAAAGTTCCACACTATCATGGATGTGTCGGTCCGAAATGCCAAAATCATTTACCCTAGTACAAAATGGTTGATAAAATCTCTTATTCTTGTAGGACGTAATAACAATGCTGACATTAGATCCAGAGTGAATTTGATTCCTTCCAAGAGTCGCTGAATGTGTAATCCGTATACCCGTCAGGGTGTTTTACCTTGTAAAAAGTGTCGCGGTGGTAGTGCGTCAAAGCAATGTCTTTTTCCAATCGGAACGGCAAGTCGGGATTGGATATAAAGTGTCTGCCAAAGGCAAATGCAACCACCTCATCCTGGAGTGTAGAGTTCAACAATCTGCTGGCCCTCTGGGCAGTGTATCCTCCCGCCAGGACTATCGGACTAGCCTTTGACCACGTTTTTATACAAAACTCAAGGCTCTCATCATTCTGAACATCTTTGTCCGCGTTTCCTGACATCCGTGGCTCGATCAGATGCAAGTAAGCGAGACCGAGATCCCTCAGACGGGGTTATGAGATCAGTGAACTGAGGAACTGGATCTTCTATGCGTATGCCCTGGAACGTGCTGAAAGGTGATAAGCGCATCGCCGTTCGGTCACCGCCAATTGCATCACGGACTGCCTTAACAGCTTCGAAGCAAAATCGGGATCGATTTTCGATGCTGCCTCCCCACGCTATCAATTCTAGGGGTGTTATAGCTCAAATTGTATACCATATAACAAGAGGGCGCTTGCTACCATAACACTTCAATATTATCCGACCTAAAAATTGTCACAACAAGATGTCACTATACATATGCTACTTTCGTCTTATTTCAGGACTAGCCCTTATAGGGACACAGAATCGGATTTATCGCGTTGGGGTATTTTTTGCGGACCTCATGCTAATCCCGTAAGAGACCACTGGAAGACGTGAAGCCTTATATCTTATTGCCGCCAGTCTCATTTCATACTTAAGTATGGTCATATTTATCCATATGTTTACCACAGAAGATCGAAGTAAGCATCAGAAATTGGTTAGGTAGCGATAGAATGATGTGGAACTACTCACTTCCATTCACAACGACGGAACGTCGGGCGTGTGGATCGACAGTCCTAATGGTCGCAGTAAATTTGGCCGTCCGCGTTCCTAGGAACGGTGCGTGTGCGTCGACTAGATGTGCTCTAACGCTTCCCGTTCATATTACCTGCTTATGTACAAAAATGGTTCCATAAAGCATAGTGCAGAGGCAGGAATGTAGCCTCATATTCATATAACGAATCAGGTCGATCAATAGAATAGTCATATCGTAAACATACTCTGCCATCCGGGACTATGATACGAAGATAATCAGATAACGGTGGCCATAATAGGAAGTTTTCTTTGCTGTTGCCATCAGCAGCTAGTAATCGCTTATAACATAAATATGAAGCCTGATCTCTTCTTTTGATCTAGCAGGATCGTTTATACTAAAGCTCTTCGCGGTAAAACCAATCTAAAGAATGTCTTTTTGGCCTATTATTCGGAATTCTGTGAATAAATACATGGAAGGGGGTAACTTAGTATGCCACCATTCGTATCTAATCAGCTAGATTGAAAAGGTGGCAAATATTGAATACGACTTGGACATGATATACACATTGAGAACCTCCTGTTTGCATAGTCAGAGTAGCATTACTACGCACAAGCACCGCTATAACAGTTCGACTCAGAACAATAGGCACTGGTGCTTCCGCAATAACCAGAACTGGAACAACACGTGCCAAACTGGGTACCAGTGCAAGTCTTGTTTCCAGCAAAATTCGGGCCACATTCTCCATTTGTGGACGGGCCGCCATTATCAGTGTCACAACTACCAGAGTAGCAGTTCCCTGCACCACAATAGGTGGTACCATTTCCGCAGTAACACTATGTCTATGATCAGCGACTGCAGTGACTAGGAAGGATGGTCATGAATCGATACAGCATCACTTACGTATATGCTACAGCAGTTTCCGAACTTGGGAATACAAGTCGTGCCCCCATAATCAGGCCCACAGGTGCCGTCTTGTGTCGCGGTGCCGTTGCTTGTGCTAACACAGTAATCTGACCCGGTTCCACAGTAGCCAAATGGCGAGCAGCAATCGCCAAAGGCACTCCCAACACAGGTAACCCCCGCAGGGCACCTACCGTCTGTTGAGACTGTCTCCGGGGTGACAGGAGCGACGCATATATCGTAATCAAGCCACAGGTTGCCGCAGGTGGAGTTAAGGTACGGGTTATACTCTTGCAACTGGCTAAAGTTCAGGCCGAAGCGCAGGTCGATGGTAGGACAGTCGTCACCGGCTACAACGAGATAGTAGTTACCGCACTCGCTGATGGTTCCACTTTGGGTCGGGTAAGCCGCAGTGGCTGCTGTGTAGTAAGTAGGCGCGCCGGTGGCGCCAGGCGCCGTGATGGTCGCGTTGGGTTTGGGGAACGTTCCTCCGGGAGCACTTTGTTCTCGCCGAGTCTGGTTAGGATCACTTAATGCCATAAATATCTCTATTGGGTCCTTCTTGATCTCAGACTTACCTTTTACATACACGCTGTCCTGCTACATTTCCTGAGCAACTGCCCTGGATATTGGTATTCCAGCTAAGCAGTTGAGCTGTGGTCACGGTGTAAGTCGAGTTGGAATATATCGTGGCAAGATCGTCACTATTTTCACAGGGCTTAGCACAGATTATGGTGCTGCCGTCGCCTCTGCAGCCATCATCGGCTTTCAAATCCTTAGCGGTATAATTGGGTGGGTCTTCGGTGGATCTCCATCTAAACCGAACGTTGGAGTCCCAGCGACAGTAGCGGGCCGATCTTCGTATGGCCAGTGGCCGATTCTCAATTTTGGCGGCGGCCAGACAACGAGTACCTGCGATTGTGTGGTCACATATACATGCCGCTATGGCATGGGTTGGGATGAGATTTGTGATAACCAAAGGTGGGGTATCGACAAGCTGCTGAACGGAAAGACTATCTATCAGCCATTTGCAGCAGGCCGGGCTCCTGGTGCCAACCAAGGACTATGGAAAAGCCAGCGCATAAAGGCATACCGAACCGCGGCCCAAGTAAGGTTCCCATCCAAAAGATTTAGATGTGAAGTTGATGAGTTTCCGATGGGCAACCTCATGGAATCAGGAGGTAACTTCCCGCAGGCTTGCCGTCTCGTCAACGGCGCTGCGAATGGGAAACAAGGACTTGATTGGAGAATGTGGAAGATGGCACAGTGGATGCCTTGCTCGGCGTACCACGCTGGCGTTTGCAGTATCACGGACGATGGGCCGCCTGCAACCTGGTATGTAAAGCCGAAGCTTCCCTTGTGTGATCTGGTATACCTACCACGTGGCTGGGATATAATAGTCCTCCGAGCGGTCGGACTCAGCATCTTTGAAAGTATCGATAGTACCTTCTACTCCATCCGCCCCCACAGACCAGACGCCTTTTTCAACCAGTTTGCGCCAACAACCCAGCAAACGCTCCAGCCGCTGGGAGCGGTAGTAGTCACCGCCAAAAGGCTTATATCCATGCTGAAAGAGCTCTGAAAAGCGTCCTCTGTCAACAAGGGACCCATCGCTTTTTCGTGCGGCCACGCTCTTGTCCGAATCACCATTAAAGGTGAACGGAAGCAATAGCCGAAATCCCTCCTCGGCCACATCACGGCCGTTTCTCTCCACTGCTTCAGTATATAGGCCTGCAGAGACGCGAGATGGTGTACAAGTTTTGGTGGACCTTGAATAAAAGTCCGGCAATAAAAATGGAGTTGTTGTTCTTGTGAGCTGGATAGGACGGTGGTCTCCGGTATCAGCGGGGAAAAGACATACTGGCGGTGCAGTGTACTTAGATCGGGGCAATACGCTGAATGGCTGCGCTGCCGTAAATCTAGCCGAGTCAGCGGGTGGCAAGAGAAGGCCTGGAGCAATGTAGCGGAACTGAGGCCGTCTCGCGCGCGTTAGAAACGCATGTGCAAAGGAAGGGTTAGGCACTAAAGCAGCGTTTAGGATAGCTGATGCGACCAATGGCTCTAGACTGTCTATATTAGACCCGGAGCTAGGGCTAATCAGTGATGGTGGGTGTGGTAGCTGTGAGATGCGCGCCTCAATAGCCTGACACAGTCGATCCCACTCGGCGACACACGTAGTAACTTGGGAATCGCTATAGGGCCGCCACTCCCAGGGCCCGATCTTCTCGAAGTCAAATAAGGCTGATTCTTTATTAGGCGAAGCCACAACTTTTCCAATATGAATAAGGTCGATCCAATTGGTGAGGAGTGTCTCTAGGGGGTTCCAAGCGTATGAATTAGCCTCAACTGGAAAGCCATAGCCGAAGTCATCAAGATGCATGAAGGTTGCGACGCGGTGGAAGCCTTGGTGGTAGATGACCCCGCCACCACCTTCCTCAGCCGATAAGCTCGTTTCCGCAGCGTACAAGCGCACCAGGCTATCAACGGGCTGATCGTGAATATCAGCTGTAAATTCGTCAAAAAGTGTTTCTGGCCCATCGATACCCCATGCAAAAACAGAGAATGGGAGGTACTCGTGAGGATTATCATAAGGGAAAGGAGACACCATAGCGGTGTCAAGGAACGCCGCCAGTGACGGATCAAGCCTTGGACGACAAGCCTCAGCTTCAGCTTCATCACCGAAGGCCGTGAAAAAGTTGCTGTTGGCATTCAGAGTTGCTAGTGGGCGGCCTTCAGCGAGCCAGGCATATTGGATCAGGTAATTGTGTAGAGCTACACATCGTGCGTAGTCCATTCCTTCGAGATCATCTCGTGGAGGGTTATCTGGCCTGACAAGCAGACTGGTGATATCCGGAAGTTGAGAAAGATCCATTGAGATGCAAATGGCGTATGTGGCTGTAGGGGACAATATCACCGCTATTTAAAACAGCTCGCTGGTCAATAAAAGACAACGTGGTACAGGGCTGCTCGTGATCAGTTTTACCGCTTGATTCCTTTCGATTTTATTCTAAAACGCGCTAGTCGATTTTTAATTTAGCTTATCGTAATATCGTGAAACGTGATTTTAGATACAGTGCCACTACTTCCTAGTATTATTAAACCTATTGTTAAAACCTATATACTATATTATACCTCTATATCTTTAATAGAAGATAATAAACTATATTTAGAGCGATTAAGATATTACGCTTTTAATACTATATATTTATATAGATTAGCCTTAATTACTTGTTTATCTACTTTATTGTTAAGGCAAGTGGGCCTGACACCACCCCATAACTAGGAATAATGGTAAGGTAGAGCGTTTACCAAAAGAGCCACTATGACGACTAACTAGTCGTCATGTCAGGTTACCAACCCAAATACCCGATATGTGCTACGAGATATGCGCACCGTATTCGTACTCCGTACGTTGGGTTGTAACAATTAAGAATAAGAGGCTATTTAATAAAGAGAGATACTTCTTAGTAAAATAGAAGGGTTAGTCTACTAAATATGATTGATAGATTTTAGAAGAAAATATAAGAAATATAAAAGAAGCTATTAAGTCCTATAGGAAACTTAAGGAAAAGAGGAAGAAAGATTAAAATATATAGCTATCAATTAATACCCTATGAATATAAAGAAGATAATAAATCTAGATGGAAGATAGATCGATGACAATACGAAACCAGATTGGCATCAACGGCTGACTGGGGTCAAAGCACAATTCAAATATGTGCGCGAGATGAAGACCCTAACGGCCATGGTCATCGCCACTCCCAGGATACCCGGCTCAAAATGCCGCGGCAGATGGAAATGCTCGGTTGCCCAAGGTAAAAAGATGGCCGGAGACAGAGTGTCCGTTGGAGAGTCACAGGGGACGGGGAAGCACCGAGTTTGCGTTCATTTACCTCCAAGGAGCCAGTAGCATTCGCCTTTCACCCACTTCTTTCTCGAAATCCACGATGGATGAAACCACTCCGCACACGATTGCCCTCATTGGCCTGGGTACGATAGGTCTTTCGTTTGCCGCATTACATCTCAAGTACACCAATGGCGTTCTGCGATTATTTGATACTCGCGAAGATCTCGACCAGCACGTTCGCTCCCTTCTACCAGTCTATCTTGGTTTGGAAGAGGATACCGAAACGGATGGCTCCTTGATCGAAAGCTACACCTCTAGCGGTCGCATCACGTTCTGCTCTTCGGTTGAGGAAGCCTGTACCGGAGCAAGCATAGTGCAAGAACAAGGACCGGAAAACCTGGATTTCAAAAAGAGCACATGGGCTCGTGTGGTCCGGTGTGTATCTCGCTCTACGCATCTGTGGAGCTCAATGTCCGGAATCTTGGCTTCGCAACAGGCGGCGGATCTCGAAGACAAGTCACGGTTGCTTATCGTCCATCCATTCAACCCGCCGCATATCCTGCCATTGATTGAGATAATACCTTCCAAGTACACAAGCAATGATGTAGTCAAGTTTGCAGAGGATTATGTCAAGGGTCTGGGTGCCGGCCATCGCACTGTCGTCCTGAGGAAGGAGATTACTGGCTTTGTGGGTAATAGACTTGGCTTTGCTTTGTTCCGTGAGGCGTGTCACATTGTTGCGGAGGGCGTCGCAACTGTTGAGGATGTGGATACTGTTATGGAATCAAGTCTGGGGCCACGCTGGGCAGTTGCTGGTCCTTTCAAGGGGTGGAATCATGGAGGAGGGGTTGGTGGTCTGGGTTGCTTCATGCGCAATCTAGCGGAGACCATTGAAGCGTGTTGGGATGATGCTGCTCACATCTCCTTCAAAGATACTTCGCTATCTCCATATCAAGATGTTTAGCGGAATCCCCCAAATGGTTTAGACGGTGAGGACTGGGCCCAGATTGTCGTGCAACAGACAGAAGAAGCATATGGGCTTCCGACATCTGAGTCTCTGAAACAAAGGGACACTGATTTGAAAAGGGTACTGGAGGCCCAGCCAAGGAAGTGAGACTTGGTTCCTGTTCAAACCTGATGTGCTGTTCTTGTTGATTTAGACAGCGCTTTTATCTACGATTTAGAATCTATCCTATCACATCTCTGGAGTCAACTCTCTGCCTAAAGCAAAATCCCAGCCGTGCTATTCTCATCTATCACCCTCGTATGATTCTGAAGTTCAATTCTGGTTTCAGTTTCTCTGTGATAAATGATTTTGAGGATGAATGACTTGAATTAGCGTGGGTCATCAATGGGGAGAGTACAAATGCATTGGTTCAATGTCGTTTTTCTGGTAGGAAATGTCAATGGAGAATGGCTCACCTGGTGCCATCTTTCAACATCACCTCCGTCGAGAAGAATGGTGGAGCGTTTCGCCGATTCGATCAAACGTATGAGTTTATGAGGATATTGTCATATACTTCTTTGCGATTGAAGGTCTCAGTGTCTCAGCGGCCCCAATTAAATATTGGCAATGGACGTCTAGACTACCAGTAACCGGACTTCTCAAGCAAAGTAGTCAATAAAATTCCTATTTAACATTTTGAGATTTCTATAAAATGGAGCCACGCGCCCCATGGTCTAATCATCGATCATAGTCATCAAAGATCCAAACCATTGGGCTTGAATACAACCTTGTTCAATTCTCCACGCTCAAACCGCTTCAATGCTGCATCAAATGATTCATCAAGTTGAGGAAGTACCAAATCAATGAACTTCATCTTCTGAATCAGCTCCTTGTTCCGAATCAGACACGCGAGTGCTTCGGCAAACACTGCTCGCAGAGGACACCGTCCAAACTGCATATGCACATTCTTATTGTAACAATCAGCGGCACTAAAAGGCAACTCGCCATTATGCACACCTTGAAGGTCAGTATAACTATCCTGTGAAATCAAGGTTCAAACTTACCAAACGAACTGATTTTTCCACCAGGGCACACAATATCATAGGCAGTCTTCAGTGCGGGCGTAAGACCAACACCCTCAACGACAGCGTGAACACCATTGTTATTTGTCGCTTCTTTAATTGCTTGGACGACGTCGACCTCTTTGAAATTGAGTGGTATGCAACCAAGCTCTTCCGCGGCCTTAAGACGGCTGGGGATTGAGTCAATAGCAAAGACACGCGCCGGCTTATATTCCATGGCCGAGATGATAGCGCAGAGGGCAACGGGCCCACAACCCATAACTGCGATGGTCATATCTTTCCAGTTTTCGCTGGGTACGTCTATGAAGGCGCGCTTTGCGCCGTTGAACCTGTTATCGTCAGTCATGAATTTGGAAATACTCAGTCGTAGGAATTGCCTTGCTTACCCGGTAGGAAAGATGTCCGTCATCAAGATTGCAAGTTCTCCCAGGTCGGCATCGCGTGGATTGTGGTAGAGAGTTGTCTCTGCAAGAGGAACCCGGAAATACTGGGCTTGGGAGCCGTCCAAAGCAGGTCCGCCAAAGTTTCGACCTCTTTGGCAGCGTCCATGGACACCTCGTTTGCAGTTGAAGCATTCGTTGCTGACGAGCGATGTTAGAACAAAAAAGCAAAAAAGGATTCAAATGATGTTGGAAAAAGGTCTCTTACCAGCTGACGAGGAAGGGGACAATGACATGGTCTCCCTTGGCGAAACTCTTGATTTCACTGCCGACTTTCTCAATGATGCCAATGCCTTCATGACCACAAATATATCCGGGAGTCATGTTAATCTTTGAGTGACCCCGATACCGATGTAGCTCACTTCAGACAGGAATATATTCTTTAGCATCATGTATCCGCGGCCAGAGTATACCGGAGACCTACCTTCCACAGAGAGCAGCGGAGGTTGTCTTAATGATAACATCGGTCTGATCGACGAGATCGGGGACTAATCAGAAGGTTCACGGTCAGATGTTCTTCGTGTCCTTCATGGTCTGGTGGGATGAGAGATATAAAGAGACGGAGACTTACTTGGTCTTTCCTCCAATCTCACGTCGTAGGGGCCATGAAACACGAGAGCTTTCATCATCTTGGCAATTGATATGTCATGCAATGGTTAGTTGATTCTGATTTCGGTATAACGCAAATTCAAGCATTTATAGATTTCTGTTACTCTCCTGCAAAATTCGCGTGACGCTGAACTTCCCGATTCTGGTGACTTTTGTGGCCGGAGACCGAGTCTCCGGAAAGGCTTCCCCTCATTTTGGAGCCCCGAAGCTGGCGATGCAAAATATATCGCTGAGATCTCCGAAATGGAGAGCTTCCTGATGAATAATACGAACAATTAGACTTCCAATGTTGGAGGTATCACTTGAAGGGCTCTCACTCTGCCGAACTCCGGCGCCATAAGTAGTCCACCCCTGAAGTTACACTCAAAGACCAAGAGAGCATCTCTCGCGATTCTCTGGAGTCTGAAGTGAAAGCTCCCGTTATCCTTTTGAGACCATGTCTCCGATTAAACCATACTGCATTAGCATCTCACCGGAAAAAATCGACGATCTCAAGCTTCGGCTGCGCAATGCTCGATTACCCGATGAACCCGATGAAGCCGGCTGGGACCTCGGGGCTCCTGTCAGTGAGGTGAGCAGGTTCCTAGCGTACTGGAGAGACCACTTTGACTGGGCCTCCGCGGAAAGAAAGCTGAACCATCTGCCACACTTTACCACCGAGATCGAGGTGGCCGGATTTGATCCGCTGAATATACACTTCTTGCACCAGCCCTCACCTGTTCCCAACGCAATTCCTCTTTTGTATGTACATGGCTGGCCTGGCTCATTTCTCGAAGGATCGAAGATCATTCAGAACCTTTCCGGTGACGGTATCTCAGACCCAGCCTTTCATGTGGTTGGGATCTCCCTACCCAACTTTGGGTTCAGTGAAGGACCGAAGAAGAGAGGCTTTGCTCTTGAGCAATACGCGGAGACATGTCAGAATCTGATGCAAAAGCTGGGATACAGTGAGTATGTGACTCAGGGAGGCGACTGGGGATATTACATCACCCGGACGATGGCGCTTCTGTATCCCCACTCGGTCAAAGCGACGCACATCAACTTCGATTATGGAGGCTCAGCCCCTACGTTTTGGAAGTATCCTCTACTTGCAATTGAGCATGCCGTGACACCATATACCGAGAGAGAGAAGAAGGGCCTGGAGCGTCGCAAATGGTTCGCAGAGGAGAGTTCAGGATACCGGTCTTTACAAGCGACGAAACCGACGACTCCAGCCTACGCATTGGCTGACAGTCCTGTTGCATTACTGGCTTGGCTCTATGAGAAACTTCACGATTGGTCCGACAACTACCCTTGGACTGAAGAAGAAGTCTGTACATGGATCAGTATCTACTGGTTCAGTACAGCTGGCCCGTAAGTTCATTCATGCTTTGGCGTTTTTGATAGTTTCCCGCGTGTTGATTTTGATACTAGCGGTGCATCTCTGCGAATATACTATGAGTCCACACATGATTGGAAGAACAGTGGACCAAACAAGGTGACTCGAGCCCGAACAAGCGAATGGATCGGTTCGGTCAAATTAGGGTATAGCCATCTGCCCATGGAGCTGCGCAATGTTCCAAGTACTTGGACCAGGAAGCTCGGCCCGACTGTATTCGATCGTCAAAATGATCGTGGGGGCCATTTCTTTGCTTGGGAAGTCCCAGAATCCCTGATAAAGGATGTGCGAGATATGTTTCGAACTGGTGGAGGCGCTCATGGGGTTGTTCCAGGTCACAATGGTTATATCTCTTGAGGTTGTGCAGAAAGGGATACCCCGAAATTGAAAGACTTGTTTTGGTTACAGTTCACACTTCATTCATCGCCGAATTTCGAGATAATCGCATCATGAGGCCCCAACAACCTGTCCCATCGATTGTTGGAAGCAACTCTAGAGGCTGCACTATGCGTCATCAATATAAGCTCTATAACGGTGAAGCCTTCGAGAGATAAGGCGAGGGTCAGTCACTCTTCTAGATCATTGCCAATGTTTGCCGACATTTCGCATATTGAGAGAGTCCATCCACTCCTGGAAGTAACTGTCAAGTCTGATATCGTAGGTCGTGTCGATGAGATCGGATCATTCTCACCGATGATGGAAGGTGGTAGAGCTTCGCGGCCAATATCCTAGGCGGGGGCCTGAACCGTCATGACAAATAGCCCATGAAGAGGACCGGATCGCACAAGGGGCTGCAGGAACTCCGCGCTCGAGTTGACCTCCCAGGGTGCCAGCAGCAGAAAGGCCATCGATAACACTCCAAATTGTCTCTCAGGTAGCGGTGCAATAGCACATCCGTTCGAAGAAGCACCTCATAGTCGAACGAGGGGTCCCCAGTTGACTCCATTCAGTCTAAGCTTCACTAGCACGAACTTGATCATAGCCCCAGCAATTCACCAAAAAGGCCGACTGCACGCCAGAACCTGACCTTGTGAATCTAAACCCGGAGAGCTCGGTGCTATACACTAGTCTCTTGACATGAGAACTATTTGCGATAGTGCTGATGAGAGATTATGCCGGGACAGGTCCGCTTGGCAGATTGCCTCGACATGATCTAGCATTCTACAGAGCGAGGGGGTTTAAACACAGTGGTGAAGCGTTTTCATTCCAAAACATTGTTTTTGCATTTCTAAAGCCAATCAAAATGGAAAGGAAGGCCCAGTAAAGTGGCCACAATACAAACGGGGCGAACCTATGGATACAAGGTCCCTCAAAACAAATATCTAATGCTTACCATTAACAGTCTTGCTCGTCTTTTCATCGGCAATCATCTCCTCAACCTTGCTTCGGGGCAGAGTAGGAACGAAGTCGCCATTCAGATATGGCGAACTCTCTCCCTTAGCACTGAATTCATATGGCGCAAATCCACTTCCCATAAATCCAAATCGATTGTTGGAATGATACTGAATATCATAATCTTCCCATTGTGGCGTTTTGACAGCCTCGAAGAAGGCCAGACGAGAGCCGGGCCACATCACAACTGGACCATCCTTATGTCCCTGCTTGAACCAGCTGGCGCAGGGGTCCGCCCATGAAGTTCGGGGAAGATAGGCGCGAGTGTGCTCCATGAACTCCTCAATGACTGAGTCCTTAGGAGTGATCCGGCGGATATGCTGAGAATACATCTTTCGAATAACCTTCACGAAGTAGTTGCTCATAGCTGTGAGAATGGGCAGGATTGCACCCTGCGCAACAGGCGTGAATGGTCCGGTGAACATGAAGTAGTTGGGCATTTTGGGAGCTGCAATTCCCATGTAAGATTCGGGGAGTTCTGCCCATCGCTCTTGCAGGGAAACATTGTCCAGGCCAGTCACTGGAAACTGGGGACGGTAGGATGTGTCGAATCCAGTGGCGCAAATGATCACGTCACATTCGTACTCAACGCCATTGTGATCCTTGAATCCATTCGGAGTGACTGATCCGATTGTCTCAGTGAACACGGTAGTTTTCTCACCAACTAGAGCTTCGAGGTAACCGTTACCAGGAGTAGGTCGGCGACAGCCGACGTTGAAGTCCTTCGGAATAACTTTGTCCACCAGTCGTGGGTCTCCGCCCAGCTTCCGGCTCATCTCCTTGTAGGAAAACTGTGCGTTTTGATTAGCATACACATCGTGCGACGAAAAGTGTATGGAAATCACAAACCTCATTAGTCTGTTGCGACTCCGCAGTGTTGCGCAGAATAGCCTTAAACCGAAGGTTGATCTCATCTTCAATCATCTTTCTATACTGGCGATAGAGCTCAGGGTCACGACGCCATTCGGCTTTCTGCTCCTCGGTAACTGGCAAAGGTTAGCATTCTATCACATCTCACATGTTTGTTTGGAATTTCAACCTACAGGCAGTGTTTTCACCTCCTTCTCCTGCATATTTCTGTGCGAATCCTGCAGTAATCCATGTCGGACTTCGTACCCAGGTGTACAACTTTGAAACATCGGGATAGGCAGTCGCGACTGTTTGGACGCCAGAGCTTCCGGATCCGATGATTGCCACTCTCTTTCCTGTGAGATCGTAGCCCTCTTCATAGGCAGCGGTGTGGAACAGCTTGCCTTTGAAGCTGTGAAGCCCCTCAATCTTCGGCCATTTCCAAGCACTGGTCGGTTAGCCAAAGTCACTGAGGATAATTCGATATTGAACTCACTTGACGAATCCAGTACCATTGAGGAAGATATCGCATTCCTCCTCCCATTCCATGGATTCATCGGCACGGCGCAGAACGATTCGCCATCTCCCCTTGTTCTCATCCCACGTCGCCTTGACTACCCTGGTCTGCAGCTGGATGAACCTATCTAACTTTTCATCTAGCACGATGCCCTTCATGTACTGCCAGATTTCAGGTGCACCACAGTAGTAGTGCGACCAATCCGGGTTCGGGCGCCATGCGAACTGATAACTCGGGGAAGGTCCATCACAAGCACAGCCTGGATAACGGTTCTCATACCAAGTGCCGCCCACATCAGCATTCTTGTCGAAACACTTGATCTCCACGTTAAGATCCGAAAGAAGTTGTGTTGCATGGTGGAGGAAGTCGATACCAGCAGCGCCAGCACCCATCACAATCACCTTGAGGGGATCACGTTTGAAGGGCTCCCCCAATAAATTGGTTCCGACAACATATCCAGACTCTGTTGGCATGTGCCATTCTGGATGGTCAACTGGGCGTCCAATCGAGGCGGGATGAGGACCGACACGATTGCTTCCAATCAGTGCAGGCGTGGCGTGGGTGGCTTGGGTGGTCTTGGTCATGTTGAAGAAAGGTCTGCTTTGGATAACAAGATTCCATTCCAAGGGAGATCCCGGAGCCAACGCAGTTCTTAAACCATCTCATTGCACCGCGTATTCTGCCAAAGTCTGTATCCAGAAATCGGTCTCCTTTCCGAAGGCGTCGAGATATCCGGGGAGTCTCTCTCCGGGTCCACGACCTACCCCTCCAACCCCCAGGGGGCCAAGTGATTATTTTCAAGATCGGCCGCATACCCCGGGCTTCTCCGTTCGTGTGAATGCGCTCATCGATTCGCCGCGGGGTGGACGCGGGGTATTTCCTCTTTTGCTCTAGAGATATATCCCAGAGTTGGCTCCAAGGGCCATAAAAGCTATTCCACAGCTGACACCAGAAGGGATTGAATTCCTTTTTCTTTTCGCATACTATTTTGTGTTTCGAACATCTCACTTTTCCACCTTTCTATTTCTATCTCATCATCTAGCCATGAGTTCCGAAGTTGCCTTTATCACTGGTGCTGCGAGCGGGGTTGGAAAAGCAGTGGCCACCCAGCTTGCATCCAAAGGAATCAAAGTGTTCATCGCAGACCGCGATGCCGCTCGTGCAGCTGCAACAGCTCAGGAAATCAATGGCGCCTATGCTGTCGTTGATGTCAGCAGTTGGGACTCCCAAGCAGCTGCGTTCCAGCAAGCATTAGACCAATTTGGCCGAGTGGACTATGTGCTCGCAGGTGCTGGAATTGGCGAAAATCAATGGATCCCAGACAATACAGCCACCAGCGGCTTTGAGAAGCCCCAACTGAGTGTTATTGATGTCAATGTCACCGGCATGCTCTATACTGTCTCGTTGGCTGTCCAACACTTCCGTCGACAGCCTCTCAATGAACATGGCTCACGCGGCAAAGGTAAATTTCTACACTCCAGTGAGGCCTACATCGATGCTAATATTCCCAGTGATTATCACTGGCTCTGTCTGTGGTATATACTGCTGCCCCGGCCTGCCAATCTATACAACATCGAAGCACGCCGTCACGGGCTTGGTTCGCTCCTGGGGTAAGGCTCTGCCCTCTGAGGGTATCACACTGAACTCGGTCAACCCCAATGTGATACGGACCAATATTTCTACCGCGGAGTTCTACGATTCATTGGAGGCCGAGGGTCTCCTTACCCCCATTCATGGAGTGGTGGAGATTTGTGAGCAATTGCTCAGTGCCAAGGAAACCGCCAGTGGTGAGTGTTATGAGATTGGGCCCAACTACGATGCCGGACAAGGTGCTGTTCACCCGAAATTCCCGGATTTTATCGACGAAAAGCAGAAGATTATATTTGACAAGCTCGCCGAGCGAGGACAAGCGAAGCGGGCCCTACAGCAGAGCGAGAAGCCCTAAGTATTGATCTTCGGCCTTATTCTAGAAATATGAAATTGGAAGTTTCTATAGTCCCTGTATTGGTTGAACTTTTCGTAAACGGGCCTTAATGGCGTAGCTCCAGGGCTGAATCATAAGCTCCTAGCACTCTGGAAGAGGCTCATCTGAGAGCCTACCTCATCTCATATCTTCACGTGTAGCGAATGGGCCGAACGTCACAGAACCACAAGGTATACATGCCTGATCTTCTGGCATGATAGAGACGATGAATGGCTTCCACAAGGCCCTCGAGGGGAGTTAAGTCCGAATAATCGGGACCCCAGGCTCCGGGGAGAGCCCCGATCCCATCTCCTATCCTCTCCTCTCCCCACCCCCCGTACATCGGGGCCAATCCGCCCGAATCTCATTCCTTAAATATGTCCCTCGCTATCACATTTCCAATTTCCCATTTCAATGACTCGGCCCATTATATTACCGGCCGCGTGGTAGACTATTATAATATAAAAGGAAATCCAGGTGCGTCGACAAACTGAATGATATACACCTAGCTCGAAATCTAACCTAGTGAACAGTTCAGAGCAACAGATACGGCCATGACGAGTCCACTTGATGATAAAGCTGGCTCGGCTTCCATTGCGCTGAGAAGACTGGAAGCTGGCTATCTCGATCTTCCGATGCATCTATTCGTACAAGGGGCTCCAAAAGATGAAATCCGTCGAGTGCCGTCCATGGCTTGGCTGATATCACACGGCCCATCCAAGACCAACCTTGTATTCGACCTCGGCATCAAGAAAGACGTTCAAAACTACCCACCGGCTGTATATGAGCGAATGAAGCGACTCGTCCATGCCGATGTTCCCCAAGATGTGTTCGAAAGTCTTGAAAAAGGCGGGCTGGATGTTCAATCCGATATCAATACAGTGATCTTCTCGCATATGCATTATGATCATACAGGGGATCCCTCAAAGTTCGGTCCTGGGGTGAAGTTTGTCGTGGGGCCTGGTGCTGGACGTTTCATTCGGGGTCCCCAGTCCTACCCCGAGGACCCAAACTCGCCATATGATTCCAGAGGCTTTCCCCTTGACGGTGTGTTGGAACTTCCAGATGGCAATGATAGTGATTACTGGTCCCCATTAGGACCTTTTCCGGCCGCTCATGATTGGTTTGGTGATGGATCTGTTTACTTGATTCACGCGCCTGGTCATCTATCGAGGCATCCCAATCTTCTTGTTCATGACGAGGAGAATGGATGGGTCTATCTTGCCGGAGACACTGCTCACGATTGTGCTCTTCTGAGCGGGACTAAAAATGCAGCAATGTATCCCGACGAGCAAACCGGGTTACTGAAGTGTGCCCATGAAGATAAAGAATTAGCTGAGAAGCACATGCGTCTCGTCAAGGAGCTTGAAACAGTCATCTCTGTCGAGGTCATCTTGGCTCATGATAGTGCATGGCTTGCTGAGAACAATCTACGGTTCGGGATCGAATCCAATTGAATCAGTGTGAATATTTTCAGTATGCCTTCAAATAAATACTTTGACAAGTTGTGTCCAATGTCAACTGTTGAGTTTCGCTCCAGCCAAATCCCGAATGCTACAGACCAGGATCTTCCACCAGGAACCCTTCTGTAGCCGAAACATCTTCAAGAGTCACCGCAGTATAGTCCATCAGCCCAAACAATGGATCTAAGCGACCATCTTGATCTGCAATCTCACCATATTCTCCTACGCCATGAGCATCGCTCTTTCGACTAGTTGGGAATGTGTTGAAAATCAATTCCAGGTCGAAGAGATCTACCGATTCCTTCCCTGGAACTGTATCTATCCATGGTTTAGTATCAAAGCTGAACAGCTATACTGCGAAGTGCCCTACCTCTGTCAAGATCAATATCGTTGACCATTATGAGTTGTTTGATGATACTCAGTGGTCTGTCGACTCCAGGATTCGTTTGAGACATTAAGCTCAAATATTCAAGACATGAAATGAGCAAGCACTTGTGCTCCACAATGCTGGCTCCGTCGCCTGCGGCATTCCGAACGTGAATAGTACTGGCGACGTAAATGGCGTAACTGAGAATATAGGGAGCCTTGGGGAGACCGTATGCTAATCTGTAAGTCTCCGCAATGGACGAAATCATCTGTGCAGCAGAACTACATTTCTCCCATGAGTGTTGGGGTGTTGTTGCAGATCGCAGATGTCCATCAGATATGAATGGGCGATGGAGGAGGATTACGAGGGAGTAATAGATCGCATGCAGAACCATGACGTTAGGCGAAGGATATTGCATGGGGGACTCGGCCGGAGGAGTGAAATTCAACTCCTCGGGCAAGTTTTGCTTCCATTTGTTTAGGGCATTGTCGACGAGTTGCAGGTTTGACCTTGCATTGGCGAACGAAGCCCCCACCACGTAGAAGCGATTGATGATTAACGTCATGATCTTTGACAGCAAGCATAGCTGTTGAAATGTGGAGACTGAGTAGATGGGGGAAGGGCGCGGTGCAGTGGATAGGAACAGCTCTTTTTCTTCGAATGTATCGAACAGTTCACGCGAGACACGATGATCTCGTGTATTGATTGCCACAGGGCGGCCAAGATAGAGACTCTGTAATTTGTCGCAGACGTAAGCCCCCCAAAAGACGCGCCTGCGGATTTCGATCTCTTCGCTATTGTCGGTGGTTTCGCGGGGGTCGATGTTCAGCCCTAGGTCGTACACCATTCGCAGAGCGTAACCAGTGAATAGCCACCCCTTTGATGTTTCGCCTTTTGCAACACATGTCGACCCTAATAGCAGAAGAGCAACTAAAGTGGGTATTGTGGGCTTCATTATTACCCCCTTCGCTGTCAAGAAACTTTCGCATCGAAGGAAAAAGTGGTTCTCCTGCTGGAAGACATCGGAGAATTTGTTCGAGCAGGCAAAAATTGCATTCAGCAATAGCTCTGAACAATAGGGACCATTCTGCTGCAGATCACGAATGATGGCTGGTCGGTAGGTGAGGAGGAATGTGTGGTGCTGCCGCGTCCAATGCACATTTAACAGATGAAGCGCGACTTCAGTTGGCGCGCCGCCAATACTCGGAGACAAAGAAAGGTAATGTTCAGATTGGCGCTGTAGAGCTGCGTTCGCTATGAGGGTGTTTCTTCTATGTTCGAAGGTCTGATTGGATGCTGGGGGCGATACTTGTTCACTCTGATTTGGAACATATAGGGCTGACGATGGACCGAAGTTCCCAGGTTTCCCGGATTCATCAATTGAAATGAAAGGTGCGATGTCGATATCTTCGTCTTCGGAATCCATGTCAAATTGTTCACTGCCTTGTCTAGGAACTGGACCCGATGTTTCTTCGGGCTCAGGGGCAATCCCCTTCTCGTCCTGACATTCCCATTGCCGTCCCTCCTCTTTAGGATGATCAATTGGGGTTGCGGCTAACATGGCTTCTCGCTGTTCTGGAGTAGCGAGCTTGAGCCGTCTAATGAAAGCCAACAAGCTAGACTTCTCGCGCTGGAGTTCCTTGACCTGAGCTAGCGTTGGCCTACTCACAATTTAGTATTGTTCGGTATCCTTTTGCTTCAGTGCCGAGGCATACCTCTTCCTTGGTGCCTCCAGATGATATACGCAGTCCCGATTCTGATTGCTGCACGTTGCACATTTTGGACGCGCGGTATCGCATCGTATTTTCTTGTGCCGACACCACAGACATGCACGCGCAATAATTTTGGGGCGCTCAACGTGTGATTTCGAGGTCATGATGGGGTTGAGGCAGGCTCGATCTGTCGAGTTCAGATGATAGGAATCCGTGCTTATGCATTGGGGAAAGACGTTGCCATTTCACTTTTGGGGAACCCAGTCAGAACGAATAATCATCTACACGGTTATTCGCGATTTTTGACTTTCAAAAGGTCGGGACGTTACGAGGATTCTTTTCCGAAAAGGGGAATTTCCGAAAAGGGACGGGTTGTCATTCCAATCAAGTACGTGTCACTGACTACATGCCTAGATACTACCTGTAAATTTCACTTCCAATGGTTCTTACCACGGCCTGTCATCTTTCGCCTGGGTGGATATTACACTACAGGCAAGGGTGAGAAAAGGGCGGGATCACCAACTAGTAAGTGGAGCGCCACTGTTAAGGCAATATCAACCCCAGAATTTCATATAATTTCATATGAAAATCAATTGCGGGGGACTCCGGGGTTCTTGCCGACCAGTTTGATTAGGGGATATGCTCATGCTCCCTATGCTAATTTAGGTAGAATGCTCCTTGGATCTCGTTCTCCAATTCCCCGATTCGGGGCAACGTGGCGGCTGGGTCGAAGTCCAAGGCATTGGTTGGCGTCATCTTACACTGAATGCTTTCCAAGGAATGACATCAGCTGCGTGGAATCGCATTGGACATGAAGCCAACCAGTCTAGGGGATCTGTGTCTCCGAGGGCTCAATGATTACCAATCGTGATGCCTCAGAGAACATGGGAAATACGTTTCTCGACGTTGCGAAGATGGACAACCCTATTTTTATGTCTCGATATGAACGCTTCAGTCGCCATCTCTTCCACCTTTGACCCATCACAAGGCCTTCAAATTCGAAAGGGCCGTTGAACTTCCAACTCCAATCCCATCATTTCTAGAATATACTTCCCAATGGGTTCCATTCAAACCGATCACGTCGGGGTAGTCCCTTACAATGGCATACCCTTCTTCACCCCTGCCAACAACGGTGGTGCTGCAATCGACCCGAGCAGTCTGAATACACCCACCCTTTTCCGCCCCCTTCAAATCCGACAGCTCACGTTGAAGAACCGAGTCATGCTTGCCCCTATGTGCATGTATTCCACCCAATCAGATCCCTCGTCACCCTACGTTGGTGCTCTGACAGATTATCACCTCGCTCATCTTGGAAATCTCGCTCTCAAGGGCATAGGATTGATCATCATTGAGGCAACTTCGGTTCAGTTCAACGGACGCATCTCTCCGAACGACTCGGGTCTCTGGCAACCGGGCACAGAATCGGAACAGTTCAAAGCGCTCAAGCGCGTGGTTGACTTTGTTCATAGTCAAGGAGCTAAAGTTGCCATTCAGCTTGCCCATGCTGGTCGCAAAGCCAGCATCATGCCACCTTGGGTTGCAAAGGAGGCAGGCAAGCGGAGTCTTCGCGCCGGTAAAGAGGCAGGTGGGTGGCCAGAAGATGTGGTTGGTCCATCAGGCGGCCCCGACCATATCTGGGCCGCTGGTGATGGCTTTTGGACCCCGCGTGAGCTTAGCACAGCCGAAGTTGAGGATTTGGTGAAAGCATTTGCGACCAGCGCTGAGCTGTCTGTTCAGGCGGGCGTCGACACCATTGAGATCCACGCAGCACACGGCTATCTCTTGTGCCAGTTTTTGAGTCCTGTGACAAACAAGAGAACGGATAAATATGGTGGCTCGTTCGAAAACAGAACGAGAATCATTCGTGAAATTGCAGCTGCCATCCGGGCCGTTATCCCCGAAGGCATGCCATTATTCTTGCGAATCAGTGCCACGGAGTGGCTTGATGGGAAGTTCTCGGAGTTCTGGGATCTTGAATCGTCGATCCAGCTTGCCAAGGCTCTTCCTGATCTGGGAATTGATTTCTTGGACGTCAGCTCTGGCGGCAACCACCAGTACCAGACGGTGGAGCCTCACACCAATTATCAAATCGACCTTGCAAGCCAAATTCGAAAGGAAATCAGGAAGGCGGGACAGACGACATTGGTTGGAGCCGTGGGACTGATTACAGAAGCCCACGCGGCAAGTCAGATTGTGCAAGGCGCCGATCTGCATGAAGCAAAGACAGCCGAGGCGATGATTGCTGGTCCAGAGGCAAGTGCAGATGCAGTTCTGCTGGGTCGCCAGTTTCTCCGTGAAGCTGACTGGGTCTATCACGCTGCCAAAGAATTGAATGTCCAGATCACAGCACCAAAGCAGCTTGGTCGTGCGATTTGAGAATGCGAAGAACACAGTCGGTAGAAATAAATAGATCTCTTGTGTCGCACGCATATCACTCAAGGCGAGATGGCATGTAAATAGTTCAGCTACTAGTCTGCCTAAATTCACTTCGTTTTCTCGAATTTGAATTTATTGTCTTGTATAGAATTCGAGATACACCTTTTTTGCGGCCTTCATAACTCCATCTTCACCATGTGATATAGACAGCGATCTACTGCACACTAGCTGCATAGTTATGCGGACAGGATTTCCGGTGCCTCGGATTGGAGTGAGCCATGTCGTCCCTTTAGGGCTAGTTCCTCTCATTCACTCAATCCCTTCTTCTGTGGCGTGAATCTATGACTCGAGTTTTCTTCACGGTGCACCTTCTTCGTTCTACTCTATCTACGACCAACCATGAGGCAACCGCAGCTTGTATGGCCAACAGGCCCTCCGAACTATCATTTTGATTCTGTTGACTTTCAAAATATCCCTCGGAGAGTCAACCTCCGACCTCATCTTCGCCCAAGTCTCTCATCGCGCCGATTAGCCGGTTCGGAAAGAAACGTCTCGGTGTTTTCCCCGACCTCAGTGTTTTGATAATGCTTTAAGATATAACTCCCCCTCGTTCAGAGCGCTTTTATTGTATGGAGGATACTATTCATCATACGCTCTTCTCAGATCATCTTAGGCCAAAGGACAGTGACAACATGGCTTCTCTTTTCAAAAAGTCCATCCCATACCAGGTACCGCTTGATACAATTGACACTAATAGTGAAACATGTTAACCCTCTTTACTCTAGTTCAAAGACCCGTCTTTGATCGAGACACGAGCATTTATTGGAGGCAAATGGCTACCGGCGATGTCCGGGAAATCATTCCCCGTATATGGTGAGCAGCGCGACTCTTCGTACCCAATTTGGGTATATAGCATTCGCACAACAGAGGCTAATCCAATAATTTACAATACTAGACCCTGAGGATGACAAGGAAATCATCAGCGTGACCAATGCAGGCCGTGCCGATACTTCGTTCGCTATCGCCGAAGCTCAAAAGGCCTTCGAAACGTACCGCCTTACGCCGCACCGTCAACGCAGATGGCTTATGCGCCGCTGGGGCGATCTTATCAAGGCCAGCAAAGATGATCTGGCAGCGCTGTGCACATTGGAGCTGGGAAAGCCATTCACAGAGTCTCTCGGGAGCGTCCAATACGCCATCGACTTTATCGACTGGTTCGAAAGCTCTGTGGAGAGAACTCTGGGCGAAACCATCCCCGCTGCAAGAGGCAATAATCGGATGTTGACAATCCGTGAGCCTCAAGGTGTGGTGGCTGCTATCACTCCTTGGAATTCTCCGCTTGCCATGGTGACTCGCAAGGTCGGAGCTGCGATCGCTGCTGGAAATACTGTGGTTTGTAAACCTGCCCCGGAGACACCTCTTTGTGCGCTTGCACTGGCAAAACTCTTTGAACGCGCTGGGGGCCCACCGGGTGTTCTCAACATTATTCCTGCCGGACCTGATACTACCCCCGAGGTTGGAGAGGAACTTTGCCATAATAAGTTGGTCAAGCACCTCAGTTTCACGGGCTCGACCGCTGTTGGAAAATATTTGAACACTGAGTGTGCCAAGACGATCAAGAAGACCAGTCTTGAGCTTGGCGGTAACGCTCCTTTCATCGTCTTCGAAGATGCTGATCTTGAAGAGGCTGCTAAAGGTGAGTCCGTCCCCTGGGAGGATAGTGAGTAAATGCTGACATGGATTGCAGGCTTGGTAACTTGCAAATTCCGTTCTTCTGGCCAGACTTGTGTTTGTGCGAACAGGATCCTCGTGCAGGCGTCAGTTGTCGATCGCTTCGCCGATGTATTGAGAAAATGCATTGATGACACATTCATCTACGGCTCGGTGTGGGATAAGAAGGTGAACTTCGGGCCTTTATATTGTTCCAAGGGGGTTTCAAAGGCCAGAGCCCATTTGGAAGATGCAGTCAGCAAGGGAGCGAAGCTTCATTCCGGTGGCGTATCCAACACTGATGGCCCCAACTTCTTCGCGCCTACTATTGTTACCGAATCTAGAGGAAATATGGACTTTGCTGGAGAAGAGACCTTCGGACCTGTTGCTTTCTTGATGCCATTTGAGACTGAAGCAGAAGCCATCCAGAGAGCCAATGATTCCGATGTTGGGTTGGCGGCTTATTTCTACACTCAAGATATCTCGCGTCTATTCCGAGTGAGCGAGGCACTGCGAGTGGGCATGGTAGGTGCGCGGGCTGGGTTGGTCAGCGCGGCTGAAGGGCCTTTTGGAGGAATTCAAGAGAGTGGTCTTGGTCGTGAAGGTGGCATTGCTGCGCTTGATGAATACCTCAATGTCAAGAGCATTACCATTGGGATTTAAGGAAGGGTTAAAGATCAACTTCACCAAGCCATATTCATAAACTCATTTCAACAATGCTTTTCAGAATTAAAATCTTGCTCTATTGACCTCGCTCTTTTTCAGATAACCAATTTTACCTCCGTCTATTTGTGGTAGTAGGAAAGAAAAGCGAATGAGAGTGCTTGGTCACTCATTATTGGGAGAGTTTGAATATTTGCATAACTGAGATCACTTTAATAGAGCCCAATACGTCTGCTTCTGTCGATTCATATGTCGAGTCTTTTACAATAGTTGAAGGATAGAGAAAGCGCAAATATATACAGCATTAACTCCCCAGTTGGTTGTCCGCACACTTGGCTTATTATTTAGACAAACACAAATGTATTGATATATATTATTTGATCAATATGTGGAATGTGATAACAGGAGACGTTGGAGGTGATCAAAGCCATAGGGGGCGGATTTGAATTGATACCCAAGATGACAACATATGTGATCCAGATTCGTACAGTCAAGGGTTTATATTTTCAAAGTACTTATAGTCTAAGGGATTAAATATGTGGTGTTGGCTTTCAGTCGCGTGGGAAGTGTGTGGAAGTATAATGAACAATGTTCCATGAGACGTTATATTCCTCGAAGTTTCATCAAAATACATCCAACTGAGTTATCACATCACTAATCCATTTATGGGGTAGAACAGTAAATATTTATACTCTTATTGAGCCTTGCATCACGTCTTCTGCTCCTCACGTTTGAGTGGAGGTCTGTGATTTGGGTGTCCTTCTCTTTATGCCAACCATCAACTCGACGGGCTTGCGAAGGAAGCCTTCCGAAATCTGCATCGGCCCTTCCTGTTCCAAAGTAATATCAAAGAGGCGGAAGAAAGAAGAACATCCCACAAAGAGCTCCATCTCAGCGAGATTTCTTCCAATGCAAGCTCTGGGGCCGAGACTGAAAGGTATGAAGGCATCCTTCTGACGCTGCGTCACACGTGCGGGATCCCAACGCTCAGGAACAAACTCCTCGGCATCAGGGCCCCAAACTTCTTTGAGACGGTGGACAGAGTAGATGGGGACAGACAGGATATCACCGGGATAGAACTTGTGACCACATACTTCGACAACACCCCTCTCGGGAGGAATCTGACGAGGAAGACCGAGACCGAAGGTGCTATGAATACGTAGGACTTCCCAGATCACCCATTGGAGACTGTTCTGTTAGTAAGAACTCGTGAAGATAGTTGTAGAGAGACACTCACTAAGTAATATTCTTCACCATGTCCAAAGTTGGGACTTCAACATCTTGGGCAAGTGCCTCATCGAGAGCCTTCTGTAATTTGGGCATTACATGAGGAGTTTTCAGAACCCAGTAGAGAATAGCACAGAATGTGTTGGAAGTTGTATCGGACCCCGCGGTGATCAGGGTCAGGGCCTCTCCTGTCAACTCTAGACGACCGAGTTTATTGCCGTTCCCGTCTTTTCCTTCGATCAGTCGAGTCAGAAGATCGGTGCGCTCCTCTGTAGTACCCTGAAGTTGTAAACGCCGGTTGACCGCTGAAGTTGCAATGCCCGCAAGGTTGGAAATGGCTTCTGCTCCCAGGCGAAAGAAGGGATCTGGCAGCCATCTTGCCCAAGGGATGAGGCCTGGGAGTGTGCCGAGCGTGGCAGCGACTTCTCCACGGCGATTCAGAACCTCAACTGCATTGATATAGGTGACTGGGGAGTCAGGGGTCTTCCTCATCTCGACGATATCACGGTTGTTCTCCAGCATTCCGAAGGGCGCACCGAAAGCCAAATCTCCGATGATATCAAAGGACAAGTAGTTGAACCAGATCAAGGCGTCGATCGAGGAATATCCCGTCTTTGCATTTTTCTTGGTGTCCGAAATCTTTCTCCATTGCTTCACGAAAAGTTCCATATTCGCATGGGCATACTTTTCGACCTGGGCCATCGACTTGGCACTGAACGCGTGGGAGACAAGCTTTCGCTTTCGACTGTGCTCTTCGCGGTCTCTGCTTGTGAAGATACTCCGGAAGACGTTGAGGAAAGCGTCGTAAAACGGCCTAGTTTGAGATAAGTCAACAGAACTTTCGCCATTGATCAAGAGTTCACTTACGCCTTGATGAACTTGTTTCCATGGCCGTAGACTGCCTGAATTGCGGCGTCATCCGCGATCGAGATATGTCTTGGTGCAATGCGAACCATTTTTCCATATTTCGTGTGGGCATCGTCCAGTGCCAGTGCTCGACGTCCCCATCTAGATTGCCACAGAAACCAATAATTGCTGTAGGCGGCTATTCTGGGGCCTGGGATGTCATGAAGTCTCCATTGTGCCAGGCATGACGACAGGTAGTAAGTTAGCACCAGCGGTATAATTGCCAATGGATAAAAAGCGGCAGGAATAGCTGCAAGCTGCGTCTGCCAGTCACTTGGAACAAAGTCAAGTTGAAGAAGCATCGTTCACCAGTTGCATCTGTCTTGGATGCGCTTCAATAGTAAAAGCAAAGGAAGATTCACCAGGAAACCTGGGGCGGTTGTTAAGTATCCTCAACTCCAAGCAGTCGCATACCATCTTGAAGCCATACTAGGTAAAATCGGAAGCTATCTTTCCGAATTCATGTGGCGGCTTGGTAGTTCTCACCTCCCCCGCCGTGTGGCCCGGAAAATCAGTCTCCAATGGCTCGGAGTACTAGCTCCGGGGACGTCGATCCTCTGCAAGGACCACGGTGGCCAATGGAGATCTTCAACATGGCCAACTGCTTTTGCGGGGAAACTCTCACATCTTACTCAATTGAATACAACGTGGGGCTTCCAAGGCTTTTCGTCTACATCGAGACCTAGGATCGGTTCCGATGCCCCCCTTTCGATCCGAACAATGGCCTTTGACGCCCTACTTTTAGATGGTGGCTTCATTTATGGCAATTGGGGATTGCTATCTAAAAAGTCTTTTGCTGGGAATACCCAGGCTGATCCCTATCTCATGGGCAGGCAGAGAGCTTCTCTGATTACCGGGATCCAAATCTCTTTACCGTACGTAAGGCTTCAACCTCTATCATTATCTTTTGGTAGTAGAGAGCTACCCACTGCGCCCTTTGATAATCCAGTAATATTCCCAGCTCACTGTCAATCAGTCATGCAGTTCCGTACAGACGTAGAGCGGCCACACGCCTTACCTTTCCACATACATGGAGCCACTTGGGTCTCACAACATTCAAGTCTACAGTTCATGTGTCGAATTCACTCTGGTTCTATCATCCATCGGCTTAAAGTGTTTCAATAAAGCAAGCATTGTGGCTAAATGTCCCTGCGAAGGACTGTATAGAAAGATGAGGTTGGTCTCTTCTCCAAATCTCCGATTCGGGGAAGTCATCTGATTGGCTCAAGCCCTACTCCCTGAGGCCTCAACACACTCCGGCCACTACATCTGGCTTGTTCCAATGGCGTAGTAGAAGAAACACGAGTGCACACCAAGCAGTAAGATACTTCCCACTATTGATAGACATACGCAATCTTAACTCTCTACACATGTTAGTAGTAGATGCCGAACAAGCCTCGCAATTTTCCATGTGACTAAACATAGGTACATCACAACCTTGGAATATTTAGAGAATATTTAGGGCGTTCGAAAAGGATAATTATTTCGTCGCTCTTGCTGGAATCTGCACTCTTGAAAATAAAACAGGAAAAGCCCTGCCTTTTGATGTGTTGTGTGCCTCTATGTACAATCAAACAACAACAAAACACCTAAACATAAACAAAGTTGTTGCGGCAAAGTGGACAGGTGCTCTGGTTGCTGCTCTTGAACCAGCGGAAGAGACAGACAGAGTGGAAAGTGTTCTTGCACGTAGCGCAGCGCTTGTTGGGTGTCTGCATGTCTGTGGAGATAACAGAGTAACAGATGGCACACTCGCTTTGGCCCTTGAGAGCACCCTGTACATTCCGTCGGAAAGCCAACAAACCGTCAACAATATTGCCATTGGCAAACATGATCACTCCCTGGATAGTCAGCAGCCAGCTTTTCCATTTCTTTTCGTCCACAAGCACACGACTCCGGCCGACAACCAACGCTGACTGTAGAGGATACGCGGGTGGGAGAGTGATAGAAATAGACACTGGGGGTGACTCCTCATCGACTGGAATACTGGCGATAATTTCGCCTGTCTTTGGGGAAATCTTCACCTCAAGTGCGCGCTCTTCGTTTGCATCTTGGGTGGCAATCCAGTCGGTCACACTTTTGAGGGCCTCCTCAATCACAAGCGGGGAGATCTTAAAACAAGGATTAGTCACGGTTGCGAACTAAAGGGGCCAACCCAATATCACTTACATATCTCTCTGTCCAGGCTTCTACCGGGCCCTTGATGCGTTTCTTCGTGTCGATCCACCAGTTCTTGGTCATATTCGCAGAGTATCTCAGACACAGATAGTACAGATGTACCAGAAGCCATTGTGTCTCCTTTTCGGCATTTTCTGACTCATCAGGCTCAAATGAGTGAATATCAAGTTTGGATGCATCGATCATCTTTCCATGCGATTTTTGAAGGAAATCAAACGTGAATTCCAACAGTGGGATAAGAATATTGTTCTCTCTGATGCTCGAAGTATAATATTCTTGGACCGGAAGCGACTAATCAAATTGTTAGCAAGTTCATCTTGCGACTTTTTGCAGAGGGTTTGGAACGTACAGCATTGGAGAAATGATCAAACACAATCTTCCAGCTGAGAAGGTACGAACGCATGGTGGTCCACATCTTGTCGTCTCCATAAGCAGCAGAAACCATTTGCATTGTCGGGGGTTCAAGTAAGAGAGAAATGAGCTCATCAGGAAGACTGACTGCAGTCTTTGATAAGGCTAGCTCAAAGGATACCTTCTCCTGGGCATGAGGGATGTAGTTGTGGAGTAAGGTATAAGCGGTTCGCTGCACTGCTCGACTGTGCGCAGTGAGAAGATGGAATGTTTCGCTGACATCTTCCAATTTGTCAACGGGAATGGTGTTGATCAACCGTCGTAGCAATTCAACAGCAACATCACGAGGCTGATGGAATGTGGTTGAGGAGTCTATATAATGTTAGATAAAGTAACTGTAGGGGAAATCTATAGTCATTACCAAAGGTGTCAATGGTGGATGCTAAGGCATTGAACAGGGTTGTCTTGCGATCCAACCATGCATCTTGGACATCGTCATTGCTATCACTTTCCGAGATAGACTTCAATCTTGCGAAGAGCCTAAATGACGACACCAGCAACGGTAGACCTTCTTCGCCCCCATTGGTACTTCGCAATGCCGAGTTCAAAATTTCCATCGTTTCTTCCCAGTGAGACCCATAGATTTCTCCGAGAGCTGGAAGGACAAAGGACAACGTTTTGATCACTTCCGCTTTCAACCCAAGAGACATGGAGTCATTTTGGACACATTCGATCAAGTGCTTGGTGAGGAAAACTAAGCGTTGCGTCGGAATGGTGGCAACAACCTCATCTTCACCAGACAGCAGGATATTCAACAGAGCCAGCTTTCGGAATCCTGCACACAGTAAGTTCAGTTCAACAGAAGTTTTTCATACTTGCAGGTACTTACCAACTTGAGAAGCATCCTGGGGCTTGAGCCCAGTAGAGTCGGCAACCAGCTCATTACACATCCTGTTTCCGATGGGATTAGAAAGGATAGAGCTCCGCAATACTGCAAACCACGATGCCGAACGTATGGAATTTGCTGTTCGGGCTTCTCTGCAAATTTTAGCGACATCATCCGATGATTTAGAAGTTTGCAATGAATCTGTAATAGTCATGACCTTGACGAAAATTTCGCCGATTCGATAGTCCAAGGGGGATGTGCCCTTGAGTTCCTCCAATCTGCGTTCCCAGAACTCGACAAAGAAAGAAGAAATCGTCTTGTCCTGCGCGAAGCTTACTGGTTCATTGTCACTCATCCAGTTCCCAACCACCTTCCTGCCACTGAAGACAGTCTCCATGTACTCTTCGCGCTGGTCAGCCAGCTCAAGGCCTGAAATTCCATTGCAGTTTTCAATGCTCAAGTCATCATCTATGAGTTGGACCGCCAGGGGTAGGAAATGGAACAGTGTCTCCAAGTCCTCCTGGTCAAGGTATTTCACTAACTCAGTAGTAGACAGAATATTAATGGTGTATATTGCCAGGCGGAACGCAGAGGAGCGGTGGTCGGCATCGCGAGGTATGGTCGGCCATAACGCTTTGAAAGAATCAGACAGCTCACGCTGAACCAAGTGAACAATGCCTCCTAGAGGGCTTGTGATGGCAATTGAAGAACGAGGTGGGAGTTGGAGGAAGGGAGCCAGAGATTCCTCCCACGAGCGACGAGAAGGCAGAATATCTTTGACAGCACCGGTTGCACTGCCAGACGTTAGATCTGGCAGCAACTCATCTGCGATAGCAACAAGTGACTCGATACTAGACGAAGGTTAGTAAGATTTGTGGTGATTTTCAATCATGATCGAGCACTTACGACAACGACTCTTGATCTACATGGTTGAATCCGTGTTGGAGGATTTCAATACTCGATCTGGCACTCGTATCACCAATACCGGATTCCTTAAGCGATTTTAATAACGCCTCCGCCAAGCTGGCCACTTCTTCAGATGGTGATTCAGTGAGGAAGAGTAGCTTTCCTGCTAGCTTAGATCCGTGGGCTCCATTTTGGAATTCCCGAACTGAGGATGGTGCAGACTTTCCAATATGAGAAAGACCATGCAAGGCATCAAATACCTTATTGTCTGTGGATAAGGCATCGATCAAAGACAGGAATACCTGATCCGCCAATTCACCGTGTGAGGATTTGTTTTGAAGAACAGCAGTGACAATATGCCAATGAGAATGACTTCCTTCACAGGCTTTGGCAAGCGCCTGCACAACAAGTGACTTGAGCTTATCTTTGTGCTTAGCATCGTGGAAATTGAGGGAGTACAGCAAGCTTTGCAGTACATGCACATTTGACTGTTCTGGCTCAAGTGCTAGAGCTCGCTCGACAATGTTCTCAAAGCTGGATGCAAATCCATCCCATTGTCGACATTCTAAGATGATTGAGATCAATCGATCAGCGGAGGGTGAGAGCAACAGGTCCGGTGCATCATTCTGTGCGAATTTCTGGAGAGCCTGCGACTTTTTGGCGACAGATGGCATGCTGTGTACACACTCCTCGACTACAGCGGCAGCTCCATAGGGCTTCCCATTGCGAGTGCGCAAGACTTCAAGACATTCTTCAAGAAGGAACGTGCTTGTCTTTTCAAAGGCCTCTGAGACCTGGGCTTCGGCCTTCGTGTCTGCGATACGTGAGAGAACAGCAGACTTCAAGGCTAGGAGGCGTTTGGATTGAGCACATATTGAGTCTTGGGAATCACGGAAGTCCTTTGATTGTTCCGGAGACGAGAGCTTCACAGCTTCTAGCAGGCCATGAGAAAGAGAAGTACACAATTCTTGCAATTCCCGGTCTTGCCCAGTAGAAGCTAGAGTGACCACATAGTTCACACAAGTCCCCTCGGCTGACTGGGTCGGAAGCGACCATTGTGTTAAATCTGGATCGGCTCGCACATAGTGTAGCACCAAGGGGGAAAGACTCTTCGCGATGAATTCAGACCTTTGCTCCTGGGGAACCAACAGTGCAAGCCAAGTGCCTATCTGAATGTAGGATTTCCACCCAGCAGCAAGGTTCTCGCGGGGTTCTTCTCTCGAGTTAAGGCCTTCTCGCAAAGCCTCAGTCAAGGCAATCGCGCTGGTAGAAGTGATTCCTTGGTCAGCAGTGGTCTTGTCTGCGCCTGCTAAAATTTGTTGAGGGATAGTTCGAAGTAATTGGTCTAGATTTGACCAAAAGTTCCCGGATCCACCCTGAGATCCCTTCTGCATGTACTGGCGCAATCTCTTCGAAGCAGATGACTTCCCGGTGTAATCATCAGTCCACACTTGAGGCCTCAACGACGTCAATAGCAGGAGAGATTCGGATAATTCTGAGGCTGATCCTACTTGCTGGAGAGACAAAGATTTCCCAATAACGGCAGAACTTAGGGTCTTCCAGTCGACCCATCCAGGCTCCCGGGAAACCGCAGATCGAAGAAGAATGTATATGGACCGGCGAACATATGGATCATCGTGATAGCACAGAGCCCAGAGATCCTTACTGGCTAATAGGTTCTCGATCTCTGGCATGTTTTTCTGCAAATTATTATCGGCAGAATTGGCTAAAGAAAAAAGCGTGTTAGACAATGAATTTTGTAGATAAGAAACATCTAACAAACCTAATACGCGGTTGAAAAGCAAAACTGCCGCTCCCACTACACGAGCATATTTGCCCTCGGCGTCATCGCGCTTCACTGTTCTTTCATCGCTCAGTGTCAAGGCTGTTTGATGAAGAATGACATCGTCTACAAAGTCCAATATGGGGCTTTGGTAGATCTTCCATACGTTATTTCTTTTTTCTTCGGTCGAGAAGACACTCGTAAATGAGTCAAGGGCGGCTCGATGGGCTGGTCGATCATTGTCATAAATTCCTGCGATCCATGCTCCGATAACCTTGGGGAGGTTGGGCACGATTCGCTTCCCGACAATGCCAGCGATTGTACCCTGAATTGGATGGGCGAGTTGGCGTACTCGGCGCGACAAATCGATTGAGATTCGAGGGTAAATCCGAACCTAGGTTAAAATGCTAATTAGCATTTGATGTATATACTTGAAATCAATCTATCCATACCCAAGCCTCTAGGAAACCGTCATCCAAGGTTCCATTCTTCTCTGCCACTGTTGATATATGGTCTCGTAGCTCCTCCAGAGCCTTCGTCCGTGTGATTTCATCTTTCTTCAATAAATTCTTGAATGCGATAACCAATCGCTGCTCCGTAATGCGAGAAAGATCTGGTGGTGCTGCAATGTATGTGAGAGTCGATGGCTCCTTTCCTTGGCTGGAGAGACTACCGGAGAAACCTCCAAATGACCCAAAGGCACTGGCAGCAGCGCGACTGCTGGAGGCCTGGGATTTGAACTTTTTGCTCATGTGGGGTATGAGGTCAGCGGGATAAGGAAGTAGTGGGGGAGGAGCTCGATATCGAGGAGATTCAAAGGCTTCGGCGAGGGCAGGGGGTGTAAATCATGAATGATGGTTTGGGATATGCTTCCAATGCTGTATGACTCTTCAATCGCATATGTGAAGCTGCAAGCACATCCAGCTTTCATCTTCGAAGAACCCGCGGGACAAAAGATAGCAATCACGTGAGCTGGTGTCATCGCTGTCCTGATTAGGACAAGCGCGAAGGCGGAGCCGCGAAAGATGAGAGCACGAGAGCTCGCATCTTCGGATTCTTTGCCCTCTTGCGTTCTGCATCAGAGCCCAGCCAAGATGAAGTTCTTCATTGAGTAGGTCCCCTGTGAATGGCCTAATATTCGTGTTCAAACTGACCTTAGTTGTTTGTCAGTGATCTTCCGGTGCTGTTTCCGTATCCTCGCATTTACCCCGAACAATATGCCTACATGTGCGATCTCAAGAAGACCCTCGATGCAGAGGGTCATTGCGTGTTGGAAATGCCTTCGGGGACTGGCAAGACAGTTTCACTCTTGTCGTTGATTGTCGCGTACCAACAACACTATCCAACGCACCGTAAGCTCATTTACTGCTCCCGAACAATGTCAGAGATCGAGAAAGCTTTGGCGGAGCTGAAGGCCCTGATGGAGCACCGCGCCAAGGAACTGGGTCATGAGGAAGAGTTCCGTGCACTTGGTCTGACCAGTCGGAAGAACCTATGTCTTCACCCCTCGGTGAAGAGAGAAAAGAGTGGCACGGTAGTTGATGCTAGGTGCAGGAGCCTGACGGCTGGGTTCGTTAAAGAGAAGAAGGAACGTGGTGAGGATGTTGACCTTTGTGTATACCATGAGGTAGGACTTTTCGGTCTGCATCACAATATTGGGACGAGCTAATCTAACTGGCCTAGAATCTTGACCTCCTCGAACCACATAATCTGGTACCCACGGGTGTCTTCACACTTGATGATTTATCGAGATATGGAGAAGAGCATAAGCAGTGTCCATACTTTTCTGCTCGGCGCATGGTAAGACATCAGACTAGTCTCCTATATAACGTGTCTCATATCTAACAACGCTTCCTAGATGCCATGGTGCAACATTATTATCTATTCCTACCACTATCTTCTCGACCCAAAAATTGCCGAACGAGTTTCCCGAGAACTTTCGAAAGATTGCATTGTTGTTTTTGACGAAGCGCACAATATTGACAACGTCTGCATTGAATCGCTCAGTATAGACCTGAGCGAGGATTCTTTAAGAAAGGCCACCCGTGGCGCAACAAACCTGGAGCGCAAAATCGAGGAAATGAAAAGTTCCGATGAGGCAAAACTCAAGAATGAATACTCAAAATTGGTGGAAGGCCTACAAGAGGCAGAGAAAGCTCGGGAAGAAGATCAATTTATCTCGAACCCTGTCTTGCCAGATGACTTATTGAAGGAAGCTGTTCCTGGTAATATTCGCCGCGCCGAGCATTTCATCTCTTTCTTGAAAAGATTCATTGAGTACCTGAAGACTCGCATGAAAGTGACCCATACCATATCCGAAACACCCCCTTCTTTCCTCACTCACTTGAAAGACCTAACCTATATTGAACGAAAGCCTCTGCGGTTTTGCGCCGAGCGTCTAACATCACTTGTACGCACACTAGAGCTTGTCAACATCGAAGACTATCAGCCCCTTCAAGAGGTGGCTACTTTTGCAACACTGGTTGCAACTTACGACAAAGGATTTGTTCTGATTCTTGAGCCCTTCGAATCTGAGGCTGCCACTGTGCCAAATCCCATCTTGCATTTTACATGCTTGGATGCTGCCATTGCCATCAAACCGATTTTCGATCGCTTCAGCTCTGTTATCATTACGTCAGGAACTCTATCGCCCCTAGAAATGTATCCAAAGATGCTGAGATTCCCCACCGTTATGCAAGAATCCTACAGCATGACACTAGCTCGACGATCTTTCTTGCCCATGATTGTCACTCGCGGCTCCGATCAAGCACAGGTTTCATCTTCGTTTGGAATCCGTAATGACCCCGGTGTTGTACGAAACTACGGAAGTCTGGTGACCGAGTTCTCTCGCATAACACCCGATGGTGTTGTAGTCTTCTTCCCATCTTATCTCTACATGGAATCAATCATCAGCATGTGGCAAGGTATGGGTATCCTGGATCAAATCTGGAACTACAAGTTGATTCTCGTCGAAACACCCGATGCACAAGAATCTTCACTTGCCTTGGAGACATACCGAACAGCGTGTTGCAATGGACGCGGCGCTATCTTATTCTGTGTCGCCCGAGGCAAGGTTTCCGAAGGTATTGATTTCGATCACCATTATGGCCGTGCAGTGATTTGTATTGGCGTTCCTTTCCAATACACCGAATCTCGAATCCTGAAAGCTCGTCTCGAATTCTTGCGTGAGAACTATCGTATCAAGGAGAATGACTTTTTGTCTTTCGATGCAATTCGACATGCCTCCCAGTGTCTGGGTCGTGTGCTCCGTGGCAAGGACGATTACGGAGTCATGGTCTTGGCAGACCGCCGGTTCGAGCGAAAGCGCGCGCAACTGCCCAAGTGGATCAACCAGGCAATGCTGGACAGCGAAACCAATCTCAGCACCGATATGGCCGTATCAAATGCCAAGAACTTCCTCCGAACCATGGCCCAACCTTTCAAGGCGAAAGATCAGGAAGGCATTTCCACCTGGGGGTTGGCCGATATTCAGCGCCATGAGGCAAAGAGGAAAGCCGAGGAAGAGCGGATGATGAGAGAGGAGGTGAACAATGGGCATGCGATGCACGGCATGATCCCCTCTGCATCCCGGATCGTGGAGGACGAGTACGACGATGACATTGATGAGGATCTTATGATGCTGGATGCACGATAAAATAATCTTGTTCTTTGTTCCATAAGGCATGCATGATGGCGCATCTACTGGCGTGGATACTGGGGCGTTTGGACTTGGGCATAGTGCCTTTTGGCATGAGCGATCTTTTTAAGAATGGCAGTGATTTACAATCTGCCTTGCAATTAAAGATGAAATCTCATTTTTTCCTCTGTTACCTTGGTTTAATAGAACCGATATACGTACATGTAGACTGACTACCTTGGACTGGCATACGCAGTACGGGGTAGATGGTGATCATTTGAACCCTCTCGTAACTCGATTCTAGCCAAGTCTGCTTTGAAGAGTTTCTGAGTTGATTCCAATCAATCGATCATGAGATCGTGTATCTGAAATCCGGTGAACCCTCGACGATCTTGCTTCCTTTCGGCTGTTTGTTTGCCCCCTACATGCCCCGTGACCCCTGCCTTCCCCCTTTTGGATTGTGCCACCGCCCCTAGTCTCGGGGTATAAATACCTCCTCCTCCCCCCGATTCTTCCTCTTCTTTTCTTTCTTCTTCATACTTACCTTGTTTGGGTGACTGCGATCATGAAGGCGGTTCACCACAGTCTGGTCCCTGCATTGCACAGCGCGGCGGAACAAGCTGTTCAATGGCTTTCGGGTCATTGACAGGCGTATTCTTTGGCACCCCCACTCTCGTGGAATATCTTTTCATCACTCCTTGAGCCAGTGGCTCGGGCTTGGAGAAGAGACTCTTGTTAGTAGGTTGTATTCTGTAATGTTCACGACGCCTCCTGAGTAACATGGTTGTTTACGCCTCGCGTCCCGTTGCTCGCATTCATGTCTTGTCCCCCTTAGTGTCCATATCCCTTGCTGATGCTCGTTGCAAGTCACCAGAGGCACCACTAGCGAATGTATCCCCTCTGGTTTCAGTTCACCTCCATCTTGAAGAGCATCGTGCCCCAACCTACCCCAACTACCGGCAGTCTCCCCTTGCTAGTGGCCAGGTCCCCGGCAAAATGCAGCCCCTACATGAAAGCACACCCCTATTGCTCCGACATCCAACTTCCCTTCTATATGCTGAATGGGATCTTTGAGAGTTTCACAAGCACCGAAGCCCTCGATATCCTGCCATACCGAGCATTCCATCGATACGGGGCGCCCTGGCGAACACTCCACCAGCTACTAGACGCAACCTTCCCCAACACAACATCCCTTCACCTCAGACCTCATCTCCAAGGTGACGATCAGCGACTGCAGCAAAATCATCGTTATCGGGGGATCAAGAACGCATACAACTACCCAGTCTCACTCACCTCGCTATCGTCAGTCTCACACTCCGGTTTATAGGTATCTTTCAAACAGTGCTTCTGTCACAATACCGCCGCATGATGCGTGGGAGAGATTGGAGTCTTAGAGCGTGGATGATGTATTACATGGGCTTTCAACCGAGGGTTAGAGCTGCCAATGCAGTGGCTTATTCAATTCATCTCCGTTGATCTAAACATCACATGCACTGAGCAGGGTAATAATTATCAAGGCGTCGGTGCAATTCTTATAATGGAATCAAAGGTTCATCATTCAATCCACTAAACAGAGACATGCTCTTAGGCTAGGTTGTCTCAAGATTGGGGCACCAAGCTCTTATGCCTCAAAAATGACCTTGTGGGCTCGCATGTGATGGAAGTCGTCATATCTACCGATCAGTCAGTAACGTATCCGAAGCTGAAAGAGGAAGACTTACGCCTGAACGGCCTGTGAGAGCGGGCGGATATCTTGAGACATAAAGCTGGGAACCGTTAGATGCTTGCAAAGCATAGAGTATCGTTTCAGACAAACTCACTTGAGGACGTCCTGCTTCTTCTCGAAAAGTTCCATGGCTGGTCCGAATATACCTAGCAGAAATTAGCAAAGCCGTTAGAGTGGGATGGGACAGATATAACATACTCCGAACGGGGCATCGGCCCATCTGCAGACGAATGTTCTTTGCGTAGGCCTCATTCCCAGTCCACGGAATTTCCCCATTGTGAACACCCACACTTGACAGGCGTCCCCAGGGTCGCAACAGATCAAAGCCCATTCTGAGCGCACTGCTATGTCCGACGACTTCAATAACAACATCCGCGCCTCGACCTTCGGTAAGTTCCTTTACCCGTTGTCGCAATCCTTCTTCGTCCGTCTGGAAATTCCAAGGCTCAGCTCCCAGACTCTTTGCAAGTTCTAGACGATCAGGCACACTATCGATTGCAATAAGATGCTTAGGCTTGTGCTCAAGAGCACTAATCAGTGCGCAGATACCGACAGGGCCACAGCCAAAGAGAAGGACAGTACTGTTCTGAACCTCCTCCGGACTTGTGCCAGAGAAAGCGTTCGACGCAGCGAAGAATCCAGTAGGGAAAATATCGGCCATAAGAACCAGCTTCTTCTCGTCGACTGTTTCGGGGACTTTGAAAAGAGTCGAATCGGCCAATGGGACACGCACGTATTCGGCCTGTCCACCATCAAGTATGGCAGTACCGTATAGCTTGCTTCGAGCGCATCGAGAAGAGAAGCCCCGTTCGCAGTAGAAACACTCTCCACAGCTCACAGTGAAGGGTGAGACTACTTTATCTCCGTTGTGAAAATTGTTGACACTCGATCCAACCTCGACGACTTCGCCTGTAAATTCATGGCCCATGACGAACCCTGTCCCAGAGGGCTGATGGCCGCGAAAGACATGCATTTCACTTGACAATGTTAGCTTTTGAGCGCTGCTTATGAGCTCATTCAAGGTTGGTCTCTTACCTGCCACATAGTGCCGTGTACCGTACCTTCAAGATCACGTCTGTTGGGTCCTCGATTTTGGGGATAGGTCTCTCCTCGACAGCTACCTCCAACGGGCCCTTGAAGACGACAGCTTGCATTGCGGAGGGATGGATATGTGGATTGTTTGGAGGACGTGAGAGGTTCGATTTGGCTACAATTGGGATGTGTTGTCTGATGCGGGGATATGCTTCTATATACACTTCTCGGCGACATCACCGAGCGGACCTCGGCAGATCTCGGACTTTTTCTTGAAATCAGTTGGCAAGCTTGTGGGATTCCATCGAGTGCATATATTTAAATCTCTTTTGGCCTCTGATAGCAGAGAGGGACATCGTGCCTCTTATGTATCAATATACTGCCAATCGAGGCTGTTAGAAACAACCCTGGGAGGTATTATAATGCATTCGAACAGAGAGATCAGACAACTAATGACAAGATCTACCCCGCTCATACTGCAGTGTCTGCTCTCCGCTATGTAGATCAGGGGGGATGTTCTATACTAGACAGTATACGAGATTCGTCCTTCGCGCAGGGAGTATTAAAGCCTATCTATATATTTAGACTCTGCGAATACAATCCACAGACTGTAACTCCCTAGTAATCGGGAAGTACAACTACCTATATGTAGGTAGAAGCACCGTCAGTTACTGTCCGACGGTATCTCAGGCCACAACAGGAGATTTCAAACTCCGTTCATAATCCGGCAATGCCCACTTGACCATCCACTTTGACTGAAGCACTTCATCGGCATTCAGTCGGTTTTCCGACCGGAAAACCAGCATCCGGCGCATCAGGTCTAGAAACGCTGCCGTTTCCTCTTCCCCAAGCTCGCTTCCCTTTTTCCGTCGCCACTTCTGTACGCAGTGCTCGAATCTCTTATCCAGCGGAGTCCATTTATTTGTTTGGTGATACTCGGTGGACTGGCCATCGTCAGAGAAGAACTGACTCCGTCCCTCCCAACGCACCCACCAATCCGGGGGCATCGGCCCCAGGACGTCGATATGCTGAGATATCACATTGTCTTCCGTCGCAAACTCCGAGCTAAACAGAGACTTCATCCCGACAATGTCCCAGATTGTCGTAGCTAGGCTCCAAATATCAGAGGGATACAGAAGGGGAGCGTCCGGTTTGAACATTGCTTCGGGGGCTCGGAAAGCTGGTGGAATGTGGCAGTCTTTCCCAAGTCGGACTTCCGAGGCTGGGGCAAAAGCCTCACCGAAGTCACTTAAAAGTATGCGAGCCTCAGGAAGTGTCATCTTATCTGATGATTTCCCGAGACATAGTGGTTCAACTGCCTTAGCCGGGACATTTGGGGGAAGCGACTCCCCACTTTCTCGCGTTATAGGGACTGTCTCGGGTTCGCCATATCTCTTATATAGCTGTTCAATGGAAAGGTTATCAAAACTGGAGGGGAGCTTAAGCAGAACGTTGTCTAAACGAACGTCTAACCCAGAAAATGTCGAACGTTAGCCCAAGAGACTCTTATTGTAAAGAATTGCTACAACATACCTCCATGGACATAGCCGCGGGAATGCATGTATGCCACGGCCTGAACAAGGCCATATGACAGCGCTCGAGCAACTTCCAAGGAGAAAAGACGATTCTGAGAGACATCCCTCAGACTGCACGCAGCTAATGTAACCGCGTAACATGTGTGCGTTCCATTAGGGCCTTGCACTTCGAATTCATCTAGTAAATTAGCGACTAAGCCACACCCAGCATGTTGAGACAAATTCGGCCTCAAGGGTGTAGACAGAGCCTTGAGAACCTTCGTCTCGCGTAGAGGCGAGGATGCTATGTTAACCTTCACAGCAACGTATTGCTTCATGTGCATGTCACGGGCAAGCCAAACAGTCGAGTAGCCCCCATAGCCGAGTTTGTCTGTAATGTGATATCGGTTATGGAGCATGTCCCCGACCATAATGGGATGATAGCCTCCGGGCTCATAATCCTCCAGTGGCTCCACGCGCGGGATCCAGTTGTACTTGATGCGACCTTGAGTATTTGTAGAGCTTGCTCGCGGAAATGAATAAGACTTCAACTTCGGAAGGCCGCGGCGCCATTGTGAAGATCGTAGTGTAGCCAGAGGTAGAGATGTCAGCAAAGGTACGAAACGCTCAACTACTAGAGTGGAGTGCGACATTATGCTTGAGTGGGGCAGCACCTCGGAGGATTGGGGGTCAAGGGACCGTACGGAGTTCCAGGAAGACCTCTTGCGCAGAAGGTCCAGGTCTTGGCATTCTTATACGGTGATTCATACCGACCCATCACGTAGTTTGATACTCCAAATGCCCAGGCTCAAGCATCAAGATGCCCATTATTTCAATGATTGAGGTACACTTTGACATGCCCTCATCCGGAAGAGATGCCCTCGAAGTGCAGACTAACTTGGTTTCATTCTATGACCCTAAGCCGATCGCAGCCCAGGCGGGAATGTTACTGTCAAAGATTATTACTTTGAAAAGATCTATTTATCGAACTAGTCAAGATGCTAATATGAACAGCGACAGACTTTTTGGTTCCGCTGCACAAAGAAAAACTCCAGATCATCGACACATCAAAGATGAAGCGACATAAAACGGACAAAATGACAAAAGAGCTTGGCATAAAAAACACAATATACACATGAAACACAAGATCAGATACACATTTCAAAACTCCATCCAGTCAAAGAGTGACTATGCGACAGGAGCGAGAATGTCGAAGGATCCAGTGCCGACAGTACCGACACGGCCAACAACGATTCTGCTACTGGGACTCTTGAGGTTATCGACACCCCGCTCGAGCACAACGTCCTTCAGGGCGCCGACAGTAGTCTCGAAACTGGCACGCGCGAAGGCGGACGAGGCATCCTTGACCAAGCCGTTACGACTGAAGGCCTTGAAGCCACCGGACTGCGTCATCACATCACCAATCAGGTTCAAGTGACGGTTGTCAACGGAGATACTGTGACCCTTGAAAACGGCATCCATTTCGCGGACGATAGTAGCGCGAGCAGCTTCCACACCGTACAGGTTGAGCATGTCGTGGATGGAGTTAGTGTAGATGGAGTGGGGCTTGATGATATCCTGGTAGTCACGCATAGCGAGGAGATTGACACCCTCGGTGAGAATGTTCGCGGGATCGCCCTTGGCCTCGTCGGCCTCGACGTAGACACAGTTGCCCATGCCGGGGATGCACTGAATGACAGCGAGGTGGAGAACCTTCTCAACCAGGGGAAGAAGCAGAAGCTTGGGGGTCTCGACGTCGTATTGCAATTGGATATTGCAGGTGTTGCCCTTCTTGGGGTCGAACTTGAACTTCGTGATCTCCTCGAACTTGCCAATAACATCATCCTCGCGCGCCTTGGTGTCTTGGGCGGTCTCGTCGTCAGAGTCATCCTCAGAGTCAGAACCGTCCCGCATCTCCACGTCGCGAGTGCTCTTGGCAGGCTTGCTGATTTCATCTTCGTCGTCCTCATCGGGGGTGTCCTGACGTCTGATGATTTCCTGCTCGCCATCGTCGGGTCCTTCGTATGAGACCTGGTTGCCCCGGTTCTGAGCTCCGGCGGCCCGCTTGGCATCATCTTCATCATCTTCGTTGTCATCGTCAGCTGGCTGGGCCTCAGAGTCAGCGCCTCTTGGTGCCTCGGCGATTTTGCCGATCGAGACACCAATTTCAGGCTGAGAAGTTGTGCCCTTGACACCCTTCTTCTCTTCGTTGCGCTTCTTGAGCTCGGCCTTGGTGAGTTTCACCAATCGAGGAATGAGCTTGGATTGCAGAGCAACCAGGACATCCTTAGTCTCAATGGCATACTCCTTGGTGTATTCTTCGGACGGGAAGAAGTCGATATCAATATCGTAGATCTTAGCCTTGGAGTGGCCAATGCCAGAGCCAATGCGTTCCTTCACTTGCACCTTATCAACAAGTTCAGCAATGCTGAGTTTGCTGATGGCCTTAGCGAACTTCTCCGAGTCCTCCGTAGAAATCTCTTCATTCAGAAGAAGGGTCATCGTAGGGGTCATAATCTTGGCACTTGCAGTCATAACAATTTCACGTAGACGGGGAATACCCAGTGTGACGTTCTTAGCCGAGTGACCAGCCAAGTGGAAAGTGTTGAGAGTCATCTGTGTGGACGGCTCTCCAACGGACTGACCGGCCATAATTCCAACAGCCTCACCAGGATCAATGATAGACTTCATGTACTTCATGTTCATCAAAGCCTCGAAGGTCTTCTTGGTGACCTTGCCCTCAATGTTCTTCTTCTTGTCTTTGATGAGCTTGTTCTTGTTGACATCCGCATACTAATAGAAAAATATGTTAGAATTTCAAATGTTGACGAAAGAGAGATGGCGGGTCCATACCTTCTTGAGCTCCTGAGCGAAGGCTTCAGATGTACTTCCCAGGTTTCCTCCAGGGGGGAAGCGAGACAACACAGGGTCCATAGCATCAATCTTTCCGGTCTTGCGGACTGCCTTCATGGCATCCTTGTGCCAATCGGTAACACTTTCCTTGGCCAGTTTGTGGTAATCATCAGCTTGAACTTGCTTAGAGATGGAGATGTGGTTCTGAGCAAGGAAGTCGAAGTCGTTGAGATGCACCTGCTTGGTGATATCGAGACCATCCTCTCCGTACAAGAATTGGACGATGGAGCCATCCGATGCCTCACGGACAGAGGAGTCGTATTCAGCCTTCAGGCCTTCCATACCCTTAATCAAACAACGCTGCAGATAACCGGATCTAGAAGTCTTGACAGCAGTATCAATCAGACCCTCACGACCAGCCATGGCGTGGAAGTAGTATTCCTGGGGCTTGATTCCGGTCAAGAAACGACCAGAAACGTAACCACCAGCCATGGGGTGGGTTTCGAAGGCCTTGAACGATGGAAGAGTCTTTCCACTGATCATGAGGGGTACACGACGACCCTCAAGAACCTGCTGGCCAAGATTACAAGAAATAAGGTTGGCATTGACACCGGATCCCTTGGCTCCAGAAATTGTCATAGACTGCATCTGATTCCAGGGGAAAGGCTTAGCAAGGCCAGCTGGGAGACAGGCACTGGTGATTTCAGAAGAAAGCTTGGCAGAACGTGCGTTAGAAACGCTATCCAGACCACTTTGCTTATCGTCATCACGAAGAACCTCCTCCAACCGTCTATTCAACTCGGCAGTCTGGTCACCAGGAGCCTTGTCCAGAGTCACGTACTTCAGAGCAACCTCGCGACCCATCTGAGGAGCGGTGGCCAACTTCTCCCTGCGGATACGGTCACCCTCCTTGGTCAATCGAAGATCGTCAATACCACAACTGAAGGCCCGCAGGTTCAGAACGCGGGTAAGGAGTCTTCCAAGAATACCGATGAGCTTTCCAGCAATGCTATATCCATAGACTTCGTGGATAGCATCGATAAGACCTCCAGCAGTAGGACCAAGCTGTTTCTTATCGAGGATACCACACAGGTACTCTCCGTCTTGGAAAATGACTTCGCCTTCTTCGTTGCCCTCACCCCATCGGTCACCAGGAGTCGAAGACTTGCTCTTCAATGTCAAGCCTCCACGGTCCGAGGGCTGGATGTTCTTAAGGATTGTGGTGATGATCTGCTTTCCGGTCCACAGGCACTTAGGCTTTCTCATAGCGGGCTCAACGAGTTGAATGCGGTCGGTGACGATGTGGGAATGCTCTGGCCTCAAGCAACTGTACAAAAGCTGGTGATAATCTTCCTCGTCGTAGAAGCTGTCACGGCAAGTAACCCAAGTTCCCATTGAAATATGATCTTGAATCAAACCTCTCAGTGGTTTACCTGAGGTGGCAACGAGATATTGGTGATCAGCGTCTGCCAACATTCTGGCTTCGGCTTGAGCCAGCTCATTTTGAGGGAAATGCATGTTCATTTCATCACCGTCGAAATCGGCGTTGTAGGTGTTACAGTTAGCGTAGTGCATGCGAATGACCCGCTCGTTGGGGAGCACACGGGCCTTGTGACCCATGATGGAGGGCTTGTGCAGGGTTGGTTGACGGTTCATCAGAACGTAATCACCGGTGGTGAGATGACGGTAGACCTTCTTGTTGCGCGAACCCTTCTGGCGCCAATTTGATGGTGCGAGCAGTGAGTTGGCAAGTGCTGTTCGCTCTTCCAGGTTCTTGAACTTGAGGTTAATAACCTGACCGTTTTCGTTCTCGATAGAAGAAGCACCAGGGTACTTGTCGGGACCGTTGATAACAGCCTCTTTCAACTCCCAGAAGTTGTGATTTGTGACAGGCTCGGGGAAAGTCAACTTCTTGGCGAAGACAAGAGGCACACCAATCTCATTGGGTTCAATGTTGGGATCGGGCGAGATAACACTACGAGCAGCAAAGTTGACACGCTTACCCATCATGTTCTTTCGGAACAGACCTTCCTTCTTCTCCAGAATCTGCTTAATACCGTTGGGCTGAGACAGGGCAGCTGAGCCGGTGACTGAGGTACGATCGCGATCAATCAAGCCGTTGACCACATCCTGAAGCTGAACGATAGCTTGAAGGAGATCACTATAATTCCGTGCCCGAGACATAGTCTTCTCTTCCTCGTTTTGAATCTCCTTGCTGATCTGGTTGATAGTGTCACATCCCTTCAAAATCGCATTGAAGGAAGTGTTCTGCTGTGCCTCCATTACTGTTCCGGCACCCTGCTGGACTGCAGGACGATACTTGTTTGGCGGCACCATGAGACTCTTGATGAAGAACATGTCCGCTGATACAACCTTCACTCCCTTGGGCACAGGCCGAGAGTTGTAAACAAGCTGCAGGATGTCGCTTTCTTTCTGGAACAGCAGATGAAGAGCTGCATAGACTTCAGAGGAAGACATGAATTCTTGGCCGGTGGATCCTTGTACCTCTTGCACGACAGCCACCCCACGGCGGATTTCTTCCTCGGCTCCATGGATCTCAGAAACACCGTTCTGCTTGGATTTGGAGTTTCTCTCTTGCTCGAGGAGGACCATGGTATTCGGTGCCTGGAATCCTCCTTGCGCCATCGCAAGCTTCGGCTTCTCAGAAAGTTGCTTTCGGAAGATTTTGTTGTATCGATCCTTCTTATAAGAGGGGGATACTCTGCCATAACGTTAGATAGGAATTTCAAAGCTGAGAAATTTTGCACAACGTACCCACTGCAGTTAGCGCATTTCTTGAATGCGTTGATATCCTTGAGGAAAGCCTTGATCAACTCTCGTCTAGCTTCAGCGGCAATAGGATTCTGCCCGCCAGCCATCAATCCATCCACTTTGCCTTCCTTCTTGGCTTCGCGGATGCGCCGAGTGACATACTCAGACCGCTTTTGCATATAGTCATCATCATCAGGGTCATCTGAGTCGTCCGAATCGTCATCCTTGCCTTTGGTGGACTTTGACTTGGCACCTTTCACGGCTCCCATCGCATCGACAATAGCGACTTCGTCAACCAGGCCGTATTGCAGCAGGCGCAATTTGCAGGTGTACATGTTGACCTGGTTGCGACCCATCTGCAAGCGAAGACAGTACACACATTGTGCTCGGAGAAGGCGGAAGATGTGATCGAAGAATGTAACATTATAGAAGGGAACTGGGAGCTCAATGTGTCCGGGGTGTCCGGTACAGGTAAAAGAGTTCTGACGGCAGGTAGTGCATCTGTAAAATTAGAAGAAAATCTCTCATGTTAGAGATTGAACAATATACTCGCCGTTAGGGTCGAGACTTACACATGATCACCCCAAGCGCCCATAGCAGGGTCTTGAAGACCACCGGGAACAGGGTTGTTGAATGAATCCAAAGTCGGAGTATTGTGAATTCTTTTCACCGAGAGAGCTTTAATCTCTTCCTCGGAGTAGACATTGAAGTCAACCCCATTAATGGTCGAGGCGACCGGGCGCGCAAAAGTTGCCATTGTAACCCGCAGCTCCTTGAGCAACAGAAAACGCTGGCGCACGAAATCAAAGTGCTCGGATCAAGTCTCCAAGTGCTTTAGTTCTGGAGCGAACTTTTTTTTTCCGGAGCAACATTCTTTCTGCCCCTCCCCACCGCTCTGTGTTTGGGTTTCTGCGTGGATCCCCTCGTGTCATACACCCCGACTTTCTTGTCTATGTCTACCTGCTAAATCATTTTGTGTTTTACGGTTACCAGAATACTGAGATTGTGAAAATCCATTTTCAATATGGCTGACACATCGGGGAATGCGCTAAAGCGTCCTCACCCTGAGGACCAGAACGACAACTCCCAGAAAAGGACCCGCTCCAACCATGGGTCTCCGGCACCAGGTCAAGGAGGCTCTACTCCGGGGAAGCCAGACATTGCGAAAATGGTGGCCGAGGCACGGGCAAAGGCAGATGCTGTCCGCGCTCGTCTACAAGCTGCGCGCGGTGGCGCGACAGCGACACCGACACCACCACCACCCCAACCGGATTCTGCAAGTCCTACTCCGCCAGCACCCAGTCCCGCGATGTCGAGATTAGAACAAATGAAAGCGCGAGTTGCTGCAGCTACTCAACGAGCCAGTGCGTCCTCTCAACAACGACCCAGTGCGCCCGCAGCCTCCTATCAGCCTCCGGTCCGCGACGATGAAGGCATTGCCAAGGCTCGCGGTGGTCTGGATGTTGGACTTCATCCCGCACTTCTCTCGGATGCTACGCCTGAGTTTCGTGGTGGTAAACAGTTCAAGCCGAAACGCGCTGGTGGGCCACAGCTTGATCTGTCCGGTCCGTCTGTCGAAGAAATCAAGAACAACCCCTACTTTGACCCATCCATCAATCCTAAAGCGACGATTGCGAAGCCCCGGCAAAACCGGCAGCTTATATTCAATCAAAAGGGCAAATATATTCAGCAGGCCGCGGCTCTGCGCAGACAGGCGCAGTTGGAGGCTATGAAGAAAAGAATTGCTGAGAAAGCACGACAGGCCGGTCTCGACGAGGACATGGACGTGGAGAAGGCATTCCTTGTTCCTGCTCCCCCCGCTCTGGAGTGGTGGGACGAAGGCTTGGTCAATGGAAGCGACTACGATGCAATTGATGACCCACAAAACATCAAAATCGATACACCTGACACTATTATCACACTTTACATCCAGCATCCTATTCAACTTGAACCTCCGCAAGAAAAACATATGCCTGCGCAGAAGCCCATGTTCCTTACTCCCAAGGAACAAGCCAAGATTCGTCGACAACGCCGCATGGCGGACCTGAAGGAGCAGCAAGCTAAGATCAGACTGGGTCTTGTGGAAGCACCGGCTCCAAAGGTCAAGAAATCCAACCTCATGCGGGTCTTGGGCGAACAAGCAGTCAAAGACCCCACGGCCGTAGAAGCTCGTGTCACCAGGGAGATTGCAGATCGTCGGGAGGCCCACGAGACTGCGAACGAAGAACGCAAATTGACCAAAGAGCAGCGTCATGAAAAATTGGCCGCTCAGCAGGAGAAGGATGCCGCTTTGGGAATCTTCCAATCTGTATATCGAATCGATAGTTTGGCGAGCGGCCGGAACCGCTTCAAGATCGGCAAAAACGCAGAGCAAAATAAACTGACGGGCATGTGTGTCATGCATCCCAGATTCAATCTGGTAATTGTTGAAGGTGGCAAGCATTCTATCAACAATTACCGAAAACTGATGATGAACCGCATCGATTGGACCGAAAACCCCGGATCTGATCGAGTGGCTGCAGACAGCCCCGAAGCTCAAGTGTCTTGGCTGTCCACTGAAGATGACAAGGGAGAGCCTCGGGATTTCAGCGAGAACACTTGCAATCTCCTTTGGGAGGGCCAGGCCAAAGGCCGCTCCTTTAAGAGATGGTTTGGTGCCCGTATCTGTGAAACCGACTCTGCGGCAAAAGAGGCCTTGTCCCGTGCGAAGATGGAGAGCTTCTGGACACTGGCAAAGAGTGCCAAGCCAGCTGAATACTGAGAAGAAAATTCCTACGATTGAGAATCAAGATCTAGGACGATTGTATATGTACGAATAGCGAGTTTGTTCTTTTATAGCCAATGTCATTGATATACATACAGCTTCAAACATTTACCGACTCGTTGACGTCGTAGAGACTTCAAACACGAAGGCACTGAAATCAAGCCATAGAAAACTTGCCCTTAATCAAAGATTTCCAACCCACATAAACCCCGCTCCGTATGCAAAGCAAATATTCCGATGCCAGGATATCACAGAAGAACATGCAAGGAAAAACAAATTTATCAAGAAGGAGGAGGGCCTTGGTTCCCGCCGCTCAAATTCCGCAGCAAATCCAGCTGAGCTTTGACTTGATCAAAGTTCATAGCAGGTGTTTGGGCCTGGGGAGGTGCTTGCTGCTGGGGCTGCTGATAATGCGGGTGCTGGGGCTGAGCGAAATGCTGCATGGGCTGAGTCCGCGCAAGTTGAAGCAATTGTTGTTGTTGCTGTTGCAAAATAGCAAGGTGTTGAGGGGTGAATTGATTAGCACCCTGTGAGGGGTTCTGGAACATCATGGGCTGCATTTGTTGTAATCCCTGGAGATTAGGGAACTGGAAAGGCATCTGTGCTAGCCCTCCATTTTGACCAAACTGCGGCTGTTGCTGTTGAAGTTGCGGGTTCTGAGCTTGTTGCTGTGCGTATTGTGCATATGCAGCGAAGGGCTGGGCCATCCCGTACGGATACTGGGGCTGCTGTTGGTACATGGGTTGGCCGTATGGTGTGGGCTGGGCTTGTGGTTGGGGTTGAGGTTGGGCCTGGGCCTGGGCCTGAGGCTGAGCCTCATAGGATGAACTATTGCCCTGCTGAGGCCGACGGTCTTGTTCCCATTCCCTGCCTCCTCGTCCCCCTCTGCCTCGTCCTCCACGCCCACGATCACCCCGGCCACGGCCTCTTCCGCCACGGAAGCCGCCGCGCTCATTGCCTTCGACTGGGGGCTCGCGGGAACTCATCATTTCGTGGAGGTTGGTGGGGCGTGCAAGAGGGGTGTAACCCTCCTCGCCTCCTGCATCGTCATAGTTGAGCTCACTCTGGTTCAACTTGGAAGGTCCCGGGGCTGGCTTCTTGCCTCGGGGGCCTTCTCTGGCTTCCTTTCGCTCTTGTCGCTTTTGCTTTAGCTTGCGCTTATATTCAGCCTCCGCCTCGTCATCGGAGAATTCCATCTCTTCATCGGCAACCTCCTCGTCGTGGAAGTTGGAGGCATCACTGCCCTTCATGCCCTTAAGTGGCTGAGTGAAAACAAAGGTTGAGTGCCCTTCAACGTAGAAAATGTCTTTTCCCTTAACTAGGCCCTTTTCCTGAACCTCGGCGGCTGTGGCATATGCGATGGTGTACAGAGGGTTTTCAACTCTGCCAAGGGTCTCTGCTACTACACCAATAACCTGGCGGTCATCAGAGCAAAGCAAGGAGCCCGACTCAAGTACCTGATATTCTCCTGAGGTATTGGCCTCGACAAGGACATTGTTGTCTATAGCGGCATGAACTTTACCGAGGAACACAATATTCATCTCGGGGGTGATCTTGACGTCAGGAACAGGCAAAATCTCCTGTTCGATTTCGTTGGTGGTCCGCAGATGTCCACCCGATTTGCCCTTGCCATCTCCCTCGTCATCCGAGCCGCCTTCCGCTAGCATGAGAATCCGCGCTTGCTCCTCGGCACTGAGGATGGGATAGTCCTCATCGTCGCTATCATCGGAGTCTGAGGAATCTGAACTGTCCGAAGATGATTCGTAGGGGGAGGAGTCAACCTCCCACTCAGGGTGCTCTTCTTCTTCGCCATCTTCGCCCTTAGCAGCGGCCTCAATCATATTGTCTTGGTGTGTGTTTTGCTCGACTTCCATGGATTCGGCGGGGGCAGCAGTCGCTTCATGTTCGATTTTGATCGCCTCCGGCTCGTCCTTCATCACTACCTCGCTGGGTTCGGGCTGGGAGACATGTTGGTTTTGATCTTGTTTGGTCTCTGTACCCAAATCCTCTTCTTTTTGCACTGGCTTATCTTGCTCTTGCTGGGTTGTGTGTTCGGTTGGGGGTGAGCCATTGGCTTGTTCGGAGGGGTGGTGGATAAGGTTCAATCCGGGGATCACATTGCTGGGCTTTGAGGGAACAGGGATATCGCCTGCATCTTTTTCAATGGTCACCCCAGTTGTACTCATGGCTGGGGTGGCGCCAGCCAAGGGAGTGCCGTAGAAATCGCTGCCAGTGTCTGGGGTCCCATGGACAGGCGGCGTCTCGATCAAACAGGGCTTTTTCGAAGCAGGGCCTTCAGTGGCACCTGTAGCCTCATTTGAGGAGTTCTGATGATCACTCATATTGATTTTTGACCACAAAATAGAATAAAACCAATGCAAATCGCAAGATCAGAAAAATGTCGGATAGGAAACTTTTTTTTAATCTGCCGGATTACACAGGGCGGTCAACGAAGCCTTATCGGTTATCGTAACTCTATCTGGATGAAGTCAATGTTTCCAGATTCCAACGCCTCTCCAACACGCAAGATGGCAGAGACCGACAATGCTGCGGGGGATGTCCATAAACCTCGAACAAAGAAGCAGTATGTAACTTAATATATGTGGGATTAAACAATCTGCTGACATTTATATAGACCCCCACCACCTCCCTTCTACATCCCCCTCAATATCACCCTCTACCTGTGCTTAGTCGCGAACGGACTCGCCGCGATATTCTCCCCAATCCAAGATTGCGATGAGGTTTTCAATTTTTGGGAACCTGCGCATTATTTACAGCATGGATATGGACTCCAAACATGGGAATATTCCCCTGTTTATTCTATTCGGAGCTGGCTCTACGTCTCGCTCCATGCTGCCGTAGGCAAGCTGGGGTCTTTGGTGGTTCACACCAAGACAACTGAATTTTATACAATTCGGTTAGTTCTTGCATTTGTATGTGCAGCCTGCCAGACTCGATTATACTCGGCGATCTGTCGCACTCTCAGCCCCCGCATCGGTCTCTTGTTTGTGATGGTCACTACACTCAGTCCCGGCATGTTCCATGCTTCGACTGCCTTTTTGCCATCCACTTTTACCATGTATATGTCGATGCTTGGTCTGGCTGCATTCCTTGATTGGAACAATAGCCAAAGAACAGCGCGGGGGATCATGTGGTTTGGACTGGGCACAATAGTTGGGTGGCCGTTTGCTGGTGCGCTTATTGTCCCACTTTTGGCTGAAGAGGCTATTATTAGCCTCAAGTCCGGATTGTTTGGCTCATTCTTGTGTGCTGTATTTGATGGTGTTGTTCGTTGTTTGTCTATTCTGGTAAGTTGTCCTTGTCTGGCCTCGATGGGGTTACTAAGGTGTATCACAGGCTCTTGAAGTTGCAGTTGACTATGCTTTCTTCCGAAAACTTGTCCTTGTGCCTTGGAACATTGTTGCCTACAACATCTTTGGAGGAGAGGGTAAGGGACCAGACATTTTTGGGACAGAGCCGTGGACTTTCTATATTCGAAACCTCTTGCTCAACTTCAATGTCTGGTTCATCCTCGCCATGCTATCCGCACCTCTACTGTTTTTCCAGATGGTCTTTAGATCGCACACTACCTCCTTGAAAACCTCACTGCGATCCATGACCCTGGTCGCACCTTTCTACATGTGGCTTGGTATCTTCTCGGTCCAGCCTCACAAGGAAGAGCGATTTATGTTTCCTGCATACCCATTCCTGGCACTCAGCGCGGCTCTTAGTTTCCATATTATCCTGACCTATCTTGGTTCAACTAACCCGAAGGAACTAGTCGGGCGCGTACCAACCAAACTTAAGATTGCTGCAGCCCTGTCAGTCGTTTTAGTCGCTTTCAATGCTGGCTTGTTGCGCACTTTGGGCATGGTCACGGCGTACAGCGCTCCATTGAAGGTCTTTGAGCCTCTACAGCGGGTGGACATCGCGCAGGCAGGAGACTCGGTGTGTTTCGGCAAGGAGTGGTATCGCTTCCCGTCCTCCTATTTCCTTCCCAACGACATGCGTGCCAAGTTTATCCGAAGCGAATTTGAAGGATTACTTCCAAGCGAATTCCCGGACGCGCCGAGCTATATTCAGCGTCTGGATGGTGCCTCGCAGATCCCGTCTGGCATGAACGATCTCAACATCGAGGACCCCAGCAAATACGTAAGTGCCGCAACGAGATGTTGAAATGACCATGTCCCATCTTATGCTGACTTGAATACAGGTTGACATCTCTCAATGTTCTTTCTTGGTTGACTCCTACTTCCCTGGCCACGATGCAACCGAGCTGGAGCCTCATTACGTCACAGATAAGACGCAGTGGGAGACGGTATCCTGCGCAAGCTTCCTCGACGCATCCCAAACCGGTCTGCTAGGTCGGTTGATCTGGATTCCGGATCTTCCAGTCATCCCAGACCGCTTCCGACGCAAATGGGGCGAGTACTGTCTGCTCCAGCGAACTGCTGCAGGTCATGTATAAATCCAGGATAACCCTTACATTATTCTGGGGAAGACATGCTCTCCAGAGTAATTGTGTAAAAATATCAACATTCGAACAATCATCGACATTCAATCCCAGCAAACATAGAGAGACAAAAGCCAGATTCTCGGGTAGGACGTAGCATGCCTTTTTCCCAAAAGGACAAAAAGTCCGTGACCTTGAAGAATGATAAGCTCTGATGGGCAGATAGCCCCTCGCCATGCCTCGCCAGGGACAAATCGCATCTTCAGCTGCCCAGCAATAGGTTCAATTACCCTCCAGCACATGCAGCGACGGATTCAACAGCTCGAAAAAGACGGTGCGGAGAACACTCTCTCCAATGCCTCTCCCCGCGACTCAATGAAGCCAACGCCACTGTCCCAAGCCGCACTCTATTGCTCAACTTACAAAGATAAGGGTTGATCTCGCATCGGATTGACAAGAAAGGCAGCTCGCAAGAGAAGACTATTCGATATTCCACTTTATATAGACTTGATAAAGGCGATCGGGGCCCACTTCATGTCCGCTATGTACTACATCGATGTACATACCTAGACCTTGTTCATCTTGATTTCTTCACTTTATATTGATTTTGCGGACTATGTAAAATTGATAGTGGTTTCTATATCGTCCTTGTTATCTTGAATCGAGATCTTCTGTCATCATGCCGGCGCTCGAATCCCTACGGGGAGCCATCTTATCCAATATCCCGACGAAAGAAGTCGTCGGCGCCTTTCTCGCTCTCAATCTCTGTGCATGTCTAGTTGTCTTGGTCTCGCGAAAATGGACCTTTGGCAAGACGGCCAGAGCTTCGAGCCCTGATCTTGAGAAGCCCGATACTGTGAAAGGCAAAGTCACCAGGCCTCCGGGTGGTAGGTACATGGATGGAAATACCATTTCAAGCCCAGACAAAACATACCTACTGACAGCCACTCTATAGAATGGACTCCATCTGAGTTCAAGCGGCCAACAGCGGCCCCATACCCCGAATGGGATGTCCATTCGACAAAGCCGATTCCCTATCGACCTTTTAGATATGGGCCGTAAGTTGAATCAACCTAGTGAGGATAGACTCATATATTGACTCCTGACAGAAAATACTTCATCACAATGGGTCTCAGAAGCATGAAATGGGACGAATGTATCGGTTAGTCTTCAATAATCAAAACATACTAGCATAACCTAACCTCATATCTCCCCACAACACAGAGCTCGACAACAACTATCTGAAATACCACGCAGACAAAGCCCGCCGCATCCAAGAGCGCGGCAGCAAAGGCTGCCACACAGCACCAGAAGCCATGGACGGAGCAATCGAGCTACTAGAAGAACTGTAAGTACCAGGAAAAGAAACACATGACCCCTCCATATCCAACGAACCCCAGTCTAACAACCCTCTCACCAGATGCGCCTACCTCCCGGAACGATACCCAAGCATGTTCACCAAGACCACCACGGGAATAATCAACAAAATCACCAACGAAACCTTCAACATAACCCAACGCCCCCTCCCCGAAGACCCAATGGCCACAGCCGCCCGACTAGTCCAAGACGACCTGGCCCTAATGTTCGAGCGCGCAGACGGCGAATACTACCTCCTAGCCGGTGCCATCCTGCTCGCGGGCTTCTGGCGCCTAAGCGACAAATTCGGCATGCGATTATCCGAAATCCACACGTCGGGCGACGTACCAGGATACAAAAGCAAGCTGGAGAAAGGCATGATGAATTTCTTCCGCCGACTTCGGCCCGAGGAGCCCGTTCTACGGAATAACTATTTCATCCAGGTGGATGATAACCTGGCGTGGTCGCATAGTATTGGGTCTGAGGATGCGGAGACGGTGTCGTGGAGTACGGCGGAGAAGAACCGCGCTATTGAGAATCACTTCTTTCGCTCGGAGAGGCAGTCGCTGAGGAGGTTGCCCAGGTCTGGGGCGGTGGTTTTTACGATTCGGACGTACTTTGAGCCGGTGACTGGGATTGTGGGGGAGGATTATGTGCCTGGGCGTTTGGCGGATGCGGTTCGGAGTTGGGGGGATGATGTTAGTCGGTATAAAGGGAAGGAGAAGTATCAGGATGTTTTGTTGGAGTTTTTGGATCGGAAGCATAAGGAGCAGGTTGAGGCTGGGTTGGAGGTTGAGAAGGAGGATGAAGTTAGGAGTTATCCTTTGTGAGGAAGCTATGGGGTTTATGAATGATGACTTTGGCTGTTGGATGTCTTTCGTGTCTATTCACTCAGTTAATCTTGATAATGGGAGGTACTTTGCATTTATACAGAGCTTGTAAATCGATCTTTCCTCGCTGTCCATAACAAGGTCGATCGCAGCTTTGGGCAGTTTCAAATGAACCCCATATGTCTGTATTCGCTGAACATGTACAAGAAGCGATATAATTAAACACATTACAACCCTCATGGCCAGACTTGGACTAGAATTATATGTCCGCCGACCCAGCTCTCTGGCCCCGTCCACGTCTCGCATAAGCCAACTCACGCTCCTGGCGCCAGGAGCATTCATCGCGGAACTCGCAAATTCGACATTTCCATGCGTCCATGATATCTACACCGCGGGGATCTCGCTGGCCATTCCACCAAGTCATCTGGTCGGTGAGGTAGGAAGTCAGGGTCGTCGGGTCGAAGAGGAATGATCGGCTTCCCAAAAGCTGTCTCTCTAGATCCTCGTTGGCGGTAGATGAGAGATATCTGGCTGTGAGCACAGGAGAGAGGAGAGTTGGGTATTCTTCCAAAAGCTCTGGCTGGGAGACAGATGGGATTGACGGTGCGATGGGTTGTGTTTCAAGAGAAGTTTCGGGGAGGAACGTGAGGCGCATTTGGTCTATCATGAGACTCCAAAGACGGGATAGGTTGTTGTGTGTCATGAGCATGCTGGTTGAGTCTTGACTGGCAGAAGGAGGACTCGCTTTCTGTTCAGACTCTTGTGAGGAGACAGCATCGAAGAACTGATCATTCAGTCCGCCAACCTCCGAGACAAATGCTTTTGTGAACGGACATTCAACGTCAAAGCCATATCGTGCAGCGAGGATATTAATGGTGACATCGTCACTCGTGATCAGTCGGTTGAGCATATGGTAGTAGAGTTGTAGCTGCAGAAGAGTCGGTCGGAACCCCGAGCTTTTCACAGTGGGTAACGAACGACTAGCCTTCGTTTTCACATCTGTCAAATAAATCCGGGGTAGATTATGAACAGCCGCAGGCAATTCCGGCTCAACAGCGCTCATTTCCTCAAATTGATTTTGTCCCAGATCCGAAAGCTTCATCCCGCCCTGCGAAGAGGACAGCAAATAATCCGACAAGGACATCTGATACTCCGGCAGTGCAGCGCGTGATGCTACAGCGTCCGCATAATATCCAGCAGCAGTAGCCTCAAGCTCCGAGTCCGGACATTCATAGGATAACTGATCAATAACACCATTGACAATCTCCCCGTCGACAACGCCCCAAACCTCCAGCTCGCGCGTGATACCGTACTCGCGCAGCATCCGCAATCCTTGGATGACATTCCAAATCCTGAGACCCCACGCATCCTCTTTGGTCGTGATTTCCACGGGGACAGTAGTGTAGATCTCATCCTCGAGCGTCTTGTGCATGGAGCTCCCCTTCTTCATAGCAGGAGTCCTCCTCTTGCGCCCATGTTTGGTCAACGTATACCAGTACTGCAGCTCGCACCACGCAGGCGAAACCAAGTCCGTCACTGAAAACGCTTTATTAGGTGCTCGTCGAAACCGTTCGACAGGGGATCGAGTATCGACTGCATTGGATTGTCGCGTCCATTCGAGCTCACGGGCTGCGTTGCGCTCGCGCTCTTTTTCTCGACCCTCCGTTGAATTAGAGTGCTCGACTAAACGCTTCGGATAATATGTCGTCAGCTCAATTCAGGACTAACACGATGAAATCCATTGATAAGATTGGACCAAATGGGGAATAGTTCAGATGGAAAAGCATACCAGACGGGCTGGACCTGTTGCTGTTGCTGTTGCCAGCATGCGGACTCGATCTCCCCATAGCACTCGGATTCCATCTGACCGCCGGGCCTGGTCGAGGCTGCGACTGCCGCCATGGCGAGAGAGGCCCTTCCCGGCCAAGCACCTTAGGCAGCCGAACGACCGGTGGCTCAATGCCATCCTCGATATCCGCGACGAGGGCCGCTAGGACTGTTGGTTGTAGAGACTCGAGTTCGGCGAGTTCGGGGGATTTTGGCGCGGTTATACGTTCAATGGGCGTTGGAGTCGAGGTCCAGGTCGGTGTCGAGGTGGCGGCGTCGGTCGCGTGTTCCGCTACGGCTTTGCTGAGTAGGTTGTTCAGCAGGTCCTCTTCGTCTGGCGTGAAGTCGGATCCATAGTCGCTGGAGTCGAGATCCTCAATTCTCTCTGGGCAGGACATGCCTGCGACTGGAGGGGATCATGTTCTGTTCTGGGGAGTGTTGTTCTAGATTTGCGTCATATGGCGATCGGCGTTAAGAATCCCGTTGTTCCTACTGGCTGACCACTCATTTGGGAATTGTATGGAGATGGGCATAGAATGACAGACAATATAAGAGACCTTGAAGTCTGGATCTCATGAATTGCTCTTGATATCTCATGCATCGCTCAGAAGCCAGAAAAGAAAGAGAAGAACCAAAAAAACGTGCCCAACGCCGAGATTCCGCTGTAATCTATGAATCTATACAAAATCCCATCACCTTCAACTGTACTTTTTATCTATGTATCATGAATTCATGCAGTCCCAACAGAGACCATGTTCCCTCCAGAAACACCATGGAACGCACCAGAACCCATTCCCTCCGCGGCAGCAAGCGCCTCAGCAGCAGCAACCTCCTTCGCCGCTTTCTGATTCAACCAGCTCAGATAAGTCTGCCAGCCAACCGCCACGCAGCCAGAGAAGACATTCCGGAACTGCGCTGGCACGTACATAAAGCTAAACGCAGTAACAACCGGCCAGAGCTTGACACTGTTCGTGACACTGACAGGGAGAGCCTTCTTGAGACGCTCCCAGGTTTCCTCGAGCGTCGCACCCGCCAGAAGCGACTGCATACTGAAAAAGTACGTATTGAACACAGGAGTGAAGCAAGTCTGCTGTACCACGACTTTAGTCAAGATAGAGAGGAACTTGCTTGGGTAGTTGAAGTGATTGCCGAGGAACATGAACCTGGGCGAAGATGTCAGTACCAGACAAGGATATAAATTCACAATAAACATCTAAAATCCATGGATCGTATGAATCCACTCCTGCATTGGAGGCACGTACCAGTTGTAAGAAGGAATGCTCGATCCAGCTCCGACACATAAGTGCCGAAGAGTTCGCAACGGATCATATCCAGCACTGACAGTCTCACCCCCTCCTTGCGCATCATTACCATCTTCCTTCGCAGGCGCAGGAACTTCGGAGGGGAAGAACATCTGCGCGCTCAGATCGCCGCATAGATAGATGACAATCGCGCTCCAGAACTGCGTCGTGTATGGCTTGCGCTCCTGCACGCGCGCATACCATCGTCCAAATGTCCCGATCGGACTGGCTTTGATCACATCGCGGAATCCACGACTGCGTAGCAGTGTGGCTGGTGCTCCGGCGGCAGTAGCAACGGCGGGGATGGTGTCTGGTGGCCTCGATGGACCTGAGGAGGTTGACTGGTGCGAAAATTGTTGTGAATGTGGAGGTGTGGATTTACACTCGGAGGCTTTCCTTTCCGCAGGATTGGACTTGTGCCGGCGTTGTGGGCGTGCTCGGCGCAATACCTGGGGTTGGGATCTGGGGGTTATCGGTCGGCGGAGGATGGTTGTGGGTAAGCTCGAGGCCCTGGGTGCAAGACTGTTGAGGTTCATATCCAATACCGCATCTATGTGCACAAACTGAGAATGGACGAAAGAAATAGAAAACAGAAACAGAAACCAAATGAGCGTGACGAGGAGCAATGGCAAAAAGTCGAGAATCTGACCTCGGAGTTGTGGCGATAAGAGTCATCCGAAAAGCGGGTGAAAACAGTGCCGGGTACAGGTTCCGATGGCGTTGGTTAGAGATGAGTGAGCTAAACGGATATATTCTAATGATCTTGATATAATACCTAAGAGTCTGTGGTATAGTGACATGAATTGAGAAGTCATATTTGCTATAAAAAAAAGACAAGAAACAAAACACGAACTCCAGCTCTAAGGTAATGCATCCATCCCATAAAAACATTAGTCGGAGGTCGACATGGTATAAACAGGTATCAGTCCAAACATAAACGTAACACATGCAAGAAGGAAGCTTTTTTAGACATGGGGGGGGAGGAAATAGAAACTATGATTAGAGCAACACAGGCGTGTATGAATAAACAACCCGGTCGAGAGATAATAGGGGTCGGAGGAAGTATAGCCAAGCTGCTCAGCAGCCATCTATGGCTTGAAAGATTCACGAGTATTAACACGGTCAACATCGTAGGGGTTTCCCTCGTAGGTAACCGTGCGAGCTAGCGAGGCACCAGTGCGGTTTGAAGCGACAGATTGCCTACGGCTGCGAGTACGCTCGGCAGCGAGCGGTTCACCAACGCCATCCTCGGATTCGCTAGAGATCGAGCCGGCGGGCGCGGGAGCCTCAGTGCGGTCGTATTCCACCTTCTCGTCCGGCACCGGCGCCGTACTAAACTGCTCCTGGATCTTGCGCATGAAAGCCTCGGACTGGGCGGCGAACTTGCAGCGGGCGCGAATCGCAGGCCCGTACTTGTAGAACAAGAATGGGAAGGGGACACAGGCGAGAGCCAAGAAGGCCGGGATCGAGGAAGCCCAGTGAATTCCAAGGTCATTGTACATGTATGTGGTGAAGAGGGGGAAAACGGCACCGAAGAGGGAACGGATGACGGAGTTGGCAGCCAGAACGGAGGCGGCGAAAATGGTGTAGGCGTCAATAAGATAGTTCAGGATGCTGAGGAAAACGAGGACCATTCCAAAGCCGAAGGGAACGCCGGCTGCGATGCTGACCATGAAGTGGATGGAGGGATAGTTGGTCCATGCGAACCAAAACAGGCCAATTGGGACCGCAACGGATGCGATGAGACATGGTGGAAGACGTGCCTCCGGGGGTGCGAAGCCCTGGTGTTTTTCGGATACCTTAACATAGCGCTTGTTATCCCAGATAGAATAGGCAACAGCTATTATCATGCCAATCATAATACCGAGGAAAGCGAGGCCGCCTATACCCTGGTTCCAGCCACGCGACTGCTGATAGACAATAGGGAAGGCAGCGAACATCATATACAAGGTACCGTAGATGATAGCCATGTAAAGAGACAGCAAAAAGACGATAGGCTCGCGGAATAGGAGGATCCAAGGGCGAGAGAGAGACAGCTTGAACGACTCCTTAAGGGTGACCTTGCCTTGGTCGACCTCAATCTTACTGCGATAGACCTTGCCCGTCAACTTCGACAATCTCTCCGCACGGCGGCGGAGAAGCACAGGCGCATAGGTCTCGGGAATCAGCAGAGAGCCTATGATCCAAACTGCTCCAGAGAAAGCAGCAAGGTAACCCATGACCCATCGCCAGCCGCCAGCACTCATGCCGATGAATCCACCAGTGATGGGGCCCAGAATAGGGCCGAGGAAAGGTGCGGCAGCAAACAGACTCGTGGCGATACCTCGTTGCTTCGCAGAGAACATATCGGCAATCACACCACCAGCGTTGGTCAAAGGCGAGGAACCGAAGGAACCGGCAAAGAATCGAAGGATGATTAGGGTCCAGGCATTTTGAGAGCCAGCAACACCAGCATTGAAAGCTGTGAGGGCAGCGTATGTAGTGATGAACAGAATTTGGCGACCAAACAGCTCACTCAGTGGAGCCCAGAGCAACGGTCCAATCTACAGTTCAAGCAAAGAATGTTAGAGATCATACACCACGAACTGTACCAGCTCCAGGCCAAAAACCAAGAGCTTATCTAGAGAGTCGATGACTTACCGCGAAACCGAGCACAAACAGCGAGACACCCAAAGTGGCGACTTCCTGTCCGATTTTGAACTCCACCATGATCTCTCGAAGACCACCGGTGTAGGCAGATGATACCAATGCAACGGCCAAGGTTGCGATGGCAACCAACAGGGTAAACGTCCACTTCTTGGCCTCACTCCAATTCATGGGATTGCGAGGGTCATCGGGAATCCATGTTACTACGAAAGGATCCTCATCCGTTCCTGAGCCGGGGTAGGTATGGTCGATAATCTCTTGGGTGACGACACCCTGATCCGAGACCAAGCGCCAGTAGGGGATTTTTGTTGGGGCAGAAGGCTCGATCTTTTCCGAGGCCTGTTCCATATCCGCTGCCATGGTGGGCAGGTGATGTGTTGGGATTGCGAGTATTCCAAGTTCGTGCGTCAATTGTCAATTAAGGTGAAATGGAGCTTGATTATGTGTGGGTTCCTGAGGCTCCGCTTGCGGGGATAGCAAGAGGGGAGCACAGGGGCAGATATCGATTAGGTATATGGGAGGTGGAAATGAAGAATCGGAGGTAAAATTCAGCAGGAACCTCCACTTATATAAAAGAGTTTGCTCTCAGATTTTTAGCGTGGGTTGCATAGCTCATATTGATCTCATGCTATGCAGGTTTAAGAGTGAATAAAGAAAAATGAGAAAGGTGACAAGTGGGCAATGGGTGGGGACGGATGCGGACGTCTGCCCCGATGCAGATATAAGCCCTATCAGGATTATTCATCTTTCGCCTTACTCCGTACAGGCTTTCAAGGTTGGAGAAGTCTGTTCTATTGCTATGATGGTACTCCGTATAATTCGCAAGTTGTCTACGTAGGCGTCTACGTAGACGTCTACGTAGACACCGAGGTATTCATCGCGGTAGATGCTGCTAACAGAAGCCGGAGGCAAATCGAATGCAAACTGTAGCCACGTTTTCGCGCGTGACTTGGGCGGAGAAAAAAAAGCTTCGTGCCAAGCCACCCGGCTATGCGGCATCGCTTCCATTGGCTCGGCGTTAGGATAAACCCAAGTTCCGTGCTGAAGTAATATCAGTTCCCACTCTATCTCCACCGTCTAGACTTATGGGGGATATGGTGTCAGGGATATACCTAAGTCACTAACCCCCTTTTATTAAAGATCGGGAGGTTTTAGATTTCATTTTCTGATTTTTTGTACCTCTCGCTCTAGTTCTGGTAGGTAGAGCGTGTGGATCATAGAGTAGGTGAGATATCAAGGTAAAAAAAAAGATGCAAAGAAAATTCCAAACTGATGTAGCTCTCGGCGGGGCCGTGCATCAATTCTGGGCCCATGTTTGACGTTCCACCTCGGAGTCGGTAACTTGCCGACTCGGGAAGCTCCATATCGCATTATGGGGTCTGAGAATACTCCGTAGATATCTTGTAGATCGACCTAGAGTCCTCCATCTCCAACATACACAGATCTCACAAAGCTTCTATATCAGAGGTATCTCCGGTGCACGTACCCCATACCCCGTTCCCTAAGGGTTTACCCACCTTATGGCCGGCTAAACTCCATGTGTACACAGATATGTACTGCGTACTCTGCACACCGACCCAACTTATGCAGCCTTGAAATGATTGATCATTAGAATATCGGTGCCTAAATATAAATTGCACCATATGCTTATTCACTCGAACTCCGTAGATACCCGGAGCCATTGATGTCATCCTTCCCCTTCTTCTCCTGGCTGACTCCATGATTGACTCCAGATCACCACCTCGCCCCTCGCCCCGGATATATAATCAAATTACAATTAGGAATAGATACCAATGACATCCCTCTTTCCCAAATTAGCGCCGTGGTTACTCCGAGATTGTAAGCAATGCAGTTATATCCATGTACCCATGGATATATTTAGATACATGAGTCATGGAAGATTAGGATCAATGTCAATATAGTTTCAAGCATTAACGGGAGGATCCCATGTGAAGCCTGGGCCACCGCGCCCACAAGCCACGCAAACCAGACCACAAAGGGAATAGATCTTCACGGCCATTCTTCGCTATGATAAACCTGCCTGCCACACATCAAGGTGGCTTATAGAGGAAGATTTCTCAATGAATCGAGGAACGCGACGCCTTATTGTTTAATGTCCGTTGGAACATGGGTGTAGCCCGTGTTCCTCCGACCTCCCATGGGGTATAGGGATATGCTAAGCAATGGAATTATTATGTTATTCTGTACAGAAGTACGCCCATAGAAAGCAACCCATCCATGATAATATGGGAGGATGGCCAGTTGTCTGTCCTCCTTTCTCTGCCGTATAAGATGGTTAGACCCAGTTTCCGATTCGAGAGTTCCCAGGCTGCCCGTGTGTGCTTCTTCCAGGGATTGCCATGTCCCCGTTTCTGAATGTGAGCCACTCTCTAGGGCCGGCCGTCTTTCGCGGCCGTTGGCTAATAGAAAGCGACGCCTTGGTCAAGTAAAAGGCACATATCTTGTAGATACTACATCCAAGATTACCTCTGCACCCTGCATGCTCTATCTTTGGATAAGAGCCTTTCATTTGTAAACTTCCGAGGCCCTGTGAGAAGATTTTGAGCATGGTAGAGGATTTTTATTCCATGTACTAGGAGTCCCAGTGCCTCTAAAATTGAAAATTTCTAGTATGCCAAATGCATAGTACCTCCCGGTTAATCGGGCCCACTCCCAACGAACAATGTATTTTTGCTCTCTCAAGCTGGTCGTCACCTGCACTAATTCCACGGCGTAAGCTAGAATTTTCCATCGAAGCTTGGTGCCTTCGTTTTCGCCTCAGGCCGGCAGCCGTCAGATGGACCCACTAGAAGTAGATACATTCACTAGGACAAGATATAGCATTGATCTTGGTACCAAAGAGATGAAATACGCGTCAACTTATATCAATCGATTCATCTTAGTTTTAGTTACCAAATTCTGCAATCTCAATACTTTTTAGTCCGGTTTGGTGGTAGGATCAAGGAAACAAAGTACGCGTTCAAGTCACTCCGTCCCCACAGTGAATCCGCGTGGCATCGACAATCTTGACACCTGCGATACAAGGCCAATATAGCCCTATCATCCAACTGGACTCTAACCTCACAAATACACGTACAGCGTATGTACAGAGTACCCCGTACTCAGCCTTGTTTCGCTTGTCCGGATATAGACAGGTTGGTATGTAATCTACTGGAGAATCTATAAATGAAGTATAAAATTGCCAACCCTGCATTATGATTCTAGAAAATACCCCGGTTACCTCTAGGTAATCACAGAGTCAGCAAATCATATCTCTACAAGTACCAGGAATGGCAATATATTCCAAGTTTTTGGTTTGATCTGATCTTTTCTTTGATCCAATCCTTTGTTCTCTACACTTTGGGGTGTGATCATCTGATATTCGATTCGATTTCTCAATGGATTTGGGTGGTTCTCGTCCTTCCAGGACCTGTTGAATAGGAAGCAATGAGTCATTCTGATATTCTAGCGAAGGCAGCCAGTGCTCATGACATGTTGATCTCATTGTGACTCGATCCCAGCCCAGTCATGATATGACTTGCAGCAGGGTTCTTCAGTGGCGATCAAATTCTAGATGTCGGGATATTCACAATTCGGCGAGAGGGTCTACAATGTCGTGTGCGAGTATAAACTGGATAGAAAGTCCGAGCTCAACCGTTTCATTGTATTCCGGAGTATGATTGGGGGGTCTTCTAGTCGTGGTCGTTTCTTTGGATCACGGTTGAGTCAAGGTGATCTCATATCGAGTGTCTGCCAAGCTGGGATCGAGGGCAGGTTCGGGTGGCGATCGACTTTGCAAATCCCAGCCCAAGCAGGTATTCACGTTCTACTCGCCGGTTTTCCAAGTGGTCAGATGTAAATACTGCAAAATATCACAATTTCGAGTGTAAATTTGTTACTTGGTTTGTTACAGTCTAATTATAGCCTCGGACTTGAGCAAAGGACGACCTCTTGTAAGGCTCGTTCCACGTTGTGTAATTGGGGGGAAACCTTCCGGGGACATTCGGAGTAAACTGGAGTGTCACGGGGTTTCTTCTTGACGAGAAACGAAACTTGGCCCAATTGATGGGTCTGGCCATTTCTTGGGCTTAAAGTGGTTTTGCCCGTGTTTTTACCAAACAAGTTCGGTTGAGCAATGGTGTGGTCGCCAATTTGTATAGGTTGCAAGGGTAAAGTCGCGACTGTACCGTGGGCAGAACAAACACAAACGAGCAAGACACGAGCCCACCCACTCTCCAGAGGAGCACAGGCAGGACAACAGTCAAACGCGTCTTTTCGCGTTTGTCACAACAAACTACTCTGTGCCTCGAAAAGACTCTAAAATTTACAAGGAAGAAAAGAAGTTGAATCATAGAAGACTGCATTAAGAAGTCTTGTCATGAGATGATGCGCGCTAAGGCATCATGTTAAGGGAGCCCCATAATGTACATGCCCATGACTGATCCATCAATCGATGGTGAGCAGTAGCATCGATAAAAAAGCAAAATTGCGAAGCAACCCGGTTCCGAAACCCATTGATATTTGAAAGCAAACCCATCATGTATCGCCAGTAGTCATGATAAAAAGATAAAAACAAACCCCTGATCGCCTTTCAGAAAACCAGCTCTTTCAAAGAGGAAAATTAAGAGCGCTCGCCACGGAGACGACGGGCCAGCTGGATGTCCTTGGACTGGATGGTGACACGCTTGGCGTGGATGGCGCACAGGTTGGTGTCCTCGAAGAGAGAGACGAGGTAGGCCTCAACGGACTCCTGGAGAGCACCGATGGCAGAGGACTGGAAGCGGAGATCGGACTTGAAATCCTGGGCGATCTCACGAACCAGACGCTGGAAGGGGAGCTTGCGGATCAGGAGCTCAGTGGACTTCTGGTAGCGACGGATCTCACGGAGAGCGACGGTACCTATTCATAGATTGTTAGAAGATGTTCGAGAACATAGTGTGGCGTTGCCATTCAATGACATGAGATGAGACTTACCGGGCTTGTAGCGGTGGGGCTTCTTGACACCTCCGGTAGAAGGAGCGGCCTTGCGGGCGGCCTTGGAAGCGAGCTGCTTACGGGGAGCCTTGCCACCAGTGGACTTACCTATTTGAGACAGTTAGCACTCTGTTCTGAAGGAACTTCGCGTCAACGCGTCACTCGCCTTCCCCCTCAACGCGGACACCTGATAATTCAGGTGTCGACGATGCGGTAGAGCGGCGAGTGAATAAAAGAGGAGATATGTATAAACTTACGGGCAGTCTGCTTGGTACGAGCCATCTTAGATGATAGACTTGATGAAAAATGTGGTTTTGTTGATGGAAAGTCGGTTGGCGGAGAATGGATGAGAAAGGGAAGAGAGAGGAGGGTGGGGGAAGGCTATTTGTAGGAAACGGGAAAGGGCGGACTGATCTGGACGGGAACCACGAATCAGGGGAAGTAAGCCCATCAGGAATCAGGGCGTAGGGACTCTGCGTAGCGCGTAGCCCAGAGACTGATTTGCGGTGAGTGCTGATTGGCCAAACTGGATCAAAGTCCTGGTACTGCCAACTAAGCGAGTGGTGAGCCAATGACAGGGCAGGATCACGGAGTATAGAATGCAAGACCCTCGAATTCTTGATCTTGCAACCAGCCTCCCTTGGACGGACAATCAAAGCATTCTAACCGATGGAGCATTCTTGAAAATGCGTCTTTGCACGGTTTTGACCAGAGATGAACATTGTTGGTGGCGGATTCCAGCTGGATCACTGAGAGACAGCGGCAAAGTTGGCGTTCCGACTCTGGGGTGGCCCGGTAGATCAAGGCTGGTCTGTGATCCTGCGCTCTCATTGGTGGACCCAATCCCTAGCGCGTGATTTCCCTATCCTCGCGGTCTTCCGTGTCATACAAATATCCGTTGTCCACTTCCTCTTCTCTTCTATCTTTCCATCGACAATCTTCCGACATCGAAGTCCATTTTCTCCACTAAACCATCCTCCTTTTTCTTTAATACACATTCAATATGTCTGGCCGTAAGTCATTACCCCGCATCTCCGCACAGTCAACGCAAAAGAAAACGCGTTCTAACGCGTCTCTATTCAGGTGGCAAGGGTGGAAAGGGTCTCGGCAAGGGTGGTGCCAAGCGTCACCGCAAGATTTTGCGTGATAACATCCAGGGTATCACCAAGCCCGCTATCCGCCGTCTCGCACGCCGTGGTGGTGTCAAGCGTATCTCCGCTATGATCTACGAGGAGACCCGTGGTGTCCTCAAGACCTTCCTCGAGGGTGTCATCCGTGACGCCGTCACCTACACTGAGCACGCCAAGCGCAAGACTGTCACTTCTCTTGACGTTGTCTACGCTCTCAAGCGCCAGGGCCGTAAGTTTCAACGCGTCTTTTTCCCGTTCCAGAACGCGTCGCTAACATCTCTATCCAGGTACCCTCTACGGTTTCGGTGGCTAAATTATTTGTGCTTTTCTTTTCCGGGCTGGTTCACGGTATGACGGGACGTTGGGGTGTTCTCTGATTTATTTTACTACAATCGTCATGGGTCTCTGGGTTTGCTTTTCATAACACTCGATTACCACTATTGCGCGTCCATAGTGTTCGCTTCTGAGCTTTTTTGTATCATAGCGGCCTTCTTACATTACGGCTGGCACCATGGACATGGTGGGATCAAGCACTCAAGGTGCGATCCGATACGAATACAATCAAAACTTGAATTAATTCAACTCTTGTGCCTTGTAGATCTATGTAACTATTGTTGCTCTCGAGGTTGGCTGTGGCCTTGTTCTTTGACGCGTCTTTGTTTGTATTCTGGTCCCTGATACATTTGGTGTTTGAGGTTGGCGTTTGGGGTTGGATTGACGCGTTGTTTTGATGGAGTCCTTTTCATGCGGAATATCAGCCCACGTTTGAATCTAACCTCGATCGTCGTCGATCACGTACTAACATTTATCTGTGACGCGTCCTGCTTACTATTCTTCATGGTTGCCTAGAGCTCTCCCGTAATGCTATTGTCGTTTTGTGGTGCTTGGGGGTTTGATTGATGCTGTTGATTGCATAGAGCTCGTAGGGATGTTTATAAGAAAAAGTCAACTAATACGTTCTTATCTGGTGTTTAGACTTGTCTATCTTTGCTTGCTGGCTGTGCTGTTTCTATTTTCTGTGTTGTATTGGTCTAGTTGGTGGGAATATGCTGTTGGGGGTGGTATAGGTCATGCTATGCTGTGGTGGTAGATATATATTCAAGAAGTACATTTCCATAACCCTTCAATTCCCATGCGAATACGCTTCAAATCAACATAAATCACACACAGAATAGGTCCAACCGCACAAAATAGCCATAAAATGCAATATCAAACTCAACAGACCGCAGATCATAGCGTGGTGAGCCAGATCATTCTGGCATCAAAGTTGAACCTGAACCCCCCGAAATGGCAGTTCAAGTTTTCTCGGCACTGCGATCAGGAGAAAAGGGCTTGATCACCCAACCATTAAGGTCTATATTCATGTATCACCTGGTAGAGATACTAAAAATAGAGCCAAAGTTTCTAGAATTTGGGTCATATCTACCACTCCTGGTGGTACGATGGAAACAGTCTCATTCTGCTTATCAAGACAAAGTTGAACCCCCTAAACGGGAGGTCCAACATTCCTTGGCACCAGAACTATACCTCGCAGCCACGTGTAGTCATTACTACAACGCCCTTTCTGTATGTCACAGACTGGAATACAGAGTCCAGAGACCACATATATGTATACTTGACACATGACGAGTGGCAATAGCCGAAATCTCACGCATACGACGAGGAGCATGCCATAGACCGGAGAGCATTGACAACAAACAGAGCATATGCAAAGAAAATAGCACGATGCATGATGCCCAAAAACCAGTAATCTAGAGTGCCTAGGCAACCGCCTACCCCGCCAGTCATTTATTTCTCTAGCTTTCTCCGCGTACCCGTGCTTATGTCCGGTGCCCTTCTGGACTCTCTGCCCAAGCTGAAGTCTCCCGAAGTTGGTATGACGTAGCTTGTCTAATTGATACGGACCAAGTCCACAGAAGTGACAGAGAAAAAAGAGACAAGTAGGCGAAGAACCAAAGAAAAGAACAGAATAAGCTGAAATGAAAGCCTGATATGCAAGGCAGAAACACGATCAAAGCAAATACTGGCTGCATGCATGAAGGCCCAGCGCATGCGTTGTTCATCCATATATTGATGAACCAGTAGAATTCATAGAACTTACATGAACTCCCCAGAAACTGTATGTAGATACTTGGACATCTACCCCTCTTTCATATCTTTCTCCCTGCTCTCCTGTTTATATGACTCCCAGCTTCCTCAGTAACTCACACCAAGAAGAGACCCGACATCCCACAGGACCCTTACCACAACCCAGCTACCATGAACAAACTCAGGCTGAAGAAGATGAAAAGAAAAAGAATTGATGCAATGATCATCCAGAAAGTGGCAGACGCCTCTAAGGATGGGGTGAGACAAGATACCAACCCTGCCAACGAGCTTCTTAATGCTCTAGCAAGGTACGCGATGTACCCAAAGACAATAGAAAAGTCACTAACAATACTACAGCCTACAGCTTGACCCTAGGTATAGCGACCTCACCATCGTATGTGGAGACATTGAATACGATGTGCACAAATGCATAGTTTGTACACGGTCGGAATTCTTTGCAAAGGCCTGTAGCAGCGAGTTCCAGGTGAGAGACCGAGATAACACGAAGAACATTCCAATGTGGCCCGTTTACTAATTCAAACTAGAAATCCTCTATGCACAGGATCATATTACAAGAGCATCCTGCTTTGGTGAAAAAAATGATAGAGTATTTTTATACCCTGGATTACAAGGTGGAAGCTTCATATCCAGAGCCAGCATATGAACCAGAGATAGAGCCAACTGCATGGCCAGCGCCAGCGCCAGCGCCAGCGCCAGCACCAGAGCCAGAGCCAACTGCATGGCCAGTATCAGAGCCAGAGCCAACTGCATGGCCAGTATCAGAGCCAGAGCCAACTGCATGGCCAGTATCAGAGCCAGAGCCAGAGCCGGAAGCAGAGCCAGAACCAGCGCCAGAGCCAGAACCAATGGCAGAGCCACCTGCATGGCCAGAGCCAGTGGCAGAGCCAGCACCAGCCTCATGGCCAGCATCAGATCCAGAACCCGAGGTTGAACCAGTGCCAGAAGCAGTGCGAGAACCATACAAATGGCCAATGTCCGAGCCCGAGCCCGAGTCCGACTTTTGCTCACCTCTTGAATCAAAACCCAACCCGGAGATTATTCAAACCCCCCTAAGCAACCGGAAGATTGTGCGTCGCAATTTGACTCGCTGCTGTTTCATATTTCGATGTACAGCCTCGCAGACCGAAGATTGATCAATGGACTGAAGCTCTTATCCAAGGAAAAAGTCGAGCTAGAGCTGTCTCAGCGATTAAACTCCGAGATATTCCCGATAGCCATCAGTGAGATATACAACTCAACGCCCGAAAAAGACCGGGGGCTGCGAGATCTGGCAGTGAAAATGACCATGGACAACCTTGTGGAGCTAAGAACGCAGGCGAATGCTGGGTACCCCACGCACTATTCAAGCAGAACTGTACCTGTGGCTTTCCCAGACAGTCTGGTGCAGTCCGTTCCTCAGTTTTCGTCTGACTTGGTTCTGGCGATGATGGATAAAACAGTGTCTGATTGGACGCGTAGGATCGATCGGCCGAATGGAGGTATCACCAGAGGATCCTCATTTTGGCAATAGTTGTGAAAATTGGTGTTCGCAGACTGTACTGAGAATTGGTAAAAATGAAATAAGGCGTTTAGGATACTCCACAATGCCATGTAATACACTCATGTCGAATAGATGCACTCCGTAGGGGATATTTGGCTTGCAGCAACATTGGGTGCTCTGGTGGCCGGAAGGAGCAGCCTAAAACAAGAAGAATCGATTAAATAGAACGTCCGAAAATAGGCTCAATAAGCAGTTACCCAGGGGAACGGAGTATCTCGATGCAATCAAACTGCCTGGTACTCCGTATATTGGGCGGACTTGATTGTAACCCCAATAATGTCCAACACGGCCGAGAGGAACAATGTTAGAAGGCGGGAGTGAGAGGGCCTTTTGTTGAGAGCGGTGGGTGCCTCAGGCATCACCGTGGTTTAGCCGGGAGTTCGCTGCCTTTCCAAGACAGCCCTCTCCCTCTTTCTTTCCAGCCCTACCTCGTAGGTCTGATCACCTTCAAACTACCCATTCTCTGCAAAAACTAAGCATCAATGTATATTGATTCTTACACCCATAATCTAAGACCGATCAAAAGGAGACTATCAACTACAGCCATAGTCAAGAACGGTGGTGATCTTGTAAGGTTGTTGTCGACATCGTCACCTTCCAGGCTACGCACCTGTGCACTTCATTGATGGGAAATACTCACGCCAAGAGTGGCTTGGCGGATATCCTCAATACTAGTACAAGGGAGTGCTAGCCTCTAGGGGTCTCTACCGGTGAAGTGATGAAATCGACAAGCGACAATACCGACTCAAATCACAGGACGCATCTATGCGCGTCCCTAGAGCCTAGTTGCACCCATCCCACCCCGATACCCAAAAATAGCCCGGATTCGATGAATTGGGCTTCATTGACAGTCTATACAGCGACGACGGCAATTTCGATGGAAAATGGTACGTCTAAATATCAACATCCCAGACCCACATGTCGACTTCTGCGCAGTTACAGCCCCAGCACCAGATGCGTACAGCTATAACAACTATTCACAAGACACACGGATCCCTTCGGTAGGGACATATCAGCCATGGCTAAATAGCTGCCTTTTTCAAGCAATCTGAAAAGCATATCAACAGCACAACACCAGGGAATAGCTATATAGGCGGCGGGGGAATTGCCGGCCCATTTATTATAAGGGCTACTTCACCTACAGATGCTGAAACTACCTCCTCGAAGTATAAGCGCTACGGCCTATAATGATTGCAGTACCACTAGATGGAAAGTCCACTAGGTTCAGACGAGCATTATTCCGCAACCGCATGCCCCAAAACAACCAATTTCTTTATTGTCTTCAGCTGCGAGATCTGCGACTGGATTCTCACCTAAATTGCGTTATAAAAATTAACTTTTGATGAGTCCGGAGTACGGAGTACAACGGGCATAGATCGGAGACCCATCGCGTTGCCGGAATTACATACATGTAGATACCTAGGTAGGCCTGAAGGGACAGTCGAGTCTAACGGTATCCATTACGATGAATTGTGGCTTGACCATTGCTAGATTGTACTCCGTATTGGTTTCATTATTTCCCGTGTTTCGAACATACCACATTTAAGAATCGATATAATCCGAATCCACGCAAGGGAGACCAATTACCGGAAAAAGCAACCAGAAGAACCCACCAACCACAACAAGCCACCTACAAAGTACAGAAGAAACCGATCATCTACTCCGTACACACCAAACCAAAACTCAACAACCCACGATCAACGTAAGCCGGACGAATTCACAAATGAACGACGACTTCTGCAAGCCACAACCCCCCCACCTTCCGACACTTCCCCCCCCTCCCCCCACTCACACCGAACGTCCACGGGTATTAACGACCCAAACAGAACACTCAGGCCAGACGGTGTCCACCATCCACGTCTATCTTGGTCCATCACTTCATATATGGCATACGTGATGTGCGCCATGTATGCGGTGGCTTAGCGCCCTGGTACCCGGTACGATCTGATTCCACGGATGCGAATACCGAGAAACACAATTTCCCAAAGCTGGAAAATGAGCTGATTTCCATGACGCCGACACAAATCAGACAAGTTTGGCAAGTGGGCTAATGAGGGGTGGATGACACCACCCTGGAATACGATGTACAACCCCCCCACGAACAAGCCAGATACCCCGTCGAGGATACTTCCCTGTAGACTGATGCGGAAATCCTGGAAATCGAGGTTGCGAAATCTTGTAAACATAGCTGCAGACCCGCCAAAGCTACCACGATTCCGTCCAAACAAACTTCACTACCGGGCTATCGGGACGCTGGTAGCCAGATTGCTGGTCGGGGAGTTTGGGCGAGACTGGAGCTGTTCCAAGGGTGGCCGGCTGTTCGGGAGGTGTGTTTCTACAACATACGCAATGGTGGGATCATACTCTTGGCGGAATGGTGCTGGGACTATGTACATGATCTCGGTTGTTTATTGTGAATACATGTACGTATCTGTGAACTTGTATTGCACAATTGACACGAATCGGGACTCTTCCATCGAGGGACGAAATTAATCTACATTCTGCTGATATACGGCATGCTTGTATAGGGTGGGTACGTTTGTCACTCAACTCTAATTAGTCTACGGAGTACATACCGACTTGACACCTGCACTACAGAACGATTGCTGATCGGCAAACGTTTACATTGCGATATGGGGTGGGTAGACACGTGCGGCAATGAGGTTCAAGGGTATCCCTTGATTGTTTCACAATGTTTCACCGGTGAGGGGTGTAGAGGGGAAACTCTTTTGATTATTGCCAGATTGATTTCATATCGTATCCAAAAAAAGCTAATGTACAATATTTTTTTTTTGGAAGAAAATGTACTATAGTACAAGGGGAGGACACTGTACCGGGTCAAAAATGCAGCAACACCATGTACAACAGAAATGTACAACACCGAAACCGTTTGTTTCTCGAGCTCAAGGTCGAAGCCAAATGAGGAAAAACAATATAAAGCAAAAACGCACCAGCCAATGCTAAAGGGAAATGTCGCATGCAAAACACATCATAAACATAAAATCGTACACATAACAATGAGATCGGAATCCGAATAGTGATACAGAGGGTTCATGGGGATGAGGAAGCGGCAGCGTCATGATGACGCAGCCCCGGATTTTGAGTGGGCCCAAGTGGAGCCATGACGCTCGGCATGCCGATCCGGTAGGATATGACGTCAAAGGCGCTCTCAGTCTCTTCTCCTGCGCTGCTTGCCTGGCCAGTCGATTTCGGGATGAACCACACGCATGTCTGTAATTAAATGTAATTAGTGTATGATCAACTAAGGGGTAGAAAATCAAAAGTGGAAACTTACGCCTCGTCAGAGCATCGTTTCGGCTGAAGGTCTTGTCCTCATTGCAAATATGACAGCGCACCTTCTGCTTCCCGGCGGTGTGGATGGTATGTTCATGTCGTGTAAGATCGTAAGGCCGAGAGAAGATGGAATTGCATGCTTTGCCTGTAGACGGGTTGATGCGTTCGCACTTGTGCGGTCCAGCCTGGGAATTGCGTAGCGAGGCGTCGCGGCTGACTAAGTGGCCACCCGGTGTTGTTTGTCGGTGTGCCTCGCGCTTGTGTCGTTGAAGTCTGGAGGGAGTTTCGAAGCGGTATGTGCAATTGTGATAGGTGCAAGTGTAGGTGCCGGTATCTGATGATGTATCGGCGGGGCGGGAGATACCCTCTGTAATCGGCATGTTGACCTGGCTCTGCGGCGTAGTCTCGGTAGACTCCACTCCCGGAAGTGAGGGGAACTCGACATTCTGCTGCAGAAGGTTGCTTTGAGGGCGATGGATCTGAGGTTGGGAGAATGCGAACTGTGGTTGTGACATGGTGGAGGATGTATATTGAGGGAATGTTTCCATCGGTCGCATTGAGCCATTATCGCGTTGCAAGCCAAGTGCATCACCCAAGTTGAAATCAGCCTGGGTTGGGGGGAAGAGAGGAGGCATGGAGTCATCTCCATCGTGGAAATCCAAAACTGCATCCTTGGGGGACATAGTCTTGATATCTCCAGTGTTGGAGGTCTGGCTCATGCTCATGCTGTTCATTCCATTTTGTCCCATGGGGATGCTGGTGGCCATCGGAGGCTGCTGAAGAGCGTTGTTACCAAGGTCACCCGCGAATGGGGAAGAAGGACGGAAGGGTGAGCGATCCCGTCTGTTAGCGGGCGATTGCGAGCGAGCAGACATGTGTCCTTGGTTGGCAGCTTGCAGACGATCGGCGATAAAGTTGCGCGGGTTGAGGTTCTGTCCCATCGGCTTGGACACCTGGGGCGTGGCCATCATAGCGGGGTTGTACAGTTCGTCTTGGTAAATATCGGAAATAGTTCTGTCCAACTTGGGGATTCCCATTGACATGGCACCATTGGCAGTGTTATATTCTGGGGGTGCATCGAAACGTAAGTATTGGTCCATCCACCGATCAACCTCAGGAAATCGAGTCTCACCATTGCTCATCGACTTGGATGCGTTATCGAGTTCATCGAGACTTGTTTGCGGGGTCACTGGTGAATTGTGGCTCATTGTTGACACAGAGGGAGCTAGCGAGTACTCGCTCTGCAGCTGTTGTGAAGGGGACTGCTTCTGCTGGTCCATGATCGCCTTTCTCATCGCAGACTCGGCCTCAGCACTGTGACCATCTTGGGATGAGGGATCGAAGTTCTGGAAGGGAGTCGCAAGGAATGAGTTCTGAATGGGAGTTTGCACCGGGGTGGGCAATGGCTTGTTGGAGCTGTGGGACCGGCGGTGGTAGTTGTTGGCTGCCAAGCCCGAAGGAACTGAGCGCGATGATACCGAGGGCGAGGATCGCTTTTGAATACCAGGATAATGGATGCGCGCAGGGCTTAGCAACTGCAAGTTGCTGTCCCAACCCTGGCTGCTTGCAAGAGGCTGTTGCGCCAACATCGGGGTATAATATTGCTGAGGATATTGAGGTAGGTAGTGCGAAGGCGAATTGGAACCCTGGATGTCGAATGACGGGTTGTAGGAATGCGACGGGGTCATCGAAGGAGCCCCGAAAGACTGACAATCAGATGTCTGTGGGTAGGAAATTGAGAACGTCGGAGAAGAGAAAGCAGGCGAGGAAGGTACAGAGGATGGCGGGGAGAGCTGTACAGTGGGGTGGCACTCGAACGGTGATTGCAGACGAGCTTCAGCGCAATTCAAGACGTTCTCGGAATAGAAATCAAGTGGGTATTGGTCGTCTTGTATGATGATGTCCTCTGCGTTGTAGGGATCGGTGATGAGACCCTTACGTGGGTACATAAGCATTATGCTATCACGGGTTGGGGACGTCAGAGTAAGTGGGTAGGGTTCGCCACTGGGGGAAGGCGAGCTTTTATAGAACCCGAGGGCACAAGGTCCGATTAAGATTTCCTGGGCAATTGTGGCCGTGCTTTGGGAAAGTCTGGGATGGGAGACTTCGGTTCAAAGCTTGGAGAGAGAAGAGTCTGGAAACGTCGGGAGAATGATCGAATGGAGAGGTATAAGAGGATTGGAAGTTTAATAGGGTGACTGGAGGTGGGTGAGTTTGGTTCTGGAGAATGACTCGACCGGAGAAAAGAAATATTACCTGATATGATGATCTCAAGAGTCAGAGTTGGGTATGAGTAATGAAGTTGAAAGAGGCCGGGAGAATGATTGCATTAATAAAGACTCTCTACTCTGAATGACCTCACCTGAGGACACTAGGTAAGTCGGGGTTTCCGAAATAGATTACCGTATTACGCTTGTATTTTTGGGCGTAAGAATATTGATTATTTCTTTTTTAATCGGCCGGCCCCCGCTAGGCCAGATCGGGATTGGACCCGTATCACAAAACCACCGGGAACCTTGGCACAATACCCAGTCCCACTGATCTGATCTGGGGGGGGATCTCTTTCACTCGCTCTCCTATCAAGTTGTGGCTTACAGACACCAAAAGCCACAAAGATCCACATATTCATCTTTTACGTGAATTGGGCTTTTGGGCGTCGAGGGTGATGGTTTCAACTAATGGCATTTCATTTTTGGGTGCTTTAGCTTCAGGAGAATTCCGGGCAAAGATTGAGCCAAGATTTTCCGTACATCGCTTAGAAAAGAACAAGCAGAGAGAAAAAAAAATCTCTGCTGCATAGTCTAGAACTAGCTCCGATTCGTATACTCGGGTGACCACCCAACGACCAAAATTAGGTACCTAGGAAGACGGGGGTGGAGCCGAGTAGGGCTGTGCCACACCTTAGTTGGCTCGGTACCCATTTTACATAGTAAATCGTGGTCTTTTGGGAGTTGACGATTCGGCCTGATCTACTATTTTCGGTGAGTCAAATGAAAATACATAACTACATATGATAACGGTGGAGCAAAATTGGGCAATACATTTAGCCGAGGCCCCCCCTTTGGATAATATTGGTGTTCACATAACTCGTCCTGTGTGTGTTTGCATTAGCCACATCGGGAGCCATGTGGCTGGTGTCCACTTTTTCGGGACGCCCGTCTCAACGGTATGGCATTCCTGCATATGGAGGAACCCTGCAGGCTAGCACATTCCTCTCGTTACTTGTCACTTCGACCCCCCAATAGTCGCAATAATCGAATCCTCGATGACTTGGAATTGGGGCTGTGGAGTTAATATCTTGCGATTGTCTTGCGATGGTCAGTGTCTCCCCACTACGCGCCAATCGGCGTGTTCCGCTCGGCCGCAGTCGACAGACGCGATGGTCAGCTGACCATCTCTCCAACGATCTGCTAATGGTCTGATAAACTGGAGTTGGACAAGAGCCCATGGATCTTGTCTGTGTAGGGGAAGGTGATGACCAGCTGACCTCCGACCTTGAGTCACCCAAGTCAATGCCCATGCTTTTTTTTTTATATTAATTTATTAATTTATTAATCTCTTTTTAATCTTTTTGGGTTGAGGAAGCGAAGAGCTGTCGTGGATACTTTTTTTATGTCTTACTTTGGTGCTCAGGTAAACCTAAGTCAGACGTTGGCTTTGCATCACTAGCTCTCCTCCGTAGGGTCGGCGAAAAATGCCAAATCTAGTTTTATCATTAGACGACGTGAGGATTCCCATGCGTAGGGCCTTCAAGTCGTGGTCACATGGTTTCCTTGTGGGCTGATTGCCTTAATTTTCTGGTCTACATTGCTCAACGCTTCGATGACTCGATCACATGTGAATCATAAGTTTTGTTTACCCTTTGACTCAAGAGGTGAACTTGAACTGTGAATAACCTAATTGATAATTTGGTATTCGGAGTTATGATTTAGTACTCCGTATTGGGAGTTGTATTTTCCATCTAAGCGTGCTCGGATCCCTCCAGGGCTGCCAAGTGATTGGTACTGTAAATTGTTAGCGGCTTTGTAGCACGCGGAAGCCCATGTTCTACGGGTTACATGCGAAAATTTTGCTTCTTAGCCCTGTCAGCCCTTTGACCGTGCATATTTTGGGCTTGATACTAACTATTTAGAATATCAGATCGCGGATCAAGGTCCTCCGAACCGAGAATGCGCGAGTGGCAAACCCCGAGTATCCAGTTTAGATCTTGGTTGAAAAAAATATCAGCCAGACACCGCAGGCCAATAGAGTATTCCATGTGACCCTAAATGACCATTTGAAATCACTAGCGCAGATATCCGACCGGCATGTTTTCGGGTCCAAGTGAGTTTTTCGGTCTGGACACCCCGAAACGGGTCCGGGGTCTGCCGTGTCTACCGAACAGTCTGGCCCAATTTCAACTCCAGATCTCCCTTCATCCGTGTGCACCATACACTCTTGGCGAGTCCCCTCGAGGATACGATACACCAAAACGTGGTCACAAAGTCCGGGGAAGTGGCAAACCAACCTCAGCTGATCCAAGTGTCTAATCTGAGGAATGGCCCACTCAGATAGTGCGATATGTAGATCTATCGTATGTACGTATCTCCGAGATGAATTCGAAGATGGGACTGGCCCCAAAAATCCCGGCTGAAATGTCCTTAACCTCCTGCTCAATTAGGCAGCTGACTATCAACCCGCGCACTCGTTACCAATCGAAGGCCCCTGCATGAGGAACAAGAAGGAAAAATTTTCACCGGCAAGCGATTCCGACAGAAACCCATGTCAGCACCTTAATCCGGGTTTCTGGGCGAAGGATATGCAAGATCATATTTAGTAACAATCTAATGCACCTGTGAAAGGGTTTTCAATGTAATTGATTGGCCGCGGTGTTGGAATGCGCTGCACAGCCACTCGGTAATGCCGTGACACGGTACGGAGTACCTACAACTTGCCGGTTTAACCTGTTACCGTACGGCACTTGGAGCAGCCACCGTCTGCAGGTTATCGTATTTCCGTATTTCTGGTGGGTTCTAGAAGCTATTTGGGTGGCTTGCACATGCCGCTAGTCCCCAATCTGGTCAAGCGTGGACGTTTGCATTTTTCTGGAAGCCTTCTATTTTCGTCCCGGAATGTCGGCCTCCGGGCATCGCCGACAAGATAGGAGGACCATGCGCGTGAAGTTTTTTTTTTTTTTTCATGCATCCTTCGGAGCAGGTTTTTGTTTTGCGCTGTATATTGCATCCTGGCTGGTTACGGATTGCCCCGAGGCCTTGGAACGAATCTTTGTGTCATTTGGATTTATCAGCATTGACTCGGGCGTGACTCACATTTCATCAAAATATTTGTCACGTGGTCGATTTAGATCTGCCCGCGGAGTTGTATAGAATGAGTTGTCATCTTGAGTCAGGAATTAATAACCGAAGGATAGGGCTAGAAGAGCCGCGGCAAGGAGCCTTGCTGGCAAGACACTTGTGGCTATGCTGTCAATGCCCGCAAGGGATCACAAGTGTTGAACTTGGTTGCCTGTGTGTATTATTGCGGAACCAGAGAAGCCAAGGCACGATCTATCCTTGCATCTGGGGAATGGCACATGTCTCTGATGGCAATTTCAGATATGTCAGGAGAAATGTGTTTCGTTGGTGTTCCACGATACCTACAACGCACAGAACTGGAAGGTACTATGTAGGCGCTCATACACGACCAATCATTATACAATCCAGCCCTAAGACAGTTGCTTGTGATAGTCCTTTTGACAGCCCCTTGATATATATGAGCTAATTGGTCCTTAAAGGGTGGCGGGAAGTTCAGCTCATATGTCCATGAATATCAAGACCGCAAGGTCAGTGGATGAAGGCAAATACAGCCATCTCCGCATCACATCGTGGGTAACACAACGGCCTGTACTCCGTAGATACATCGAAATTCTCCTAATGACAGTAAATAGGAGCTATGGCAAAAGGTTAAGCATGACAATCCCCTAGTATTGAACACAGGTAGGTCTATCTTGAGTGTCATTCAAAGACAGTAACTTAGGAAAATTTTATAACACTTGGCCTATATAAACACTGCTGAAAAGCTAGATGTGCAAAAGGCACAAGGGACAATACGCACAAAAAGGCAGGACAAAATGAAAAACATAGTGATATACGGAGTACATTGCAGTGTAATGAGATCTGAAGAATGGCAATAGCGCGAGGCAGCAGGATGGCATCCCGGGAAAGAGGCAGAAAGCTGCAAGGATCCAGGTTTCCTAAAGAGGAAGGAAAAGACGAATACCAAGCATTGTGACGCCCAGTCAAAACTCGAGTGGAGCTCCAGAGGCGATGGCCAAGAGGATAAAGTTGCTGGGTATACAACGGAAACGTGGAAGGGGACAACCTTGGAATGATTATTGGTTTACCATGGAACAGGTCCGAAACAATAGACCCACAAATCATAAGCTAATATAATATTCGCTCATCCCATATGTCGAATGGAACACGGGGATATTTAGAAACTGGGCCGCATGTCAAGCGACAGAGGGGGGATCGTCAAAGTGCGGAGGCGGGAATCCCCAAATCGCCGGGCTCCTCCTATTTGTCTAAACATCCCTCCGAAAACACCACCAGAAAGTCACTTCAGCCCTAACATATTGACATCTAGCTGGATACCAACCTCGAAGATATGCACAAAAGTACAATGAAACAGTGAAAGTAGCTAGCGCCGAGTCAAACAAAGGCAAGCAAAAAGGAGGGCCACTAGGCCAACCTGAAACCGACTTCCAACCCCACACCCCAACAAACCACCGTATACAGAAACCAAAGCAACAATGGGCCAAAAAGCCTCAGTACCACAGCCAGGTGCCCAGATCCAAGTCATCGGCGCCGGGCTTCCGCGCACGGGAACCTCATCCTTCAGCCAAGCGTTAGAAATCCTCCTGAACGGACCGGTGTACCACTGCGGAACGCAAATGTCGATCGGCCCACCCACAGAGATAAAAAGCTGGATTCCTATTCTGCAGAAATGGCTCCAAAAAGATGATTCCGCAAGCCGGGCAACAATGCTCTCCCTCCTGCGCCGCCGATTGGCCGGCTACGTCGCCATCACCGACTCCCCAGGCTCCGAGCTGGTCCCGGAACTCATGGAGCTCTATCCGGATGCCAAGGTCATCTGCACAACCCGCGACCCCGTCTTGTGGGAGACCAGTATGCTCCACGTGCAGAGCTTGACGGGCGTTTGGTTTGCACGTGCGGTGCTGCTCCCGCTGGACGGGATGAGACATTTTATTCCTTATGGGACCTTGCTCGCGGCGCTGTGGGAGAGACTCTATGGTGGTGTTGCTGGCCAGCATGGCCGGGACACTTATGCGAGTCATGTTAAGTGGCTCAAGGAAGTTGTTCCGGAGGATAGGTTGATTTTCTTTGATGTTAAGGATGGGTGGGAGCCACTGTGTGAGGCTCTGGGAGTTGAGGCCCCGGTGGATATACCGTTTCCCCGCGTCAATGATTCCGAGGCCATTGAGAGGTCGGTGCAGTATCATTTGCGGAGGGGCCTTGCGCGCTGGGCTTGCATATTTGCTGTGGTTGGTGTTGGGGCTGCGGCTTTTCGCATGCGGAGGTGAGACGGGGGTGGGACCGTTGCATGGATCTGATTAAAGACTGATCAGGTGGCTTTTGGCTTTGTTTGGCTGTGCCGAGTTGGATTCGGGTATATATGAGACTTTGGAGAGAGTTTGCTCTTTTGGTTTTTGTCAGACTAAAACATTTCAGCGACTTGCATGACCTTGGATGTCAGTTTCTTCCAGGGCCAGATGGAATATATGCCGAAGACTCATCGCAGATCAATCAAATAAAACCCATTTACAAAGAAGATTATCACATGTCACTTTGTCCCCTTGAATATGTGTTATACAGGCCATCAACCCAAAGAAGAAAGAAAAGAACATATTGCCCGAATATTCTAACATTTCATAGTCCCTGCAAATCTCAGAGCATAAACATGATATCATCGAGGAGCCTGCTCGAGTGATGACGATGCACGGGTTGTAAAATCATGTGTTTCGACTGTAGTCTCGATCTCCGTGTGCGTGAAGATCTTGCCGTGCGGGATAATGCGTTCCTTGCTGGAATTGCTATTCGCACCAATATTGGTACCCATGGTAGCCTCTTCCCTGCCATTCATTGTGATCATGGTGATGTTGTTAGGATCTGTGGCCTTATTGAATCCAGACCCATACCGCTTGGCTGTGGTATCTCCTGTCCAGGTGTATTTCTTTCCACTGCTGTATTCGCCAATGAAGCGGGGCAGGAAGCGCGAGGCAATTGCCTTGAATGATGGAATCGAGGCGGCGAAGATGCCGACGTTGGTTTCGATGACAGACCAGTACATGGCGCCGCTGATGGCATAAGTAGCATCCTCTGAGGTAAGCATGGTAGGGATGTAGGTAATTCGGATGATCGAGGAGATACAAGCGCTGTAAAGACTGATGATTAGCGATCGGGCAGGGGGAAACACTGGACAATCACTTACAAAAGACCAAGACAGAGGATAAAGCCTAGAACGATCTTTTGCTTTTGGGGCATCTGAAGCCCGAATATCACCTTGATGGGTAAGGTATACGTCAAGACATCAGTGACGATGTTCAGAGCTGCGTTGCAGAGATAGAAAACATTGATATCGACACATTTCCCTTTCCCACTAGCTAGCCAGGCCTCATCAATAGGCTGGCATTGGAACGCCGCCACGAGAACAAACGAAGTGGCCTGCGTTGCAATAACGACCATCATCATCCAGGATAGACGAGTGAGGTAGCGATCTCCGAGGCGAGTATAGAACCATAGAACGGACGTTTTGATAAATCCAAGAGTGGCAAGGTAGAACATGGAGCTGAGCCAGACGACCTGGAAAGAAGTTAGAGATATCACGATGTGAAATTCCAGGATTCTCATTCTTACAAAGCCATAGTCGTCCATCTTGTCCAGATCAACATCCTTTTGGTGACTGCCAAGCCCATACTTCACCGCTAGATGATGTTAGCTTTTGTAGAAAATGACAGATGGCAAAGCTAGAACATACCGATAATTGTGACAGCAATGAATGCCCACGAGAACAACTGTTTCGATTAGTTATAATAGCAGTGAAGATAGAGAGCATTTGTCCTACACAAGCGGCAATAATCAGGTCTGAGAAGCTGTTATTATTGTATCGGTTACTATTGACTAGACAAGTCCACTTACAGTCATCCATGCCCATTTTACGCAAGACATAAACACGCGAGAAAAGACGAAGACACAAAACAATGAAGGTCAAGATGGCAAATGCCAGACATATGCCCAAGACCACGGGGCCTTGGGAACCATTGTCACCAGCCATGATGAGAAAAGTGAAGGAGACGAGGATCAGAGATATAGAGAGAGATAGAGACGGTAAGAAGATGTTGAAGAGAGTAATTCAAAGAAGGAATCAATTAATTAACGAATGGCACAGACAGTCGGTTCACATGGGCCGTCTCATGAAGATCAGATTATGCAAATCACTGCAAGCATCACCGAGATGCATCAGAAGAAAAGATGACCAGTACCCCGGTCTTTGTAGAAGGGCTAGAGGGAGATTTAATCCAGATGCCCCTGGAATTAGCCCGATCCAAAAGGTCTGTGTACAGAGCACGGAGTACTTTGTATACACACCACAGATGCGCATCGTACATGACTCTAGCAGCATCTGCGATCCACTATACACCAAAAAGGACTTTGGTTCAAAATAATGGCAGGGATTAACAATGAGTTTCAATTTGCTTTCTAAAATTGTCAATCTTGGTGATTTCCCGAGAGTGAATTAGGAGCCAAGTGCTCCGAGTACAAAGTACCATGGAGCCGAACTGCCAGAGACGACCATCTCCACTGACTCGAGACCACTGCTGATCTATTTGGGCTAGAAAGCCACCTGCCAGTTATGGGAAGGGGCTTGAGTCACAAGATTCTCCTACAACGCACCTGGAAGAGTCTTGGACTGGGCCTTGCATATGATTATTTGCCCAGACGCGATTGTCACCAATTATTGTCCACGGATATTTCCAAGGAATGTCCTTCAGCGAGAAATGCCAACTCACATCCTTGTCCTAATCCCAGTCATGACGAGAAAGACACATTTTTAGCCCCGTCTTGGGAGTTCCACTCGAAGACCGGGGTGGGATTGGCCTGGACAGGGATGGGCGCACATCCAATGTGGACATTGCAAACTTCCAACTACTCCGTATTACAACATACGTTGCTACGTGCATCACTCAAGACTATTACTCGAATGCAGAGACTCAAGGAAAGCCGATCTGATAGAGCGAAAGGCAAAATCTTGGGGTTCGGCGGATTGTCATAGCGGGCGAGGGCCGAGGTGGAGAGATCGGGGCTATTTTTATTTCCCATCGCGATTCTCCGATCGTAATGTGTTTGGACCAGAGCACGGAGTCCATTGTTTTCAGATAATATCCAACATACACTATAACATAGGTGCATTCAGGGGATCCGACTCCAACCGACATCGGCAAGCTACACAGCTTATTTGGTCCATCGGAGACACTAGAAAACCCATCGGAACATTTCCGACAAGGCTGACGAATGGCACATTTTTTTTTTTTCTCACGGAAGTTGAGCGACAGGAGAGATCTACGAAAGAGTCAAGACTTTGATCCTTATAATCCCAGTGGAAGCTATTGTGCAAGGAGCTCACAATTTCGATCGGCGCGTCCCGTTCGCCTTCCGTTCGCCTTCCGTTCGCCTTCCGAGCCGTCCTGAGGTGGAGAGCGGGTCTTCAAGGGCGTCTGCTTAAGCGAGATTGGCCGAGGATGTCAATAGTGCCTGCGAAATAATCTCAAAGACGTTACATTCAGGTCTTAGGCCACCGTTGAAGAAAAAAAAAGGTAGGGCATGTGATAGAGAAGTGTTTCATTGTGATAGACTCGGAGAATTGATATTTCAGATATGATATGAGTTGCAGTCAGAGAGATATGAACAGACGAGATGCTCGCAGCAGAAAGTGCAACTTTGGTTCTTTTCGTTTCTTCGCATCTGAAGCCCCTTTTACGCCTTCCGAGGCATCCTGATTCAGATCGACGTTGGTCACATTCAATCATTTCTCCGGACTACAACATAGAAGCATACTACGGAGTATTCCGATTATAATAGGGATCGTTATATCGGTCTAAGTCAATAATACATACTCTGTACTCCAGAGCTGATCATCAATTATACTTTTCTACGGAGAACTCACTACGTTGTACTCCGTACTCCATATGGAGTACTTTCGCACACACACACACACACTCTCTCTTTCAGGTGGGAAACTAGTGGAGGAACCCGACATCCCCACTGTCAAGAGGTAGAGTCTCACTTGTTTCAAGCCTCTATGGGGAAACGAACGCATCACGGATTGCGTAGCGATCCCATTCCGAAGCTGATGCTGTATCCTCCCTTTTCTCCGAACCGTTCTCTGTCCAGTCCCCACATCCATCTCGAGAGAACGTGCTCCCGGTTGATAACAGTGTCCCAAATCCTTGTGAGAGCCTGATTGCCTTGAATTTCAGTCTAAATAGCTCTCGTCCTAGACACCGGCAATTCCACAGTGGAGCCACAACCGCCTGTTGCTCCACTGCAAGGTACTTTGTCCTTTTTTGAGAATGAAGAATCCTGAAAACTTGTGTCGTTGGAACTAGGAACCGAATACTCCGTACTTCGTATGGAGTACACCGAGCACGGCAGACAAACAAGGAACCTTCCTATCCCCTATGTTGATCACTGTTTCAAGTCCTTGTCGGCATGTCTTTCTAATAGAGGGTCTAGGGGTCCCGAATTTGCACGGCCCCCTCGTGCTTGTCAGTTGTTAACGGCCCTTCTCCATCGGACAATCGCTACTCTTTCGGGTCACTTCACTATGCTAGTGGGCTTCACTACTCCGTACTCCGTACCCGTTGATAGGCCGGGGGGGACCGGCTACAAGTCTTCGTTTTTGGATTGGCAATGGAAATTGCAGTTCCGCACGCTAATATGAAGCCATGCCACGGCGGGATAGCGCAAGGAAAAACACTTAGAGGGAGGGGCAGATGCACCCAGCTGCCGCATGCCGAGGATAGCTTCATTCCTTTAGACCTAGTTGGGTCTAGGCTTCACACTGTGTTAGCTCAACAGAGCCCTCGGGCCAATGCCCATCTGCCCCTTACTACAACCTGCTGATCATGAAGTGGGATTTGGAGTCTGTTCTTTTTGGGGGTCCCTCCCTCGGCCAAAAAAAAAGAGCTTCATTTCTTTCCATGATTTCAAGCCTCTAAACCATGGGTCTGGCGGGAAATGTCCTGTCACTGTTGACAGTGAGCAATATCCTCTTAGGCCTTGTTGCCTATGTTGCGTTCAAATTTGGCTGGCAGATCGTTCATTATCGCTTCTTCCACCCACTTGCAAAGTTCCCTGGACCTTTCTGGGGCTCTGTGACTCGTCTTTGGATCGCATGGCATAATTTGCAGGAGACCGAGGTGCCGACCGTCTATGCGCTGGCTAAGAAATATGGTTGGTTTAGATTATTCTTGAAAAGCGAGCTGTTTCCTAAGTAAATCCTCACAGGCCCCGTTGTGCGCATCACCCCGACATTGTTGCTGGTCAGCGATCACGAGAAACTACCGGAAATCTACCACCGCAATGCAGACAAGACCGGTCATTATATCACCGGAAGCTTCGGCGAGACTGAGTCGCTGTTCAATATGAGATCCCATAAGACCCATGCCGTGTCTAGGAAGCACGTTGCTGGACCGGTACGTATGCAGACTGGTATATAGATATCTAAAACTAACACCCAGGATAGTACAGCTTCAGTAACATCAAGAAGATGGAGCCGCTGATTGATATGCGCATCACCGAATGGACCAACAAGCTCAATGAAAGATTCTCCAAGACCGGCGAAGCCTTCGACTTCTCCTGGTGGGCAGTGTAAGCACAAGCCAACTAAAACGTTATCCCCCAAACTAATACCATAAAGCTACATGGCCTACGACATCATCAGCGAAATCGGGTTCGGCGAACCCTTCGGCTTCATCGAAAAAGGCGAAGACATCGGCGGCCTAATCCAAGGCTTCCACGACGGCCTACCCGCGTTCGGCCTCCTATGCCGTCTCCACCCCTTCACCTCCTGGGTGAAAACCACCTTCCTGAAAAAGTACATGGTCGCCAAGCCCGAAGACAACAGCGGCATCGGCGTACTTATGCGCTTCCGCGACCGCCTCATCGACAAACGCACCAAGGACATCGAAACCGGCAAGCCGATCGAGCGCACTGACCTGCTCCAGACCTTCCTCGAGGCTATCACAGAAGAAGGCAAGCCCCTGGATCTGGAACACATCCGCGCGGAGGTTCTGCTCGTCCTTCTGGCTGGCGCCGATACCACCGGCACCGCATTCCAGGCCATGGTGCAGTTCCTCTTGACTCACCCGGAGGCGTATGAGCGTATGATGGCGGAGATCGACAATGCAGCTCGGAAGGGTCTGATATCCGATATGCCCCAGTACAATGAGGTCCTCGAGCATCTGCCATTCTATGTTGGTTGCGTGAAAGAGACGATGCGACTTTGTCCGTCTGCGCCGAATATCTTCCCCCGCTATGTCTCGGAGCCTGGGATGGATCTTTATGGTACTTTTGCGCCGGCTGGGACGGAAATTAGCTGTAATCCGTACTTGGTGCATCGGGACCCGAAGCTTTATGGCGATGATGCGGAGGAGTTCAAGCCGGAGAGGTGGTTGGATGCCGAGAAGGCGAAATTGTATAATAAGTATAACTTTGCGTTTGGGTATGGCGCGCGGGTTTGTTTAGGGAGGGATATTGCGATGATGGAGTTGTTCAAGGGTCCTTTGCAGGTAGGTTCTTTCCTGGTCGCTTGGGTGTTTGGGATATTTGCTGACATGTCCAGTTCTTCCGCCTCTATAAGCCGGAGACTGTTAAGGGCAAGCCCGAGGCCAAGTTTATAGTCAAAGGTGGTGTTGGGTACTGGAGAGATACTTGGTTGACCATCACTCCCCGACCTGAGGTCAAGGCTGAGTGAAAGCGAAATGAAGGCTTGGTTGAACAAGTTTTGAGAGATACTTCTTGTCAAGGTGTTTGCAATCTTACATGATAGAGGATGCAGAATAGTCTCTGCTGCTCAATTCCAGTTTTTATCATATCGGTTCAGATACTCAGTCCATGTCTGGTCTCTCCATCTTCTGTTTGTAGACGACGCGGTGTTTGATAGAGGCATATAAAGGCCCCATCTTCCCTGGAAACAGACAAACATTTTCTTCTTTTTCCCTTCTCCTTCCCTGGTTCTCTCAAAAATCACTCTTCTCATTGCTTCTTCATCTGTCTTCGCCTCCATGATCCTATATAGAGCCATTATACTTCGAATTGCGGAAAAACGGGCTGGCATCCTCCACTCGGAATGAAGCATCATTCTGTCAAAGAGACAATTCAACGGAATTCAATCATCAACTATACCGAAGAATGGGTTCGCCAAATGACAAAGTGAACTTCCAAAGACACATATGCCTTGACATCTCGACTGTGTCCCGGTAGACGAGATCAAGCGTGAAGCGTGTCCTGCTCGGCGGTGCTGAACAGAGTCTCGGAGAGTGTTCCGTATCGCCATTCAAAAGCCGACGGGGAACGAAAGCTGCAAGAAAGGGGTTGAGACTTCCTAGGAAAACAACAAATCTGAACGATACCTGGGAAAAATGGAAGATGGATACCAAAGGTTTCAGAACGACTTTTCTTTACCTGCGGTGGATTCGAAATTGCGCCGTCTTGTTTGAGACGATTCGGGCGGAAATCATTTGTTGGTCAAATGGGTTTCAGCTGATATCCGACGGATGTTGACTATGCATTCAATAGTGAGTGTGGGGATTCGGGTTCTGGGTTGCTTGTTTGCTTTGTGGTTTCGGTGTCAACCTGATATCTCCTTGTCGGTTTCAATACTCTCCATTAGGAATTGTGCCTGGATGTCAGGACAAAAGAAAGAGCCTGGAATGTAATGTAGTCTTGAACTGAGATAGAGCGTCTCATAAGGGGTTTGACTGAGTCTGGATTTCCAGGGACTGTTTCTCATGGACTGACTCTACTTTCTCCTTCTGGCTAAGACTTTTCTACGTGCTCTACGTATCATCCGGTCTCTTCCTCCAAGTTATACTCAAGATAAGACACAGCGTGAAATGTAATATGATTGACCGAAATGGAACTATGTGTATATGATAGATGTCTTATAATCACAAGAAACAGGAGGTTGCAAGTCAGGTCAAGTTTTGTTGAATGCTTTTGAACCCGCTCAGCTGCCCCTAGAGCATGGAACATGATATGGCGTTAGGCGTGAAAGATGGAAAAGAAGAAAACCCCCTCCCGAAACATTTATGAAGATTCAGTGCCCATGACAGCGGCCTAAATATGAAAGTTAGTTAATGTATCTCGGAGAGGGAAGATAACTGGGGCGGAAGCTTACTCGTGCCTCATGGTACAGAGGAGTGATACCAGTCCAGTGAACGAACTGGTGCACACCCTGTCCAACAAGGACCTCCAGTCCAGGAATGGTGGTCCAGCTGGCATCAGCAGCAAGCTGCATCAGTGCAGTGATGGAAGGCTTGTAGGCCATCTCGAGGAGAACACGGTGCTGGCTGGCATGGGTAGTCTTGCCGATGGTAGTACCGTCGATCTCCTGAGTGCGCTGGAACATGTTGCAGAGCGTCTCGCGCATGGCAGGGTCGATGGGACGGTCGGCGGGGATAGTGCCGATGGCAACCTGGGGCACGGTCTCAAGCTGGGCGTGGTTGTCTACGATGCGGATGTTGTAGTTGGTAGGGAAGGTCGAGACCATGCTCTCGAGCTTGCTGGCGCTGCGGCCCACAACGTAGATGGGGGAGAAGCCCATGTCGTGGAGGGCGAAGATGGCAGCACGGGCGGTACCGCCGCCACCGATGACCAGGGCGCTCTCGTTACCGGCGGAGCCGTAAACGTTTGCATTGCGCAGGCACCGGACCATACCTTGCCAGTCGGTGTTGTAACCGATCAGACGAGGGGGCTTGTCGCCGTTGGGGACAGGCACGATGGTGTTGACGGCGCCGATGATTTCAGCCTCCGGAGCAACTTCGTCGAGCAGAGGCATGATGTCTAGCTTGAGGGGGATGGTAACCGAGGCACCGCCGAAGTCGGCGGCGTGAATGAAGTCCTTAACGTCTCCGACGTTGGTGGTCTCCAGACGTGAGTATTCGTGGGGAAGACCCATTGTGCTGAAGAGGGTGTTGTGGAGAGCGGGAGAGCGTGAGCCCGCGACGGGGGAACCGAAGATGGCGAACTTCTTGGCCTTGATCTCACCCATCAGGGAAAGACCACGGCGAATCTCTGCAGCGGACAGCTGACCAGGCGCAGCCTTGAAGGGGAGGCTGGGATGAGAGACCGGAGTCATGAAGCCATTAAGGATACGGCTGAGCTGGCCACTGTCGCCCATGTTGATAGCAATTAGAGGCACATCGTGAGCCTGGTCAGCCCAGGTCTTGAACTTCCGAAGAGCAGTGTTGTCATCCAAGGTGTTGGCAACACCGACGAGTTTGATCATATCGCCGTACTCCAAAGCACGGTTGTAGGAGGGAATCCAGGACATGTTGGACCACGAAAGTGTGCCTTTAGGATCGTGGTGGGAGGCGATGATCTTGGAGTAACCTTTCATTTCGGTAACAGCACGGAGCATTGCGTCGGGGAACGCGATCTCAAGGTCCACGAACTCGCATCCAGAGCGGAATGCCAGTTGGTAGAGCTGCATGGCAGCATCGTGGGCGTCATCAGGGAAGCGGCCTCCTTGGCTCTTAGTACGGATGGTGAAGATGATCGGCAGGTTGGTACAGCGGCGAAGGATGGATAGTTGCTCGTTGACGTAGTCAATCGAGGGAATATCGCCATCGACTGCAGGGTCCTTCAACAGATCAACCCGTAGTTCCACGGCATCGGATCCAACACAAGCTTCAGTAATGATATCACCGGATGGCTTCAGATCAGGCAGGGTCAATGAGACGAAGAAGCTGTGCTGCTTCTTCTTAATGAGACTAAGGCTGTCTACTTGGCCGGTGACCACCCGCATGAAGCGGCTGAAGTCCTCTGAGGCAAGAGCCAGCTCTGTTGAGCTAGAGTGCTGGCTGTAGTACTGGATGTTACTGCACTCCTGGAACCAAGGCTTACGTCGCAGCCACACGCCCATCATGTCCTCTACGTAGGCAGGGCGAGTCTTATCGATCTGAAGGAAGTCCATCACCAGGTTGATGTTGCGCATGATGAGAAGAACATTGCCCTTGTTCTTGTGGTAGTCAGTGAGGAGCTTCCGTGCTTCGGGCATTTCGACAACACCTCCGCCGCAGGCGAAGACGTAGCCAGTAGGACGGTCTTTCAAGACGCGCTTGAGCATAGCCAGTTCTGCGTCTCTGAAACCTTCCCAGCCACGAGCCTTGATTATCTCGGGAATAGTAATACCCTCGGATGTTTCAAGCTCTGTGTCAAGATCAATGAACTGGCGATCAAGGGTCTTGGCAACCCAGTTGCCAGCGGTGGTCTTTCCAGCGCCACGCATACCAATGATGAAGACAGAGGCGTTGCTACGCTCCTCGCCGCCCGAGGCAGCATGTTCATCTTCCTTGAGTTCTTTGCCCGCAAGCTTTACGTCCCACATTTGCTTGAGGGTATCCCACCAACCCGGCCAGGTTTTGCCCACACATTCTCTCTCAAGGACGAGAGTAGGCTGGGGAGTGATCAGAGAAAGAACACTGAAACTGAACGCGACCCGGTGATCATCGTAACAGAAAACACCACCGGCGGGCTGGCGAAGGGTGGAACGATCGATACCATCGATCTCAAGACCGTCGTCATGCTCACGGCAGACCACACCGAATTTGGCCAGCTCGTCTTTCATGGCCTTGATACGGTTGCACTCCTTGACGCGCTGGTTCGCAATACCGTAGATACGGGTCGTGTGGTTTGAGTCCTTACCCCGGGCAATAGCCGCGAGAACTGACGCACCAAGGAAGGCATCGGTCATGGGCTCCATGTCGACATTAGGAAGTGGCCGCAGAATACCATCGGCAGGTCCAGTAACGGTGGTAGAGTGATCAGTCTGCACAACAGAGCATCCCATAGGCCGGAGCACATCCACGGCGAAACGGGCATCGCCCTGAAGGGACTTAGAACCAATGTTAGGGACGGTGCAGGTGGTGCCAGTAACGGCAGCGATGGCCAAAGGATAGGTTGCAGAGCTTGCGTCACTCTCCACAACGTACTCGGCAGGATTCACGTATTGGGCCTGAGGGATGTGGTAAGTGTGCTCCTCGGTGGTTGACTTCTTCACGTCAATGCCGAAAGATCTCATCATCGCAGTGGTCATGTCGATGTAGGGTTGCGAGATGGGCTTGCCGCCGACCAGCTTCAAGGTCACTGGCTCCTTGGCGTACGGGGCGCACATGAGGAGCGAAGAGACGTACTGGGAGGAAACCTTAGCGGCCAGGTTGATCTTTCCTCCCGCGAAGCCTCCAGAAGCAGCAATCTTAAGAGGCAAACATCCCTTGCTCTCCATGTACTCGACATCGGCTCCATTGGCAGTGAGTGCGTCGACAAGGTCGCCAATGGGTCTTTGCTTCATGCGGTTATTACCAGTCAAAACACTTGAGTCGACACTGCTGGGAGTAGCGAGAGTAGCCACGGTGGTAAGGAATCTAGAGGCAGTACCGGCGTTACCCAGGTACAAAGGCGAAGGGCTTGCGACAATCTTTCCGCCCTTGCCGTTCACAACAAGAACCTCACCCTCCTCTTCCCAAGAAAATGTTGCCGCACCGAGACGCTCCAAGGCATTCAACATGACCTCAGTGTCATCGGAGTGCAACAGGTTCTTGATACGGCAGGTTCCAGAACCAAGCGCAGCAAGCACAAGGGCACGGTTAGAGATACTCTTGGATCCAGGGGTGCGCAAGTGACATTAAGTGACTTTGGCACTCCTGGGTAAACTTCAACGCTAGGAGCAAGAACAACACCAATATCCTCATTAGAGACAACACTGGCCTTGGGTTCATGGGTACGGCCAATCGCCGACAGAAGGACAACCTTCTTCTTGGGGCCATCATTCTTCTTGTCCAAAGCCATGTTGAACAGCAATTGATCCACAGAGCAGTGCTTACCAGCAGTCAACTTACGAACCCGTGGATCCTTCATGGAAGTGGGCAAGCCGTAGGCTGTGATGCACTTGACCACGCGAGCAACGGCGACACCCTTCAGGATGCCCAAGTGTCTCGCAAGCTCTGCCTCCTTCACCATACCGATCGCGACACATTCGCCGTGAAGGATCTGGGGGGTAAGAATAGCTTCAATGGCATGTCCGATAGAGTGGCCCCAGTTGAGCAGGTTGCGAAGACCGCCCTCACGCTCATCTTCGGAGACAACGTACGCCTTGTGACGTGCCGATGCCAGGATTCTAGCCTTCAGGATATCCCGAATGCTATCAAAGCGGCCTTGGCCGGGCTGAGGCTCGCTGCGAACAGCTGCCAGAATCAAATCCGCGTTATCCTCCAAAGCAGTGAACTCCTCTTCGCTCGAAATGGCAGCGGTTTTAATGACTTCGGCCATGCCGTTAATAAACTCGCGGACGGGGAGGGTCTCGAGGAATTCAAGATCAATGTAGATTCTTGATGGTTGCCAGATAGAACCGATAAGGTTCTTACCAAGCGGAGTGTCAATGGCGGTCTTTCCTCCGATTGAAGAGTCCACCATGGCAAGCAGTGTGGTCGGGACCTGCACGAATCGCACACCACGCATGTAGGTTGCTGCAACAAATCCGGTCAAATCACCAATCACACCACCGCCCAATGCAATAATAACTGTATCTCTCCCACATGGCGGGTTCTGGCTCAACATCCAATCTTCAATATCGGCCTTGGTTTGCCGGGACTTGGAGCTTTCTCCGGGGGCGGCATGGTGGACGAGGAGCCGCGGGGCTGGGGTGACGGAGGCGGCGGCAGCCTCGAAGGTCTTTTGGAAAGAAGCGGTATAGAGGGATCCGAGATTGGTATCGGTAATGAGAACGTAGGTCGTCGAGGACAAGCCACTGATCAGGTCCTTCGCGACAAAATTGCGCCAAAGGCCGAAATCAGCGACAATACTCTCCTTGCCCAAGATGCTGATTTTTGTGGGTTCGGACATTGTGGAGGATATAGACGAGGACTCAATAATAACAAAATTCAAGGGCTGCTCATTTCATTCTGTAGTTTCTTAGTACCATGACTCAGGGTTGATTAACTTTATCTGCTTCCCCCACCATGCAGCTAGTACAAGGTGCACGCCGGGGGGAAGACAAGGATTAGAGGATATAGACCAACCTGGACAAATCTGCACCAAGAATCAGAGTATCAAAACAAGAGTATAATATCTCCCGAGTCAAGAGCAAGAGAAGAAAAAGTAACATGACATCGTTTCCCCTCCGGTGTCGCGGGCAGTTTCTTGACCGCCCGGTGACTCAGTCAATCTGCAAGGACTCGGTTTGATGTTGTACACTCACACCTACATGTCCTCATCACACGGCTCATATGTTGTATATACTCATCTGCTAGAGATACCTTGCATTCAGACTACGTCATCAAGAACTCGCAAAGAAATACCGTATTCCATCATTTAATCCAAACCCTCAACCCCGCCGACATCGCCTGTTGTGAGCTTGCGCCGATTAAATAGCTGGGGAGTGCCTTCGGGGTTTAGTCTTTTGTCAAATCAATCTCAAAGTCCAATTCCAATTCGATCACTGCATCCAAACTGACTGCGTTCAAGTGACCTGTCGTTTCGTATCTACCTGCCAATACCAATTTGCACGCATCTTAGGCATGTAAGTCCACCCGCCATTTGGGAAACTTCGCCCTTCGAGTCCTGCTTTTAGATACCCCACTGTTACACGAACTGAGTTGCATCCTGGAAGACGCCATGGTCATCGGAGTAGCATGGTGATGGTTGCGAGCGTTTTTCGCCCCAGAATGAACGTTTCGATGAGGGCCAATCTCTTCCTCGCGACCCGTATCTCCATTGCTGGTAGCTTTATGCCTCTGGTTCGTCATCTGCGGACACTGCTTGACAATTTGACTAGATGTATCAGCATTGCTAGTCATCCTTCTGATGCAGCCCTGTCCAATTGTTCGGGCGTATTGATTGATCAGACTGTCAACATCAAGGAATTGCGAGCCACGCCGTTCGTCTTTCTGAAATTCGATGGGCTTCAGTGAGACTTGGACACTTTGCTGAAAATGATCGCATAGCTTGGTTCATATCACACCGACGGTTAGCTTCTTCTTATCCTGGTGGATGTGCTTCCCCTGGTCTCTTCAAGGGATTGGAAGTATCATTGAATCTTTGGCCCAAGGCTTGGATTCAACGATCTCCTTTATACACAGTTCAATACCGCCAAACGTTGGTAGAATGGGCCTAAGCGTTCCCATGATTGCCTCACATCCGAGAAGGTCGGAAGCACATCCGATTAGTGGTAGTCGACCCGTTGATGGCTTTAGGCTGTAGAGACCACAATCAGCGGCGGGAAAGCAAATACTGTCACCTGAATCTTCTGCCAGCAATGAAGCAATCAGTCCAGAGACTCTAGCAACATACTGATATCTGGGCCAATTCCCAGAGGGCTGCCATAGAGGGGCGACTCGCCACCGGAGGAACCACCTGGTGTGAGAGCAGTATTATGCGGGTTTGTGGTGGTGCCGGTGGTATTACTGTATGTTTCAAGAGCCATCTACCTCGAAACCAAAGTATTAGTTATGCATCAACAGAATCGGAAACTTAGGGTTACTAACCAGCCCCTATGGCTCGGTTTTTGGTGCATAAAGAACTGCACCGGCATCTAAGAGAATCCGCACAATATCTGCGTCCTCTTGGCTCTCCTGGTCAAGCAAGCCAACGCATCCCGCAGTGAAGTCTCGCCCCTTAAGGCCCACATGGGCTTTAATGCTAATTGGTAAACCGTGAAGCCGGACCCGGGGGCTTTCCATGCTTTGCAATATAATCATCGAGCTCCTTGGCGCTGGCGATGGCACGATCGGGAAGAAGCTCGTGGATACAGTTGGTCCAAGCATGTGATCGATGGTTAGAACTCGAACTTCGAGGGATTTGGTCGCGCACAACCTCCAGCGTTACTCATCATCTTCTGAGCGATCGCAGCTCGTCGAAGAAAAGTGTTGGTTACTGCAGTTTCAGTCGATTTCCTCGTTGCAAGGGAACCCAGCAAGGTCTCAGTGCAACTTTCTGTGATAGCGATCTCTATAGGCGAAGGGTGCTTTCGGGAGAAATCGATCACCCCGCCAGTATGCGCATCGGGAAGAGCAGCGATGGTGGGGTAAACCGGGTCTATGGAACGAAAATGCACTGCCTGGACCTAGCGGGCCGACTCTTGCCAGGCGAGTTTCCTTTGAGGTACCATGGTCATCTTCCGGGCCTAGATCGGGTGATTTCGAGTACGGGCTGGGTGAAGGAGTTCTGCAGAATGCCGCACGGTGTTCATTGAATTCCGAAGCTGGGCCTCTCTCATTATTGTCTCATCTTCGTGGTACATTGGCCTATGATCCGCGACTAGAACATGACAGGCCCCAGTTCTTGGCCCCAATGTGGCATCTCGCTTGTGCTGAAGCAGTGGTACGATCGTGAGCGGGTCACATATCCACAGCGCTGAGACCAATACGCATAGTTTAATTGTCAGCTCTAATATTGCAGCGATGCCAACCGGAACGCTACAAACGTGTGATTCTGGAGTCAGGACAAGCCCTAACTTCCCTGGCCGTGCCGTTGGCCCCCGAATAGCGGGCCGGTGGATCGGGGACCACCACTCGAAAAGCCCCAGACCGTGCGCGATTTTATTTCATTGATCTCTTTTAGAGTGCCAATCAAACACGACAGGGATTCTTCTTAATAGTCCCAATTGGCGTGGTCTTAGGCCCGGAAATTTTGAAAAGTTGGAAGAAGCCTACGGTCTCAGAGTGTAGAATGTAGCGACATGAAGGCGTTTATACTGGCAGGGAACCCTCTTCATAGGGTCATGGTCGTGACTTGTGAGTAGCAGAGATTCCCAATTTCTATCGACACACAATGACCGACCTCCAGGAGGACTTGGGACCGATACTATGGGGGGTGAATACAGTGTTCGCTGCACTGGCCACATGCGCTGTTGTTGCCCGTTTTGGGGCTCGACGACTACGACAGTTGCCTCTCGGTGCAGATGACTGTTTCATCTGTATCGCCCTTTTCTTGGATTGGGTCTTATACGGACTCTTTGTGGGAAGTGAGTACTATCATGACGTTGATCCCGCTAGAAAACCGCAGTATTGACACTGACGGACTTTCAGGTCGAATGAATGGCCTCGGCAAGCACCGAGCAATCCTCCCACCAGAAGAAGTCGCTGTATTCTCGCAGCTTCTCTACTTCTTCCAGATCTTCTACGTGCTCAGCCCCCCGGCTGTGAAGCTAGCACTGCTTTTTCTGTACCGGCGCATCTTCGAGCATTCAAGCTTCTTGCGAGTTGTCAATGGCATGATCGTTCTGGTCTCTGTGTGGGCCGTTGTAATGACTTTCCTCGCTATTTTCAATTGCAATCCGATTAGCGCCTTCTGGACAACAGAGGGAACTTGCCTTGACTTCAAAAATTTTGCTGTCAGCTACGCAATCGTGAACATTGTCAGTGACTTTGCGATTTGGTTGATGCCAATTCCTCGAGTATGGAATATCCAGCTTCCAAAACCCCAGAAGATTGCTCTGTGTCTGATCTTTACACTGGGTCTCTTGTAAGTATACTCTTATTCCTATTCCAAAGATGTCAGTCAATGCCAAGATTTATGCCTTGCTAACGCATCATTCCTAGTGATTGCGCTGCAGCCATGGCCCGCCTTCTCCTCTCAATGCTTGTCCTGGGCGAGTACGACTCCACATGGGTCTACTCAAAAGGATACATGTGGTCCATTATTGAAGTGTCCACGGGCATTGTCTGCACATGCCTGCCCACGATGCAGGTACTCTTGAAGTCAGCCTTCGGTGGCGCTTTGGCGAAAATCTTCGGCATGTCTAGCGGGAAGACCAGCCACCAGCCGTCAGGCGTTACGCCGTGGTCTAGATCAAAAGAGTTTTGGAATGATATTGGGGAGGCCGGGTCGATGGATGGATTTTCCAACGACCATCGCACAAATGATGTTTCACGATTGGGTGATGCAGATTGGGACATGAGTTCGCAACGGATTCTGGTGACGGAGGAGGTGAAGATTGAACTTCAGCCAGCCAGACCGTGAGCATCTGTAAATATAACGTTGGTCCGCTCGCTTGACCTTTTTTCTTCTTCTTATGACAAAAGCACTCTTTAACTAAAACGTTCAATCTTGCCGATATTTCAGATCTACTTGGCAATCTCACACATCATACATAACTGTACTAGTGAGAGTGGACCAAATGTGCATTTTTCCACGATCAATAAACGACGATAGTCATATAATCTGAGAGACGCTGTTAACATGTGGTTTACAACCTATAGTGGCGAAGGCCTGAAAGTCCGCCAAAGAAGTCGGGACCGAAAACAACTGTCTTGATCGCGTCATTCTAAGATTTTGATATATCACAGGAAGCTTGATTGAAGCCCTGATAATCAACTGGATGCCACCGGGCTTTTCCTTGAAACGGATCTGAAAGGTTATATGTACAAATGAGAACTGAAAAATAGCTGACCGAGGTTTCCCTGGACGTGGGGGAGTCTCTTTCTTTTACTTGCAAGAACCAATTCAAGAGTTCCTCAACCTCCAGGGCTTTGGATTTGGATGCCAACACACCGCTAACCACTGGAGAATTGACCTTAAATCGTATGACTATTTACTAAATGGGCACATATCCATCACTCATCTTCCTCATCCTCATCCTCATCATCATCGTCGTCATCCTCGGCCTCTGAGACTTCTTCTCCGAGCTCCTTCAAACGGTTCTATAAAATTATTAGCCAGATTTCCAAGAAACAGGGCGTAAACTCAGAGCAATCCGGGTTGATGAACATACCTTGTCCTCCATTCGCTTAGCCTCTAGGTCTCCAAAGACGATCAGCAGGTCTTCTAGTTCAGATTGAGCAGACTGGCGAGCCTCCTCCTTTTCTTTGGATTCCGCATTAGCCTTGTCAAGCTGGGCCTGGAGACTTTTGAGGGCTTCAGCTGCACTGCGAGCGCGTGATTCAGCCTCCTTGGCCTTTTCCTCAGCCTCCTTGGCTCGTGCTTCCAAAGCGGTGGTCCGGGATGTGGCGCCTTCTTGGGCTCTCTCGAGATCATCGCTACATTTCTGAGCCTTGGCAAGATCTGACTCAAGGGCCGTAACAGATTGCTTCAGTGTCGCGATCTGAGCTTCGTGTTCTTTCTTGGCTGTGGCGAGATTTGACTCTAGGGTTCCAACTTTATCCTTGTGGCCAGCGGATTCAGTCTCATTTTGCTGCTTGGCTGCAGAGAGATCGGACTCCAAGCTTTTGAGCTTGCTTTTATAATCAGCGACTGCCGTCTCGTGCTGCTTCTTGCTTCCAGCTAATGTAGATTCCAGGCTCTGCAATTTCTCGTTGAGATCAGCAACCTGTTCATCCTTGGCCTTGTTGGTGTTTTCAAGTTCTTGGATCTTCTTTTCAAGATCAATCACCTGTCCACTGTGGGTCTCCTTAGATTGGGCGATCGAGGTTTCCAACTCCTGGATCTTCTTGTTGAGGCCATCAACTTGACCACTGTGGGACTTTTCAGTCCTTTCAAGATCTTGAATTTTCTTGCTGAGGCTATCGACTTGACCACTGTGGGACTTCCCAGTGCTTTCAAGATCTTGAATCTTTTTCTCAAGCTTAGTAACTTGCTCACCATGGGCATTCTTGGCTTGTTTGATGGCATTTTGCGACTCCTGGAGTTTCTTATTGAGATTGGAGACTTCTCTGGTATGTTGTTCCCGAATGCGAGAAAGCTCTGCTTCCAAGCCACGGATCTTTTGCTGTAGACCACCAACTTCTTGCTCATGTTGCTCTCTTGCCTCTTTCGCTTTGATGCTCTTGCTCTCAGAATCCGCCGAAACTTCCTTGAGTTGATTGTCGATGGCACGGAGCTGATCACCATGCTGCTTCAGTAATTCGTTTTTGTGATTCTTATGTTGGTCTTCGAGCTTTGATAATTGCTGCGATAATTCTTGTGCATGGGTGTGTTGTAGAGACTGGTGGGTCTGTTGGATCTTTGACAACTCTACCGTGCTGGATTCCTTTGTCTTTCGGTGATCCAGTTGTTCTTGGTCAAGCTTTTGTTGCATACTAATGAGATCTGTCTCCAATTTCTGAAGGGTTTGGGTTCGATCTTCAATCTCTGCACGCAATGTATCGACAAGCTCACGTGAAATGCCCTTTTCAACGCCATTCGTAACAACGGAAATCTCAAACTCGGGTTCGCGGTCAATGGCACGAAGCACTCGGCTAAAGTTGTCTTTGAGGAAGTCAACGAACGCACGATCGAAAAATACCTCCGGCAGTCCACCTTCGAGCTGACCACCGGCAGTTTGGGGAAGAACCTCGAAGTCGCGAACTAATGGGCATTCTCGAAGCCTTGTTATTTTGTCAATGTACTGTTCCCTCCCAAGCTGTTCAAGGAGCAGTTTGTGAAGCGTGATACGAGGGATCGGGGAGTCTTTGGTAGAAAACTCATAAATGATACCCAACAACACTGTGCACAGGCCAGGGACCAATTTGCTCGGAGCACGCTGGTGCTTAATTTCCTGCAACAAGGTCTGAATGCTGCTGCCCTCTCCAAGAAGATCATTGACGACATCAGGATCTTCGAAGAGCCATCCGCAAAGCAACATGAGATAACCAACTGTGATTCTTTCATCGTCTCCGCGTTGCAAGCCAGTGATCAGATTCCCAATCACGAATTGGACACTGGTGACCACTTCTTCGCCGCTTTCAGCATCGCCTTCGGTGACCCGCATAGCCTCTGCCTTCGCCTCGGCATCATCAAACAGCAGATGGAACATCAAGACTGAAGCCATCCACACTTGATACGGATCAGCGTTTCCTCGCGCTTCCGGAGCAACAAGCAAAACAGATAGAATATTCGGGATTCGATCCTGTCCACTGGTATGCCCTTCAATCGCTCGTCGGAGTACATGCATACGGATACCAGAATGTTGAGCGAAAAATGCCTTCATACACTCGCACGCAGCAAGTCGTGCATCCAAGAGGCTGTTCGGGGCAGGCTCAAGACTGAGCTTCAGGAATGCTTCAATCACATTGATTCGTAGGGGTTCATTCACATGGCCGTTGGTAGCCGTGTCGCTGCCTGGGTAAGAGCCCCACAAGACTTCAATGTCACCAAATCTCTCTTGCAGCGGTGAGTTCCCACGGATTAGGTCGGCACAGGTCGATAAAGCCTAGATTGGTCAATTGATAATACTAACAAAAGATGAACGAGGACATAAACGGCATCTTACCTTAGATGTCACGTTGACACTAAACTTTTGACCAAACGCAATGCTTAGGGCTTGTTCTGTTACGCCATTTTGCCAGAATACCGTCTGGTTGATAGGTGTGCTCACCCCACCGCGAATCAGAAACAATTGAATGATAGCCAATAGGCCCCAAACATTCTTGTCTCGGTGGATCAGGGTCCATTCTGGCGTTGATGCATTGTCTTCTGGCTCATGTTGGCATTCGTGAAGGAGTTGGGTGACTCTTTTCACGCAACCGGTCTCGCGGAAAAATGATTGATTGGAGACATTGAACTTCAATAGCTGAGCCAATAACGAGAGACAATCTTCGACCACCTCGCTTCCATGAGTCAATGCTCCCTCTGCTTCGATGAGGGAGAAGAGTATCTCGAATGCATTTTCAAATGCCACAAGCTTTTGTAGCTCCTCCGATGCGGGGGTCAAGGCGATCAACAACACGAGGGCCTCTAGCAAACCAACGAACAAATTATCAGCTCCAACCTTTCATGGCTCACGCCAACGTAGATATTGCCCTGGACATACCGTTCCGTACGGGCTCCCTCGCGTCTGTCAATACGCTGACTAGTTTGGAGATACCTAGCGGCGCTGTGAAAATACATTCTTGTGTTCGTTCTGGTCGTGCACTGCAAATGTGGGAAATCAATTGAAGTGAATAGAGACGGGAGTAGAAGTCTCGGGCTTCGAGAAGGTCGAGTAGGGTTGTTATATTATCTTGTCGCTTTCAATACGTTAGTTCATTGTTCAGGAACCGAGGTAACGGTACGTACCTGAGTAAATTCATCTGCGAGCCACAGAGCTATTTCATCCGATGCTTCGGGCTAAGTGTATACGTGAGCGGATTGAATAAAAGTAATCCAGAGTATGAGATACCAACACTAGATTCATCAGGTGTGAAGAGCATCAAAAGGGTCTCGAGGACCACTTTGATGGTGTCCACATCCTCACCATCATTGCGTAAACTGCTAATCAATGATCGCAGACCACCAGAAGCGACTGATGCTGGGTAGAGTTTTGCAAAGCTTCTGAGACCTTGGATTGCTGCCCGACGATCTTCCAACAATGTAGCACTCTGTAGTCTACTGCTCAATATCTCAATTGTGTCCGTAGCCGTTTGTTTGGCCGGAGCTTGCGACTCGAGGATTCGGAACATCGTAGTTGGTTTGCACTATCATGGTCGCCGGCCGAGGGCGGAGGAATTGATAGTCATCTAACGAGCAACAACAGAGGAATATGACGAGGGATCGCTGATTGTAGTAGAAAGCTGTCCTACTGCCGAAGGGGGCTAAACGCCGATCTTGGCCCAACCCAACCCGCAGAATCGCAGAATCGCCCGACCGCCCGGGATTTATCTTTTCGTCAACGACGAGCTCTCTTTCACTACGTCCAACCTGCACCGCGACCATATTTGCGGTTGCACATTCACTCTTTCTTATTGCATGCATTAAGGAAGCTTCTATCTTATTGAAGTCAAGTCAACGTGTAACGCAGTTACGAAGGGATCGCGCTTGTATCTGCATGAGCGCTATTGACTGATTGCGACAATACACTACCGGAATCCCCAAACCTTGACCTCGCGAGTGTCGCATTGCCATCATGGGTGTCCCCGCGCTATTCCGATGGCTCTCCAACAAGTATCCGAAGATCGTTTCCCCGGTGATTGAAGAGCAGCCTCAGCAAGTCGATGGAGAAGAAATCCCAATTGATATCACCCGTCCGAACCCCAATGGCGAAGAGCAAGATAACCTCTATCTGGATATGAATGGTATTGTCCATCCGTGTACTCATCCAGAGGGGAAGCCTCCACCAGCGGACGAGCAGGAAATGATGTTGGAGATCTACAAGTACACTGATCGCGTGGTCAACATGGTGCGCCCTAGAAAGCTTCTCATGATCGCTATTGGTATGTGGATATTCCAGTCAGGCTTTTGGATTTTTGATTCTTGTGCCAAATCCGCAGGTTCCGCTAACCTCGATCATGTTTAGATGGTGTTGCACCAAGAGCGAAAATGAACCAGCAGCGTGCACGTCGATTCCGCTCAGCGCAGGAGGCTAAGGAGAATGATCAAAAGAAGGAGGAACTTCAGAAGATGCTTGCTTCACAGCATGCCAAGAAGACCGGCGAGCAATTGCTTCGAGAAGAAGTTGTTCAGAAGACATGGGACAGCAATGTGATCACACCAGGAACGCCTTTCATGGATATCCTCGCTGCCTCTCTGCGGTACTGGATTGCCTATAAGCTCAACACTGACCCGGGCTGGGAGAACGTATGTTTTGATATCTTTTCTCAGTACCATTTGCTTAACTGACTTGAATAGCTGAAAATCATCATTTCGGATGCTACGGTTCCAGGAGAAGGAGAGCACAAGATCATGAACTTTGTGCGATCGCAGCGGGCCTCGCCTGATCATGATCCCAACACTCGCCATGTTATTTATGGTCTTGTAAGTTTGATGATCTTGCGAATCAAAATTCTCAACCAGCTGACTTAACATTAAACAGGACGCCGATCTGATTATGCTGGGTCTTGGTACTCATGAGCCTTATTTCCGAGTACTGCGTGAAGATGTGTTTGCCCAGGACTCAAGGCCTCGGGGTTGCAGACTCTGTGGACAGACTGGACACAAGGCTGAGGAATGTCTAGGCCGCCCAAAGGAGAAAAGCGGCGAATTTGATGAGAAGCAACATGCTGCCCCTCTGAAGCCATTTATCTGGCTCCACGTCGCAGTCCTGAGAGAATATCTTGCCGTAGAGCTCCGTGTTCCTAACCAACCGTTCCCATTCGACCTAGAACGTGCGCTGGATGATTGGGTTTTCATGTGTTTCTTCGTTGGAAACGATTTCCTTCCTCACTTGCCCTCTTTGGATATTCGTGAAAACGGAATTGATACACTCATCGCAATCTGGCGTGACAATCTTCCCGCAATGGGAAGTTACCTCACTAAAGATGGAAGTGTTGAGTTGAAGAACGCCCAAATCATTTTGCAAGGACTGGCCAAACAAGAGGATGCCATCTTCGCACGTCGTAGGCAGGCGGACGAGAGAAAGCAGGCAAACGAGAAGAGGCGCAAGGAGCAAGAAGCAGCTCGCAATGAAGAGCGTTCTCAAAAGCGCAGGCGAAGCTCGCCTCAGTATGACTCTGGAGCTCAAAATCGCTCGCGCGGCGGAGACGGCGAGCCTGCACCTACTATGGAACTGATCACTCCTGGCCGGGGCCACTTGGCCAAGGAGACACGGGAGTTGACACACAGCATGGTCATCAACCGTGGAGCTGTGTACCGCGCCAACATGGAGAACAAGAGCGCCGCCGCTGTGCTGAAGAGTAAACTCATGAAGCGCAATCAGGCGCCTGAAGCCGATGAATCCCCAGCCACACAGGGCGAGGAAGCATCAAATGAAGCATCAGAGCCGACCTCTCCCGGAGTTCTCGGAAAACGAAAGGCCGATGCAGCTGAACAGGAGGTCGAAGAGGCTGGAACACCAGGTAGAGATTCTCCCCCACCTCCTCCTGTGGTTCCTGCGAAAGCCAAACAAGACGAGCCCCAAGAAGATACCGTCAAGCTTTGGGAACCAGGATACGCCGATCGCTACTATGAGCAAAAGTTCGGTGTGGATCCCAAAGACTTGGAGTTCCGCCACCAGGTCGCTCGTGAGTATGCGATGGGTCTCTGTTGGGTTTTGCGATACTATTTCCAGGGCTGTCCATCTTGGGTATGTTTATCGCTCCTACTTACATATCTATGAGTGAACACTACTAACTTAATTTCAGACTTGGTATTACCCAAGGCACTATGCCCCATTCGGTGAGTTTTCTTCTTCCATTGTCTCTATGTCTTCACACTCTCTATGTTTATCTTTGTTCTTCGGCCAAAGCTAACGTATTTCTACAGCTGCCGACTTTGTTGACATCGCCGACATGGATGTCAAGTTCGAAAAGGGCACCATATTCAAACCCTTTGAACAGCTAATGGGAGTCTTGCCTGCATCGTCTAACCACGCGCTGCCCAAAGTTTTCCATCCACTCATGGAAAATCCCGATAGTGAGATCATCGATTTCTACCCAGAGGACTTCCCTCTGGATTTGAACGGGAAGAAATTCGCCTGGCAAGGCGTGATTCTTCTCCCTTTCATCGATGAAACCCGCCTTCTAAACGCCATGGCAAAGGTATACCCCCTTCTTACTGAAGATGAGAAGAGTCGCAACTCTCACGGTCAGGAAGTGCTTCTACTATCTGACCGACACCCATTATATCAAGATCTTGTCGCGAACTTCTACTCGAAGAAGCCCGGTCCAGCAAAATACACTCTCAAACAAGATATCAGTGGCGGTCTTGCTGGCATCGTTGAGCGTAGCGACACTTATATACCCCACAGTTCGTTAGTCTCACCATTGGAGGCACATGGCATGCCGGGAGTTGATGATGATCGTTCTCTCACGTGAGTTTTACCCTATGAAATCCCATATCCGTTTTATATGCTGACCGACCAAAGGGTTCTGTATTCGATTCCGGAGTCTTCTCATGTCCACAAGTCCATGCTTCTTCGCGGTGTCAAGCTTCCAACTCCTATGCTGGATGCAAATGATATCAGAGCCACCCAAGGCCGAGCTCAGAACTCGGGTCGGTCTTTCGGCGGAGCACCTTTCCAGGGCAGAGGACGTGGTGGTCGGATGAACTACTCCAGTGATCGTCCGAATCCATTCGCCGCGCATCTTGATCCAAAGTTCAATGCTGGTCCACAAGGTGCTCCTGGTGGTGCCCCCATGGTACCTCCTGGGTGGGTACCTCCTGGTCAAGGATATGGAGGCTACTCCAGAGGACCTCCTCCCCCTCCGCGTGGTGGAATGTCCCACCAGTACCCACCGCAGCACGGCTACCAACAGTCTGGGGAATACTATGGCCAGCAAAACCATCAGTACAACCAGGGTAGTCAATACAACCAAGGTGGCCAATACAACAACGGGCATCAGCAAGGCTATGGCTCCCAGGACTATCGCGGCGGCCGGGGAGGTAACCGTGGCGGTAGAGGCCGCGGTGGCGGCGGTCAGAACCGAGACCAGTACTCCTACAATCAAGGTGGGGGTTATAATCGATACTAGAAAGTAGATTAGGCTTTAGCTGCCTCTCTGTCTTTCTCTCCAACTATTTCTTGCTTCTTGCAATACTGTTGTTAGTATTTGTTGGTCCATCTGGGAATCGGGTATGAGGAAGAAACGGAGTTACGGGGAATGTAAAATGAATTCAATTGATGTCTTTTATATATACTCTTTGGGTGCGCTTGTAGAGGATCTATGTATTCGCTCAAAAATCTAGCTTGATGATATATAAGAAGCTTTAAGCAAACCACTCTGCTTCTGAGTAAGCCATTCACTGTCCCGCTGGCTATTATGTGCTGTTGGTTTTCTTTCATGTCCATAGTCCCTCGCCTCTGAGGTTTTTACTGCGTACTTGCAGCCCTAATATGAGGTTTACTATTCGGGGAAGGCGGTGTGCGTGGAGGGGTCGGGGAACAAAGCACACTGGCAAAAAAAGCCAGGCGGGGTGACTCACCTGTGAATTGTCGTTGTTAGTCTTCTCTCCAACCTTCGAAAATCACTGGAGTCACTACGACATGGATTTTCCTGCAGAAGAAGAGCGTGTGCTCTCTCGGTGGAGGGAGATTGATGCATTTAAGCGCCAAGTTGAACTTTCGGCCGGAAAGCCACGCTATGGATTCCTGGACGGTCCTCCATTTGCTACCGGAACCCCTCATTACGGACACCTGCTTGCTTCGGTAAGAGCGTTGTGAACAACTGGCGAATAGTTCGTGAACCGTCCTAATATTTTCCACTAGACAATCAAGGATGTGATTCCCCGTTATTGGTCTATGAAGGGATTCCATGTGGAGCGCCGCTTTGGTTGGGATACCCATGGCGTGCCCATCGAGTGAGTTAATTCAAGACATGCTTCAAGGCTTTTTGGGTCTTTATCTGACGTGGGGCACTACTAGATATGAGATTGACAAAAAGTTGGGTATGTCTGGTCTACAGGCGGTTCAAGAGATCGGAATCGAGAAGTACAACGAGGAGTGCCGATCTATTGTTATGAGATACGCGACAGAATGGCGCCAGACCATCGAGCGATTGGGTCGTTGGATCGATTTCGATAATGACTACAAGGTACGCCCGACGCCGAATAGCGTTTTGCGCCTTTTTGCTAACGAGCTTATTATTTAGACCATGAACCCGTCATTCATGGAATCAGTCTGGTGGGTTTTCAAGGAGCTCTTCGACAAGGGTCTCGTCTACCGCGGATACCGTGTCATGCCTTACTCTACTGCCCTCAACACCCCTCTCAGTAATTTCGAAGCGCAACAGAACTACAAGGATGTGCAGGATCCCGCTGTCGTTGTGACATTCCCCTTGCGCGATGACCCAGAGACATGTCTGCTTGCATGGACCACTACCCCATGGACACTTCCTTCGCATACTGGTCTGTGTGCCAATCCCAACTTCGAGTACGTTAAGATCTACGATGAGGCTACAAAGAAAAACTACATTCTTCTGGAGGCTCTCCTGCGGACTATCTACAAGGACCCGAAGAAGGCCAAGTTCAAGATCGTCGATCGCATCAAGGGTTCCGACATGCTTGGATGGAAATATGAGCCTCTCTTTGATTACTTCTATGAAGAATTCAAGGATTGTGGCTTCCAGGTGCTGAACGACGAATATGTCACCGCCGAGGACGGTGTGGGTATCGTCCACCAGGCCCCAGCCTTCGGTGAGGAGGATTACCAAGTCGCTATGAACCACGGTGTCATTTCTGAAACCCGCCTTCCCCCCAACCCCGTTGATGCTCAGGGATGTTTCACTGCTGAAGTTCGGGACTTCGTGGGCCAAAATGTCAAGGCGGCTGACAAGGGCATTATTAAGCTTCTCAAGGGCAACGGTCGTGTTCTTGTTGACAGCCAGATTACTCACAGTTATCCTTTCTGCTGGCGGTCTGACACCCCTCTGATCTACCGTGCTGTGCCATCCTGGTTCGTGAAGGTCAAGCCCATCATTCCCGATATCCTCGATGGTATTGAGAAGTCACACTGGGTCCCCTCCAATGTCAAGGAGCGCAGATTCGCTAGCTGGATCCGGAACGCTCATGACTGGAACATTTCTCGCAACCGTTTCTGGGGAACGCCGCTGCCATTGTGGGTTAGTGATGATTTCTCGGAAGTCGTTGCTATCGGTAGCATCGAACAACTCAAGGAATTGAGTGGTTATGAGGGCGAACTCACCGATATCCATCGGGATAAGGTCGATCACATCACTATTCCTTCATCTAAAGGCAACGGTGTTTTGAGACGTGTTCCGGAGGTCTTCGATTGCTGGTTCGAATCAGGCAGTATGCCTTTCGCAAGTGTCCACTACCCCTTCGAGGGTGCGGAGGAATTCGAGGACCGTTTCCCAGCAGACTTCATTGCCGAGGGTCTTGAGTAATTTCCCCATTTGCCTTTGTGCACCGCTATTCACGGGCTAATTTTGGATTTCTAGTCAAACCCGAGGATGGTTCTACGTTCTTAGCGTTATCGGAGTTCATTTGCGACAGAGACTACCATACAAGAACGTCGTGGTCAATGGCATTGTCCTCGCGGAGAACGGTCTCAAAATGTCAAAGAGGTGTGTAACCACTACCGCTACAAGACCTGAATGATATTCAAGTATTCTGACTAAACAGGTTGAAAAATTACCCCGATCCATCGCTTATTATGAACTCTTACGGGTAAGTACCGGTCCAGTCCTTCCGTTCCGAGGTGTTCATGCCTTGCGCTTTGTAATGAAGAATCTTTGGAATTAATGTTTTACAACTAGATCGGATGCTCTTCGCTTGTACATGATCAACAGCCCTGTCGTTCGTGCCGAGCCTCTGAGATTCAAGGAGAGTGGTGTCAAGGAAATCGTCAGCAAAGTGCTGCTTCCATTGTGGAACAGCTACAAGTTCTTCGAGGGCCAGGTGACTCTTTTGAAGAAGACTTCCAACATTGACTTTGTCTTTGATCCCACAGCGGAGAGCACTAACACAAACGTCATGGATCGTTGGATCCTTGCAAGCTGCCAGTCACTTCTTCTGTTCATTAACCAGGAAATGGCTGCCTACCGTCTGTACACCGTTGTACCGCGACTCCTCGGGTTGATCGATAACACCACCAACTGGTACATTCGTTTCAACCGCAAGAGACTCAAGGGCGAGAATGGCGTTGATGACACTTTGCACGCCCTGAACACTCTCTTTGAGATTCTCTACACCCTGGTCCGAGGCCTTGCTCCCTTCACTCCTTTCATCACCGACAACATCTACCAGCGTCTCCTACCCCACATTCCTGAGTCGCTCCGTGCCGAAGACAGCCGTTGCGTACACTTCCTTCCCTTCCCTGAAGTGCGCCAAGAGCTCTTCGACGAAGTTGTCGAGCGCAGAGTCTCTCGGATGCAGAACATCATTGAACTCGGTCGTATCTCGCGCGAACGTCGGGCTATCGGTCTGAAGACCCCCCTGAAGACACTTGTTGTGATTCACAATGACCCGCAATATCTCGAAGATGTCAAGTCTCTCGAGTCCTACATTCTTGAGGAGCTCAATGTTTTGGAGCTTGTTCTCTCATCTGACGAGGCCAAATACCAAGTCGAATACTCAGTGACTGCTGATTGGCCTGTGCTAGGAAAGAAGCTCAAGAAGGCTGTTCAAGCGGTTAAGAAGGCTTTGCCTTCTCTGACCAGTGATGACGTGAAGGGTTATCTTGCAGACAAGAAAATCTTGGTTGATGGCATCGAACTTGTTGAAGGTGACCTTGTCGTGAAGCGTGGAATCAAGGAAAACGACAACACTAAGGGCATGGAGACCAACACCGATGCTGATGTGTTGACCATCCTTGATGTAAACTTGTACCCCGAGCTGGCTCACCAGGGTCTTGGTCGTGAGATCATCAACCGAGTTCAGCGCCTTCGCAAGAAGGCCGGTCTCGTCCCCACCGATGATGTGAAGATGGAATACACCGTGATCTCGGATCCGGACAACATTGGCCTTGGTGAAGCTTTCAAGTCTCAGGCCCAAGCCTTTGAGAAGGTTCTCCGCCGGCCAGTCGAGGTGAGCGATTTCAGTGGCGACAAGCTGCCTACCGGAGATGAAGAAGGCACCATCTCTCAGGAAGAGCAGGAGGTGCAAAATGCTACTTTCCTGTTGCGCCTTCTCAAGCTCTAGATGGCCTATTCAAAGAATATACGTAGATACCTAGAAAGTCTACTTTTCAAATACTCTCCGGTTCCCTTAAATGAAAACATGAATCTTTCTTTGATAATCCATCTTCAATTTCTGGCGAAATCCAACCTTGAGATACTATACAAATGCCCCCGCTTGCGCCGCTATACCCAAATAGTTTCAAATCGAGGAATGCTTCTGATGCCTTCTTTTGATGCTTCCAGCATGAAGCCCAACGAGCCTTGCTTTAGCCCTTCTTGGATGCAGCCTGTAGGGGTTGTTTAGCTTGTTTGGATGTTGTAGCACTCGGTTGTCACCTACCAGATAGCAATTCTTCAATCTCATAAACTCTTTGGCGCACATATCTTTGTGTACCGAGTTATAATCCGTTACAACACACTTGCCGTATGCCGCAACCTATCAAGCTAATTAGTCGTGGACTTCCGAGATGAGGTCATACAGAAGTTACTTACCTCTGCGGAGCATTGGGCCGTGGCTTTGGCAATCTTTTCAACCGGACGAGTTCTGGCAGGCATTCTGAGGAATTATTAGGCTGCCGCTCGGATTGCAAAGACTTTATTGTTCCGATGTGAAGTCAATAGTCCACTGGGCGAAATCCAAGAATGTTACATAATGGCACGTGACCGTTCTGCATGTTTCTGTCGCGACAACCAAAACAACCCGCTTAGCCAGTCATTGCTTCGATTGATGGCGCATGGACTAGTCTATTGTTGCTATTCTTTTGGATTTGCTGGTCGCAGAGTATCTCTGCCCGCGCATGTCTCTCATATTGGGTATCCCCGACCTTCGCGATGATTTATTTGGTCCTGCGGCTCTATGACCCAGATGCGACAAGCGCGCCTTAAGATCGCGAATTTTCGATGCCTCCGATATCCTCGCAGCGTCGAGCCGTGACCGAAGAGAGCTCGTCTCTTACCGATGATGGTATGAAATTAATGGTGGCGTTAATTCAATCAAAGCTAATATCTTGACAGATGTCGGTTTTCTCTACCAGGTTGTCGCCAGCGCCGAGACAAAACCTGAAGCAGATCGACTCCCATTCCGGGCGCTGTTTGAGGCCTACGACGAAGTCATTGGTGATCATGGCGTCAATGTGGACCCAGGCCATGCCTGTCTGCGCTTCCTGTTCAAAATGGGAAGCAAAGATGTCCACGGCGATACTCTCTTCGACAAATTCGAGAATGCGCTCCAACGGATGGGAATCGTGATTGAGCTTGGCGACGAGGGATCTACGAATCTCAATGAGACACATGAACATGACCGATATACAGTGGATGTCACTCATAGCCAGACGGTTGACCATAACCATGACCATGCTCCGATTACGAATGGAGTGCCACCGACACCGAGGCGGCGCGCATCGTTTAACACTACGTATGATATTGGTGAAGATGCTACACAGAGAAGCTTAATCAATCGCCCCAGCTCTCGATCTTCAATGTCACGGCTTGAAATAGGCAAACCGGAGTTTCCCAAGCCCAACCTTTTACCTACACCCAGCCATGAGTTCGGGCCTACAAAATCGCCAGACCGGACACAATTGATCAGCCAGTTCTTAGATGTCGGTCGCCGATTACTGAGCCGGTTTGATGGAATAGAGCACAAGAATGCAGCCACAGGAGAACTGCCATTGACTAACGGAGTGGTTGCGAGATCGGCCGTTGCTCGTGATCGTTCGAAGAGAATGGCTGAAGCTTCACGTCCCCATCGGCCACCCTCGTACGATTCCAGCTCCGAGTCCGAAGAAGAGCAATCAATAATGTCACAAAGCCCAGAGCACGATTCTTTTGATAAAGAAGAGGTGCCACCCGAGTTTTTGTATCGCCCCCAACTTTCCGATCTACTTCGGGATGCATCTACCTTCAATATGTATCGCCAACGGTCAATCTGCCGTCGAATTTTGACCCAATGGCTGAAAAAAGCCTTCCAAGCACGACAAACTCGACAAACAAGAGAAACACTCGCAATCAATTACGACCGGGGCCTTCTCATCCGACAAGCGTTCGATCCATGGCGAGGAGTTATCCAAGAAAAACGCCACTCTGTCCGAACAGATCGGTTCTTCAAGCACCTTGAGACGCGAGCTAGTCGTGCACGTGATTTATACCTAATGACTAAAGCGTTTAGCCATTGGGCCCAGTTGACATCGGAAGAAGTGGCTCGAACCTCTGCTGCTCGGAGACATGTTCTTGGTGTCAAATATTTCAATGCCTGGCGCGAGATCACAGCGGTCAATGAGTTGAAGGCTCAGCGATTTGCATTGCAGAGACCTTTCAATATGTGGCGGAAAAAGGTTAAAGATCTGAAGGCAGCAGAGATTCAAGCAGTCAGTGTACGCGACACAAAGATTCAAAAAACTGCCTTCTGGGACTGGTGGTGGTGCTTCTGTGATAGGCGTGTTCTTGAAGTTTCCGATTATCGACTCAAACGACGGTCACTGCTTTCCTGGCTTCGGAACTTCCGCACCAATCGAGAGCGTGATCATGAGATAGACCTTCATAACAAACGGTCAGCTTTGAAGTCGGCACTTCAGATTTGGTCCCATCACTCGAGAACCATTTCCTGTGCAGATCAAGAGGTCCAAGCTTCTCGGCGTCAACATGATCTCAGAGAAACCTTTGATGAATGGAGAATTCAGTCTCGGCTGGCCCCAGCTGCTTCTCGAGTATCTCAAATGGTTGATACAAGGATTGTACGGAATGCCCTTTCACAATGGATTGAAAAGGCGCGGAGGTTCCAACAAGCAAAAGAGCTAGATCGTCAGCGAATACAACGCAACGCGTGGATCTCCTGGAATGATACGCTTCGCTGCCTGGCCCTTCAGGCTCGCGTTGACGAGCGACTAAAAATGGAGGCCATGTACAGGTGGATCCTGATGGAGAGATATGAGCTTATGCGAAGGATCCGTGAGCAGCGAATCAAGCGGGAAGTATTTTCTCGGTTTGTGACAAACACTCGGGACACTTACACCCGTCTACTGTTTCATGCTGAAACCCACGAGGACCATAAGGCCGGGAGTTTGGTTCGTTCTAAATTTTCCATTTGGCGGGACCAAGTGCAACTCCAGCGCGAGCGAGAGTATGTGGCGTTTGAGTTCTATGCTCCACGGCTTGCTGCTGAATCTCTGGCGATTTGGCGGTCAAAGCACCAACAGGTTATTAAGATGGAAAGTTGGGCTCAAGATGCTCGGTTTTACTTCCTAATGAAAAGGACCATGAAGCAATGGCACCAGGCTAAAGTGGATTCTGGTAAACGACGGCGGCAAGAGGCGTATGCAAAAGTCCGGCGGAAGGTTAAGGTCAACCTAGCATCGAAGGCACTGGCTACCTGGTCATCCAAGACTCGAATCATCACGGGAATGGAACAACAAGCCAATGCTGTTGATCGTGAGAAATTGCTTGCCGATACATCCGCGATATTCGTCCAATGGCACGACAAAACAACCAAGAGAACCCAGGACTGCCAGGATGCGGACGATTCTTATTTCCGACAAATTGCATTTGACCAATTGATGCAAATGTCCGAAACCTTTATCATTCGCCGCGAGATGGAAGACCAGGCAGATAATGTATACCGAGTACATGTCCTTCGTCAAGCAGCTGCTTCTCTTCGCAAGCTCAGCCTTCGTATCTTCCAGATTGGTAGTACCACGGAGACCGCCGAAGCCATGCGAGAAAGAAATCTACGCAAACACTCGAGAAACATGTTCCGTGATTGGGTGGATAACGCCCGAATGAAGCTGGAAGCTCGAGATACTGCGGGTCCATCCTTGACACCTGCACGAATGTCAACATTCGGGAATGGCAATGCAGCTAGCCCGGCGATATTTGACCCTTGGTATCAAGACCAGGCTGAAACGCCTTTCAAAATCAGCGACTTCACGACGACATCTCAAGCAACCTCCAATGATCCAATCTCTGCAAGTCCCTTGGCGACTCCCAATTTCACCACCTCACCCTCCAAACGAGCCGCCCGTGCGCGAGCCCTTGCCCAAGTATCTACCACTCCCGCTACACCCTTACGCACACCTTTTGCCAGCCGACTACTTCGTGCTGGGACTACGACTGCTCTATCTACGTCTTCTAAGCGGGTACGGGCAGGTCGGCAAAGCTCAGTGGGAAACAGCGTCCGATTTGTTGACGAAGAACCTCCCGAGTCTCCGTCAGATGGTCGCAGGTCAGCTAATCGACGATCTTGACGTTCCTTGTTTGGTGTATGACGTCTTTGCAGTTGCTTTAGCCTCATGTACATCAGCGATGATTATATCCATCCTTTCATGTCTGTGGATAGGTGCCACGATGTTTCATTGGATGCATCATGCGGCGCAGCATATAGCGAGTTCAATGGACTCTGGGCCCTTGGTATACTGTTTTGTACTTTTGCCATGATTGAATGAGATACCCAAGATACGAATTGTGTTTTAATAGAGCTCTTCTGGGAAAGATGAAAAACCATGTGTGTCAGTACGGTGATATGTAGACCATCTGGTCATCCCAGGTTATCTGAGATATACGTTGACGTAGTATTGTAGTCGCTTATTAGTGAGCTCTGTACTCTGTAATTATGTTGCAAATCGGTTATAGGTCCTTGTTATGTAAATTTCCGCCGTAAATAAAAAAAAGATTGATCATGCAATACGACCGATGTCCATCCCGTAGCTTCTTTATGCGGCCTACATTGAGGATCATCGGTCACACGGTCACACCGAGCGGAGCGGGAGCGTAATCGACGTCTCCCGCCAAGTCTCCTACGTGTATCTAGACAAACCCCCATACACCCATCTACTACGCTCATTTTCCTCTGTCATTCTGGCTATTCCCAGACATAATAATAATATTGCCCTGGCAATGTTGTAATCTGCCTCCGAGCGCAACGAGCGTCCAACCCCCGAATCAACCGCCTCTATGCGAGCGGTACTGCCGGGGAGACCCCCAGCGAAGCTCCAGTCGTTCAGCACCGCGCTGTGGGATGGCATTCGCGTTGTTGTAAGTGGCCCCCGTGGTTGCTGAACTACCATTACAGCTCCATCACCAGTTGAAATCCTCCAGTCGCTGACCTTTGCCCGCGCGCGTTCCCCAATAGGCCTACATCTCTGGCCACGCGCTGGTCATCCTCGGCGGTCCGCAGGCGCTCCTCCAAACGATCTACGTCGATGATACCGAAACCCTCGAGGCTGTAGCCTTTGACGAGACATCTGGTAGGATTGCCGTCTGTGGTGGTCCTGATGTATTCGTGTACCAGCCATACGGCATCCAAGGCGAAACTTTGAAAGTGCGCATACAACCCCACTCCCCGGAGCTTGATCTGCTCACAGCACTTGCGCATAATGACAATTGGAACTGGAGTTAATCAATGACTTTACTCAGTGGTCTCTCCTTTACACGTTTCGCGCCTCCGATGACGACGAGCCGATCTACACATTATCGTGGGGTTCTTCAAACGAGCTGCTGGTGGGCAATTCCCGCCTTGCCCTCTGGTTTATGAACGATGAAGCACGATTGGTATGGAAACGAAAGCTTGCTACACCGGTGAAATTTGCGCAATTTTCTCCCGATTCGGCCTTAATTGTTACAGTAGGACAATACGACCGATTGGTCAAAGTATGGAGACGACTCGCCTTTGGCGCAGATGAGGTTCGGTTCGAGAACTCGTATTTGCCCCATCCGAATGTCGTCACCGGGATACACTGGCGTTTGCCTCGGCACCCGGAGCAATCTATGGATAATGTTCTATACACATTTTGCGCCGATAACAAGATCCGAGTATGGGCAGTGACAGACCACCATGCGCTTTCTGCCCTACAATTCTGGGCTGAGATTGACATGAGTTTATCAGTTCAACCTAGGAATGCGTCTAATGCAGACCAAGGACCACAACGGCGGTATGGGTTTATCTTGGACAGCCGTGACTTTTGCGTTGCAACCGAGCGTGCTGTTCAAAGGACTACAGGGAATAAAAACAACCATGCCTTGGAACACATTATTGAGGTTGCGAGTAAGGCCCCGGAAATTTGTGTTGTCATTGATGGCCAGGGCCATATGTCTGCATGGGCTTTGGAAGATATTGGCTCTAAAGCAAAGACCAATCTGAGTGTCTTCAATATTCTCCACGTCGAAGGCTTAGACTTGGGATTTGCATGCGATCGGCCGCCTCTAGAAGACTACGCACAAATTCGTGCATTCCAGAGCATAACTTCAGAAGACAAACTCAGTGTTCTAGTTCATCACTTTGATGGTCGAATCGAGTGGTATGATTCTCATGTGGATGTTTTATTCGACCCTGCACCTCGCACAAGAAGAATTACTCAGACGGCTTCTTGGTCTGGTCATACTGCTCCTGTGAAAAAGATTGTCCGAAATGCGACTGGAGATACACTGGTCTCTCGTACCAACGACAACAAAGCCACTGTATGGACACAACGGCGTCGGGATGGAGGGTCAAGATTGGCGCATAAGAGCGTCCTTCTTTCAGATGAGCACATTCATCGGACATGCGTGCTGGAGAACCAGAATCTTCTCCTTAATCTCCACCACAATGGAGTTTCCCTTTGGGATGTCAGCTCGTACCATGCCAAGAAATTGGCTACTTTGCCTTTCACACGATCTGGAAAACCGCTGTGTGTGCTGCCAATTCCTAGCACCGAAACGAGTGCAAATGTTGCCTATGTAGCAACGATTTGGGGAGACATGCACGGAATTGCTTGGGAGATACGAGGTCCTGATCAGTATGACCAAAAAGAGAAATCCGCTGATGACAATGGCTATCAATTACGAGAGTTTTGCACCTTTAACATGGGGCTGGAGGAAGATATTGCATACATCCTGCCGGTAGACCCTGCTGGCCCTAAAGAAAAAGCCTCGGGATTTTTTGATTCTTTTTCTGCCGACATTGCTCTCTCCTACACTCACCATGGAGTTGTGCGGACATGGACGGCTACAGTTGATCCGGTAAGGATGAAGGTTAATTGGCTACTTCAATCAACTGTTGATACCGGCATCATCAATCCATCCCTGGCCAGTGGCAGCTCCATTAGAAAGGCAGCTCTGGTTGATGAAAACCGGACCCGTCTGACGATTTGGGACACCAACAATGCTCAGCTGGAGTTTGAGGAGCATTTTGCTGCACATGACACTATCCGTGATTTGGACTGGACTTCAACACCAGACAAACAATCCATCTTAGCTGTGGGGTTCCCACACAAAGTTGTTCTCCTGTCTCAGCTTCGCTATGATTATCTAGACTCTCGACCCTCATGGACACAAGTTCGAGAAATCGGGATCAAGGATTTCACACCTCACCCTATCGGAGACTCTTGTTGGATGAGCAATGGCCATCTAGTTATCGGTGCGGGCAATCAGCTGTTCGTTTGGGATAAGGACATCGATGTTGGAGATCGTCTGGTATCTGAACTCCGTATGCCATCTCGGGGACTGTCGACAGTTGATCTCTTCGATCTTGTCAGCCGACTGAATGGCCCATTGCCGATATTCCACCCACAATTCCTAGCACAATGCATTCTAGCCGGGAAGACTAGTTTGGTACATTCGATCTTGTTGAATCTACATCGCAAGCTCAAATTTTACATTGACGGTGATGAATTAGATGGTTTCCTAGATATGCCAGTGGAATCTTTCTACGATCAAGATGTAAGTACTTATCGACTGGTCCCTCTTTCATATGTTAACAAAGCCAGGCTTCCCAACAAGAAGTTTCCAAAGAAATGCGCTCTTCCTATGTAGACTTCACTGAAGACGAATTCTCAACTGTCATTGATGAAAAAGCAGCGGAGGCGTTGAATGAGAGTTTAGCACGGATTGCCTTGCCGCAACTGTCTAGCCACGAACAGTTCCGCTTGGCAGATACCATTGAATGTGTTGCCATGGTCGAGAAACACCGGCGATCAATGGATGATAACGCAGCACGCTATCTCTTGTTTTTCCGACAGCATATGCTCCGACGGAGCCAAGGACTCGCCAACAAAGACACTGTCTCATGGCGAGAGATTGTCTGGGCTTACCATAGCAGCAGTCAAGATATTCTTACGGACCTTGTGTCTCGGCAATTCAATGGCCAATTGACTTGGAAGGCTGCTCGCGAGAGCGGTCTTTTCATGTGGCTATCGGACTCGGTAGCAGTGGTGCGTGTGTGTCACATCATTTGTCTGGTTATGTACTGACAGCTTGATTAGAAATCACAACTCGAGATTCTCGCCCGGTGCGAATATACCAAGACAGAAGAGAGAAACCCGATCGATTGTACCCTATATTATCTTGCTCTCGGGAAGAAAAACGTCCTTCAGGGTCTCTGGCGCATCGCACACTGGAATCGCGAACAAGCGGCGACCCAACGTTTGCTGGCAAATGACTTCAAGGAGCCGCGATGGAGGACATCCGCGCTCAAGAACGCGTATGCATTGCTTGGAAAGCGACGATTTGGTAATCCCAATCTTATTTCATTTACAATTGAGTACATTCAACTTACACTCAACAGAGTACGCAGCATCTTTCTTCCTTCTCGCGGACCATTTGCGCGACGCTGCCAATGTCATCATAAACCAGATGGGTGATCTCCAGCTCGCAATCGCAATTACTCGGGCCTCCGAAGGAGACAACGGTCCTGTTCTCCAGGAAATCTTGGAAGAGAAAGTCTTGCCTGAAGCAGCTTCGGAGGGCAATCGCTGGATGGCCTCTTGGGCTTTCTGGATGCTTGGACGACGGGATATGGCGGTGCGGGCACTGATAGTGAGTATCCGCCCTCTTCGATCGTTAACGCTCAACTAATTAGACCCAGTCACCGGTTGAAACCCTCCTAACATCAACGACCCCGGATACTCCGGGAAGCCCGGGGCGAGGAACCTTGCAGTCCAAATCCTATCTTTCTAATGATCCCGCTTTGGTGGTTTTATACCACCAACTCCGCGCAAAGACACTCCAGACTCTCAAAGGTGCGTCGAAAGTGCGACCAAGAGAAGAATGGGACTTTGTTATTCGCAATGCTCGACTCTACGACCGTATGGGCTGCGATCTTCTCGCTCTCGACCTTGTACGCCACTGGGAGTTCTTGTGTGGGCTACCTACCCAGGACTCATTGAAATCACACACCTCTTTCGAAATAATAGAGAACGGGGTCGATTATCGGAAGCTGCTTCGTCGGCGGAGCAGCCTCGTGGTTGCTGATATGCCGATGCGACTTACAGATCCTTCGCAGGAACATGCCATTCTCGAGGACTCCCCTGCAGAGAAACCAAAGAAAGAAGATCAGAAACCGAAGGTGAAGCCGCCGCCCACAATGTTCCATGAGCCGGATGCCAATTCGTTGCTGGACAGCTTTGGGTTCTAGGTTGGAGAGTTGTTTTTACCTTGTACTATTTCTTGGATGACATATACATTGATCCAGTTACCACCCAGTGAGAGTCTGGGGGTACGCATAGCGTTTCTTTTTACTCCATAGTAGATTAAATAGTGGCGAAAGAATTATGAGGCCTTGGGCAGTATCATTATCACATGACTCCATCCCAGCTCCACGGGCCGACTCACTGAACTGGACTTAGTCCTTCAGGCTAGTGCTGTTGGCGCCAAAGAAATGAGACCAGGATCACTCCCCTGGCAAATGAATGAACCCTATCCACATACGGTGTACGGAGTACTCCGTATACAGAATCGAATACATATGGGCCATCTTATCCCTGCAGAGCATGATGTGATGTCGCAAATGCACAGCGGCAAACAAGGAGGCTGGAACCCGCAATTGCGGTCGACTCGTGCCCCACTGGCAGCCACACTGACAAGTCATGGTTTGATGATCATGCATTCGATCTCTTGTTCTACTACTTTACCCTGTGTGATGACCACAATGGTCAACATTACCCGTCGTTACACTGATATACAACGTGTACCAACGTGGCATAGGAGCGGTCAAGATGCGTGGAGTGCAGTGCGAGTGCAGTGATGCAGAACTGGAAAAATCTGCAGAAGCTTTCAGCTGACAATTGTGCTGAACTCCATTCAGCTCAGTGGTGCACTACAGGCCGTAGCGCGCTTTGGAGGCCCCAGAAGCCCCAGATAGCTGCAGAAAGGCTCCAGATAGTCTGATGGATTGCCAATTTTGGGCTGATCGGCGCACCAATCTGCGCTATTACAATCGCAATCCTGCCGATCTCTTCAGCGCATCCCGGAGCTCTGGTGAACGATGGAGACATAGGCCAAGTGTAAGATTCCTTTTGCGCCAATCGCCTCATTCATCTTGATCTGTCGATCGGAAAGCCATGCAGATTATTCCGGGTGCAAACTAAAACCGAAAGCCTGATGGCGCTTTAATACTTCCCCCGCCCACTGGGAGCTAGGAATCGTTTCTCTTCTTTCTTTGATCCTTTGTTTGTGTACTATACCGATATCCCCTTCCTTTTTCAGCGATATGCCTACCCAAATTCCAGGACCACCCGGAGTTCCCCTCCTGGGTAATATATTCGATGTCAACCCCAATGAGACGTGGAACTCGCTCAACAAGTTGGCCAAGCAATTTGGTAAGCAGTTGTCAGCTAATCTAGGTAAACGAGTCATCCACTAACAAGATCAGGCTCTATCTTCAAGATCAACGCTCTCGGCCATGAGATTGTCTTCATCGGCAGCGTCGCTCTGCTGGAAGAGATCTGTGACCAGACCCGGTTCCGCAAGTGTGTGACAGGTCCGGTGGTAGAAATCAGATATGCTGTGCACGATAGTTTATTCACCGCATACGATTACGAGAAGAGTTGGGGTATCGCCCATCGAATCATGATGCCTCATCTCACGCAATCCGCGACCGATAACTTGTTCGGTGATATGGCGGAAGTCATTCCGGACCTGACCAGGAAGTGGAGCGCAGGAACCAAGACACGCACCCTGCTCACTAAAGACCTGGACCGTCTCCTGCTGGCATCTTGCATGCAATGTTTCTTCAACCAACGCGTGCACGTGCTTGAGGGCGCTGAGCCACCCATGCTCAATGCCATGGACGGCGCCACCATGGAGGCAATGAAGCGACCCACCCGTCCCAAGCTACTGAACTGGCTTGTGTACCAACGCCGATTCGAGAAAGATACCAAGACCATGCGCAATTTCGCGGCACAGGTTATCAAGACTCGCAAAGAGCAGCCAGAGACGGCCCGCAACGACATCCTGGATGCTATGCTGAACGGAGCCGATCCAGAGAGCGGCGAGAAGCTCACCGAGTCGCAGGTCATCGATGAAATCATCTCGATCTTCATCGGTGCCGCCACAGCACCCAACCTCGTCTCATACGCCCTCTACTATCTGATGGAGAACCCGAGCACACTCGCCAAAGCACAGGAGGAGATTGATAGCATTGTCGGCGACGACAACATCGACCTCGAGCACCTGCAGAGCCTCCACTACGTCGAGGCCGTCCTACGCGAATCCATCCGTCTCTCTGCCACAGCACCAGGCTTCAACATCGAGCCCATCCCCTCCAACGATAAGAGCCCTGTCCTCCTCGGCGGAGGCGAGTACCAGATCGCCCACAACCAACCCATGATCGCAATCTTGAGCCAGGTCAACCGCGACCCAGCTGTCTTCGAAGACCCCGAGGCCTTCAAGCCCGAGCGTGTCCTCGGCGAAAAGTGGGATCAGCTTCCTGCTGCCGCGAAGAAGGGCTTCGGTAATGGCAAGCGTGAGTGCATTGGCAAGCTCTGGGCTTGGCGGTGGTCGTTCTTCACTCTCGCTAGCATTATCAAGGATACTACCTTCGAGCTGGCAGATCCCAAATACAAGCTTGAGTCGAACGGTGCTTTCAGTATCAAGCCGCTTGAGTTCTACGGTTTGGTGAGCGCCCGGAAGTAATCTCGAGATTGATGTTTTTTTTTTTTGGTTTGGATTGGGCGCATATGAAGTTAATGAATTTGTCGATACCTTAATCCAACGTTATTATGAATAATATCAGAATGAAATGAGCTTATTTTTAACTTTAATCTTATTCCTGTCTCGGTCTATGAACGTGGGATCAAACAACGTGGCGGCGACGTACGGAAGTATGCAATTATGCGGTCACGTCCGCCACGTTTTAACGCCACGCCAGATATGTCAGCCCCTAGTGATATCTCCATGGAAAGGAATTAATAAGGAATTTTGAAAGAATGTATGTGGTGTATTGAACCAAAAAAGGACCAGCCTAAAGTCTCTATATTGACACAGAAGCAGAAACCATTCCAGCTGGGGGGTTATAGACCATCCTCCGAAAAAGAACAGAATGATCTAATCGTCTATCTTCAAAATCATATCAAGTCATATCAAATCAAAGAGAACAAATCAGCTTTAACCGCTGTAGTCAATGGTAACAGCCATGCGAACCGGACCAGAGCCCAAGTTAGCACCGATACCACCGATATCAGTCTCAGCAGAAGTGTAAGCGTTATCGACTCTGGCCGCGTCCTTGGTCATAGACGAGCAAACCGTGCCGAGCGCATCACAGATCTTCATACCAGAGACATACATACCGGCATTCTGGGCGGCAATGGCCGAGACATCGAAGCCAGACCAGCCGTTGTTGGTGGCGGATCCGACGTCAAATTCACCCCAGGTGGAGGCGTAGCCACCCTTGCTGTCTGTGGGGATGGTGGAGCCCGAGGCAGCAGCCCAGCCACCGTTGGAGTCCTCGTCGAAGGCGACGTACTTGGTCTCGCCGGGGGCGAGAGTGAAGGTCTGGCAGGCGTTGCCGTACCAGCCGGTCATCTTGCCGTCAGGACCGTACTTGTTGAAGATGGCGACGGTCCAGGAGTCGGTGTTGGAGCCTGTGAACTGTGCGACGTACTTGTACTCGCTGGCCTTGGACGCGGATACTTGGATGATGTTGCTGCCGTAGGGGTTGCCCACGTTGCCGGCGTAGGTCTCGCCGGAGCCGAAGGAGCTGGTTTTGCCGCCGAAGCCGTCGGTTGAGTATGAACCGCTGGAGGGTGTGGAGGTCCAGTCGCCGCCGCTGGAGCTGCCAGAGGAGGCGGCGGAGGTTGCGGCCTGGCGGCGCTCAAGGCTTGTGGGAACGGCGAGGGTGCTGGTGGCAAGGGCTGCCAGAAGCATGAGAGACTTGGTGAACTGCATTTTGGTGGAAAGAGAGTGTGTGTATGTGCTTTTTTGAGTCACGAAAGAAGGAAGGTATCAATGAAGGTATCAATGAAGATATCACTGAAGATCTCAAAGGAGCGTTGGTTGGATTGTAAAGACGGAATGAAAATCAATGAGCCAGGTTACCGGAAAGGACTGTGGTTGTTTGAAGGAAATGAACAGGACGGACAAGAGCAGTTATATATAGCTTTCGAACGAAACAGAATCTTCTCTCCGCCACGCTTGCCTCGTAGGTCGAGACCAAAGATGTCCCACAGAGTGTGTTGTACCTGGCTCCATCCATGGGAACCACCGGGGGCGCAAGTACGTCAGGCCGTTGAGACAATGGAAAGGGTCGTGTGCTATGTATGAGCCCCCACAAGAGTCGAGGCCATGGATTTGACAAGTAAGCCCTCTGGGCCAGTGGATATGGGCTGAATGTAGAGAATGCCATTGGATGTATGGCGGTGGGTTAGGAAGAAGTTTGGTCCATGGGTCGGACAATAGACAGTCTGATTGGGTCCATCTGGGTAGATTCAAGCCATTGGTTATTCCAGATCTCTATATTCCCCGAGAAATTCGTCATTGGCAGATCCATCAAACTGTGGGCCTGGTCATTGTCCATGGACATGGTCCCGGAGGAAGGTCGGACTGCAACCATGATTCCATCTACAGGAGAAAGAGCCCGGGGGATGCCTGTTCTCCGCATTTTCTTCTGTTTCTTCTGAGACAATATCACTCTGGTATATTTTGGAAGTCATTGGCAACTGGAAGACCGTAGGGAGAAGTGACTATCAACAGAGCTCCAGTGGGACCCAGAAATGCAAATTGACCCTGGTCTGGAAGCGACAAAGACTTGCAAACTGGATCTTCCGGGCCAGAAAGACTCCAGAAAGAGACTCCCAGTGTGGACCCAACGGAAGGATGATCAGATCCTTTTAGCCCGAGACTAAAGGATACGGAACCATCAGGAACTCAGATCCGAGGGGATTCTGGCTACAGCCACCGTGCCTGTCAAGACGCATCAACTGTCAACAGTTGGGTATGTGCTGCCATAGTGCCATAGCTTTCCAAAGCTCCAATTCTGGGTTCATGGTCTCGAGAGTTGTTTGCCAAATTGAGAGATTCTGTGTGTTTCGGAAGGTCAGCTCTTGCACCACGGACGACGACGTTGTGGTTCAGGAGCAAAGCAACACGATTGGCTGGGTATTTTTCAATTAACAACCAATCATAATAGAGTATTTGATCTTGGCAGGGCAGGGGTCCGTCCCTAGCCAATCATCGCTGGTTCCCGGGGATGTCTGGCTATCATCCGTGGTTCATCGCCCGGTGCCTCGTTGAACGTGAATTCTCTTCCTCCAGCGCGCTTGACAAAATCCCGCAGTGCCGGCTTGGCTTCCACATTTTCACGACTCTCGTCTAAATCTCCTCGATCTCCGTCTTCAGCGGCTTAGATTTCCCCGGTGGACTCTTTGGATTCGTTCTATTTCTCCGCAGCGTTCCACGGGGGCTCTATAAGCCAAGGATTTGTGGACTCGGGATCATCAACATGAGCTACACCGTTATAATAAGGTCAAAGTCAAGGGATATAACGTTGCACTGGCTTAATGAAAGCAACGGCGGGTCACCTCGTTTTCTTGGTTTATGATACATCAGGATTCTCAATGCCTTCTTTGTGTCTGAAACACTGGCAAATAGAGTTAGACGCTAAACAGAACAAAGGCGTCACCATTCTAGACTGTCTTGGCCAGAATGTACCTAGGTGTGTCTGGAGCGAAGCACAAGTCTAGACAGGGCGATATGGTTCGAATCATTAACAAGGCAGGATGAAGTTGACCGATGACCAGCTCTCCGTGAGCAGGTTTCCCTTTTTGGTACAGAGCGAACATTCCCTAAAGCAAGATTGGATATCAAGGTTCTCACGAACTGGCGGCTTATTTTGTCTCTATTTTGGTCTTTATTTCACGGACCAATCCAGACTCGAACGTCAATATCAGTATTAAATGCTATCCCATTGAAGGCATCTCACGCTTTCTAGAGTCGACCAACTATTGACCAGAGAAAATCGCCACTTTGTTTTGTTCTCCGTATTTCATGGTTCGCCACGTGTGATGATGTTGCCGCAATCTATCTCCTAAAAATATCCCATTATAAAACAGAGAGCAATACATACATTCCCAGTTACGGCAATTGTGTGCCGAATGTTCCAGCCTTGGACCCGGTGTGGTTCACTAGGCAATTCGAGTGTTTTCGGTGACCCCCGGGCCGACAGGTGAAGACCGCATGGATACCTACCTAGGTAGCATTGAGTATATACTTAGCTAACTTTTGTGCTGCCCGGGTATTCCATATTTCTCTTTTGGTCTTTTCCCTGGGTTATAAGCCCGAGACTCGTAGTCCAGAGTCCTAAATCTTCCGACTTGAGTGTTAAGCCAGGCCAAGTTCCAACCGAAGTTGCTGCACGACATAGAAACTAGCATAGCAGATACTGAGCATATGAAACGGTAGAATGAGACTTAATATATTGATCAAAGCATACATTGAGGAATTCTTTCCTTATTAAACTCGAGATCCGTCGAAGATATCCTTCCACTGTTATGACGATGACGTCAACAGGCGACTCTAGGTGAGGCGAGGGCCGAGTATCGGACCGACTCCGACATCAGACATCGCTCAACAGCAACACGGCATACGGAGTACGGAGTACGGAGTCCTTAGCTTTGAATGGAGTCCGGAGAATTTCTGCAGCATGGTCCATGCCAATGTACCCCCACGTCCCCAGCCCCCTCTGAAATAAATGCCCGATCTTCCCCTCGAAAAATCCTTCTAAAGCACACTGTTTAAAGTGCGCCGTCTTGTTAAAGATGCCTTCTCAAATGTCCTCACTGGCTACGCTCTTACTCTTGGGGTCATTCCTGTCGCCTGTCACATCTAGCAAACTTCCCGCTCAGGCGCAGTTGATTGATCAAAAGGCCTTCAATGTCCTAGAAACAACTCAACCCCCAACGGAATTCAGTGCAAAGAGTGTATGCGATTCCATATGCCGCTTCCGATAGCGATTTTTACTGATTCGGGTATAGTCCTTTGTACCCCCGGGATCAACCGGAGATAGTCTAGCCCAGCGGCCTTTCCATGTATACGACAAGGAATTCCTCAAGATCATTGGAGACGATCCAACTCTAACCCGGATTGCACACTCTCCAAAGGACCCTCTATTCCATGAAGCGGTCGTATGGTAAGTAGACAACCCCATATATAAAAGACACACTCTGACATTGGCTTTCAGGTCCAAGGACACAGATGAAGTATTCTTTGTCCAGAATGCAGGCGCTAAGAACGCCGGCACCGGTCTCAAAAAGTCGGCCATTATTGAAAAGATTTCTCTTGCGGACGCTGCCGCTGTCTCCCATAAGGCTGATGCCGTGGGTTTGGTCGATGTGACCACCGTTCCCTCATCGCCAATGGTCCTCAACCCTAATGGTACGCGATTAGCTTGCCTCTCACTGCTAAAGATGGCTAACAGTGACTCCAGGTGGGACGAACTACCGAGGAGATATCATATTCACTGGCGAAGGTCAAGGCGATAATAAGCCGCCTTCTTTGTGGGTTATGAACCCGAAGGAGCCATACAACACTACAGGTTAGTATAATCAAGCTCTCTGGCTTTCCAGAACTAACAAAGCGGTCTATAGTGATTCTGAACAACTACTTCGGTCGCCAATTCAATTCTTTGAATGATGTGGCTATTCATCCCCAAAACAAGGAAATCTACTTCACAGACACGATCTATGGCTATGCCCAAGACTTCCGCCCTGCTCCCGGCCTACAGGATCAGGTGTATCGATTCAACCCTGATACAGGTGCCGTGACAGTTGTTGCGGACGGATTCGATCATCCCAATGGTAAAGGATCCAGGATGCCCGAAAAGTTGACAATGGAAATATGACTAACATTGCAAAAGGATTGACATTCTCCCCGAATGGTGATTACGCATACGTCACCGATACCGGAATCGACAGCGGCTTTTTCGGTCTCGACTTCACCCGTCGCGCCTCCATGTACGTGTTTTTAGCTATACAGCTGGTGTTCTCTGGTACTTGAAGCTGATCATAAGCTGTGTTTCAGCTACCGATTCGATGTGAAAAAGGACGGCACATTTGAGAACCGCAAGACCTTTGCCTTCGTTAATGCCGGTGCACCCGATGGTAAGTTTAGCAACGCTGATCTTTGCATTGTATTCTATATTGGAACTGACTCCTTGAAAAGGCATCCACTGCGACTCACGGGGTAACGTGTATGCCGGCTGTGGCGATGGCGTGCAGGTGTGGAATCCATCTGGAAAGCTTCTCGGCAAAATCCACCTCGGATCTACAGCAGCGAACTTCAACTTCGCTGGGAAAGGCAGAATGGTCATCTGTGCCGAGACAGATCTTTACTACGCCACATTAGCAGCGGCCGGTAGTTATGTTGACAGTGAGATGTGAGACCCAGCTCGCCACTTTTCGTTTGCCATATGGCCCTTGATCTAGGAAATCAAATGTTTGGTAATATCCCAGAAACAGAAACTCAAAATTAGGTAGGTCTTATTACATATTTCATCAAAGGAGAGAAAGTCGGCCTTTCTCTCGGGTATATACTCAGCCATCACCGATATTTCACCTGCGATGACGGCAACTCATGAATCGTATTCTCCTGTCGACCGGACAGCTCGGCCGGTACTCTTGGATCCGAACCGACGGGTATTTTGTTGTAGTATTCAACAACATTCGGACCGCCAACGTTCGAGGCAGGGGCGCTCGAGGGAGGAGCAGTCGATCCGCCGATCGTGGACATTAGAGGGCTTGGATCCGTAGGTGTTCCCAAGGTACCCTGTGCCTTCTTTCGGCGACGGAGTAGATACCAGAGTATACCAAGCAAAATGGCTGCACCAACTACTCCCCCAACGACTCCGCCAGCAATGGCTCCGGTATTTGATGACGAAGACGATGAGTTGATTTCCTCGCTCGTGGCGGCGGCAGTATTTCCGGTGCTAGTAGCGGAAGGAGTGGTAGCAGAAGTGACGGTAGCAGAAGTGGTGGTAGTGGTGGATGTGTTAGTAGCTGACCCATCCATGGCGCTACTTGCGCCGGACGCAGTCGATGATGGGATGGATGAGGAGGGAGTTGCTGTCGGTCCGTTAGCAAATAGACTACACTCAGACTCCGGGCCTGTTCCATACCATGATATTTAATAGCCAAGAGGGTCATATCACTGTTCAAAGCGGAAATGTCATCGGCGCAGCCAACCCATCCGTTCTTTCTTTGGAAGGCCGAGGTGCCATTCGCGCAACAGAACCACCCCACGGCCTTGTAGACATTCGCGGTTTCATTTGCGCAATGCGTGTTATCCACTAGATCGGTACATTCTGCATCTGATGGGCAGCATTTCACATTGTCTTGGTTAGGAGGGCAGAACGTGCCCCCTGGGCAGCAGGCTCGCCAGGGCGACCATGTTCCACCACAATCCTGCTCGGTGTCGAGGCAGGAGCCGTTTCGACGAACGGACAGCCCATAGGGGCTACTCAACATATCCGACATCGGATCACATATCACAAGAGGTCGAAATGAGGGGGAGAGTATCTAAAGAAACGTGGACAAGGCTGAGCTTCTAGGGGATTTGGTGCTTATATCATGCTTCTCGAGCACGGGGATTATCAGCCCCCAATTAACAAGCTTGTCTGTACGCCGTATCCCGTACTAGCGCCTACTCGGATTCAGAATTGGGTCCTTTTTTGAACATCTCACCAGAGACAAATTCCACAACAGCCTCTAATGGGATGTGATCGACATATGGAAAAGCCACTTGCGGTTACGGATAGGCCCCGGTAATTTGCATCCGAGTTGCTCAGCCTTGTCCTGCTCCTCTGACGTGTGGAGAAGGGGAGAAGCCAAGAAGATCAAAAGGGGGATGTCAGTGAGGGCTGCATACTGTTTGTTCTTGACGAATCAACGCGCTTCAGTGTTATACATAACAACCTACGGGCAGCAATCGGGGCGTTAACACTGTCAGCAGTCGGGATTGTAATCTAAACGGGTACATGGGCTCAGCGACCATTCTCCCAGGCTCATTTGAGTGCTTGGGTCATTTTGGAAGTTGGCGATTTGGTGGCCGAGTGGGTTTTATACAGAAAGCTTATGTTGGCCATTCCAGCAACATTCGAGGTATATCGACTAGTTTTGGGATATCCAACTCGAACCTAGGCAGTGACAGGATCAAGGAAACAGTCCCCCTGAATTACGCTGAAACTGAAACCTCCAAGGCTATTTAGATGCCTTGGCTGGCGGGCCGTGCGAGTGTAATTACATTCTCCGCGGTAACTCGTGTAGGGAGGTTTGGTGAGATATATTGTTGAGATCTTGCCTCGGATTCCACTCAGCATAATAGACACGCCCAAGAAGTCTCGCAGAATCCAGATTACTATTACTTCCATCCGAGAGCTGAACACTCATAAGCTTAGATGTATAAGGTAACAACAACTAGGTTGTGACAAGCTTGATCGGTCATGCAACAATGCTCACTTGCGCTAGACGACTAGCCAATAAAAACATATTGCTTGGAAGTGGACTAATAACACGATTTGGATACATAAACGTCAATTTAGACTCTTTCTTCGGATCCATTCAATCAAGAAACTATAATCCGTTCAGAATATGATCAACATTTGTGGAAATTCCGAAATATTTCGATATCATCCCTCAATGAGACAACGACGTCCTTGAGGTGCCATCAAGAAGAAGGCTTCTATCTTCATGTCTTTGCTTGACATCCCTTCTTTCGTGGAGATTCGAGCATCGGGTAAGGCGCGGAAGAAAAGTGCTGTCGCCAGGCGGAGCTCCATTCGAGCTAAGTGCATGCCCAAACAGACTACATTAATTAAGTCGGTTGGTAACTCGACATACTCAAGTCCTGGAGACTTACCCCTTGATCCACCACCAAACGGTAGAGAAGCATCTTTCATTTCCTTAGTCGGGGTTTCCCATCTCTCGGGAGTGAAGCTGATTGTATTAGTTGAGCACCTTGACGCTTTCAGGTGCAGCTTACTTACCTCTCTGGGTTTGGGAAGATATCTTGGTCTCGATGAAGACTATAAGCCTGGGTTGAGACTGTGATACCTCCCGGTATATGATATCCATTGAACTGGGCACCTTCTGGTGGCACCAATCGGGGTAAGCCGGTAGGTACAGCCGTATATAGTCGCAGAACCTCATCGATGGTCTGATTGAGGTAGCGTAGATCCCTCAGGCTACGGTCTGTGACCGGCTCAGGAACACTAGCCAACTCGGCAACAAGCTTCTCCTGTATACGACTATCCTGGCAAACAGCATATACAAGATAGGTCAACGTGACAGCGGTCGTGTCAGTTCCTGCAACGATATACCCCTGTGCTTCTTGTTGGATTTGCGAGTATGACATACCACTCTTTTCATCAAAGAGTTTAGCGAACAGAGTTGGCTTTGGTTGCGATGCGTTTTGGGAGACCAGCTTTCTATAGCGATCAACAGATTGCATGGCATACGTTTCGAGTCTTTTGTCTGCATATGCTGCCTGTGTGAATCCGGGTACAGGAATATAGCCGGCAACCTTGAATATGGTCGGGAATGTTGTTCGAATGGCTTGGAAAGTTAACACTCGTTCCAGATCAAGGCTGTATTGCGTTTTCTATAACCGTGATCAGCGTATTTCTTCTCAAATCTGACATGATTTCCCCATCTACCTGTCCAGTTTCAAGCATTCGAAATGAGTCTCCAAAGGTGAGGTCGCCAATAATATCCGTCGCCATGAACAACCACCATTTGAACACATCGACAACACCGCGATCCATTAGCTCCTCGGTGATCTTGTGAACAGCTAGCTGGACTCTATCAGCTATCAGTGGCTCGAGGCGAGTCAGTGACGAGTCAGAGATAGGTGATGCCAACAGACGCCGGCGAACAGCATGGAGATGTTTGTCGCTTGTTGAGAATAGGTTGTGCGCAGAGCCCGCAGCCAGTTTGCGATAAAATTTCGTTTTGATAAAGCGGCTATTTGTCTTGTAGATCTCCTTCGCAGCCCTTATGTCGCATATATCGATCCGATCTGTGCTCACTCGTACGATAGGACCTATTGCGAGTTTGGTGCTTCTGTTGATGACACTGACACTCCTTGTTGGGAACACCTACCGTATTTCTCATGAAGCTGATGAATGTACATCGGTATCTCTCCATTCATCCAGTGGTACGTGTATGTGGCGTCCGTCCATTTTGATATCTCCGGGCCGGGTATGTGAGAGAGAGGGTTCGTGAGTCTCCGATATATGAGTCTCTATGTGTGTTGCTTCTTAGTCAAGGTTCTGAATGAGAGGAAGCTTGGTCATACTCACTAGAAAGACCACACCAAGCAGGCCTATGAGGCAGTGGCTAGCCAGAAAGGAGGGGTATATGAGGTCAGGTATGTCCATTGTGTCTATGGCAGTTCACTCTAGTGGGAGAATCAGGTCCATCAGTACGCGGTGTTGATTTATACTCAGGATTTCTTCGTAGCACCATGAGGTCAGAGCAACAGAGTTTGATGCCATGCTAATGGCTTTCACTTCGACTACGCAGAGATCCCTATTGTACTCTATTTGTCTTAGATACCATCCCTTCCTTGGCCATTGGAGAGACGATGAGGGCGATGATCGACATATTATATCCCTGCACTTAGAAACACGATCATCCTGTTCTTCTCCTTCTTGGCGAACACGGCACACAGGCCGATCTCTGACAACCCTACATGTTGATTTGTTCAGGCGTCATCCACCGGTGCAGCTGGTTGTACTCCAAACTGAACCTATCGGCTCATATGTTTTTCATCCGTTGCTGCTGTGCCACTTGGAACCGGATTCCTCTTTCTATGCTCGTGCATATAGCTGTGTTCCATCTATGTGAGCCCTCAAGTATTTTATACATCTGCCTCCTATATCCCCCTGGTTCGAACTCTATCCTTTACCGTTCGCCAGTTTCTTCCATCAAGAAAAAGCTGATTCCGCTGGCTCCACATTATCCACAGCGGAAGAACAAAAGAGCAGAAGCAAAAAAAGATAACAGGCCCGAGCCGCGGATTGAACGCGGGACCTCGCGCAATATTGCTCAGGTTTTGAATACCCTAAGCGCGAATCATACCACTAGACCACCCGGGCTGTTGTTGTGATAGGGCGTCGGATTAAGGCTACAGGAGGGAGATTTAGTTGGTCGTGTTTCAACATGCTTCCAACATTGAAACTTTGGGGTTGTATCAAAATATCAACTATTTCAGTTAAGTGTCTGTAATTCGTATAGAACATATGTCTCTCCTTTTTACTTCCTATTAAGCCATAACAATGGCTATTTCAAGCAAATTGCTGAGGCGGGAAAATGGTTGTGGGAGAAGATATATATATTCACCTTTACCGCACTACGTAGTTAAGGCGTGAATACACCACACATTTGATCGTAAGTCTCGAAGTCGAAAAGAATCATCCAAAATCCAAGATTATCAAGGAAACTGTCAAGGCGGAAACCACATCACCATACAAGTAAGATAGAATAACACTTTTCATTACTAGTTACAATCGTAGATGAAGGACATCTGAGACAACACAGGACCACCACCTTCACGGATACTCGAGCAAGGTCCTGCGGAGGGTGATAAGCCGGCTATGTCCGGATATGATACTTATTTTATGCAGTATATGTCACATTAAGTGACCTTGGGTCGCTTGTTCATGAAACCCGAGTCTGGGCGAGATCGCTTCCTCTCCATAGCCTCCATCTCTGCCTTCATAATCCTCTCTTGCTCGGTCATCTTCTTAGGAGGCGCAAACACAGATGTTTTCTTTCCAGCCAAAGGGTTCTTCTTCGCCATGGCAAACACATTTTTCGGCTTTTGTGCACCCATCGACATCGAAACCTTGACCGGCGCAGGAGGCGCAGATGGAGCAGGAGAATCGGTGCCAGTGCTTGCTGTCGGTACATCTGTTTCGGGCGAGTCCGTTGCTGTAAGAGGTGAGGCGGGCTTTGTATCTGCCTTTTTCGAGCCAAGTCCAAGATTTAATGTCATCTTTTCTCCTTCCTTCCTCTGCAACAACTTTGCCTCGGGGTCCTCTGCGCCTGTCGCAGCGTTGGCCGCTGCTGCCTGGGCTCGCTTAATCTGGTCCTGAATCAAGCGCTGCTCGCGCTCCTCATCTCCTTTCTCCTGGCGTTCTTTTTTCAAGATGGCTTCTCGACGGCGAAGTGTATCGGGGCTATTATCGATCCAAGCGATAAATAACCCTTTCTCGGTGTCTTCGACTCGGCATTTTCCCTCCCTCCCTAGATAGGCTGCAAATTGTGATAGACTTTTCCATTCTGCGCCAGTTGTCAGTACAAGTCCACACTATCCCTGCCATATCCCTGGACGTACCTGTACTGTTCATGTGAATGTGCTGTTTATCGGCCACAATTTGATTATAGAAATGATTGACGTTGATAGATTTGGTTCCATGCGTAGTCCGCAGTGTGTCGATGAAGGTTCGCTCGAATTCACGACTGTATTCTCTAATGTGTTTGCGCGGGTCCTCTCCAATGAGCATCATCTGTCGGACTGATAACCAGTGAGCCAGGTGCTAGAAAGATGTAGGTAAGAATTACATACCATGTGCTTCCTAAATGAACCAAAAATTAGAGATATATCCAAATGTATGGGTGCTTCGTGGCTCTTACCGTTTGAGTGTGACATTTAAATCCATTCTCGTCGCGACATTGCTTTTCGCATGGCTGGCAGTACCAACGCAGCCGACCAAGTCCCTTGCTCTTTATTTTATTTCCGATCGCTTTGGTTGTCCCGGCCTGAGCACGAGGCATTTTGAAAGGTACTGAGAATGCGGAGAAGTTGATAAATGAATAGAGAGAAGAGTGTCAAGAGATAAAAAAGATGGGGCCTCGATAGCGATAAGCCGCATCACATGATACTCGTGACTAACCTTGAAACCTTGGTTGAACCTCCAGGGTTCCCTGGTTCTATGATTGGTCAGTTACCTTCTGGAAAGATCCATCCATCCCGATGTTTTATGTATACAAATTCGCGTGTCGGTATAGCAGCCAGTATGAACTACACCGGAAAGATGAAATGAATCGAGTACAGGATACCCGGTTTGAAATATTTTGACAAAACCTAGACCAAACTCCCCCCAATTCTACGCCTGCATTCCAAGATGGCTGTTCTAGAATCATAGCGTACATAAGGTAAAACAAAAATATTTCAGATACAAACCAGAAAACTTCGCCAAGACGAAGGGGCCCGATACCGATAGGCGAAAGAAAAATGCAATAAAAACAGCATGAATTATTGATCCGTTGAATCTGCAAGTATTACAGAATATATTCGTGAATTGCAGACGGCCCGCTCTCGTTATACTCGGCCCGGCTCATGTATCCCTTGCTGAGACCCTGATCAAGAACAAAGAAGACCTTGGCAGCCATCTGGGCACCAAGGAAAATGGCCTCTTCCATTCCACGACCACCCTGGGACGCGCCAGATGCGTTGGGCCCAGCACCACCACTGCTCGCACCGGGAGCGTTGCTGTTGCCTTGGTCTTTGAAGTCTGGGAAATACTCGGGAAGCTTCAAAGTCTTGACTGAGGTTGGAGTTTGAGAGTGGCCGGTTGACCGGTAGTGTGATGCCATGCTGGGGTCCATGGAGGGTGTACCAGGCATACCACCGGGCATACCAGGATTGTTGTGAGTCGCTGCTACAAGGAGAGGATTCACTCCATGTGCTGCCGGGTGGTACATTGGCCCAGGCTGACCCATGGGTGCCGGTGTATTGGTGCCACCAGTTGGAAGAGGTGTGGTGAAGTTGGAAGGAATTTCAGATGTGAAGATAGTGGCGGACGGAGAAAGTATGAACTTCTGTGTGATGACAGCGAGCAGAGCCTGAGTGAAGCCTGTTCATATGTTAGCGCAAAGGCTTAAGCTATGGGTGCTGCCGGGGGAGGAAAACATACCCTTTACCTTGCTTCCGCATCCAACGATAATTAAAGAGTCCCAAAGCTCGCTTCGCTTTGTAGCATCTGGGACAGCAAGGATAGTGTGGTGGATCTGAGTCGCGATATCTTCTAGAATACCACCACTAAGGCGGTCCCCAGTCTTTGAACGAGGCGATGTCAAGAGGAAACGTTCGACACTAACTTCGATGTCACGAGTATGACGGATGTACTGCCGAGAGCCGTGGGCTCCCGCCTTCTCTCCTTCCAGTTGAACAAACTCCTCGAATTGGAAGGACGCTTTCTCTTTCTTCGAGTTGGGCAAACGGGCTCCTTTAGGATCAGCTGCACCTTTCTTGGTAGTCGTCTTTTCTTTCTCAATATTGGCAAGGTATTCAGTGGTGTTGCCACTGACAATCGCAGCGACATCAAGGACACCCTCATCCTCATCAACATTACTTCCCTCTATTCCTGTCTGAGTGCCGTCACCTGGACCACGGGGAGCAGACTCGTTCGCATCTGATCCACCTGTCGAGGCGGCAGCAGCAGGGTTGGCGCCCTGGCGTGCAGTAGCAGAAGATCCAGGCAACGGTGTTCCCGTGGGCAGAATCTCCGCGATGTTACTTCGCTTGAGTTGCTCGCACATTTCTCTCGTGAATCCCTTCGGACCAAGCAGCTCGACAAGACGATCGGTCATGGCATCTCCACCACATCCCTCTAGTGCAATTCCCCTACCGTGGTCGTTGACCGAGAAATCGGTCACGGCAGTAACGTCAACTTTGCCCTTACCAACATCTACAACAGTGGCTGTAGCTGTACCATAGCCGTAGCAAGCTGCAAGGGCAGAGTCCATAAGACTAAATGCGGGTGCCTTGAACTTCTCAAAGACGAATTGAGCGATTGCCTCGCGATCGCGTGCAGACCAGACAGGCTCACCAATGAGCATAATTGGGGTGTGGAAAGGTGGGCTCAAGGTGTTATGGATGTGAGTAAGCAGGGCGAAGAAACAGGGCCAGTCGACGATGCGCCCGTTCTCGATCGGGTAGATTGCCCCTTCATCGGATGTCGGATCTTCCTCGTAAAAGACCTCTTCAATAGTCTTGGCTGACTCGCCATTTTCTTCAGGATTTCCATCGGGTTTGGTGGTATCTTCTGTGGCTGGGGCACTATCAGCCGCGACGGGCTCAGCGTCCTTCATCTCCACATCGGGCTTAGGGGCTTCCGTGCCATTGTTGACCTTGACCACTTGACGTCTCTCGTGAACACGATAAGGCTCATATTCTCCCTTCTTCTCGGCAGGGAACATGCGCGTTGGGAATCGGAATCGCGCGGGCGTGAATGTTTCGGGGAGACCAAGCTGCGCCAAGGTCACTTGCGAACCTGGCGCAATTAGCTAGACGAGTCGGTTAATTCTGAGCAAAATAATAGCGGGAGCCAATCATACCAGGATATGCTCATCCTTGAAGGGAGGCATCTTTCTCGGTGGCAATGAGCGTTGCGACAAGCGATGATTGCGCACGGGAGCTCCGCTGTGGCTCGATTTGCGTTGGTTGCGCTTTCCTCCCATTGCGGCTTAGCGTGTGAAATGGATCAAAGGTCACGTGCTTTGGAGGTTTTGGGGACGGGAGTTGTCTCCGAATGGAAGATGTGTACGTAGTACCACACGTTGATTTACGCAGATTTGCCAAAACGCAAACAATCAGTCAAATGGATTCTTCGGATGATTGAATAGGTAAATATGAATTACTTCTGAAATCCAACTGAAAGTACACATGGTTACATGTAGGTAACATCCGCCACTTTGACATGATCCATCATAGATCCATAGAACCATACCTTATATCAGCTAGCCTATTCAGAATAAGGTAGCTTTAAATCAACAAAGCAATTGACACAACTCCAATTGTTACCTAATTTACATTCTTTTCGAGACTACTAGAAGGAAACTCCCTATGTCCATTGAACGTTCAAATCATATGCAATTCACTAATGCATTAGGCGCTTTCGCGTCATTAGAAATATCCTAGCCCAAACCATTCTCGAAACAAAAAAGGGGAAAGATCAGAATCCATCGAAGGAAATAAAAAAAGACAAAAACTCCAGGCCCACATATCCGGTGGAAGAAAACGCCAACATCCTTTTCACTCTATGACCAGCACGAGTCTTAGGTGTTTCTATTCTGGAACGGCATGATATTTGTCAGTCGCTGATCGGAACAGCTCCTGTTGTTGGCGTAGAAGCTCCTCTTCTGTCAGGCCGCTCTGCTCCATCTTGCTCTGCTTCTTCTCTCGTGACTATAATTGAAACCAGCGAGGTCAGCCTGCGCCCAGTCCACAATCCCAAGCAATATAAACATACCTTCAACTGCTGCTTGTGTTCTTCGGCAACAGCGAGTACATCGGCAATATAATCACTGAACCCAAGATCCCGCAATGCCTTTTCCACATGCTCACAAGCAATAGTCTTCTTGGCTTCCTTCTCACTGATATCATTGGCTTCGGAGGAGATCAAGGTGATAAATTCGACACAGCATTCCATCAGTAAGTCGCGCGCATCCTTAGAGAAGGTTTGACCAGAGCTAGGAGGCAAGATCTCAGTGATAATCTTTTGGACCGTCGCTATGACAGATGTGTTAGTAAATGCTAGCAAACGCGTATGTGAAGCTGCAAGTGCACAGATGGGTTATGAATATATAATGTCCCAAATAGCAGTAATATATACAACCATCAAAACACGATGGAACGGCGATATTGTGCCATACCTTTGGGCAGCGACAGGTCATCGTTTGCTATTCATACAGGTCAGCAGGGTGCGCGCAGGCGGCCAAGATCTGGAATACACTCACAGTTGAACTCCCGGTCAGACATGGCGAATCAGGTGATCTAATGTTAGATCGATAAATGGACGTCAAGGAGATATTTCAAGAGATAAACGCGACAAAGAGATGCGACTTTAATTTCTTTGATCTTTTTGCGTGGGGCTCAAAGTTTCAAGGCCCATCACAGGCGCGCCACGGAGTTAAGTACATTTTCTTGCCGGCACTATCTCACCGCTTTCAACTACATAAATGCCGCTGAATTTTTTTCCCAATTGCTTCTTCTTCATCAGTCTTCATTCTCCTCCAACTACCTTGGAAAGAGTCTTTCAAATGAGCTTGACTCTTTCCAAGGCCACACACTAATGGTAAGTTTTTGCTTGAAATCTCCTTTTCCCGCTTTTATCATGATGAACCTTGTTGTCGCCCCTATCATACATTCCATGGTGACGTTACCTGTCCTAGCCAAACGGACTCTCTGATCTTATCAATTCTGCCTATTTGCATCTCATTCATTTGTTTGAAGCTGTTGCTAACATTATTGAAGAATTTCACAGGGACACAATCTCGTAGCTTGGATCTTGGGGTTCCCCAGTTGGGTCACATTGAACAGAATACCTTTTTGGGAGCATGGAATCTTTACATCTGTGTATTTAAAAAGGTACGCGCAGAAATTTTGCTATATTTTGAGATCCAATTACATGATGTATACCTTTACATTCCATGCTAAACATGAAGGTGCACTGCGCCTAATGCTTCTAAAATGTATTGCTTTTCATCTTTCGACTGACTTGTAACCAATCAATGTCTTGAATATCCCACTCATTGTTTTATGGTGATCGTTACTGACTTACTATAAAGAATACAGATATGAACAGACTTTATGCTAGCTATCAATGATATTCTTATTCCTGGAAACCCTCGAGGTCCTTGTCGTTCCATCTGCCAATTATTAGTACATTTCGCGTAATCTGTGTGGGATATCACATACGAGTAGAAACGACCGCTGATTTCCTTAGGCGCATCGAGCACCAGCTTGGCCATGACATGACCGGGCTGCTCGGGCTTGAGCAACTTGCCATCCTTGTGGACGCCAGTGAATTTGGAGTGCATCTCGGCATCCAATGCTGTAGCATGGTCTTCCCGCAGAGCTCGTTGCATTTCGGTGTCAACCATACCAGGCCTGATAGACACTGAGGTGACGTCGGGTTCTTCAGCACCCAGGCTCATGGCAAAGTTGTTCATGGCGGCCTTGGTGGCAGCATAGAGAGCCCAACCACGGTAAGCGTTGACAGCTGCTCCAGAAGACGTGAAAATAATTTTTCCCTTGGACTCACGGAGAGCCGGGAGAGCCGCTGTGGCCTAGTGCATGTCAGTAGTGAATGGTGAGAACGTAGATTATAGATCCCATACGAAAGCGACTAGGCTGATAAAATTGATATCAAAGGCTTCTTTCCACTGCTGAGGATCGGAGTCGGCGATTTTGCCGACCTGGCCTAGCACGCCGTGGTTGAGGACCATTCCGTCGAGTCCGCCAAATGTGCTGATAGCTGTGTCAACGGCCTTTTGGGGAAGAGAGAAGTCTGACAAGTCGCCATTCACAACTGCCACCTGCTTGCCATATTGTTCCTTCAGCTTTTGGAGGGGCTCAACGCTGCGGGCTACTACCACAACATTGTGGGATTGAGGCGCCGTAAGCAGATACTTAGCCACTGCAAGACCGATGCCTAGAGGGGTGATGTTAACGAATTGCCATGCATGAGGCTTGAAGAGTATTATTACCTCTTGAGGCTCCTGTCACAATGATGGTCTTGGCTGCCATTTTGATAAATGCTAAAGTGGTGTCAGCGGTACGAAATTTCTAGGTGAAAATAAACGCCACAACGGGTGGATGCTGGATAGAATATGAAACTCAAAATCCCAGTAGCATGGTGGATGCTTTCTTGGAACTGGAACGGCCTCATATGCCAAATCATTCGAGTGATTAGGAATACATTCCATCAAGACGTCTGGCCTATCTGGGATCGTCGGGCAAAACTTGAGTCGACCAAAGCCGACAAATCAAGGACTGATGAAAATGTAGGGATCTAGATAGGTATTTGGGATGACTTACTCTCAAATTATTATGCACTATTTGTGTTAGATGTCTTCAATGCTGGGTATCAATTATGGCAGGGAACGAAAACACAGAGCGCCGTGATCCAGTGCGGGGCTTATTAATCGCATTGCGGGCGGTTGTCCTGTTCACTATGGAGGGCTGTCAACGTCATGTCATATAACATTCAGTATGCTGCATTTGAAGTAGGTTTTATCATATCTCATTGGATAAGGTTATTTCCAGATATCTATCATTTTTCGGCAGATGAATTTTGGTATTTTAAAGGGATGATATTCAAAATCGGGCTATGATGAGCGATCTCTCTCGACCGCAACTTGAACAGATTGAACGAGAATAAGGATATCACATGATATCGGCAAGCCGTGCACACATCCCTGTGAGTACCTACACGTACGGAGTACATCCGTACATGTATTTTCCTTGATACATTCTTATGTGTTGTGTACTCCGTACACCAATTTACGATGTAGTGAAGCGACCTCGGGAGTGACAATAAAGCCATACCATTTTAAGAAAAGCGATCCGACAGATCCACTTTCGATAAGACAGCCTTTGGGGAACCTCCCCAAGGGAGTCAAGTTTTGCGATCGCCTCTCACGTACTCCATAGCGCATGGTATTTGAACCACACAGAGCCCAGCACACACAATGGCAAATGCTGGGTCCCGTGGATCATTATCTAATATGCCAAGTCATAAAAATCCTCCCCGAATTTCCATCCGCAGCTTGGACATATATATACTGCCGGGCCGGTGCAAAGGAGCCGAGAGAGAAATTCTTAGATTGCCGAGGAATTTCATCTGGAGCGATCTCCACCCTTGAGCATTGATCGCAGATATTGACCGACACTTGATTTCGACCACATCTGCAGTGGACATTTTTGATTTCGCACCCACAATAGCAAACATGTCGACCGTTATCCTGGGAGGAGGCATCATTGGAGCCTCAATTGGTTACTATTTATCTGCCAATCAGCCAGAAGGCGAGATTCATATCATTGAACAATCTCCAGAGCTGTTCACATCAGCCTCGGGATATGCTGCTGGTTTCCTAGCTAGAGATTGGTTCGAGCCGTCTCTCGCCCCTCTTGCTGCTCTGTCTTTTGACATGCACCATGAGCTCGCCGCCACGCGGGATGGAAACAAGAAGTGGGGATTTATGAAAGGAACAGCATACAATTTGGATACCGTTGCCCAGCGCAAGCGAGGTGGTCCCCGCGGTGACGATTGGTTGCGAACCGGGACCAGTAGAGCAGAGACTGCATCCGGATCCGAAGATACTGCTCCGGTTCAATTTCCGGAGTGGTTAACGAAGCAGAAAGAAGGGATTCTAGAGAAGATCAGCCAGGAAGGAACCGTGGCCCAGGCGTGAGTGTTCGAATGAAGCATGTTGCGGATAGTTTGTTAATGTCAATCAGGGATCCGTTGCGGCTGAGCCAATTCCTTATGGATGATGCTATCTCCCGTGGCGTCAAGCTTCATAACCCATCCCAGGCCACGGCAGTGATCAAGGATGGGAATGGCATGATTACGGGTGTCAAGATTGTGTCCTTGGATTCCAACAAGGAGTCGATAATCCCATGTACCAACCTTGTCCTGAGTGTCGGATCGTGGACCCCACAGGTACTCAGGGACCTGTTCCCTTCCTCTCGGGTATCATTCGATATCTCACCCTTGGCTGGTTATTCGCTGGTCGTTCGCTCCCCTCGGTATACGATGGAGCACGAGAGAAATGTGCACGGCGAAAGGAGCGATGCGGTATTCACAACACACCCTCCGTCATGCGGTTTCAGCCCCGAGATCTTCCTCAGGGAGGGTGGTGAGATTTATATTGCCGGCCTCAACAACACCACGATGAAACTTCCCTCTTGTGTCGCAGATACCAAGCATCTTTTTGACCCTGCCGAGATGCAAAAACTCAAAGATGTCGCAGTTCGTTTGATGGGAGAGCCCCCCAAGGGTACGACCGAGGCTACTGATGATGCAGTCAACACAGACGACCTAGAGATTGTTCGTGAAGGCCTATGCTTCCGTCCAGTAGGAACTACTGGTGTCCCAACAATAGGCCGAGTCGAGGACCACTCTTTGGGAGGAGTACGAGCAAGCCCCAAGGGAGGTGTTTTCATAGCGTCTGGACATGGACCTTGGGGGATCTCTCTGAGCCTGGGAACTGGAAAGATTGTTTCTGAGATGATTAAGAAGCAAAAGCTGTCAGTGGATGTAAGCGGATTGGCAGTTCAGGACAAAGGTCCTAGCTCTAAACTGTGAATCAGCTGGTAGATGTTTTTATATTCTCTGATTTGGGCGATAGGAGTTAGATATGGTGTCTCAGATAGGCAATAGAACATAGAGCTTTTTTAGAGCGAAACTCAATATGCAAGTGGTAAAACTCGTCACAAATGCAGACTTGAATTCTAAGTCCAAGTACGGAGTACGGAGTACATTGTATACATTGCCCATCGGATTATATATAATCCGGGGATTGTCCCTGACATTGTGATCACGGAACATGGATAATCCGACCAGCTCCCCAGGTTTAGTCATCCATATTCGCGCCACTCGAGCTCTCCAGAAACTTCGGGCATCCGATATCATCCAGCTGTCAAAGCAACTTAGCCCTCCTTTCATCTGTGTCTGCTCCCTTTGAGACACTCTCAACAGCTCGACGCGTCTCTCCCCACAACTTCACCAGACCACACCGAAGCTTGACAATCATCCATCATGGCCAACTACCTCGCATCCATTTTCGGTACCGAGCAGGACAAGGTCAATTGCTCGTTCTACTACAAGATCGGCGCATGCCGACACGGTGATCGTTGCTCCCGCAAGCATGTGAAGCCTTCGTACTCGCAGACTATCCTTATGCCGAACATGTACCAGAATCCGGCCTACGACCCCAAGAACAAGATGAACCCCAGTCAGATGCAGAACCATTTCGACGCGTTCTACGAGGACGTATGGTGTGAGCTGTGCAAGTTCGGTGAACTCGAGGAGTTGGTCATCTGCGACAACAACAATGACCGTAAGTAATTGCTCTACTTGAAATATCCAATTCCCTACTGACATCTGGTTTCGCGACAATAGACCTCATCGGTAACGTCTATGGCCGATTCAAATACGAAGAAGATGCGCAGTCAGCATGCGACGAGCTCAATTCCCGCTGGTATGCAGCACGCCCGATTTATTGCGAATTATCACCCGTCACGGATTTCCGAGAAGCTTGTTGTCGTCTCAATAGCGGCGAAGGATGTGTACGAGGGGGATTCTGCAATTTCATTCACCGGAAAGATCCTTCGGCCGATGTCGACCGCGAGTTGCGTCTCAGCACCAAGAAGTGGCTCAAGGAACGTGGCAGAGATCCTCGCAGTGCCAGCCGAAGCCCCAGCCCCGAGCCCACCCGGCGCAGATACTAGCGGTGTGCTGCGGCTCTTGACCTTTCTTCATTGTTGTTATCTTCTATTCAATTCTTTGGCGTTTGGCGATATCAGTCGGTGGTTCGATTCCTTTCCTTTGCGCAGCGGCGCGTCTAGGTATGGGGTTTCGGTCTTTACTTTTCTTGATTGGCATTTGCGTTTCATGATATCAGACTTGCGCGATCAGTAACTCACAGCCAAACTGAATGAACAAATCTTCTTTTGATTTTTCCTCGCGTAGATGAACATCAATCCTGCATGTTGATCAATCATGTGAGGTTTCCCCAGGTTTCCAAGGGGTTCGCGGTTATTCTATTTCACTATGGCTCGGTAGCTTTGTATATGAAGACTTTGCTCAAATCTTTAAATCCGTTAGACTTCTGGACGATTCGAATCATACAAATGTATGCATTTTATCATTGACCTTGTACGTAAATTGTTTGTTAGATCGATTTCTATATTTTGCAACTGCATTTAATGGAGTATTACCGTGGTAGATTCAGACCAGACTAGATGCCCAGTGATAACTGACGATATTAAACGAGACTATCTGCATCTATCAAAAGGGATATGTTTCGAAAAAAATGAAGAACGACCTCATGGGTGATACAGGTTGGCTTTTGCTGCAAGGTTCGACCACGCTCAATGACGGTTTGCCTCATCCAGTGTTGGTAACTCGAAAATGAGGTGAGTAGGATTAAGTTCACGTGGTGCATTATTTCCTGAGACGGCTGCAGCCCCATGAGCCGGGGTGCTTCCCTCAACCTCCACAGCTTGCGGCTTCTCCCAACCAGAGTGACATGACTGGTCCTTCTGGTCTGTGACATTCCTAGCATCATTTGACTGAGCCTGTTGGTGTTTCTTCCTCTTCAGAATTAGGAACATGGCACCGGCTACAATACCACCGGCGCCTGCAACACTTCCAACAACAGCACCCGCAATCGTGCCCGGAGAGGTAGATGAGCTACCCGAGACTGGTGGCACGGAAGTCGTGATTTCAGTCATAGCATTCGTCTGCGACGCCTCGGGGACTAGCTTCGATACCGCGGTTGATATATTGAATGAAGCTGAGTACGTGCTCAGGGTATCATCGTCTATCTCTGTGAGATGTTGACTGACCGTGAGTATTGTCCCGTTCACAGGTTTGTCCCATGTTGACACCGTATAAATGGTTGTCACACGGGGGTTCGAATCGCAGGCGTAATGAGCCCAATCATGACCTTCTCAGATCAACGTCCTACACTCTGGTGCGGTAGCTTCGGTGCAAAAGACAGCAAAGGCCGTGTTACCTGAAGCCAATGATGGTGTCGCAGAGACTTGGGTTCTATTATAACAAGTGGCTTGAAAGTTGTAACAATCACCGTCGAGGCAACATCCCGCCATACCAGGGAAAGCGGTGTTGGACAAATGATAGCCGCAACTGTAACCCTCATCACACCCATATGGGAGCACAGCATCGGGAGCGACTATCAACCGTGTCAAAAGCCAGCCTTTTGTCAATCCGTCAACTGGATACATGTCATGCTACTTTCCCATTATACTTACTAGTATCTTCATCAGGGCGAAGCCATCCGCATGCATCTGGGCTATCGATCATGGTCGTATGTGAAAATGGATGATTACGCCGATATAACTGCATCTTGGGAGTGGGCTGTGGTGGCTCGGAGGTGGCATGGTGCTTGCCTGTAGCTTCAAGGCTGGAGAATGTGATTGCATCGACCGATGGGAGTATCGAGAGAACAGATAGCGTGATAGGCCGAGACTTCACCTTCATCTTTTCTGTCTTCTCGTGTCAAGGTTGAGAAATGGCTGTGCTCCTGACGTTTCAAATGAGCGCTGCAAGGCCTATACATAATGCTACGCGGTACATCCCACGGGGCCAGGAGAAGAGCTCATGTACATACGGTTTAGACCTGTTCCTGAATACCTCCGCTTTATTGAATTACGCGTATATTTTCATCAGGCTCACATAGCCGTAGTCTAGGTATGTTATATACATACTTCTCCCCTGAAAATGGCCTAGGGATGTTCGATTTTGTCCAATAGTGTTGAAGATGCGGTTAAGGGCTTACTTTTTGCTAGATGGTCTGCAAACAACTCGGCTTAACTATATATGGAGGGCCGTTCTATGTGTTAATCACCAACATCTCATCCTTGGAACACGCGAACGCTAGATTATATCATCATCTCTAATCTGTATCCAGCGCTTCATAACCATAGACTATGCGATTTACGGATTATTGCACCGTCATAATCATAGCTATCTATTTAAGAATCATAATATTGATCATCTAGGCTCCAATTATCAGCAGGACCTTTCGCATTCATCGGAAATTCTTCTACTAGAGAAATCGTTCTAGATTTATCGCAAGCTATATCGGGATAGGAATATCATTAAAATGCTGGAAAAACATTGGAAGCTAACGTCCAGACTATGACTTGAGCTAAATTGTATAAAGACTTCGATGTACTGCTTATTCCCCTTGCCTCGCTTTCAAGGCTCAAGCGAGCTTGTCGGCCAGAGTGGTCATGATGTTTTTATGCATAATCTATATGTATGTGTGTGTCAACAGCCCACTATGAGAGAAAGATATAGATAGAAACCTTCTGATTCTTCATTACTGGCAGAATGTAGGTTTGATATATCTACTCCATATATGTGGGTAGGTTGATGGGTGATTATCAGTATTATCAGTGTGAAAAACACAGCAAAGTACCACTAGGCCACAACAAAAACCAAGGTTCCTGTTTATAGCCATGTAGGGAGCTTATATACTGCGCTGACAGTGATATTGTGCCTGAGGCACATGTATATGGATGCCTTAGACCCGCCCAAAGTCAATTTACTAAGCATCCTTATCGGGAGTTCTTATCTTTCTTCCATCGGCAGCCACGCGAGCGCGTCGGATCGCGCTTAAAGCCAATGCTCTGTTGGCACAAAGAGTTCCGAATTGACTAATTTCGCAAACTCTGCTGTCTTGAGATTTTAAATCAACGTCGTAAATATGTCTGAATACAACGACAGCAACCGCGCCTTTCTCCAGGCGTTCATGGCCCGCTCATCTATGACTTTTGAAGATGCACAACCCATCCTGGCTGCGATATTGACAGTATCTGGTACTTGGATCTTACCTGGGCCCCGCATTGTGAACGGCAACAATTGCTAACGCTGGAACTACTGAGCAGAGGAACAAACGGTGGATCCCGAAGATATTACCGAAGATCGGTTCTTGGACTATGTGTCGGCGGCTAATACTGCGGTTTCACCGTTCGACCTAGAGATCAGAAGCTCTTTGCCTCAAGCCCCACAGCCAATCCAGACAGATGACACACAGCCAGCACCAGCGCGAGTTTATGCGCTTGTCAACACTACAAGTGATGCTCTGACGCAACTTGCGACGACTTATTCCCCAGACGAGATCGCCTTCGTCAAGCGGTTGCTCGACTATATGTTCGACACAAATAACACCCGGTTATTTGAAGGCATGGCGGCCTCACAGATGCAAGCAGTTGGACTACACAAAGCTCCATCGAGCGGTCGGCTGTCCACCAGTAACGACTCAACACAGACCCAAACCGCAGCGGTCCAGTCATTACGCATGACTCAAGCAGAAACGCTGATTATCCGCTTGATCGAAGAGGGCTGGCTCCAGAAGAGCCGAAGTGGATATCTTAGTCTCACACCACGAGCGCTGATGGAGTTGCGGGGCTGGCTGGTCCTGACGTATAACGACGAGAATTACGATGGCCGAGTCATGGAGCGTATCAAATTTTGTGCTGCCTGCCAAGAGATTATCACTGTGGTAAGTATCAATCTCAAATCGTATCAAACATGCCTAACCGAGATATCCAGGGCCAACGCTGTGGTGACCATGATTGCAACGGTCGACTTCATAACCACTGCATGCGCAACTTCTTCCGTATGCAGCAAGCAGAGAAGTGCCCAGTATGCAAAGAAGAATGGCCCGGTGATATGTTTGTGGGCGAGAAAGCGATCACTGTAAACGCAAGGTCGAGCAACGCTGTCCCACAGCGAAGCCAGATTTCGTCGGCTGCTCCTAGTGAGCTTCGCGAAGATTCCGGCGACGGAAACAACGCCACTGAAGGCTGAACCTGAGGCTCAATCAGGCAAAGCACACAAAGCCCGTCTAGACCTTTGCCAACCATCTTGAGCGAAGCGTTGGCTTCGACGCGTGTTCGTGTCATGCAAATCCAAATCCATGTGGATGGTCACGAATGAATGACATGTCAGAGCATTGGCAGCAGGAACTGCTACCAGCGTGCTTGAAGTAACATCCCAAGCAATCGCTCGTATTGTGCCCCAGTCGCACCCAGAGCCACTCAAACCCCCTACCTGATAAGTATCTTTAGGTGTAGACACTGGGGATCATGCGAACTTGTAGGAAAGATCGATCAGATGTGAGAGTGGATGATGAAATGGAATGAACTAGCTTAACCCGGAAAGTTGATAAAACACTCGAATTTGTTCCAGTATGGTCATACTGCTCAGATGTAAAATCTACATATATCTACTCCGTACAAGGGAAAGAATCCATGGGGATTCTGTGGGTGAAGTGGACACGTGAGGCATCCTCCATCTTCCAAACCGTCATTGCATCCTCCCCAAGAACTACATTCCTTTAACACTTACTCCTTTAACCTGCTTTTAACGTCGCTCGATGAAATTAAAACCTACATTCGGAAAGTTTACTCACCTTTCAACATGGTTGGATCTTTAGAACCAAAAAGAAGTCGCGCCAAACCTTCTCTTGCACTCGATGACGACGATCTGGGGAGATTCGGTCTCAAGCCGGGTAGGTCTTGGCCGTGGAGGATGCCGACGGAAACTCTCGGTCTTCACATCCAATGCCAGCCAGTCCTTGCTGTATGAATGCCCCCGCATTTCCGGCTTTTCCGTTACTGTCCCCATAATGTACGCCACCAGCCTCGTACGACATTTATCAGGTCAACGCCTTGGCTGACGGGTGACCTCTGTGGACTTCCAACGTTGGCAGAGGTCATATAACCCACTGAGAACGGCCCTCTGACCAGCCGGCCACTCAACTTGACTCTCATGATACCCCACAATTTGCCATGCGTTCATAGATGGTCTGGGCGAGTTTGAATTACTACATGTATGTACGTACCTGGATCATCTTGTCACTTGCTAAGTTGGGAAAGTGCTCTTAAATCGCCGTCTTTCCTGGAAACCCATCTTCCTTCCTCCACGATCGCTCGTCCTTCCCCTGCGAAAGGTGACATTCGTATTTCTTTGTTCTACTTGCTACTAAACGGAATTATCCAAGTATTTGAACTGGTTGATCAGGCTGGCAAAACTGCAATATGCAGTTAAAGGTGAGTTGGCGTATGTACACTTTAGCCGACCGTCTAACGCTATGCTTAGTCCCTCACATGCGCGGTCTTGCCGCTGCTTTTGAACCTTGCCAGTGGCGCTCCCAACAATCGTATCATCAGAAGTCTCAGAGCACATACTGGTCCTAGCTCTGCAGCCAATTTCAGCAACAATGTGTACCAAACTGGCTTTGACAACGTGACCTGGGACGAAGATAATTGGCTTCTAAGCACAACCATATTAGAACAGGGTCGCTTTGAATCCCGAGGATCTGTCGCGAACGGATATTTGGGTATCAATGTTGCCAGTGTTGGTCCTTTCTTTGAAATTGATAGTCCCGATGATATCAACGGCTGGCCGCTTTTCTCTACCCGCCAGACCTTTGCAACGGTCAGCGGGTTCTTCGATTCGCAGCCGACCACAAATGGCAGCAACTTTCCCTGGCTGTCCCAGTACGGCGGCGACAGTGTGATCAGTGGTGTGCCTCATTGGGCGGGTATTATCTTGGATCTTGGGGATGGTACTTATCTGGACGCAAAGGTAGATAACGAGACCATCTCCAATTTCCGAACAACATACGACTTCAAAGCAGGAATCTTGGCCTGGTCTTATAAATGGACGCCTGGGGGGAACAAGGGATCTTACCAGATCACCTACCGTCTTCTTGCACACAAGCTGTACATCAACCAGGCCGTGGTAGATATGGAGATTGTTCCCTCCAAAGAAGCAAAGGCGAGCATCGTCAATGTGCTTGATGGAGCCTCTGCGGTTCGCACAGACTTCGTGGAGACTGGCCAAGAGAATGGTGCGATATTCTCGGCAGTGAGGCCGAATGGTATTGGTAATGTTACGGCCTATGTTTACGCGAACGTCACTGGGTCATCTAATGTCGATATTTCCTCGCGCAAGATTGTCTCCAACAAGCCATATGTCCATTCTAATAAATCCTCCATTGCGCAAGCTATGGATGTGACTTTCAAGCCCGGTCAGGTTGTTCACGTCACCAAATATGTCGGGGTAGCTTCTACGGATGCTTTTGATGATCCAAAACAAACAGCCAAGAAGGCTGTTTCCACCGCCATGAAAAATGGCTATGCCCAGTCTGTGAGAACCCATATCATGGAATGGGCCAGTGTTATGCCTGAAGGCTCTGTTGATCACTACGCTTTCCCGAACGGAACCTTGCCCGCAGATACCACTATCATCGATACTGCAGTGAACTCTGTGGTTAACACTTATTATCTGCTGCAGAATACCGTTGGGAAAAATGCCATCAACAACACTTCAGGAGCACCGGTCAATGTGGACAGTATCTCAGTTGGTGGCTTGACATCTGACTCCTATGGTGGTCAAGTATTCTGGGATGCCGATGTGTGGATGCAACCAGGTCTTGTTGCCTCTCACCCAGAAGCGTCTCAGCGGTTCACCAACTTCCGTGTGGGCCAATATGCCCAAGCACAGGAAAACGTTAAGACTGCGTACTCTGGATCTCAGAATCAGACACATTTCAGTTCGTCGGCTGCAATTTATCCCTGGACTAGTGGCCGTTTTGGAAACTGCACAGCCACCGGCGCTTGCTGGGATTACCAGTATCACTTGAATGGAGATATTGGAATCTCCCTAGTCAACCAATGGGTAACAAGTGGCAATACAAAACTCTTCAAGGAGAAGCATTTCCCAATCTATGATTCCGCGGCTACACTCTTTTCGAATCTGCTAGTTCGGAATGGCTCACATTGGACATTGACTAACATGACAGACCCTGTAAGTTTGATGTCTCAATATTCGAAGTATAAAACACTGACAACACATAGGACGAGTATGCCAACAACGTTGATGCAGGTGGCTTCACAATGCCGCTGATTGCTGATACACTCCAACATGCAAACACCTTCCGTAAAGACTTTGGATTGGAAGAGAATGCGACCTGGGATCAAATGGCTGATAACGTCTTAATCCTGCGCGAAAACGATGTGACTCTCGAGTTCACTACAATGAATGGAAGCGCTGTAGTCAAGCAAGCTGATGTGGTTATGGTCACTTTTCCCCTGGGTTATACAGCGAACTATACCTCCGAAAACTCACTGAATGATTTGGACTATGTGAGTATTTTGTCCCTGTTTAGTTGAATGAAAACCCCAAGCTGAAAAAATCTAGTATGCCGCCAAACAATCCGCTGATGGACCTGCCATGACCTGGGCTATCTTTTCTGTTGTCGCGAATGAGATGGCCCCCTCTGGCTGCTCAGCATACACCTATGCTCAATACTCCTACAAGCCTTATACCCGCGCGCCATTTTTTCAACTATCGGAGCAGATGGTAGACAATGCTACCATCAATGGTGGAACGCACCCAGCGTATCCATTTTTGACTGGTCATGGTGGCGCCAACCAGGTTGCTATATATGGCTATCTTGGCTTGCGGCTGGTACCAGATGACATCCTTCATGTGGATCCGAACTTGCCTCCTCAGATTCCATACTTGAGATATCGCACCTTCTACTGGCGCGGGTGGCCTATTTCAGCATGGTCAAACTACACGCACACGACCATCAGCCATGCCACGGGGTCTGCTCCATTGGATACTGCTGATCAACGATTTGCCAACAAAACAATCACAATTCACTCTGGCCCAGAGGCCGATGCCACTATTTATCGCCTACCTTCCAAAGGCTCCATTGTCATTCCTAACCGACAGATTGGATCCGAGAATACCGTGGAAGGTAATCTCGTGCAGTGCCAGGCTGTCACCTCTTCAAATGCATTTGAGCCTGGCCAATTCCCAATTTCTGCGGTGGATGGCGCAGCATCTACAAAGTGGCAACCCTCATTGGCGGCCGATGTCAGCGCTGTAACAGTGTCTTTCGAAGAGGAGGCCGGTGCTATGGTGTCAGGATTCTACTTTGACTGGGCACAGGCACCTCCTGTCAATGCCACAGTGATTTTCCACAACGTGACGTTGAAGAATCCTTCCAGTGCGCTTTCCGCTCAAAGCCCAGACTACACAGTTGTTCACAGCATGACAAACATCATTCAATCAAATCCCTACGACTCCGATACTACAAATCTCGATGTCATTGCTATCCCCACTGGCAATACAACGAATGTGACTTTGTCATCTCCCGTACGAGCAGCACGCTATGCATCTCTACTTATTGTGGGCAACCAAGCCCTAGACTCCGTTGATGTTGAAGCCAGGAACGGAACTGGTGCGACTGTTGCCGAATGGGCCATTATCGGGCAAGACAAGGAGCGCAGTTCTTCCTCAGCCACTAAACCAAAGAGAAAGATCGACGTGCGTTTTGCAGCGGCCGTATCGGAGACTGATCCTTTCATGAGGCGGCGTCGGCAATTTTTATCTCGGCTTTAAACGCTGATTGAGCTTTTCATGTGTCCTGAGAAACTAAGAAGAATTTTGTGAATATGCACATTACCACCTACCTATTTGGGCAATTCCTAGAACCTTGGGTATAGCACAATTGTAAAGAGAAAGAAGATGAACATAGTCACACGTATTTAAATCTGATATATCCATACAAATAATTACAATCACCAGCATCTCCTCTCTACTGATCCAGGGCAAACCGATCCAAGAACTTGAAGGTCTTCAGTCCCTCTTGGATATCCTTCGCAAAAGCATCTCCCGCAGAGCGAGCAGTATAAACTCCCTCACGGTCCGCAGAGATCTGCCCAGCTTCCAGAGCGGCAGAACCCTTACCCAACGCACCAACAGGCTTTCCAAACCTGAAAGCATCGAGCAAAATATCCAAAGGCCGACCAGCGGGATACAAAGACGACGCACCCGAAGCCTTAGCATTAGGAGCAGCCGTCAAAGACTTCGAACCAAAGAGCCCCTCCGCACCATCAGCAACAACAACAAAGTCAAACTGCACTGCATCAGACGCAGAATAAGTCTGATCAACATCATCCGCCATCCGCTCCGCAACAACAACAACATCAACACCAGCAGAAGACAGAGCAGACTGCAGCTTCGCGCCCTGCGCAATCGAACCCTTGCTATCCACAGACGCAAGAAGAGCAACCTTCAACCCATCCAGCTTAACGAGCTTCTGCCCGAAAGCACCGATGTTCGCGGTCGTGTTGTCGTGGTAGAAAGACGAATCGGGCTTCGGGGCGTCGATGCCGATCGCTTGGGCGACGCGCTTGGCGAGATCGTTGCTGATGCGGTTGAGCTGGATGACTGCGTTGTTGCGCACGATGCTGCTCTTCACGTTTGAGAGCTCGAAGCGCATTGCGTCGACGACGAATTGCTTCTCTGCGTCTACGAGGGAGTTCCAGAATAGGCGGGGCTGGGTCCAGACGTCTTCGAAGGTTGAGCTGACGGTGCGTTGGAGGTTGCCGCTTGCTTTGCGGTCGGGTGCGGTGAAGAAGCCCTTGCCGACGGTTTGGTTGGCTTGCTTGGGCGAGCCGCTGTTTAGGGTGTTTGGGGAGTAGGCGTTGGGGTTGATGGGGATGAACATTTGGCCTGGAGGAGTTAGGAATGAAGGTTTGGTGAGGTTGGGATTCTTGTGGGTACATACCAGCTCCGTCGCGGTTGTTGTTGTGGATTGGGGACCGGGGACGGTTGATGGGCAGTTGCTCGAAGTTGGGACCGCCGTTGCGGTTCAGTTGGGTGTCCAGGTAGGAGAAGAGACGGCCCTGGAGGAGGGGATCCTCGGTGAAGTCAACGCCGCGGACGATGTGGCCCGGTTGGAACTAAGAAATTAGTATCGAGCTGCTGGTAATGATCGGCTGGGACGTACCATGACTTGCTCGGTTTCCGCGAAATAGTTCAATGGGTTTCGGTTCAGCTGCATCTTGCCCAGAATTGTGACAGGCACGAGCTCCTCAGGAACGATCTTGGTAGGATCGAGAAGATCGAATCCGAATCGGAGTTGGTCTTCTTCCTCCATAATTTGAACACCGAGCTAACAACCTATTAGCCAGTGCATCACGGCAACGTTTGGCTGAGTAACATACCTCCCATTCAGGATAACGCTCAGCTTCGATGGACTCGAAAAGATCCTGACGCATGAAGTCTGCATTTTTACCCGCGGTCTGCTGCGCCTCCTCCCAAACAAAGCTGGCTTTGCCCTGCAGGCCCTTCCAGTGGAACTTCACAAGCTTGGTCTTTCCATCGTCAGTAACGAAGCGGAAGGTGTGCACACCGAATCCATCCATATGACGGAACGACCGGGGAATACCGTGACCAGCCATTGCCCAAAGAAGAGTGTGCATTGTACTAGGCTGTTGGCTGAAGAAGTCCCAAGCCGAGTCATGGGCTGTAGCAGCCTGGGGAATCTCATTATCGCCGCGGGGCTTGACAGCGTGGATCAAATCCGGGAAAAGAATTGCATCCTGAATGAAGAAAACGGGAATGTTGTTTCCAACAATATCTAAGCCCGAATTAGCGGCGTTCGTTTTATCAATGGGGGATCGGTCGTACCAAAGTTTCCTTCATCGGTATAGAAGCGGGTGGCAAAGCCGTGGACATCTCGCGCGGTATCGGCGCTTCCACGGCTACCAGCAACGGTGGAGAACCGTGTGAACATCGGGGTTTGTTTGCCTTTGGCGGAAAGGAAAGATGCGGCTGTGATATTGGACCAGTCCCCATAGGAGGTGAATGTTCCGTGGGCGCCGGCGCCTCGAGCGTGAACAGCGCGTTCCGGTACCTGAGAGAAACAGACATGAGTTTGTGAGCTTGGATTGGATCATGGGAAACATACTCGTTCATGATCGAAGCGTTGAATCTTCTGACGGAAAATGAAATCCTCAAGCAGAGTCGCTCCACGCTCTCCTGCGCTGAGACTGTTCTGGTCCTCAATAGGACCGCCAACATCAGAGGTCAGATATACATCTTTGTCCTTGAGATAGAACTGTGAGAGGAATTCTTCCGTGTCACCGGCAGCATCTCCATCCCCTCGGCGTGCGAGGTGAGGATTGTCGCCTGCTTCACCGGTCATATAAGGACAAGCAGCACTGGCAATGCCAGCGAGGCCCGTCACGAGAGCGAGCACATGCATTGCGACGGTTGGAGAGTGTAAATCTTGATGGGAAACTCAACCTCGATTCACTAAGGGGGTTTGGCCAACGGCCCCAGGCTCACTTTATACGATTGTATGAAAGCGAACCCGAAGAGGAAATTAAAACCGTCGACTGGGACTTTGGCAATGAGCCAATGGTAAACTCCGCAAAAGTTCGCAGACCGCATCATACATGTGCATTAGCGATCAGGCACGGGCTAGACATTCGCCAACCAGAAGTCGAATGATTAATTCGGTTCACTGGCCTCGGTCAACAAGTGTGACGAGATCGAATCACCCTGGTCGACGCAGTGGGGCCCCGGCTGAAGTGGATGATCATCTCCACAGCCAAGGGAGCAGACAGAGGCACACCACGCATTGTTTCCCTCCGAAGACCGTTAGCTCGCCCCAATGGAAATGCCGAGTCCAATCTTGGTCCCATAACCGTACCACGTACAGAGTACATCAGGCCATTATAGAGTACAACACAGAGAGAACGAAGATATTCGCTGAGGAACTCGGCGACTCGGGCTTGAGTCGGAATAATCGGATGGAGTCCACCGTGGAGGATGTCTTGGCGTGGATTAAGCGTCAACAGGACGATGGTCGAGGCCACGATGCTTGGTAAGTGGCGGCCAATCCCTGTTCCAGCTACTTGGCGTTTGTTTGGGAGATTGAGAAGCCGCATGACGTAGGGGATAATCCTCGCTCGCCCTCGCGTCCGGAAACATCGTTGTCTCATCTTGGTATCATCTGCGGCCGTCTGGAACCGCAGCGATACACCAGGTATTTGGACATCTTGATGCCCCCTTCGAACAGCCCGTATCTCAATACGCTGGAGCTCGGCACCCGAAATTGGGACCTGAAAAAGCGACAGGGATCAGGCCACGGTGCAGGTTTCCCAAGCCCATCTGCACCTTGATCCCTGCGACGCACATCAATACCATATTTAGAACCGCGCAATTTGGGATCATCTGTGATACAGTGACTGGTGATAGCCAAGACCTTGTGTCGGTCTCCGGGCCATGGCAAGTTAAAATTAGATACATGCCGTCTTGTGAATTGGAGGATATCTGCCCATGTGTCAAAGAACGTCGCTTATTGCTTGAAGTCGCGGGGGGCTGTCGAGGCGGAGATGCTTGGCGAGGGGAAAAGGACTTGGCCGGTACTCGCGATCTTGGCGCATACGGGCTTGACATCTGCAAAGTCGTTGAACTACTATTTCTATTTTTAATGTGATATGTGTGATAGAGGACTCGGCCGGCGAATGCGGAGTACATTTATGCTGCCGAGAGGGGCTGAGATGTCTTGGATCATGGACTTGTGTAGAATTTCGAGCCAGAGCCGTGCTAATCAGGTCAAGACCATATCGGCATTCAATCTAATGCACAATACTCCGTAAAGCACGGAGCTACGGCTAAAGAATCTTCCAGCAATGGCTGCTTGAGGTTTCATTCTGACTGTCGTATACCGCTCGGGGAATACGAGACCGTTCAAAAACGGCTGCAAGACCGATAGACCTCTCGTACCTCGAAACGTAGATTAGACTGTCGGCACTGCCAATCTCTCCGCTAGACTCGAGCCATTGGGGTCACCTCACTTGTCCGCGCGGGGTCACGGCGATCCACAAACCCATATTTCGTATACAGGGGGACACCCGCCTCACTGGCATCGATATACGCTCCAACACCCTCCCGGTCCGCAATGTCACAGCCCCAGCGAACAAGCATAGAGCCTGCACCACGGCAGCGGTAGTCAGGATGCGTACCGAGCATATCAAGGTCTACTCCGTATGAGAGTCAACAAAGGTGTCATACCGCAGGCAGCTCGCCGAAGATTCGACAGAAGTACGGAGTACTCACAATAATGCTTCCGATCCCCCATCACCCGCTTACGCTCACTTTCCAGCGACCCGAAGAATTTCTCGCAATCCGTTTGAGGCATGTCGCCGTGCCAAGGCGGGAACCGAGGCCCGCGCTCGTCAGGCATGGCCAGATCCCACTTCGCGTACGCGGCTATCCGCGAGCGACCTTGAGCATCTTTGGTATTTGGGTCGACGACTTTAAGGTATTTTTGGTACGGCTTGGTGAGCATGTCCGTGCGGTTGGCTTGGGTGAACCATTCGCGTATCCCTGGTGTGTTGGGCATGAGGTGCGTCATGCCAGGGTCGTTGAAGACGGTAAACCATAGCTCTGTGATGGCTGGGAGGTCTTCGATCGTCACGGGCTCGAGGACTAGAGAATTTGGTGTAGACATTTTGGGCTCTTTGGTGGCTTCAGGTAAGAAGTACACAGTATAAAGTCGTTGGTCGCGGGGTTGTCTTCTGCGTGGGTCTAATAGCGGTCAGCCGAGACCTTAACTTGATTCAATCTGAGTCAGACATACAGAGTAGAGATACATAGAATCAGAAGGAGATCTTTGCTGATTGGCTATCTTGTAATATACTTGCAGCGATCAGTTCTAAATATATGCTGCACCCCGTGGAGTTCGAAATTATCCCATTGCGAGAGGCAACAGTGTCGCAGTACTCATTACGGAGTACTCCGTATCGAGAAACAGAGTCAAAGTCGCAGTTTGCTCTTTTAAGTGATCGCGAATGAAGAACTGGGTGGATTATATAGAAACCCCGATCTAGCCCTGAAGGTCTCGGGACAGAAGCTGACTTCACTATAACACCGTAACAACAGCTATCGAGAGAAATTACTGATTCAATTTTGTTACCTCATTCCAACCCCAGAGATGTCATTCAAGTCCCACATTCTATATAATGCGAGGATCAAGTCATATACATTCCAACCAGTCCTTGTTTAGTGACGAAATCTCCGATGACATCGTTTCCGAGGAATGCGGGCATGATCTGCTCTTCAGGGACGAGAAGAAAACGCAACGCCCAGTATTCTGATTTCTCCTATCTAGAAGCAAATCTTCGAGTTCTGCCGAGAGGGAATATCCCTCAAAGAGAGACTAAGTGGGCCAAGCAAAGACATGCACGAGAGAATGAGTCTAATATCAGATAATGGCTCTGAATATAAAGATGGTGGTATTGTCGAGCATCCTTAAGAGGAAAGTGCCAAACAACATTCAAGCCCTGAGTGCTCTAATAATATATAGACCATGGGCTTGTCAAATGTTGCTTTGGTTGCTAAGACTGCTGTTCCAGTGGATGTGCTCGTTGCCTTGAACGTAAGATTGATTCTATACGTCGTGGAGGCAATATTATCCAATGAGAGGGTTATGTCCCGCGAGGCATACTTAGTCGCCCGTAGTTAGGGCTCTACGGGCGACTAAGTATGCCTCGCGGGACATAACCCTCTCATTGGATACTACCCTACCGCCTTTCTCACCGCACTCTCGAAGCCTATATGCTAATTTCAATTTCTCTTTTATTTCTATACCTATACACTCGATAATAGTGTGACTATTCATTGATCTTAAACCGTATGAAGATAAAATTATCTATCTTTTTTTAAATAGGGGTATCTTACACCTCCGGAGGCTAGACGTACCCCGGAGTCTCCGAGTATAGGTAGGTAGTTCTTTTCTTTGCCTTATAGAAGTAAACAAATAAATACATTATAAGAAAGACTACCTCCTAAAAATGTATTTACCTCAAAATAGAGCTAATAGATCTCGAGTTTTTCCCTTATCGGGTTTATACTTTCTACTTACTGACAAAATATTATTAGAGAATAAGAGAGAGGGAGAAGAGAGAGGGAGAGCAGAGGGGGACGATTATAACCGAGAAATAGGTATATACATATAGGGATTTATATAGCGCACATATGGGAATAGCTTTACATTTGAATATTACTACCTTCTCATTAAGCCCTCTATTATAGTAATTTAGGTATTTTAATTAATACTAGTCTAAACTAAGGCATAAACCCTGTAAAATGAGGCATTCTAGCCCTAGAGGGAACCCTGGAAGCTTTCACCTTTAGATGACTAGAATACTGTGTTACGACCCTCTGCTAGGAGAGTGCCTCATAGGCTGGATCCCGCCTGGTCCTGTGACCCAGAACCCGTGACCTAGCAGGGGTAGCATGACCCCCCGCCAGAGACCGCACTAGGGAGACTGAGTCCTGCCGGGTTAGGTGACCTAGTCCCGTGACCCGCTAAAGGTCATCTATATAGAGACTGCTAGGGGAACTTAGCTCTTTAGCGATTAGTTTATGAATATACTAGCACCCTGCTATTCCTTCACTCTAGTTCTATACTACCTGCTAGGACCCGCTAGCACGCCGGTCCTAATATTCTAATCGCTAAATCTTAATTAAACTAGACCGTTGGAATACGTAATATCGACGACTCGATGTACGAGCGACCGCCTAAGGGGAACCTTAGCCCCGATCGCGGAAACGAACGACGTCCTAGGACCCCTATAACCCCTACTAGAAGAGGTAGAGATATAGGGAGTCGACGATAACCCTTAAGGAGGAAACCTACCGGATCCGATAATCCCGACCGAGGTAGATAAGGAGGCGGAACTCTAAGAGTTAGAGACCCTTAAAAGACGTCTAGCTCTAGTAAAGGAGAAAAATAGGATCCGCGCGGAGCTATAGGACGAAGAAGAAAACGTAGTAATCCTATAGGCGAGAATATAAGGATCTAGGATCCGTTAGGGTTCGCTAGGTAGTACTACTAACTAAACTACTTACTAATTACCCGATACTACCCGTATAAACCTAATTATATTATAAGGAAGTGCCGGAGGCTACCTATCCTATTAAAAGAAAGTAAGGGAACTATATATACCCTATAATATAATAACGTATAGAGCCGAGAGTTCGGGCGAATATAATCTCTTTAAGTCGAACTAGGAAGCCTTCTAGAATAGATACCCCGATTAGTTCGCTAGCGACGTATATAAGGTAGACCGAGTAACCGAGTTCCTAGCGCCGAAGGTTAATATAATATAGATAGAATACCGTAGGAATAATCTAGGTACGATATTTACTTAGTTAGTCTTTAAAATATAGGCGCTCGCTTAGGTTACCGACCCTATTAAGATATAATAAGAAGCTAAATACGACTAATAGTAGATAATATAAGCTAAGTATTAAGATATATACTAATATACCTTAAAGCTTACCGGACTCTATAACCGCCTAAAAGATACGCTAACTAGATAGATAAGAATCGACCGTTTAGAGACGGGTATCGTTAAGGAGATATAAGATAAAGTAAAGAGGTTTATAGCCCCCGCTATAGATTAATAGGATAACTAGGTAGCCTTCTATAACTAAATTAAGAAAGTAATACTAGGTAGGATATTATATCTTAGGGAGGCTAAGAAGATAGCGCTAAGAAATATTATAGACTTATAAAGATCTAATAGAAGACCCTTTAAGGGAAATAGCGCTTTCCCCGTATAGTAAGCTATAACTACTACGGAGGGTAGAAAAGCTACTATAGGGTCTAAACGAGACTAGAGCGGAGATAATAAATTCTATAACTTCTATAGTAAGCCGGGCTACTATATAAAGGACTACTATAAGAAAGCTATAGTAAACGCTATAGCCGCGGAAGAGTTAAAAAAATAGATAACCCTATACTATAAACTCCTATAGTATTAGGGATAGTCCTCTTTAGAGAATATAAAGGAGTATACCGAGTACTCGTCTATAACGTACTAATATTAGACGTTAAGACTAGAGCCCTAACGGGGGTAGCTAAGACGCTAATAGATAGTAGCGTAACCTAGAGCTTCGTAAGCTAGAAATAGGTAAAAGAGAACCTAGAAGAGATATATATAATAAGTACCCGCCTAGTAAAAGCTATAGATAGGCGTAAGATCTCTTTATATAGAAGCCGAGAAGTATAGCTTAGTCTAATAGACTAGAATAGAACCCGTAGAGTTATTAAAATAACCTATAAAGCTATAAATATAACGATCTACGATATAATCCTAAGAATAGATTAGCTTAGATTAGTAAATCCGGATATTAACTAGGTAACTAGTAAGTAGGCGTATAGAAATATAGCCCCGCTAGAGGTTAAAACCCTCCCGCTAGAAGACTTTAAAGAAGAAATAAGACTATAAGGTATACTTAGAAAGCTACGCTTAGACGTCGATAAGATTACTAGGGAGTTTATAGTAATACTAAGGGTAATATAAAGCTCGGATAGGACCTCCTATCTAGTATAACCCCTAACTAAACTCCCGCTAGAATATTAAGATCTAGCTATTATAGCGAGTAAAGAAGGTATTATAGCCCTTCTAACCTACGTAGAGTATAACTATATAATCGAGCTAATACTAGGTAAGATACCCTCTTAGAGGCTAGTATACGTACTATCCGCTAAGGAGTTAGAAGTCCTCCGCTAGTATATTAAGGAGAACCTTAAAAAAGGCTAGATCTAATATTTAAAGAGTTAATTAGGTATACCTATCCTCTTTATACCGAAGAAAGATAGTAAGCTTAGACTCTACGTAGACTATAGAGAGTTAAACGCGATTACTATTAAGAACCGCTACCCTCTACTACTAATTAATAAGTCCCTAGTAAGATTATTAGGAGTATAGATCTATACTAAACTAGATCTATAAGATACCTACTATAGGATCTATATAAAATAGAGAGATAAGTAGAAAATAGCGTTTAGATACCGCTATAGATATTTTAAATATATAGTAATACTGTTTAGACTCGCGAATACTCCCGCTACCTTCTAGACGTACGTTAATAGAGCCTTAGTAGGACTTATTAACGTCTACCTAGTAGTATATCTTAATAATATACTAATCTTCTCGAAGGATAAGGAGATCTACGTATACTACGTCTAAGAAATACTAGAACGCCTAATTAAGTAGAGGTTATTTATTAAATCTAGTAAGTATATATTCTACGTAGAGAGAGTTAACTTCTTAGGCTTTATCGTCTCCCGCTACGGAGTTACTATAGACCCTACCTAAGTAGAGACGATAAGCTAGTAGCTAGAGCTAACCTATATCTTCGACGTATAGTAGTTTATAGGCTTTACTAACTTCTACCGATATTTTATTAGGAAATAGTTAATAATTAGCGCCCCCCTTAACGATCTAATTAAGGGGCTAGACGTATAAAAGAAGGGAAGAAATAAGCGCTAGGAAGGGTTTATCTTTATAGAAGAAGCGCGAGAAGCTTTTAAAAGGACTAAGACCGCTTTCTAGACTACGCCGATACTTATATACTTCGACGCTATATTAAAAACTATAATAGAAACGGATATATTAGGAGCCGCTATCTACGTAATTATATTATAGCTCTATAAAG